TGGAGACGAAAGACATTATCGAGGAACAGTGACGCAGTCTCCTCCGCCGACGGCAGTGAACGCCAGGACATAAAGTGTGCCATCTTTGTGAGGCTGCATACCACCACAAAGATGCAGGTGTGACCCTTGGACTTTGGCAGATCAGTGATAAAGTCCATGGTCAGTGTCCCCCAGGGTCGATCGGCTGTCTGGAGTGGCAACAGGAACCCAAACGGCTTGTGTCGCGGAGCTTTCGAGCGTGCACAGGTGTCGCACGTCGAGACGTACTCTTTGACATCTTTCCGATAGGTTTGCCACCAAAACTGTCGCGATACCAGAGCCAGAGTCCGTCGGATGCCTGGATGACCCACAGCGACTGGGTCATGGCACGACTTGAGCGCCGGAACTCGGCACGACTCTGGGACCACAATCCTGTTCTGGAAGGTGAGGTACTGGCCATTCCAGACGAACTTCGGGTCACGACGGTATTTGTCTAGACCGGGATCCCGAGCCTGCTCTTCGGCTATGAGCTGCAGCAAGTCCACAGGGTCACTGCGACTTGCAACCGAAGAGCGGGCGTCTCTGCTTCGCAGCACGCGTATCACCGCGGCAGGATCGAGAAGCAGAGGCGGATCCCTCGACACGGAGGCCGACGAAGGGATGTAGTCCGAGCGACGAGACAGGGCATCGGCCTTGCCGTTCCTCGCACCAGGACGGTACTGGATGCGGATGTCGAACCGAGACAAGAACTGGGACCACCGTGCATGACGCTGGTTTAGGATGCGAGCCGTTGCCAGGTACTCCAAGTTCTTGTGGTCGGTCAGAACGGCAACGGGATGCTGGGCGCCTTCGAGGTAGTGTCGCCACGCCTCGAAAGCCTCCTTGATCGCCAACAGCTCTTTCTCGTATATGCTGTAGTTACGTTCAGCATTCGAGAGTGTCCGCGAATGGAACGAGCAAGGATGAAGGCGATCATCAGCACCCCGCTGGGAGAGCACGCATCCAAGCGCAAAGTCCGACGCATCTGACTCTACGACGAACGGCTTGGATGGGTCCGGATGCACCAGAACGGGCTCCGAAACGAAGGCATCCTTCAAGGATCTGAATGCTTTATCGGCTTCGCGGGACCACTGGAAGCCATGCGTCTTCCGGAAGAGCCGAGTCATGGGCCCCGCGATCTTTGCGTATCCATCGATGAAGCGTCGATAGAAGTTCGCAAACCCGACAAAGGATCGAAGATCCGAGATGTTGTGCGGTATGGGCCAATCCAAGATCGCAGAGAGCTTGGATCGCTCCATACCGATGCCCTCGGGCGAGACCATGAAACCAAGGAACGAGACCGAGGTTTTGGAGAACTCGCACTTCTCCAGCTTGCAATACAGCTTTGCAGCTCGGAGCTTCGAGAGGACCTGCTTGACGTGCTCTACATGCTGCGACGGATCAGCACTGTAGATCAAGATATCGTCAAGATACGCAATTGCGAACTGGTCCAACTCGGTGCGCAGGACGTCGTTGATGAAGTGCTGGAACGTCGCTGGCGCGTTGGTGAGCCCAAAGGGCATCACCAAGTACTCGAAGTGCCCATATCGAGTACGGAAAGCTGTCTTCCACTCGTCCCCGGAGCGGATGCGCAGCAGATTGTAGGCTCCACGAAGGTCCAGCTTAGTGAACACCTTCGCGCCTCGAAGTCGGTCCAGCAGCTCGCCGATCAGCGGTAAAGGGTAACGGTTCTTTACCGTGATACCGTTCAGTGCGCGGTAGTCAACGCAAAGACGAAGTGAGCCGTCCTTCTTCTTGACGAAGAGGATTGGTGAGCCTGCTGGGGACGACGAAGGACGAACGAATCCCTTGGCAAGATTCTCGTCGAGATAGTCACGCAGAGCGTGAAGCTCGGGCTCGGACAGTGAGTACAGAGGCCCGAACTTTGGCGACTTGCCCGGCTCCAAGTCAATGGGGCAGTCGTAAGGGCGATGCGGAGGCAAGGAGTCAGCTTCCTGTTTAGAGAAAACAGACAGGAAGTCCTTGTACTCCGCAGGCACTTCGACAGTCGCAGTGCTCGGCTCGTCAGTGGGCAGGACATGGACCTGAAAGATGGTCAGGGGTTGCGTTCCATGCCTGCATGCATCCAAAGACTCGCGCATCGAGCGGTAATCAATGCTGCAGACGCGGAGAGGAGCGTCCGAGCTGAGAGGAGGGGCGTGGACAAGGTCAGAATAATGTTCGACGGTTACTTTATTCTGAACAATGTCCGAAGAACAAACAACAGGAGGAGGTACATCAAGGAGGGAAAGAGAACTGACAGCAGGAGAAGGGGTTTGGGAAGAGCGAAGGGGTTCGGGAGGAACAAGACAAGAAGGGGAAGACGAAGGTGGGAGCGTAGGAGAGGAGCTTAGATCAATCAAAGGAGTGGAATCATCAAGAAGGGGAGTGACATTGGAGGAAGTGGAGCAAGACGAAAGAGAAGTAGTGCATGGAGAGGGGTCGGAATCAACAGAAGGAGGGAGACAAAGAAGACCGCGAGACCAGACAATCTTGGGCTCGGCGGTGCGCAACCAAGGAAAGCCAAGGATAAGTGGTTGATGTGGAGACCTGATCACATCGAACCGAAGGCGTTGCGAGACGTCCCCGAGAATCACCTCGAGTGGAGCAGTCTCGCGGAGGATGGGGCCAGACGACAGCGGCTTACCATCCACGCCTTCCACTGCCAAGGGCGAAGCCTTGGAGCAGGTGGGGACAGAGTGTCGAGTAACAAAGTCCTCGTCGATAAAGTTGCCAGAGGCACCAGAATCGACAAGTCCTTCGCACGACAGAGAATCACCAGAAGGAAGACGAACAGCGACGGAAACAACCAACGAGCAACGACGAACAGACGAAACACAAGACTTTGGTTCGGTACCAGCTTCGGCACCAGGGTTGCGGCTAGCACAGACAGTTAACTTTGCCGAGGGTTGGCAGGACAGCTCAGGTATTTGCACCTGTGGATGAGGTGCAGTTCCCAGTGACACCAGAGGTGCCACGGGTACTATGCCAGAGCTGAGAGTGTCCGCCGGTCCAGAGGCAAGGCGAAGCTGTCCGCACATCACTGCTTCCCCAGTACTTACCAAAGGCACCTTACCAATGTCTTCACTTTCGGAAGGCGGTGGGCACGGCTCCGGTTCAAGGCCTTCACTTAGAACCGGGCCTGGTCGTTTCCCGAACTGAAGTCTTGCACTTCTCCATCCTCGTAAACGATGGTGCGGATGATCCTCGGGCCGGGAGGTCCAGGGGGCGGTCCGGTAGCTCTGGTAAATCCAAACTTGACGGGGCAGTTTCGTACCAAGTGGCCCTTCTTGCCACAGTACAGGCAGAGTCCAAAGCGGCGGCGGCGTTGTTTCTCCTCGGCGGTCAGGGGTCCAGAGACGGCAGAGTCCACTTGCATGGGCTCGGAAACAATGTAGGAGGGGTGCGGCGGAGCGAGGACTGGCGCGGGAGCGATGGCGGGAACGGCAGCGGAGGCGGAACCAAAGGCGAACTGGGAAGACCGGTAGCGGGCAGGCGTGCTTCGGCGCTCTTGACGGCGCTCGCGGATTCGTGCATCGAGCTCGTTACAAAGCTCAATGTACTCCTCCAGATCTCGTGGCAGAGGGCGAACTCGCGAAAGTTCGTCTCTGACATCATCCGACAAGCCAAGTCGGAAGAACGAGATCTTTGCACCGTCGTTCCAAGTCGTATCGGCGGCAATACGAAGGAACTCGGATGCATAGACTGCGCACGGGCGGTTGCCCTGAGACAGTGTGGTGATCACTGACTCGGCAGTCCTGGCCCGATCAGGGTCGTCAAACACTTTAGAAAAGCGTTCTAGGAAATCGCCAAAAGAGTTGAGTCGGGGATCACCCATCTCAAGCATCGGAGTCGCCCACTGGAGAGCCGGTCCAGTGAGCAGACTAATGACGAATCCGACCTTAATCGGGTCAGCAGGGAACCGGTGGGGCTGCATTCGTATATACAGTTTGCACTGATTTACGAATGCCCGGAACCCTTGCCGGTTACCGTCGTAACGGTCCGGCATCTGCACGCTGTACCCAGCGGCAGGAGCATCGCGAGCTGTCCGGAGCTCGGCGAGCTCGGCCTCCAAGGCACGGAGGCGGTCCACGAGGGCAGGATCCATGGCGGGACTGGGACTGGGACTGGGAAAAAAAAGCGAGGAGGTTCAAGAACAGGAGAGCGAAGAGGGCTCAGGCACAAGTGTGCTTGAGGTTCGGACAGGACTAGGAAAGGGGCGGGGCTAGGAGCGGAAGATACCAAGCAGGTGGTATCAGTAGAAGAGAGTTCGAACAAAGTGTAAGGAGTGAACAAGCGCAAGGACGAAGACCAAGTGCTTGGTATGAGCTTTATTAGCTTTTAGCCCCGAACACCAAAGAACAAGTTTTGTTCGAACTGGTGTTCAACATAGGCTCAGACATGCAGGGCTATTTATAGACCGGGAGGAGGTCGAGGGGCAAAAGTGGGCGAGAAGGGTGGAGCATCACAGAGAAGCGAGAAGGGGGTGCGAGAGTGGCTGGTGTGCAAGCGAGAGAGGCTTGGCACAGCCCGGGGACATGTGCCGAGCGGTGGGGGAGGCAGGAAACCAGTAGACGCGGGTGGCAACGGCGCGTGCTCATGCATGGGGGCAAACAAACACGTGGGGACTCATGATTGGTGCGGAGGGCGAGAGCATGCGGGACAATCTCATTGGTCCGTTGTGATGCTGGTCATCACAGAGATTGCCAGATTGCCAACCAGGACGGGAAACAATCACACGGCTCGCTCACTGGAGCCTACGGATCAGCTGACTTGAGTCTCCGATGCCAGAAAGCGACCGCTCGTTCGACTGTAGGTGCCCCGCTCCAACAGAGTTGCGCCTGTATCTTTGGTTGATGCTCAAAATATGCAATCCAACCCTATTTCGAAGCAGTATACTGAGCTGACGGGCTTCCAAGCCCGGAGGCCCCAGCCGCCGCCAAGGATTCCGAATCCCCTTCCTCTGCCGTCACAGACACATCGGCCGATGACCGACAGCCAGTAATACATAGCGCCTCTGACTCGAAGAAATGCGGCTGAGTTCTATCCAGAGTACCTCCTCCACAGTGACTCTCCAGGGTGCCTATCCGCTTCTTACCATTCTGACCACCGGCTCTCCCGCCTTAGGCTCGCGGAGCGTCACTGGGCAGCAAAGAAAATATCAAGTGCATGGCGTAAATCTCACTACCGGAGGGTATTCCGACAGCTCAAGGAGAAAATTTTCCTTGCGGTGAGAGTGCTAGTGGAGCAGGTGCCCGTCAACGGGACGCGAACAATGACCAAAAGCTCGGGGTGATCGCTTCGCGGCCTCCCAAACGCAGTGTCGATAATTGACACTGAGATACCCACCTCTATTCAGGAGCGTTCGATGACGGTTGATATAATCAAAAAGTTATGCCCGATCGAAATGGAGTTTTTGTGTGAACCAGTTATACAGACGCGGGTGCGATTTCGGTCGGTATCAGAAGATCAAGCCAGGCCGATGGGTGAGCGGACGCTGTTGGCCAAGGCTCTGTCGACAAGCGGGGACAGGATCGACTCAAATTGGTTTGCTTCGTTCGCAGGTTTGGCGGCGAGGCCTTCCCACCAAAAATATTCTTCAAAATATACACAAAGGGCCGGAATGTTCACTACTTTAGCGGTGGAAGGCTCATTATCCCGGGGTCGCAGGCGGCGGTTGATGCCTGCAGGGTCATGGGCAACCGACTCTTTGTCGAAAATCGCGTCGCCGAAGATCTCGAGGCCAAAGGACTGCACGTCCCAGAGGCCATTGATGTCACCAACAAAATGGAATACGTCCAGGTAAGACTCTGAAGATGCAGTGGTCTACAATGCTGTCAATGCTGTCAATGCTGCAAATGCTGCAAATGGTCCAGGGAGTGCTTGGTCAACGGGCAGCTTGCCGGAGGCATCACCGATTTTGCATTCATCTCTTAACGTGCCCGCTGTCGATATCAATTCCTAGTTCCTGAACACCTTGGATCATAAGCCTGCATTCTTGGGAGGACGCAACAATGAATGGCGCGAGCTTCCGAACCTTCGTATGTATCTGTCCAACGTCGAATATAAGCCGTCCCAGACCCACGGAGTCTGCCGGCAGAATGAGCTTCATGCATCCTTTCAGGCCTCTACTGTCGATCGAATGCTTGCTACAGCCATCTTTGATCATTTAGCGCCGTGTTACTGAGAAACCCTTTGGCGATTTGTTCCAACTGTGATTGATCGATGCGACTGACCGATACACTCGATCGATGCGACTGACTGATACGCCCGATCGATGCGTTTGAAGCATTTTCAAATCAGATTGTGATGTACGATATGATTCTCAAGCGCCCGTACAACCCCAAATCCGGCTCGCGGAAATCGAGTGCAGCATCGTCTGTACCCAATATCATGCACCAGATAACTGATCCCAACGACGAAAATGCTCAGATATCTATATTGATACCGACAAAGAAACCACCGTAGGTTCTATTTTCTGTTGTTGTTGGCTGGCAAGACAGCAACTGCATCGATTAGATGGCTGGGTTGATGCTCTCGCGTCACCAGCTTAAACTAATCTGCAGCGCCGGAGGATACCATCGTGATGTGATGGTTGAAAATCCATCGAGCGACGGGATTAACCACTGCCAATGCCGGTTCATTCTCGCTGAACGATGATAGTAAACCCTCGCCCACGGTAAAGAAGGTGCAGCAAACCCGCAAGCTCCGACGACTTCGAGAAGCGTACGGTCTTGGACAGGCTGATGGCGCGGCTCATGTGCATGTCCATGCCCATGCGCTCCACGACTTTGAGATCGATGACGACTTTGATAACTTGTTTGATTGGACAACCGAGCTCGACGCCGAGGGCTTGAAAGACAACGTCAACGACTACACGCTCTTCACGGAAGCCACAAACTAGAGCAGCGGGCGACACTCATTTGGGCGGCACCTCGGCGCTGAAAGTCAGCAAGGAGTGACCACCGTGCGCTCAGGAGATTCCGGATGGGCTTTCCAGAGAATGCATGTGTTGTCTTTTGAGCCTGAATTATGCACCAAACACGAGCGATAATTCGATGAGCCGCCACTCGAGTTTTATCTGGTCTTGTAACGTCCACTACTGGGACGTTGGGGCAAGACGGGGAGGGAGGGGGTACAAGACAAGACAGGACGGGGCAGAACAGGGCGGTGCTAGGCTACTCTAGCGGACGGGTGAGCTCGGGGAGCACTTACGTTTATTCACGATAAAACCGAACTCCAGACAAACGGGGGGAACGGGGGCAACCCGCAGGTATACCCTGCGGTGGCCTGCCTGCGGTGCGTGAAAACGCAAAGCGCAGCACAGGTCACGACCCACTGCGCCGCGCAGTACGCGCAGTACGCGCAGCACAGCGTCGGAGATACCATCTCCTACACTCCCACACTTAAGAAGGCTTCCTGCGAGGAGCCCTGCGTGTGCTCTTTATTTGGGGCTCCTCGAGGTGTTTACCGTATTTACTCAGCTCCTCGGGTGCATGGGACAAGTCCTCCAGTGTTTGCCATGTGTTGCCCGAGTGTGGGTAACCAACCCACTTGACATAAAACCGAAGTGACCCATCAGCCACTTTCTTGTGCCTCACGATCCTTTCGACTTCATATTCTTGAGTATAGTATTGTCCGAGGTCGTCTTCCAGTGGTGCGTCGTCCGGGACACCTTCGTCGGCGTCGGGGAACTGTGCTGGACTGCGGGTCGTGTGGCGACGCAGCTTGGACACATGGAAGACAGGATGGAGCTTGCTTCCAGGTGGCAAGTCCAACAGGTAGTTGAGGGGACTGGGTCGGGCCGCTATCTTGAACGGTCCTCGGTACTTGGGCAACAACTTCTTTGACTGGGCTTCGGGGACCTTGATGTTGTCGGCGTCCAGGTAGACAAGGTCTCCAACTTCAAAGGAGACATCCTGGTGTCGGCGGTCGTAGTACTTCGCCATCACTTGTTGCGCATCCGTGAGCGCGTCGGCGATCATCTTGTGTCGGACTTGATGATCTTTGACAAAGGCACTTGGTTTGGGAGGCAATCCAGCCGTGGACTCGGTCAGTGTCAAGGAGGTGGGAACATCAGGCTGGAATCCGTAGAGCGCCTCAAAGGGGCTCAAGCCAGTTGTGCTCGACTTGGCGGTGTTGTATGCAAACTCTGCATGACTCAGCTGTATGTCCCAGTCGTCTTGGCTGGTCGAGGCGTATGTCCTCAGGTATTGCTCGAGGGTGCGGATCGTCCGCTCGGACTGTCCATCCGTTTGTTGGTGGTGCGAGGTTGACATGTTCAGCTTGGTGCCGAGATGGTCGAACAGACTTGTCCAAAACAAGGAGGTGAATCGGGGGTCTCGATCACTGACGATGGACTTTGGGAGGCCGTGGTGCTTGAACACATGCTTGAAGAACAGCAGTGCAAGGTCAGGCGCGGAGCATGTCGTCTGGCACGGCACAAAGTGTGCCATCTTGCTGAACCTGTCGACAAAGACAGCGATTGCATCGTGGTCCAACTTGGTCGTCGGTAGATGCGTGATGAGATCCATGGACATGCTGGTCCAGGGGCGGTCGGGAACAGGCAGGGGTTGCAGCAATCCTTGCTCTCGGGTCGTGCGTGACTTGACCATCTTGCAGGTATGGCAGGACTCGATGTACTTCTCGACGGTGCGCTTCATTCCAGGCCAGTATGCGACTTTGGCCAGTCGGTCGTATGTCTTCTCGACTCCAAAGTGTCCAGCGAGGGGCGAGTCGTGGACCTCTTGGAGCAACTTGGTCTTCAACGACGGAATGTCCGGCACACAGACACGGCTGTCCTTCTTCAGGAGGAGCAGGCCATCACGCACTGTGTACTCGGATGATTCGTCGTCCTTGGGGAGCTTAGACACCTTTCGGAACAGTTCTCCGAACTGTTTGTCGTTGGCGATGTTGTCTCGGACAACATCCAGCATCGTGTTGTCGACACTGACAGTCGACTCGTACAGTGACGCCAATTGGTAGTCGGGGCGTCGGGACAGTGCGTCAGGCACCACATTGAGTTTGCCTTTCTGGTATACAACCTCGTAGTTGTACTCGGCGAGGAACTCCATCCATCGCGCTTGGCGTCGGCTCAGGTTCTTCTTGGTGTCGAGGTAACGCAGTGACTGGTGGTCCGTCACAATCTTGAAGGGCTTGGCGGTACCGTGGAGGTACACTCGGAACTTCTGCAGCGCGTAGATGATCGCAAGCTGCTCCTTCTCGTGCACGGGATAGTTGATCTCGTGTTGGGACAGTTTGCGCGACTCGAAGGCAACGGGCCTTCCCTCCTGCATCAAAACAGCTCCCACCGCAAAGTCGGAGGCGTCGGTGTGCACGGAGACATCCGTGTTCGGGTCGAACACAGCGAGGACAGGAGCGTTCGTCAAGGCGTGCTTGAGGGTCTCGAACGCTTGGCGTTGTGGGTGGTCCCACACGAAGGGGCACTCTTTGCGGAGTAGGTCTGTGAGTGGACCGGCAGTGCGCGCCAGATCGGGGATGAATCGGCGGTAGTAGTTGACGAGACCGAGAAACGACTGCACGTCAGAGACGCATGCGAGCGGCGGCCACTCGACCACAGACTTGACCTTGGCGGGGTCGACTTCGATTCCTCTTCCTGAGACAACGTGTCCCAGGAACGGGACTTGATTCTTGAAGAACTCACACTTGGACAGTTTGGCATACAACTTGTGCTCGCGTAGCTTGGCCAGCACGCGGGCGACATGACCTTCATGGGTCGCTTCATCCTTGCTGTACACAAGGATATCATCCAGGTACACGATGACAGAGTTGTCGAGCTCTTGGCGGAACACATCGTTCATCAGCTGCATGAACGTGGCAGGTGCGTTCGTCAATCCGAACGGCAGCACTAGGAACTCGTACAGTCCGTAGCGAGTCCTGAAGGCGGTCTTGTGGACATCATCCTCGTGGATGCGGATCTGATGGTAGCCTGAGCGGAGGTCTATCTTGCTAAAGACCTTTGCTCCACTCAGACGATCCATCAACTCGTCGATCCTGGGCAACGGGTAGGTGTTCTTGATGGTCTGTTTGTTTAGTGCGCGATAGTCGACGCACATCCTGAGATCACCTTCTTTCTTCTTGACAAAGAGCACTGGTGCACCATACGGTGACTGGCTCGGGCGGATGAACCCATGGGCGAGGAGGTCATCCAACTGGCGCTTGAGTTCGTCCATCTCCGTCAGCGACAGTTGGTACGTCGGTCTTGACGGAGGCGACGAGCCTGGTTCGATGTCGATGCGATGATCGACGGTGCGTTGGGGTGGCAGGCATTGTGGCAACTGGTCGGGGAATACGTCCTTGTACTCGTCGAGCAGCTTGGTCACCACAGGCGGGGGACCGGGACCGGCTTGGTCGGTGTCGTCGACCTCACGCACGACACAGAGGAACGACGTGTCCTTCTTGATCAGCCTCTTGAATTGCATGGCTGAGAGGAGAGGTGGCATGTTGGGTGAGGCCATGCCCTGCAGGACAATGTCAGGGCCAACACGGACAGTGCGGCCTTTCCAGTCGACGACTGGAGTCGGCTCGGCACGAGCAAGCCAGCTCATGCCGAGGATGGCATCGAACTTGGTGTCGATCACTTGGAACAACAGGACAGGATGGTACTTGGGATGGAGGGCCACTCGCAGGACCACTTGGTGTGTGCACTGCTGCACACGATCGTCTGCAAGCGCCACACTCATCGGCGACTTCTTCTTGGTTGCATGTATGTTGAGCTCCTGGAGCAAGCGTCTGCTGACAAAGTTGCAGCTTGCTCCAGAGTCCACCATCATTCGGACGGTGTGACCTTGGACGGTGGCAGGGAGGTACAGCAGGGACTCTTCATGGTCCTCCTGCACAGCCTCCTGCACCATGACTTGACTTGGGGGAACGGGCGACACTTGGTCTTGGTTGGCTTCATCACGGCCACTCGGACATTTTGGATAGGGTTCGGCCATTGCGGGGGCCTGCGGCGTCAGCACGCCATTGCACACGACGTCCACGGCTTGCGGACACATGTCGGAAGCATCCGACACACACGACTTGACAGGGGTGAGGGCACAGGCGGTCCTGTCCCTCAAGGGTTCTTGATTTTCTTTTTTGTTTTGGTTTTCAATTTTGGTTTTCTCTTCACGTTCGTGGAGAGGCAGGCGGCTTGCGCCACCATGCACCTCTCGCACGACGCACAACACTTGGTTTGTTTCTCCTTCGGGGGAGGGGGCGAGGTGAACTTCCTCTGGAGACGCGTGGACTGCATTGAGCAATCCACGGCGTTGGTCTCCTACTAGGGCTCCAGAGCCACCTAGTAGGGTCGGCCGTTTCCCGACTTCATGGGGCACTCCTTGGCCTGGTGTCCCGGTCGGTGACAGAAGAAGCAGGAACCATGGCGGAGGTCCTCCTGCTTCTGTCTGTCCTTGGGGGAGACAGTGGCAGCTTGCTGGAACCGGGAGCGGGGAGGGCCACGAGCCTCCATGGCGTTGACGTCAACGTCCATGGGCTCAGGCATGGGTCTTGCGGGCGGGGCCGGGCGAGGCGGACGGGCTGGGACGTGATGAGACCGATGGCCGCCTGCCAGCTGCGGGTAGAACTGGCGGCCATGGTACTGGACGTTGTCGAGGTTCTCGGCAACGTCCATCATCACGTCCAGGGACTTGCGGGCATCAGGGTTGCTGGCGATGTACTCTCTGATCTTGGGCTTGAGGCCCTTCTGGAAGAGGTACATCGCATCAGCAGAGCCCAGCTCCTCAATCTGGGAGGAGAGGTCTTCAAACTCCTCGATGTAGCGGGTCACAGAACCACGCTGCACGAGAGAGTATAGCTTGTCACGGGCAATGAGTTCAGCATTGGGGCTGCCGAAGCGGCGACGGAGGCGGTCCTTGAAGTCGTCAAACACACCTTCGCTCTGCTCGTCGAACCCTTGGCGGCGGTACCAACGGTACGCCTGGTCCTTTAAGCAGAGCTTGGCGGCGACGATGTGGTGGGTGGGGGCGACTTGGGCAGCATCGAGGTAGTCCTCGAGTTGCTGCAGCCAGTCCTCCACCGAGGAGGAGCGGCTCTTCCCAGTAAACACTGGGGCACGGAAGGTCTTGAGGAAGGCTTCCGGAAGTGGGCGGGGGTTGCTCATGGCAGGGGCAGGCTCCAGGGACAGAGAGGAGAGTCGGTCGGCAAGAGAGGCGGGATCCAGCTTGAGGATCTAGAAAGAGGACAAACAGGACGAAAACAAGACGAGGATTTCCGATGCTACCATGTAACGTCCACTACTGGGACGTTGGGGCAAGACGGGGAGGGAGGGGGTACAAGACAAGACAGGACGGGGCAGAACAGGGCGGTGCTAGGCTACTCTAGCGGACGGGTGAGCTCGGGGAGCACTTACGTTTATTCACGATAAAACCGAACTCCAGACAAACGGGGGGAACGGGGGCAACCCGCAGGTATACCCTGCGGTGGCCTGCCTGCGGTGCGTGAAAACGCAAAGCGCAGCACAGGTCACGACCCACTGCGCCGCGCAGTACGCGCAGTACGCGCAGCACAGCGTCGGAGATACCATCTCCTACAGGTCTCCACAAAGTTGGATGGCACAGCCGCTCACCTGTCAGTATGAGATCGCTCTCGTAGTTGAATACCCCGCCGAATATTTCGTCGGTGTGGCCATCTAGCGTCTATCGGTGGCGGCGTATCAGCTCGAGTGCAGCTCTCCAGTCAAGCGCGCAGGACTGTGTTCAAGTATCCTTTAGCAATCAATTGATCGGTAGAGCTTGGGTGCCTTGAAGACCGTTCGCTCTTACCTGCACACAGGCACCAGAAGAAGCGTCCCACAGCTTTGCCACTCTGTCTCTCGAGGAGGTGAGGAGCATTGATCCCTGCGAGTTAAAGCTGATCTGGACACACTCATGCGCGTGGGTAATTTGAATAGCAACGGTGTTGCAAGACTACTCTGTCCACCAACCCACCTTGGTGATTTCGCCGTGATGGCCCTCCATGATGTGGTTGCAATCAAACGTTGTGGAGTCGTACACTCTTGCCGTTTGATCCGCAGACGCCGTGGCAATCTTGGATCCGTCAAGGCTGAAACATACATCGAAGACCTCGTCCGAGTGATCTCTGTTGCACATCAATCTTCGGTTATAGAAACCAATGATATGTAGCGAAGACGTCGTGTCCGTGTGCTTACCGTAGAGTCGCCAGTGCTGTTCCAGTTAATACGTCCCAAACCCGGGCCGTGCCATCCATCGACCCGGTGAGAACCTTGGATGACTGGTAGTTGAAGTGAGCCCCCGAAATCTCGGCACGATGTCCAATCAGAGTGTGTATGTTTCTGAAGCCGAACTATTAGGTCAGGGTGATTTGATCGGGTGACTGTCTTGCTTCATGGCAAAGCACCGAAGCACCGGTGCTCCTGTATCGTGGCCTACCTCGTCATTCGAATATCCCAGATGTTTACCGTGGCATCGAACGATCCGGTCAGGAACAAATCGCTGTGCGCATTGAATTCGAGACATATCACTTCTGCAGAGTGGCCCTGCGGAGACAGTGGGTCAAGTTAGAGTGCAGGTCGGGGAGGGAACTTGGCTTGGACAAGAAATATCGTCAAGCCGAGCTCCCATTACCTTGAACTTGCATATCTCGTTCCCGGAACGGAGATCCCATATGATTGCGGTATTGTCCATGCTTCCGGTAGCCACGATCGAGCTTTGAGGGTTGAATCCCAAGCAAACAATCTCTCGACTGTGCCCCTTGAGTGTGTGCAAACACTTTGATGTTTCGACGCTCCATAGCTGTGCATGGGCTCAATCGAGCGAAGAATGCCGCCAGTCGGGTCCGCTGTCAATCCTAGTGATACCAGATTTCCAATTCCATCTTGCCATTACACATGATAGGCGAGCGAGCGACGAGCATACAAGCAGACAAACAGAGAGTGGCGCAAGACGCAAACCTTGCATGTCTTATCGAATGAACCGGTCAAGACTTTATCCCTGGAATCAAACAGGCATCAGTGCACGACAAGACACAAAGCAACAGACAACGGCGTCGTGAATATCGTACCCAAATGGATTGTTGAATGTCATGGCGTAGACGACATTTTTATGGCCTTCTAGTGTGGCTAGCTCCCTCCCCAAATCCGAGTCCCATATCTTGCATGATCTATCGTAGCTTCCAGTAAGAAATCTGGAACCGCCCGTGGAGGTAACGTCAGCGGAGCCTTAGGCATGAGTATGACGGTGTGTCGAGAGGCACAGCACCTATCGCCAGACTTGTTGAAGGCGCAGTTTGTAAGCGGCATGCTATGTGTGGTCTTCTGGTAGCACTTTTGGAACAGCTGGGGTCGAGAAGCTGTTTGCAGTTTCTCAGAGAGCTCTGAGTGCGAATGGAGGGTCAGTTGCCAGCGCGATCACGAGCCAAATGGTGCCCGGGATGTGCTTGGGCCCTCTTACTTTTGAGCAATATCACAACTTTGTCTGTCTTGGAGTCTGGGATCATGGGTTCGGATATAACAAGCTTCCGTGCGAGGCTCTCCAAATCGATTGCACTGCGGCATGAGGGAACACCGTCGTGGGATATGGTCGGAGTGGCAGTTGGCAACAAGGCGATACCGACGAAGATCAGTGACACAGATGATCGCCGACAAAGATATCCGTTCAGAGTCCGTCAGTCCTCGGACGCGACGCATTGACCCGATGCATTCGTCGGATACGATCACAATATCTCGTCCCATTTGCACGGAATGAGCAGGGCGTACTCAGAAGGATCCTCGGATCGGCACACGAGCTCGGCTGCGGAGACGTCGACAACTTTCGTTTTGATGCTTGACTGATGCTCGTATTCGAGTATGATCCCTAGCACCACACCCGCCAGATGGATGTTGACGCTGTGTGAGAAGCCAGCCACATCCAAAAGCCCGTTCGTCACGCACTCAATGCTGCTTCGTCCGAATATGGCAGGCAGCACCCGAGCCCATGATGCATGTTCCATTATATACCCGGTGGATAGTATCGCAGGAGGAGCTTCCTTAAATGCGCTGTGTTTTTTTGGACCATCCTGTATCGACGACCGCTCCTACCAAAGGACGGCAGCGGTCTTGCGGACAACAGGCCCAAGTCAACGGCGGGCTGGCCGCACGGTGGCCGCTTCGTGGCCGCTTGGTCTCTCGGCGAGGAGAGAACGCGCTCGCCCCCCGGCGAGATGAGTGCATCCCACGTGATCGTGGCGTGGAACATCCCGGTTTCTGTTGGCTGCTCGCCATCCGCGATGATCGCCCTCACTTGATCAACATCGCCGAGCGATTGCAACAGAAGCAAAAATGTTTCACCCTACTCGCGGAGGGAACAGAGGAGGCCAGGTTCGCGCTCTGTTGAGATCAGGATCCGATGGGTTTGTTCGTGGCGAGCAGCTGGGTCGGGCTTGAGCTGACCGTTCGTTTCTTGTGGCCAACAGGGATTATTCAAGTGGGATAGTAAGTATACGGCGGCTGCACCTTCAGATTCGGAGCCAGCCCAGTGCATCGACAGAATCATTGGACTGAATCCGCAAACGTATTCGCCCTGAAATCGGTGCTCCACTGTGTTGCGGCACTCAGGTGTCAAGGATGACAAGGTTCGTCCCTGGGTTGTGGCTGGATGACAGTATCCGCTCCGAGTTAGAGAGAGCGCCGAAGCACATCCGGCTGCAGCGCAGCCCGAGACTAATGAATCTCATGTTGGTGTATGTTCGCCATAGCATCGCGAAAATTATCTGGGACACTCCCTCATGGCGCCCGTTGGACGATGGCAAAAGGTTGGACCAGTCTGCCGAGCGATCAACAAGCTGGAATTCCCGCTATTGTTATCTATCCTCCATCAGCCCGAACTTGGCCTTGTCGGCTGGCCGGTGCCGCTGTCTCTGGTGCCGCGGTCTATGATGTCGCTGTCTATGGTGTCGCTGTCTATGGTGTCGCTGTCTATGGTGCCTGATGTGGCCACAGTAAGCTTTTGCCGAGCCGTCTTCTATGGCAATCTGACTCCGCATTGCCTTCCTCCTCTTTCATCCCATGCAACTGGGAATGCGGGCCGATCATCAGGATAAGGATTTAACGTGGTATGATAAGAAGCAAAACGCCGACGCTAGCGATAATATCAACCGGGAGCTCCAAAGCATCCGAGAACTTGAGGCCGAGGCCATGGCGGAGGCATTAGGCTATGGCGGGCCCAAGCGTCGGCTTCAAAGTGGCGGTGTTAGCAAGGACGAGCTCAAGAATGCGATGAAGGGCGTCGATATTGAAGTGCCCGAAGCCGGCGCCGGTACGGGCGAGCGCAAGGGTCTCGGATATGACAAGTAGGTTGGGACAACCTTGCTGGCCAGCCGAAGCGGGGCCATGAATCGATCAAAGGAGGCCATGACGATCGTCAGCATTGGATCGTGCCTGGACAAAGCATCTGACCGAGTCAACCTCCTTGACCCCTACAGATCATCGCTGGCAATATCAGCACCACAAGATGGGGATTGTTCGGCGCCGAACGGAGAAGGGCCCGTGGCGGCTATAGATAATGTCCGGAATGACGTCCGGAATGATGCCCGGAATGATGCGAGCCCAGGCAATAACCACCAAGAGCAAATAGGCGACAATCTCCCATCAAAGCGGACGAAGGAAAAGAAGCACAAAAAAGAGAGGAAGCACAAAAAGGACAAGAAACGCAAGTCCAAGACACGCAGTCGATCCCGCTCTCGCTCCGGCTCGCCATCCCGGTCGCGGTCTCGCTCTCGCTCTCGATCGCCAGCCCCAAGGGGTCATCGCAGAGATCGGTCGCCATCGCCTGGGCGAGACTCTCGTCGCAAGCACCAGGATATGGCCGAGCGTGGCGCCCAAACCCCGGGTCGTGTTAGTGCCAATGACAGGTACAGCGAGCAGCGATCCCGAGACAGGCGAGATCTCGGAGACAAAGATCGCCGCAGCGAGTACGACCAAAGAAGGCATCGTGGCGGAAGAGAGCGTCGTTGACAGGTGCCCGCGGATGGTCTTGATCAATAGTCATCTGGGAAATATCGGAGACATGGTTTGATGAAACCAGGCGTCAGATGCCTTCGGAAGCATACTCGCCCACCCCCAAGTCAGCCTATGAGACAGCAGACATGATCGGACATGATAGGACATGATAGGACAGGACATCATGCTGGTTGAGAGGCAACCGCGCTGCTCAGACACATAATACATCATATGGCGCTCACCGTCATCGTCGCCCTGATCATGACCCCAGGCATGTGACTCGTGTTCATAGTCGCTGTATTCTTCATCGGACCAGATCTCGCTGTCATCTTCATCCGGATAGTCGTTAGCGCAGTAGTCTTCCGCTGGGAAAAGCAAAGCCGTATGAAATTAGACCGTGGGTCGATCTGAATCGACTCCATCTGAATCGACTCCATCGGATATTCCTGTCATCGTGTTGGTGTATACAGTTTCCCCGCCCCGTATGACAGAAGATTGCTTCGATGGATTGGATGCATCGAGCGGCCGCGCGGTGTTTCCATCGTTACCATTGGAGTCCTCATCGCCATAGTCGTCCGAGTTGTCCTCGTCATCATCATCAAATATCAGCGCATCATGGGGCTGATCCCATTCGCTGGAAAACATGGTCAAACACACCCAAGTCAGCGGTATCGGGTGATCGATTCAACTGCCCATTGATCGACAATGTAGCCTCCTTTGGCCATGCATCAAACTTGCGACTTACACTGTGGCAACCGATCCGCCTATCGCTGGCTTGAGGGTGTGGTCGGCATAGTATATGTCGTATACGTATTCGTCCTCTGCGGGTGCACCGGACACTGGGTCGCAAAAGCACAATGCAAATAGGTCAATCGCTGTTTTCGCCTCCAAATTTCGGCTGGACGTTGAGCCGACTCCGACCGTGCTCACCCTTGAGATACTCTCGGACCATCGGCATGAGATTGCACATGATTTGATCCTCGGTGGACCCATTGGTGTCTTGCTCAGTCTCTTGTTCCTGGTCTGGCCTGCTTCCAGGCGGGACGAGTGTGTCAGCCGTAGATCGGAACGACGCTGCTGCACTTCACCACATCAAAGTTGCGGCGTTTCATTTCTGCTGTAAATGATGAATAGCCCCGCTTTTCTTCCACGATCCTTCGACCACCGGAGAGGAAACCTACTCTGGCGTGTCAGCCTTCAGATCGACGATCTGCAAAGGTGAGATCCGTCATAGCTTCAGCAACTTTGTGCGCACCATTCCGATCGCACATCCATCGGTTGATTCCGCCAGCTCGCTCAATATGGCGCACATCGACATCTGACACTTTGGGGGGGGGTGGCTAAATACCTCGCAAGAAAACTCGCTTTCGTCAATCATTCGGTTTCGGGCCATGACTCGATATCGTGCTTGTCTAGACTCTTGCTGTTCAACCAGACACCAAGGTGCATCCGTGTCAGCCAGTGGCCGACAGATCGCATTGGTGACGATCCATAATAACTCGAGGGCCAGCTTGGTGGCCTTTGCATGCAATCTCTCAACCGAAATGATCCAAACCGACCAGGTACGTTGCCAGCATGTCCTTCTTGAGCGAAGAGTCTGGTGGACACATGATTTTGGACGACTTTTTCGGCAGTAGCTTCCTCTTGGCAAAAACCTCCTGAGGTGGCATATTCGCGATTAGTCGAATGTCCACAAGGGCAACAGCATCGTTGTTGGCAACATCACAGCAACAAGAGTAGCTTGGAGGGCAAGGACGGGTCCGGTAAGCCATCCAGCCAGCGCACCTTGAGTCGAGCAGGCCTATCTCCTTGGTCGTATTCCTGGATCTCCAGCGTGGTGGCGAGGTGGAATATCTGCTCATGTGTTTCTGGACCGACAATACAGCGACAAGAGGCAACGATCAGCGACTTGGCATGCAGAACACAGGGCCCACCAATGACACCTCGAGACGAACCTTCTCCGAGCTTTTGTTTCTTCTCCAGGGCGCTGTTGGTGTTATTGATCACTGGCGGCATTTGGAGCAATCCCAAGCCGCAACATGAGGGAGGAGAACGCTTCATAAGCCAAGTGATTGGATCGGTCAAGGCACTCAGAGGCCCACGATGTCGGAGAGCCGATCGGATGTGTCTGGCCGCTGCAATCGGCCGGGCAACTGGCGGCAAATGGCATCCACCCAAGGGAACTAACCCAGGGCATCGACCGGATCTTCATTGCGCTTTCGCTTGATGCGGATAAATGTTACAGGCTGGGCCGTCATGATGGGATGCTGCTGGTACACAGGACTCGAGGGGCGATGGAGGGCAAGATGGGGATGATGGCCGCGGCTGCCTCATCCATGATCGGCTGTGGTTGTGCTCACGGGATCCGAAGGCGCCTGTTTGCTTCTCGGCGAGAGTGACTCGCGTGGGCAGAGGCTCTCGCCGAGAACCACCTCCGACATGAAGGACGGCTGACATGCGGGTGACTGGGCACTCCCGCCTGCGACCCATGTATTGGCTAAAGCTGCATGGCCTGCTGGCATATTCCACAGATCGTTCCACGCAGCCGCACAATCTTGTGCACAAGCAAGGCTTCGTCCTCGCTCACAGGTCCAAACACTCGATCATCGTCCGGGATGCTGCCGGCGGAACGGCCGAGGCCCAGGTACTGCCGCAGCTTTTCATTCGAGTTGAAGCCCTCAAGGCAGTGTGCGAGTGCTTCGGCAGCCTCTTGGATTTGCAAGTGCCCCAGAGCCTCGCAACTTGAGTTGCAGGCTTCGGATGCGACCTGGGCTGTCGTCGCCCTGTTGCCCGCTCCGAGGCTGCCTGTGTCCAGTACGATCAAGCCTTCGTGATGATCCGTGGCTTGAGTCCGGTCACCCCCAACAGCTTTGTGGGCCGCTTCCGGCTCAGACTCATGGATTTGTGGCACTTGCTTTGGCATCGACTCGTCTTCAAACCGCGCGAGGATATGGTGAAAGTTGAAGAGTGCCTGCTCCATCTCCTCGAGGAGACCAACCAGAGTTTGGTCAACCAGAGGCGTAGCCGACAGCACTTCCGATACACCCGCTGTAGCATTCGCCCGGAGTTGATCTTGAGACTCGTGCAGTCGATTGAGCTCAGAATCCGATTTCGTGCCGCCTCTCCGTGGCCCTGGCGAGGCATATCCGTTGTCACACGGTCGAGTATCGCCACTGTTGCACGATTGATCGTGTAGCTCGGAAATATGCATCGGACGCCTGTCATGATCCATCTCTGTCGGTACTATAGAAGGCCCTTGCTGCATTGGAGGAGGAGGACCTGGCGACAAAACGCCGCTCGTCACAAATGGATCAGCAGGAATCGCATGGGTGGCCTCAAAGAGAACATCGGCCGATGCTTGGACAGGCTTGGATGTTGGAGAGCCATCAAAGCCGGATGACACGTCAGAGCCGCCCAGCTCTGAATGACAGGCAGGGGGACTGGCATTGTGCTCTGTCGCTGTGCGCTCGACACCGCACTCATCGGGGCTCTCCTGCGGCAAAGTCGCTGACTTGATTCGGAAAAGATCGGGAACTTGAATTCGGGTGCGAGGATGTGAATCCCGGTCCATGGAGCTGGTTTCGCCTTTGAAATTGGGGAAACCTGAAGTGCGTGAGTGCCGCTTCGGCGCGCTAGCTTGAGCGCTGGGACTCGGACCGACTTCTGTGACCATGCTGGGATTGGGCGCGGCTCTTGATGCTGATAGCTGGCCCATTAGCTTAGCCTCAAGCGTTTTGATTCTCATCCGCAGGTATTCATTTTCTTCCCTCAGCCCAGCGCTGCTGTGGCTACTTGGACTGGGAGCGGATCGTCCGCTGAGCGCTTTGCTATGATGGCTGATTTCAGCTTCTCTTAGTGCTTTGTCCTGCGATGGCTCGCCCTGTTCGCTGTGGCGGCATGTTCGTTGCATATCATCCTTCAGAGCGCTTTCTCGGGAGCTTCCCGAAGAGCACACTCTCGCCACCTGTGGATTGGCGTCTTGGGTTACGACCGGCGACATATGGGCGGTGCCAGACAGTGAGTGCCACATCGACGCTATCCCGAGATTGTCGGTGTGTTGATGCATCTCAGCACTGCTTGCTACTGTTGTGGTGGCATACTGCCACCGTATTGAAGGCAGGGCAATGGACTCGTTCTCGCGATTGAAACCATGATCGACCCGTTGCGACGCCTTTCTTTTGCGGTCCGTCTGCGTCGGTCGGGGAGGATGTGCAAGGCGGGTCATCGACGTCGATCGGGCCGAGGAGCCCGGATCCATGGTCCATCTGGATCCCGTATGAAAATGCAAGGGTGCACTTGGGCGGCTTGGGTGGCAATCTGAGCCAGTGCGTCTGGAGCGAGGCTGAGTGGATGTGTATGTGCTATCCTTTGCGTTCGTTCCGGAAGGAGATTCACCCGGCTTGGACGATCGAGTCGCAGCTACAGAGAAGACACGCTTGCGAATCGATGAGCTAGTCGGGTAATGGTGCTTGCGGGTGACATCGGACACGGGTATGCGGAACGTATCCTTGAGCGGGCGGTGCCCATCGAGCCACTGAAGATCTGGATCCTCTGACTGCACAGCAATTTCAACAACAGTAGTCATCTGTGAGTTGGATACAGTATCGATGCACCGTTGTGGCTCTCGAGACTATATGGACGTGGACGAGCCATTGATTGGTGCTGCACTCGCTCTCGAATATCCCATCAGCGTTACCGACCGCAAAGGCAAACGAACGTATCTGGCCGTTCTTTGGTCGAGTCTTTTGAAGCGACACATTGACCTCAAGCGAGTCACAGATGACTTTCCAAAGTATCGGGTCTACTCAGAATATTGATAGAAACGGAGACATGCTTTCGAAATCAGCACTGAGTTGGGCTCATCAAACTCTCGTCGGCAGAGCTGGATCTTACCAACATTGTTGTTTCGTAAATCAACGATAATGATCTCTTGGTTCAAGAGGAGAACTTGTTCAACGATGCGGCCGCCTACCGCCGTGATATTGTTGAACTGCAGATCCAAAGCTTCCATGCCAATGTGCAGCCGTGAAAACCATCATGAGTCCAACCACTAGCGTCCAGGGATGTGCGAAGCGAATATGCCTGCGACTTTGGGCCAAAGTGGGTGGACAAAGCATTTACCCGTTTCCGAAGAGCATGGAAATACCACCGGACCTACCAAGCAGCCCGATTTCCTCTCTCAGGGACTCCATCAGGCAGTCCACACCACGGTCCTGAATCATATTGTTGCACAGGTTCAGTCGCTTGAGCGGAATTGGATGGTCACGCTGGATTTGTTTTTGAAGCTCGAGAAGATCATGGTCACTTGCACGCAGCGTCATCCACCACTGCGCTGCTTGCCGTCGAACTGCCTGGTTCTGCATAGAGCCAAAGAGTGTGAGCGACCCTCATGGAACAGGATGCCGCTTGACGAGTGCAAAATGAATCGAGCCGGCGCTTCGCTGCTGCTGGACGGCAGCAATGCCACCAAATGGCTTTACCTTCAAGAACTCGGCCAAGATCGAAGCCCCTCGCTCGGTAATTCGGCATGCTGCAAGAATCAGGGTCGTGAGTACACGCGAGCCTTTGATGGACGGCGCCAGAAGAGCCACGCCTTCATCACCGATACTGCATCGGGCCAGCGACAGCGACTTGATTGTGTTGTTGTTTTCCAGGCCCTGGTGACAGAAAGAGCTCAGTTAATGAGCCACACTGCGGAGCCGTTGCCAAGGGCTGGACGGCATGTTGGGAGACCGTGGCGCCCCGCAATCGTACCTGTGCTAGCATCCTGAGGGCCGATGGCATAAGATAGACCCCGGCAAAGTCGAGATGTGTGATCACTTTGTTTTGGGATAGGCATCTGGCGATACATCTGGACAGTGCGTTGTTGGCCACGGTAATTATATCACACACATGAGCAACCACCGATCCACCCGAGTGCGACGCCCTCGATTCACAACAAGCAGCGGCTCAGCGTCATCAAACCCACCGACAGAGGTTGACGTGAATCTTGCCATCCAGAAGAATTGCAGGCTTGAGCCTCGCGGAATCTCTCTCCCTAGAGACCTTGTTTGGCCCAGCAGGCCCAGGTCCTGAGACGATTGGATACCTGCTGCGAAAGCCCCCCGGCTGACACGAGCTTGACCAAGAGCTCGCCGGTCTGTGGGTGCCCTCTTGTGGCTGGGAATGGGTGCTATGAATAGCCATGACCGAGCGAGGGTCCTCGCCACCGTGATTTGAAAAGACCTTGATGCCAAGCAGATCGGTGTTGGCCTTGAACGCTTGCATTAGCGGAAGCCAGTCCTCGGCACGCTTGATGCGATCTGCATCCAAAATCAGAGTATTGAATCGCTCAAGGTGGGGTGACATGACATCCGAGAGCACCGGAAGTGACTTCTCAACAGCGCTGCGGAAATACACTCTGATGGCAGATTGTAATTGGGGGGGGGCGGAGAGAAGACGAACGACAACGCCTGTAGTCTCAGCATCTGCCTCATTATATGGCTGCAACAGCGGTCTCGGCAGCCGCGACGCGTCGGGTCAGGAGTTTCATGGAAGGCTTCGGATATCAGGGCGATGGCTCGGCATGGCCCCAGCAGGCGTCATGAGGGAAGCGGCCAGCATTACCTCCCAAACTGGGTCGACCCGCCTTTATCGAGAATTCGGTGTCGATGGCAAGTTGTTGTCATGGTATCGGGGCGTGTGGAGCGGTCGCAGGACGAAGGGATGGAGGACGGAGGGGCGTGGTCATCAGCCTGGTTTTGCTCTCGGTCGTGGCGCGCAGACATGCACACGTGATCATGTTTTGCGTTTTTGCATCCCATTTTTTTCGGCGGCCCATGCACAATCAGCCCGCACCAACGACGATCAGCCCGCACCAGCGACGATCAGGACGACGCCCGCGACCTTGGCAGCACCGGCGGAGCCAGCCTGAAACTACAGCGGACCTCAGCCTGTCTGGACTTCTTTCTGCCGCCGATCTGACGACTCCGAACCGGCACTTGGCACCACCAGCACTCCCGCCACCAACAGGACCATGACTTCGATTTCCAGAACTTTTGCAAGGATAGGCCCGGCAGCCCACGCCGCCTTCTCTGGGCTGGCCCTCCATCGGTCATTCCGCTACAACAACCTGAATGCTGCCGCATCAACGGCCCTTGCACTGGCCCAGCAACGGCGGCACGAAACAGGTGTCCGTATCCGGCCCGTTGCCGTTCAGATCTTTGGTAGGCGATTACTTCTCACTCTGCACAACAGCTGGCAACCGACTGCAAATCGACGGTATCCGAGGACTAGTGACCGACAGTCCTAATCATCGCTCCTCTGAATCGATCGCCGATGTCTGGGTGCTGGAATGTGACATGTATCAGATCCTTGGATCCCAAAAACCAAAGGACCGTCGCTGCTATCCGTGGAGGGCCGCCAGGATGCCTGGGAGAAAGCCAAGAAGTTTATCACCGCAACAGTTTCGTAAGAACAGTCCTGAATTTATCGTCAAAGTATTGCATTGGGTGCTGGAACCGTGCGTCATCTGTATGCGATTGGCTTGAGTGCTCGTCGCAAAGTCTAGCTGACCCTGCATCTGGCTCGGATCTGCAGATATGTGGTGATCATGAGGAACTCTGTGGAGAAGTGGAAGCCCAAGCCGTTCGCCGCAGATGCCGAGAAAATTTACATTGCGATGAACGAAGCATTCGCTGGGTCGGTATAATGCGCTCTCAGTCGCAACACCACCAGCATAGCCCTGTAAAGCCAGCAATTGCTATCCTGGTCTCGCTTTGCCACAGCGATGCGATAGCGGCCAGGTGCATCGCTGCCGACACATTCCCCATGATCGTCGGGCATGAGCGTGGTCGCGGTGCCCTATCAACCGCAGCCGTTACCGTCCTGACTTCATCACGCTGATCCTCCCTCTCATGGTGTTCCCAGGGGCGAAAAGGATGTCTTGCCTTACCTTGTCACAGATGCCATGCTGGTGGTAGGTTCATAGTACCGCTCGGTCCGGCTGGCAGAGCTCCACGTGAAACAGTCGTCGCAATCGGGACTCCTGCTGATCGAGAAACCGTCATTGGTTCCAGAAACTCAATCCCGACATCAAGGCAACACAGCGCCTCGGACGGGGCGTCTGGAAGTATCACGGATCGGTTGAGCGGCCTGTGATTGTCCATGCGGCTGTGGCCCAGCTCCAAGAAAGCCAGCGCGGCGACGCCATTCGAGTTGCCCAGGTTACGGTCAAGATTCACACGAAGCAGGTGAGTTGCCGCTGGCAGCCTCATCGAGCCAGGTGGAGGCAGGCCACTGTGCTGCAAGGGGGGAGGAGGGCTGCCAGAAAATTCCTCGAGAGTCCTAACTCTGGTGCCTATTGTCCTGGGTCCATCGTCGCAGTCGTTTGCAATCTACAGCAAAGGACCCGAAGCGAAGCTGCTCGGCGGCAATCCCGCTGCTGTCAGCGATGTGCTCGAATACGTTGTGTTTGAAAAACGGCTTGCTGCAGACGATCCCTATGACTGGAGAATTGCCGGCAAGATTCCGCCTCGAAACTAAGGCAGAGTGCACCATGCCTTGTCATCTTCTGTCCTTTCCTGTTCGCGGACCGCACAGTCTGACGAGCAAGCCAGGCAGCACCCAGGTCTTTACGACAGCTTCTGCACACGATTTGTTCCGAGCGCCCCGACCATCGATGACAGCGCACCTCGCAGCAACAGTGTGGCTCGCTTGAAGGTCGCCCGCCCATCGGCCGATCGGGGCAGCACTTGGAATACACAAGATCCATCACGAACTGCCCACATGGGAAAGTTGTGCTCAAGTCGCTGAGAGCAATGCAGAGGCATCGCGTGGGAGAGCAGAGCAGAGCAGAGCAGATCCGGCACATACTTGCCAGTGTGCGACACTCAATCGCCCATTCACATCACCAAGCCATGACGGACAGAGGTCGCGGATGCTTTCGTTAATGCTTTATTGCTGTGTGTGGACGACTGTACTTGGCGCTCTTTCCCATCAAGCAAACGGCGGACCACCATCGGAATGTCGGCGGTGCGGCCCGGGAAACGCAACGCCATGGCTGAACTGGCTGTATGTGGTGTTGAGGATGGGCGAACGTGCATCCTGATCGTGGGGGGGGGCATAAGTCATGTCGATGATGTAGACAGATGCCAAGGGCAGGTTGAAATGGCGAGGGACGCATGATCTAGAGGGCCCGTCGACGGGCCTCCATGTAGCACTTTCTGCAGATGTTGTGCATCAGCGTGGGCGATCCGCAGAACGGACACGGAGTGATGTTTTGCATCGGACGCAGCCACTTGGTCGTCATGCGCAGTCTCTGTTCCGGACAAGCGAGCAACCAGAACACAGGTTGTGGTTGCGTCGCAGTGGATTGTAGATGCGTTGGTTGTAGGAGCGTTAGCACATCGGCTGTGGATGCCGGAAGACTTGGCCAACGGACTGGATAAGCAAGCCAGGCATTCATCGCTAAAGCGCGTTTGAGCCACGGCCAAGCGAGGGCCATGCTGACCTTTTTTCGGTGAGTGGTCTTCTTCTTGGGGACAGCCCACAGAATCGACGATACCCATTCCAGCGCAGACGAGGGAGAAGTCGGAACATGGATATATGTAGGCAATGCTTGCAGCGTCGTTGATGACAGCTTTGCCCACAGCGACGAGATGAAAGAGGATTTCTGAGCCAGAGCGAGAGACATGGCGATATGCTTCCCCCTGAAAGTGATGTGGGCTGGGACAAGCAAAAGCATGGTGAGAACGACGATCCCCGACAGACAGATTCCCAAGCTGACCGCGGCGCGAGCAGAGATTTTCCAAATGCCTGTGGGGAGAGGTCGGCTCCATGTGCATCCGATGGATCTTGTGCTGGTGCCGCCCCGTGCTCACAGGCTTACCGCAGAGTCGATGGAAAGAAGGCCGGACCGATGATGCGGCGATCAGGACGATCAGGGCGATCAGGGCGATCAGGACGATCAGGTTGCGCTGATCAGGCATCATTGGCGGATGCCCAACGCAGAAAAAGAAAATCGGGCTTATGTAAGCACGCATCCCGGTTTGCTGCCAGGAAACGCGCTCGCCCCGGTTTTGCCAAGGGCCACCAGGTCGACCAGAACGGATCCGGCCACTGGGCAAGAAATAAGACTAGGAATGAGAATGCTTGAGTCGATCAGGGCGGTGGAGGCTCTAGAAAACGATGTATTGGCTGCGATGGAGATATGGGCAGAACAAATCCAGGGCGACCAGAAAACGATTGAATCACGCTCAAGGATGGCAGTAAGAAGACGGCAAGTCCACGAAAAAGATATGCAAAGGGAGGAATTTCCATAGGCCGAGAGCCACCGGGACAAAATGGAAGACAGCGTCAAGCGGGCCATCTGCGATCTCAAATTCTGTTGTAGCTTCGACTAACGATCTTGTCGTAGAGGGAAAAGACAATGTCCTGCGTCAACGAGGAAGAGAACACATTCAGCACATGCAGAGCACTCAGCGCACCCAGAGCATCCAGAGCATCCGGAGCATCCAGAGCACTCGGCCCAACCAAGTCTACAGTCGGCAGCCTCGGACGTGGCGGCAGCAGAGCGGTGCAATCCACACGCCTTGGACACTTGCCATGGCGTTGTTGAAGACCAGGGTCCAGAGGGTAATATTGGGAATAAACTCGGGGAATCGCTGGATGCGGTTGAAGTAGTAGTTGTAGGCCGATCCGCCAATCATGTAGATCACAAACAATATAAAGGAGTAGTAGAACAGACTGCCGATGAAGGAAGAGCCGCTTCCTGCGCCCGGAGTTGGGGAGTCGGTTGGTGGGTTGGGGGGCGCGCTGGTGGAGCATGCTGATGGCGACTGCCACGAAATTGAGAGGACGTTGCTTTCATACGAGTTGCGCACTGGCTCCTGATTCTGTAAGTGATTTGACCACCACCCCCATATCCAGAGCAGAGTCAAAGTGGTCGCGGAGTGAGCGGACTTGGATCTCCGTAATAGACAGCTAACGGCACCCAAGCTGAGTGAGAAGGGCCTGAAGGAGCCACGGTCGCAACCCTACCTTATCAGCAGCCTTATCGATGCATTTGATGGCAAGATTGACTTTGCGGATGGTATCGTTGTATCTATCGCCAGGTCGATCCGGGTATGAGCACTAAGTGCATGTGCACAAACATAGGCCCACCTTCTCCCTCCACCTCCCATCGCTTTGCGGATATATCGTTACCGTCCGGAGAAAGTCAGGTTGAGTGTGTTGGTGGAGTCGATCCAAGTGAATTCAGGCGTGTGCTGATCGGCGGCAAACTCGACAACCTGAATATACGCCGATGCAAATCGAGAGCTTTAGCAAAGCACAGAGAGGGGTTTTCGGGATGGCAATCACATCGGGGCGGGCTGCATCGCTTGGTCGAGGAGCAACCCACATCAGTGACGCGGACATCGCCGTCCTTGTCGTTGGTGGTGATCTGGCCAGGTAGATGGACGTTAGCAATGCTGCTCGACGATGGGATATGCTGAGCCGGGCTCGGGCAGCCGAGTGCCTGAGCACTGTCCTTGGAGCGCGCCACGCACCTCGCAGAAGTTGGCGGTCGCAGAGCATTGGTCTAGTTGGGATTTGAATGAAAGCAGCGGACAGCATATCAGTGCTGGAGATCTCTGAGACCATGATGACATGTGGAGCCCAGAGGATATTGCTCTCGGACTCTGGGCAGCGCCCCAGTGGTGTCTGGTAAAGATCGAGGCTAGTGCGAGATAGCCACTGGGCCACTATGCAATGAAGCGCACCGTTTTTAGGAGCAGTATCGTTATGCTTCAGCGGGCCACAAATGTTGAAGTAGGTGCGGCGATAGTCGATCGAGTTTGAGTGTTGGGTGGAGGAGGTGATGACTTGCTCGCTTTGGGAGGCGGTGAGCGGTGATGAAGGCGCCAGGATGACAGTATAAGGCATATGCAGTGGTAAGCACAGGCCACCACGGAGCAGCCCGATGGCCAATGTCTCCAGAGTGCAGACAGCAGCCGAGCCAGTCCAGATGCACAGGGGGGGGGAGAGCAGCCAAGTCTCGCTTACACGGCGAGGCTCGTCAAGTTGAAGTAGCGATCGCCCTGAGTCAGGGTGCAGTTCCAGACGGCACCCGAGACGAGCAGCGACCACGAGGACACAAGGGCAGTCAAGAACAGCAGATGATGCTTCATTCTGGTCTTGGATGAACGTCGGTTTGCAGGAGAGGCGAGCGAAGGCCAAGAAGGGGCAGCAAGGGCAGCGACCAAAAGCCAGCGGCTGGTGGCGGACGTTGTACACGGCTGCGCAGCAACGACGCTTTCCCACGGGGGTCTTGGCGGCACCCGCTTGGCTGCTGCATCCCCACACGGCGAACGGCGCTGCATGACCAGCGGCCCAGGATACCGAGATGACGGCACCATGATTCGCGCGCTCACTCCTTGGCGCTCCGATGCGATGCCGGCCGATTTGCGAGATGTTGAGCCTCTCAAGTATCGAAGACCGTCTTTGACGCACGATCCCCACAGGCAAGACCCAATGCGATCGAGGCTGCTGTCCTCCCGACAAGCAACAGTGCTATTTGGGCAACTCGGTTGCTGGTTGGCTCCGAGTGAGTGGCGGAGAATACCTGAAATAATACTTATCCGTCCCCCAGGGCTCCACCCAGCACGCTCATGCGGGTCGAAACAGGCGGATTCGTCCGTCGCTGCATCCGGTCGCTAGCTCGCAGTTGAGAGGACCAAAATCCACACACGTCACGATACTGGGATGATGAGGGGTCTTGCCGAGGATGCGGCCCTCGCGGAGGTCGTATACATAGGCACGGTTGTCCTGCATAGTGCGATCGGATCCGGGCGTTAGCTCTCCGGCAGCGCGAGTCAACCAGGGCGATTGACCATTGTGTTCTGGCTGATTTGCAGACTCAGGCTCAGCCATCGCATATCACATGTAGCATCACCGTCCATGCCGCCATCGGCGTTGCCTACCTCTGATCCCGTCGCAAGGAACCGGCCACAGGGCGAGATGCGACATCCGATCCCGTTCATGCGATTGACGTACCCGTGAAACTTGCGCACGATCCCTGCCGACGTCCTCATGTCCCAAAGCGCCAGCGCATCACCGACCGAGCCCGTCACGAAGCACGCCTCGAGACCCTCCACGGGCGTGCCGTAGTCTGGAACTTCGATTGTGTGGATCGGTCGGCTTGAATCGCCCAGCAGTCCCTCGTACGACTTGGCCAGGGTGCATCGAGCCATATTCCAGATTTGAACGGACTTGTTGCTGGTTGCCAGGACGACGATCTGAGACTCGTATGTGTTGGCCAGGCCGAGGCTCCAGAGCGACTGAGCCGGGGCCGAGAGCCGATATCGACACTTGTATGAGTTGTAGTTGAGCTGCGGCTTGATACAGCGCGGATCGACGCTCTCGAGGTGATACGTAAGAACGTGAACTTCTGGTCCAACCGTCAGCATCAGCAGGCGATCGCGGTAATAGAAGCGTGCATCGCGTATCTCTTGGCGACAACTCGCCGCCGGGTCGGGTGAAAGCCTGGGCTTTCGGCGGCCTTCGCGCTGACAAGACAGTAGATTTTCTGAGCAAAAGCTCAGCAGAGGCTCGGAGCGACCTGTCTGCCACAGCCTTGCGGTCTTGTCGGCCGAGGTCGATAAGATCAGTCCGGAGCCATCCGGGTCGCTGCGAGCACCCCAGGATCCCGACAGAACGGCGCCGTTATGTCCCGTCAGGCTCTTGAGGGATTCGTTTCGAGAGAGCCTGGAGAGCCCTATTGTTTTGTCGACCGAAGCTGTGGCCAGCAAGTGACCGGCAGGGTGATACCGCAGCCATGTCACCGACCCCTGGTGGTTCATTGCGAATGGCTTCTGTGTCGGAACGATGGGCAGCCCGGTGTCTGGTGAGTACTCGGCTCTGTGAGTGCGTGTCGGCTGGACTTGAGCCGATTGCTTTCGGGCGGAGCGGGTGGCGTTGGTCTGGGGCTTGAACAGAATCGCAGATTTGGGAGGAGTGGCGTACCCAGATGATTTGACCGTTGACCGGAAGGTCAGCGGGTGGTTCAAGGAAGCAGTTGACTTTGCTGGCTTTGGGGCTGACTTGGAGACTGGTTTGGATGCAGACCGGGTCGGCGTCGAGCGTGGCGAAACCGGGCCGTCGACATGACAGAGAGGTGAGGCCCTTGCAAAAGCGGCTTCCTTGTGGCAGAAGGACAACGCAGGAGTGCCGCTGGTGGTTATGCCTGCACGAACGCTGGAGAGTGACTTGCAGATGTAAGCCGGCATGCACTCAGGAAGAGCCCGGGAGGGATCGCGCAAGTGGGCAATCTCGGTGATTCTGGCGGCATGCAGGGCCCTCATGCAGTCGCAGACGGTGTTGTCGAGCCAAGCGCCGGTGACAAACTCGGCTGCCACGACCTGCACGAGGGCGTCCAAGCTCGAAAAGTCATCCATGCAGATTGAGTCTATGGTCTCGATACCCTCGGCTTCGCGACCAAGTGTGGGTGAGTGGACTTGCAGTGTCACAACGGACAGCTCGCCACTCATTGAGGAGCCGATAAGCAGGTCCCAGGTGTCCCGTGCATCCGAGGAGGGTGTCAGCGAGTAGTTGGTTGCCGTGGGAAGGTACCGAAAGCCGGGTTCAGGACTGCCGCCGCCCTGGGCGGGCAAGTACTCCAGCGGCGTGTGCCGAAACGAGAGAGCAAAGCTGGGACGGTATGAGTCGGGATCGATGATAAGCAGGCCATGAATGAAGCCTGCGAGCAAGAATGTCTTGGCCTGCTTCGGGACGTATATGTACTCCAGGTACAGGACAGAAGGGGAGTTTTGAGCCAAGATCGAGTCTGGTTCTGAGGCCGCTGTTGTGGAGGGCATTGAGGAGCCACTCTGCCGCCAAGCTGGCAGGCTACTGACAACGGCGGCGCTTTCGTCAGTTGGCGCAGATTGTGCCGATTCTTGACGCAGGGCTTCGGCGGATAGTGCAAGGGATGCGTCGACGGCTGTGAGCCGGTGGATGAAAAAACGATTCTCTGGTGGCTCGTGTCGGTATCCGTATTCATAGAAATGGATCTTGCCTCCCTCGGTCGCTATAGCGAACCGAGATGCCTTTGGGTCTCGGGCGGCGCTGGTGAGGGCATGGGAGGACTCTATTCCGGACTGATAGAGACAGCACATCGAGCTCAAGTCCCACACTGGCTCGGGGAACGAGTGCCGATCGACGGGCCACAGTTCAAGCGAGCCAGACGAGAATGCCGTGGCAGTATTATGGCCATTGTGGAAAAGATCGAAGCACGGAACCAGAGGGTGAGCAGCCATACAGACAGAATTGTGCTCAATCGATCATCTGCACACCAGCGCTGCATCGCCACAAGAAACGTCGGCACGGCGGGGCTGCTTCTGGATACATACGTTTGAAGGTCCGGTCTTCCGAGATGGAGAGCAGCCAGAGCCGATCAGGAGAGTCGAGCTTTGGATCGGTGCCAGACAGAGACGGCGTAAGAAATTCAACAGCCGTCACTTGATCGAGATGGCCCTGCAGCCGGGTCGACTGACCGCTGGCGATTTGGACGACGACGATCTCGTGGCCGCTGCCGATGGCGACGAATCGGTCCTGAGGAGAGAGTTTGGTGAAGCGAGGGCTGTCGAGGTTGCGGAGAAGAATGCGAGGCGGCATATGCTGCGAGGAAAACGAAAGCCGAGGCAAGCGCCAGACGAGCAGCTGGCGATCCAGGATCACAACCAGGGTGGTGAACTCGGCATGATCGCTGCCAAAGAGGAGGGTGTATGGCGCCGAGGCTCGCTCAAGGGCACAGAGCTCGATCCAGTCCTGCGTCTCGGGGCTGCCTGAGTGGATGCGATCCCGATGGATGTATCCAATTGTGTGCGGCGATGGACCGCGGGCCTGCTTGGGCAGCGAAGGACTCTGTAGAGGACAGACGAGCCAGCGACTGGAGAGGGCAAACGGCTGATGACCCCGGATGCAGATCCCAGAGAGCTGGGTGGCCATGTAAATGTCGAAGGGGCGAGGGTCGGGGACACTGGGGTCGGCGATCATGCTGGCGGACTGAATTTATGGGAGTGTAATGAGTTGATGGAGTGAGTGTTGCCGGTGTGAGCCGGCTTCAGCAGACCTCGATAGCCGTCCAGAGCAGCAAGAAACGACGGCCGCGGTGATGTTCGCTTGGGGCGACGATCGGAGATGCAACTCCGATCGCCGCGCTTGGTGGGGCGGCGGAAACTGGCCACGACAGCAGCACCTGGACGAGAGAGCAAAGCGACGGGTTGGCTCCCTCGATCGCACCACCTTATATCGCCACGACGTACCCCGGCGACGACACAACCCAGGTGAGCGGGCGCAGGAGCACGGGTGGACACGGAGAGCAGCCGTGCCCGCTTGCCTCCTGCTGGACCAAGACTGACTCTGGCCCGGCATCGTCAGATAGGCGCCATGAGCACGACGACCAAATATCCATGCAAGGAGTATGCATGCCGGATTCAGGTAGGCCACGCTGAGCCATAGGGAGAGGCAAGTGCGACTGCATATATGGACACATGCTGGATGCGAGGCTAAGCGGAATGGCTGTGTAGGGCTGTCTCGTCAAGAACGACTACAACCAGGACCGCTGCGTGCAGTATGTCAAGGCTCTGGAGCAATGCTGCCGCCAGATGCAGCAGGATGGTGTTGCCGATGCGCAAGAGGCATGCGGCAGCATATGGCGGCGATGGGAGCGAGAGGCCAAGCAGGCCGCAGCAGCAGCAAGACAGAGCCGGCAACCAGAGTGAGGATGACCCGCGGGCGAGTCGGAAACGGGACAATACAGCCCCGGTATGAACCACAACATGCGGCTCCAAACACTTGGACATGCACTCGAAAGAGATTGTCGCGCTGCACTTGCTCTGGTCTGGTCTGCCAGCACTGGTCTGCATCTGCCAGCGTTGGTCTGCACCTGCCAGCATCTGCCAGCATCGGCCGGCATCGGCCATCGTCGGCCGGCATCAAACGGTGATCGGCCTGAGCCAGCGACGCAAACCATATGACCAAAGATGGCAAGTGTTTTTTTGCACGCGCGCGCCGATTGGCGGCGCTGTTCTGTGCCACTGTGTCTGTGCAACGCGTGTGTGTGTGGGCTGCGCCGCGCTGCGCTGTTTCTGTGGGGCGCCGCAGCACAAACTAAGGGACACACACACACGCACCGCCGGCACACACACACACGTTCTGTGGCGTCATCGCCAACTTTTTTTTTTTGATAAAAGGCGTCCTGTCCCGTCCGTTCCTGTCCCCGCCGGCCTTCTTCCCTCATATCTGCTGCCTCTTTGCACCCCGCACCCATCCAAGCACCCATCTCATAATGAGCGAGCCCCAAATCAGTATGTTCCTGTCACTGCTATCGCTGTTCTTTCTCTGTCTGCAGCAGCCCATTGCCAGAACGCCCCGGATCGCCCCCCCCCGCTCGCTGCCTCCATGACTGGCATCAGCGACCCTGGTCCATTGGCCCAGCAGTCCTCGAGCCAAGTTTCTGACCCGCAGCTGCCTTTTGCCTCCCACTCGCTGCCCTCGAACCCGAATCTGCGCATGCCTCTGTCTTTGTCTGCGCTGTCTCAACCAGTCGAAATTGGCGTCTATCCCAAGGATGTCAACCGCCGCCTGAACGCCCTCAAGAACATCCAGGTGCGTCCAGCCTTCCTTCCTGGACAGTATGCTTGGCTGTCGGCCGGCATCGAGCCGCGGCTTTCCGGACGCGCTTCGACTGCTTCTGGCGGCAGCCGCGTGCTGCAACTGAGCTGGCTCTCTGATTTGCATTCGGGGGCCCAGGACCACCGAGTCCGTAGTGGGCGGCCGGCTCCTCCCATCAGCCACCGCCATGCCTCGCGATCTCCATGCCAAGCCTCAACTGACCAGCCAACTCTCTCTTTTTATGTTGCTCGCTGTGCCGACCGGATGGCGGCTCTTCCCCTAATCATCGTGCCGATCACCATCTACATTCCTGTCGCACTGCTGTCTCTGGATACTATTCCCTTGTGCCGCTGCCGTCTCGCGGGTGTGATCATGGCAATAGGACGAGCACGCCAAGATCGAGAGCCAGTTCCGCGACGAGGTTCTTGCTCTTGAGAAGAAGTACCATGTCAGATACCTGCCCCTCTACGAGAAGGTGAGCCGTCTTGACCCGGCAGCGCACTGAAGCGTTTCGCCTGCCTCGAGCAATCCAACGGCCTATTCTCCGCCTGCGCCTCATTGGCTTGCAGGCTCCGCCATGTGTGTGTGTGGTCCGCTCCTGTTCCCACGCCCACCGCTAACCGTTAACCGCTCCACCCGCCCTTCCCTTCCAGCGCGCCGAGATCGTGAGCGGCAGCGTCGAGCCCACCGATGCTGATTGCGAGCGCAGCCCCGAAGACCAGGAGGAGGTGAATGTGCTGTCTGATCGCCTCGTCCCATTCAATCTCATCGCTCCCATTCAATCTTGCCGCTATGCGGAGGATATCGGGCCCTATGCTTGGCTGAGTCCCGCCTTCTGACCTGCTTGCAACTCTGCCTGTAGGAGAGCGAGGTTGTCGAGCCCGCCACCGGCATCCCCAAGTTCTGGTTCACTGCCCTCTCGAACAACCCCTACCTCAGCGAGTTGATCACTGCCAAGGACGAGGAGGTCCTCAAGCACCTCGTTGACATCAAGTCGCACTACCTTGACGACAACGCCGTAAGTGTTAGCCATGCTGCACACATGCATCGTCCGCCTGCATGGCGGTGCCCTTTTCCCCGCTGGTCCAGCCGATCTCACCCCGGAACAAATGCGATCTCTCTGCTCTACAGGGCTTCAAGCTCGAGTTCTTCTTCGAGCCCAACGAGTACTTCAAGAACTCTGTCCTCACCAAGACCTACTACCTCACCAACCCCCCTGACGCCCACGTCGGCGATGTCCTCTTCGACCGCGCTGAGGGGTAAGCTCCGATTCTGTCGCACTCGGGCCTGTCATGTTCAGCCACTCACCAGTGCTATCGTAATCTCCACAGCACCCCCATCGAGTGGAACGAAGGCAAGGATCTCACTGTCACTGTTGAGATCAAGAAGCAGCGCCACAAGGGCACCAACAAGACCCGCACCGTCAAGAAGACCGTCCCCGCCGAGTCCTTCTTCACTTTCTTCAGCCCCCCCAACCCTCCCACCGACGATGCCGATGTCGACGAGGATCTCCTCGACGAGATTGAGGAGCGCGTCGAGGCCGACTATGAGGCCGGCGAGATCATCAAGGAGAAGATCGTCCCCAACGCCGTCGACTGGTTCACCGGCCGTGCTCTCGAGTACGAGGATGACTTTGATGGTGTTCCCCCGTGGGCTGAGGATGGTACGTGTGGCTCGACTCTGTCTGCCTTTGCATCTTGCACCACCAGTCACTGCCGCTCGTCCCGCATGATCGTGTTCTCACATCCGTCTGCTCCCGCCTGCAGATGACGACCTTGATGAGGATGATGAGGACGATGACGATGACGAAGATGACGACCAGGAGGCCCCCCAGGGTGATGTGCGTAACTAAGTCTCGTTTATCCTCGATCGTCCGCACTTGACCACCCCTCCTTTCCTTTCCTGCGTACGGGTCCTCCCTTTTATTTCCATTGATAGACCTTGACTCCCCGTCGCGCCCACCCTTCGCCCTGTGCCGCTTTCCCAAGCGGAAATCACCACAGCGCGTTGGCGGCATTTCGTTTGAGAGCCGCTTTTTCTGCCTATTCGCTCCAACGGCTCGTAATCCCAGGGCGGTGCCTCCAATGCTAGCAGTGAGGGCCTGGTTGGGATTTGGTAACCCTGGCCCCTCTCCTCTTCCCATTACTGGCACTTGCGCAAACCCCCCCCCGCCCATCATTTCCTCTTCGTTCGTTCTCGCTACCTCTCCTTTTCACCCGAGCATTTTGCCCCCTCCCTTCCCCATTCATAGTTGTCCCAATGTAACAATACAAGTATGGCCCTGCCCCCTCTGCCAATTGCTGATACGATCCAATCTTGACTTTCATCTCTTCTCGGGTTCCTCGGTCAACAGAAACCCCCGGAATGCAAGCAGCAGTAAATAGCCTCGGGTGAGGATCTGGACCGGCCGAATCAAATAGGAAGAAAGGAAGTTGGAAGGCAAACGCAGTGTACTGTGAAGATTTGTCCCTGCTCCTTCACAAACCTCCATCCGTAATGGCCCTGACGATTCGCCCAGTGTGTTTCGCTTCAGGCAGATGTGCTTCTGCCTGCTGCTTCTCTGTCCAGCACTTAGCCACCTTGTGTACATATCAAGTTCTCACTCCCCTCCCCTCAGCGGCAAGAGAGGGGGGGGGCAATCAGCCCGATGCGGCATTTGCACCAACAATGCAACAGAGATGATGTTATTGATCCACCTTCCAGCAGTGAATGCGTGGGGAGGATGTGTATGCTGCGAGAGCAAGATGCGCTGGCGAATGAGGGTGGTCATGCGATTGCTCGGGGACTTGTTGGAGTACCGCCAGGAACGCCGCATTATCCGAGTGGCTGTCGGATGGACGCATGTTCCTCAACCCGATCTGGTCGTCCGCAGAGCGGCCTGGATGGATATAGACCCCACCCCATCACGCACGTCATGCCAAAAGACCCCCCCCCATGGCGCACTATGGTACGGACGATGCTCCAGACAGAAATAGACCCTCAGTTTTGGCATGCCGAAAAACTGCAACCTGTTATATTAGCTCATCAATTCTTGTCTGATGGCAGAGTGGGAGTGTGGCGGATGTGGACACTGAGTCAAAACAATGAATCGATCCCATCTGCCGACAGAAAACAACTGAAGGCCGGAAGAAAGCCCAGCAAAACAGCTTAGAGGTTGAGCTTGGTGCGGCGCCAGTTGCGGCGCTTGGCGTTGTAGCTGCACGAGCAAAAAATAACAAGCAAAGAAAGGCAGCGACCGGGTCAGCGCATCTTGACGGCAACTTTGGCTAAGCTCACAATACCACAACAGCACAACAGCACAGCAGCACAGCAGCGCGACATCAAGTGCGGGTGAGGCTTGTGCCCATCGACCTCTGCCAAAAGTTTGGCCATATTGCCTCCCCCTCTCCGTCGCTCTCGAACGACTGATTCTGGAGCATGCTCGCAGAGACGGGGTCTACTCGTTTTGCTGATGCACCCTCTTCTCGCCTCTGGCGTGGCGTCATTCGCTGCGCATCGCGTGAGAAGAAGAAAACGTACCGGATCTTGTTATCAGTGCGGAAGCGGATCCAGTTGGGGATGGGGCGGTTCTGCTTCTGAGCCTTGCCCAGGTGGCGCTTGATAGCAAAGGTCTTGTTGGACGGCTGCATTTCAGAATGAGAGCGGGGGGAGACAGATGTGACGGTGGACGTCAGAAAGGAGGCTCGAGGGCTCTGTCTGCTATGGCGGGGACCCCAGTTCAAGCTGCCGTAGCCAGGTCGGAGGAGGTTTGTCGGTCCGATCCGGCTTGGGTGTTTGCTCGGGACGTGCCATCGATATCGTTGGCACTGATGGTGATGCGTTGTATATCAGCGCCCATTTGGAATCGACTGCCTCCATCGGGATTGTCCGTCCTCCAAGCCAGAAAGTCTTGCCAACGGTCGCGGATCGCGGGTGATTACGCTTCCAAGCCGCTGCACCGATCGCCGTCCATGCAGGGTGCAGGCTTATCTGCAGCTGGTGCTCCTCCGGGCCCCGATCAATCCAGTCGCCGACCGACAATCCATCAGCCAGACCATGGAATCCATCGAGCCTGTTCCTCAATGTGCTGAAGTCGACGATAACGATGATATTGATAATGCACGCTCCATCGAGGTCGAGCGACGCATGCTAGAGACAGTTCCACAGCGAACAGATGTGGCTTGTGTCGGTGACGGTCGGGCTCGCAGGGCTGATACAACGGAAATGCTTGCGGGTTCTGTGGTCGTCCAGGCGGCTGTCGTGGTGTCGGTCGATCCGTCCATGCATCCATGCATGCATCCATCCATCCATCCATCTATCCATGCATCTATCCATCCATCCGTATATCTATCCATGCATCCATCTGGCGACAGTCACTCGGCATTACCATGGCGAATAACTCAGTCAACGGTTCCTGTCAACTATGTGAGGGTCTGCTGGGAGAGAGAGGCTCCGAAAATGTGCCGTCTCTCCGCACCTTTGTCGTCGGCCTCGCTGCCCTCGCTGGTGTCCTCGCTGGTGTCCTCGCTGGTGTCCTCGCTGGTGTCCTCGCTGGTGCTCTCGCTCCACGCCGGTGCTTAGTCATCGCGCACGTGTGGGTCGTGGGAGCGTTCTCACGGCAAGTACCAGCCGCGGCGGACAAGGATGCCAGGGGGGGGGCAGGAGTGTCAGGGGCGACCTGCAGGCGCTGCCGTCAGACGCCTCCGGAGACAGAGACAGAGGCTGAGGGCTGGAGTCGAATCGCCGCAGCTTGCGTCGAGCGAGGATAGGTACTTACTCTGCATCCAGAACGAAGCGCCGCCAGGCGGCCGTCCTTTTGGCACCAAGTCTGTCCGGAAACCTCAAACCTCACTCAGGCGAGCCCGGCATTTGCCAAGACATCTCGCGGGCTTCATCTCTCCTCTCCCTTTTCCACCACATCGCCAGCCCGATCAGCGCCGCTCCGGCACATCCAAGGCGCCTGATCCGCCGCCTTCGTCGTCTCTGGCTCCCTCCAGCTTCGATATCCCCGTCAGCGGACAGCCACAGTTCAATTCCCTGTCCGTCGCTTGTCCATCTCTCTGTGTCAACGCCCCGCCTTGGCTGCGCTGCATCGGCACTGTCTGTGCTGCTATGGCTGCCGAATCGCCCATTCAGCCTCGCTCCATCGATGCTTACGGCTTCTGGCAAGACTCCCAAGGCCCGTCGGCGTATGTGCTTGCATCTGCTGTTCTTGCATGGCTCTCCCGACAACATGAATCGAATCTCGTCCAAATCCGCGGCGTTGATAGGGTTCACTTTCAACTTCCGCCCCTTGCCCTCTCACTCTCACCGGCCCATCGATGATCATCTCCCCGAGCGAACGCTGGGCACTTGTTTGAGCAGGAGCGGAGCGGGGCGAGACGAGCCTGCATGCTCACACCCATGTGCCGACGTGGCCGGCATCCATGGCGATGACGGACGACCACGACGATAACGGCGGCGTCTGACGGATCCCCCTTCGCCGGCGTTTGATTTTACTTGAAATCGCAATCCTGACCCAGACCGCCAACAACGAGCCCCAACACAAAGGAGCTCGAGTCCAAATGGATCTCGGTGCTTGACCGATGGCCCCAGGCTTTGAAGCAAAAGCGCAAGGTGAGGCTGCCAGGCAACACGATACAACCCCGTCGCATTCATTGCGGCTTCTTCTCACGCAACGCACATAGACTTTCGGCTTGTCGTCGTGAACTTGGAGTGTGCCCTCCTGCAAGACCTTGGTTCATGGAAAGCGCCTCGCCCCAGTCCCGGAGGGGAACCGTTGTCGAACATGTCGGAACGGACGGGTGAACGCTGGATTTGTTGCTGGTCGAGCCCATGTGCTTCACTCGCTCCGATACGTGCTCGCACAATCCGCCATCGATCTCGTCCTTCCGTTTCTTGCTCGTATATCTGGACTCTCACATGCACGTGCCATCTATCCAACCATGCAGCTCAAGAAGCTCGTGCGATCTGGGATCCCGCAGTCGCTTCGCGGGAGAGTGTGGATGACCCTGGCCAACGTCGACCAATACCGAAGAGAAGGCGAGTTCGAGGTGGGGAGATCGCGGAACTGGCTCTGGCTCTCCTGCGCTGCCAAAAAGTCGCAGCCAACAGCGACGCTGTGCATCGGATTGCATCGGATTGCATCGGCCATTCAAACTGGATGGATAAGTGACGGCGCCAAATACCTTCCGGACTGATGCGATCCCGGTCCTTTCGTCATTGCGAACACCCTTTCGACTTTGCCAGAGACTCCAGCAGCAAGAACCCACGCCGATCTTTGAGGTCATTGACCGAGACATCCATCGCTGTTATCCAAACCATTCCATGTTCTCGGAGGCTAACGGAGATGGGTAATGTCTCTTGAGATCGTGGACTTGTTGGCGTGGTGCATGCAATCTCCCGTCGCTGCTTTCAAGCATCCGGATCATTACTTGATTCGGACATCTACTGACCTTCCTCGTTTCTGCTGCCCGTCGCGCTTGCTGTCGGTTTTCACATTTATCTCCTGTGGTGATGGGGGGGGGTGGAAATCCTCAGACAAGTGTCGCTTCGAAATATTCTGCAAGCCTACGCCATATACAATCCCGAAGTTGGATACTGCCAGGGCATGGGGTTCTTGGTCGGAATGATGCTCATGCATTTGCAAGCCGAGGTACGGAAACCACTGAAAGTCTCGGCCTTCTACCACCGTTTTGTCGACCCAACTCATGTGTGCGATGCTGGCGCCGGCGCTGGTGGTGCTGGGGTCGGTCTGGCTATCTTCCGCCCGGCGCTTCCTTCAGGACGCATTCTGGCTGCTCGTCGCCAGTCTCGACCGATACTCGCAAGGATATTACACACCAACCATGTCAAAGCTCTTGAGCGACGCCAATGTGTTTCAAAGCCTGCTCAAGACACACTCCCGGAGGCTCTGGAAGCACATGGTGAGCCGTGCGATGCTCTGAAAGCACTGGAGTTGGAGAGCGATAACTGGTGCAGCGGATGCATCAACAAGCTTGCTGCGGATCACTCCCGGCCCCCTCCCTCTTCTCAAGGCTGACTTTGTCGCCTCGATACACTCTTCTCAACAGAACAACCAAGAAGTAACGCCGCTGATGTACATGACCCAATGGTTTCTGACGCTGTACACGACTGTCCTGCCGTGGCCGACAGTACTGAGGATATGGGATATGTTTTACATGCAGGGTACGGATCTCAGACGCTGCTTGGCACGAAGGGATAAAGTGAGCCGAAACAGCGCGAGTGCGCTAATGCAGAGTCCAGCACCGTTGTTCATCGAGGCGGCTGCGGCTGATTGGTTGTTTCTGATGCATTCTTTCCATCGGCAGCAGGTGTCAAGGTGCTCTTCCGGACAGGCTTGGCGATCATGAGGATTCTGGAGCGTACGTTCAGCGCTGACTTGGAGCATGGATCTGCGAAACGGCGTGCGGCAAACGGCTTCTCGTATCATCAGTTCCCGGCACTCGTCTTAGTCATGCCCACCCATGCGAGGACAGAGATCACAACCCGCCCGCTCACCCACTCACTCGCCCACTCCCTCCCTGGATACTTAGCATCGCTGCTGAAAAGCCCAACCACCGCCGATCTCGTCACGCTGCTACTCCACCTGCCGCCCGAGCGTTTTGGTCCCGACACGATTGTGGAGCAGTCCCTCAAGATCTCCATCAAGAGCAAGAGCCTGGAAGCCATGCGAAAGGCGTCCAGCAAATCCGCTCTCTCGGAGGCACGCAGTTCGCAACCGTCGCCAAGTTGAACGAGCAAATAAAAGCACATCTGTCTCACCATCGGGCAGTGTCAAGCGAATATGCTTGTGAGCATCCCGCAGAGCTTGTTTGTGCATCCGCAAGCGGACGAAGCCAGCCTGCATTGCGCGATGCTCATGATCGAGAGCGAGGGGAAGGAATGCCACGGGTGGTGAAGGGCCCAGGCAACCTGATGCTCGGAGCTTCATGATGTCCTCCGCCTTTGTCGTTTTTTGGGGTTCTCTATATTGAGCGAGCAAAAAAAAAAAAAGAATTGACGAGGCCGAACAGCGAGCGAATAGAAGGAAGCTGGGATTGACAGGGATTGAGTTTGAAGGAGGTGTGATGAGAGGGTGATAAACGAGGAAGGTCTCGTCGAGGAAAAGTAAAGCTAGATCTAGAGCAATGGTGAATGATGAATGGCGAAAAGTGAAGTGAATTGGATTGAAAAGAAAGGAGAGGACGAATGGAGCGAAGCAGCAGGTCACTTCAGTCATGGAGCAGCCTTGGGTTCAGAAAAGCGGTGGATAGAACTTTGACGGAGAGAGCAACACGCGACCAAGCAACAACATCGATCGGCAACACACGATCCCAAAAGCAACAGAGCCGACCCTTGCCGCGGCCCTGTCGTCGTCCCGACACGAAGAGCGACAATGCAGCCCGTCAGGATAGAACAAAGGCTCGGCGAGCGCTTGCATGCTCAACCCTCGACAAAGTTCAGCGGAACAACGCCTTCCTCTCCGTGGACGTTTCTGGCATATCCCCATCCGTCGGGGTAGCTTTCGATCAACTCGAGACGATCGCCGGTGCGGATTCCAAGTTCGTCGTGCTGCTGTGCATCGCGGTCCCAAAGGGCGTGGACCACATGGGAGGCCGAAGGCGGGGCGCGCTGGGCGGGGCGCTGCATGGACACAGTTCGTCGGGCCTCGACAACATTGGGGGGATGATGATGACCAATGCCAGCCACCGACGTGTGAGCGTATGGATCCTGGGGTCCGCTATATGCTTGATAGTGCTGCTGTTGCTGCTCGTACGACTGAGGGTACGACTGAGGGTACGACTGCTGGTACGACTGCTGAGTAGGCTGCTGTTGGGTGGTGCTTGGGGCGGGGTACGACGAGCTTTGGGCCGGATAGTTGTTGGAGGCATCGGTGGGGGCTCGGCCAAAGTTCTGCTGTTGCTGCTGGTAGCTTTGCTGGCTAGCGAGGCTTTGGGAGGGGTTGGCGACGACGTAGGACTGGCCCTGGTTCGAGTAGGCGGTGGACAAGTCGGTATCGGTTCGACTCACGTCTTGCTGCGGCTGATACTGGTACTGGCTCTGTTGGTACTTGCTCTGCTGGTTAGGGGGATAGATGGGGCTCGCGCTGGCTTTGGAGACAGAGGCGGTGGCCGTGCTGGTGGAGGCATAGCCGGGCTGCTGGGCGTCGATCGAGGAGTAGGGGTGCGAGTATCCGCTCGTGACCGAGGGGCCCGCTGAGCCCGGTTCATCCTTGGGCTGTGCTCGGCTCGAAGCCGATGCGGCAAAGGTGCTCTCGTGGACCAAGGGCTTTTGTGCGGAGCGCGATCCTCGGCGCTTCTGCATATAGACGTAGGCGCCAAATCCGAGACCCAGGACGGCGACGATGACGCCGGCGACGATGGCAGCGATGACGCCGGCGCTGAGGCCCGAGCCGCCTCCGTTGAAGGAGGGCGGGGCTTTGCCCAGGCTCTGGCACTGCGAGTTGCAGACATCCAGCGAGGGGTTGATTGCAGGCGGGCACTGGTTGGTGCATCCCGCAAGAGCACATGCGGCGTTGAGGAATCCGCATCCCGAGCTTTGGAAGGTCATGGTCTGGGTCCAGGCAGCGACACCAGCGGGGGTCTCGTTGGTGTTCTTGAGAGAGCTGAGCTGCTGGGTGAGCATGGCCTCGGGCACGTATGCCGCTGAAGAGTCACCGATGACGTTGATCTGCGTGGCAATGATGACCTTTGAAGGCGAGATGCTCCTGATCGAGCCGGTGGCCATCTGATAGCGCACCATGGACTGGTAGATGGCGGCGAGATTGGGTGTGGTGCCGTCGGACATGGTGTACTGGGCCTTGGCCTGCGGCGCGCTGACCCACTCCCACATGTTCTGGTTGGGGTAGTACATAAATACCAAGTAGGTCAGGGCATTGTAGGCGTCGGGGTTGGTTTCGATCAGGTACATGTAGTTGTTGTACCAGGGGCTGGCGGCGACGACGGGAAAGGTAATGGTGCCACCGGCACCGGGATCGGCAATGCCAGGGGCGCCATAGAAGGGCGGCTGGAGCGAGACCGAGAAGATACGGTTGGGGCCGATGGCGTTTCGGGTGGCGATCTGGAGCTTGCCCATAAAATCCATGCCCTGTAACGCGCAGACGGGATGGAGGTTAATGCACGAGTCACGGAATGCGGACGGTGTTGAAGGGAGGAGCGTTTGTTCAAGAGCACAGAGAGCGAGGGCGGGAGGTCAGATAGACGCAACAGCCAATCGCTGACACAACGGCGGCGATCCGCAGGGTTTCGCGGCCATGGTTTGATCGGTGGCTGTTGATGGGGAATTGGTGGGACTCACCGCCCTGCTGGCCAGAGCCTCGACGCTGGCGCCGTCGGTGCCGCCAGTGGCAGCAGTGTGGGCTTCCTCGTTGTCAAAGTCGACGCCATCGAGGTAGTTGTTTGCGAGGAACTGGGCCAGGTTGCTCGTCCAAGTGGTAATGACCGAGTCGCCCTGCAAGACGGAGGCAGAAACGGTATGCAAGGATGAGACCGGGCGAGCTGGATGGCGCTGTGGCTGATGGGAGCGGCGGCTTGGTGGAATGGGCCCAGAGCACAAGCCGACGGGCCGGGAAAGCAAGCCGACACCAAGCAGGATGGCATCGAGCTTGATGGCAGAGAGTAAAGGTCTGCGAGCGAGGTGAGGGGGGGGAGGAGAAAGGACAGTGCGTACCTGCTGGGTCCACAGGTTGTAGAGGCCGGTGAAGATGCGGGGCACCAGGCCGGTGGTGGAGTCGCCGCCGCCCAAGCTGATGCCAACCCTCTTGCCGTTGCTGCGGAGGATCAGGATGCCATCGGTGCAGTCGACGGTGCTGGTGCAGAACGTGGGCAGACTGAAGTTGTTCAAGCTGCCGCTGGGGACGACACCGAACGAGAGGATGATCTGCAGCGGGAGGAGTCGTGAACAATGGTTACAGAAGCGGTTTGGTTAGCGAGAGATACAGCATGCATGAATGCAGGAATGAAGGATGCAGCGGCTCAGGAATGAAGGGATGCGAATCATCGGCTAAACAGATCGCAGACGCAAGCAGTGCAGGGGATAGAGCCCCTTGCCGGGCTGTGTCGATCAAAGCACGTACATATGTGTAAGGCGAGTTGACGAGCTCGCTCCAGTGTTGGCCACCAATGTAGTAGAGGATGATCTCTGCAAAGACAGAACAGAACGGCGGCAGGACGATCAGCAGATGCAAGCGAGCAAACAGGCAAGTGGGTGATGGGATCTCGAAGCGGGAAGCGACTGGTAAGCCAGCGCGGGCAGCAATGGCCGGCTGGGCAGGCTTGGTTTCAGACCGCCATCAACATACCAGGCATGGCGGGGAGTGTGCACCGATGCGATCAGCGAGAGGGAGGGGATTGGCAGATCAGGGCAAGACGAGCAGATCAGGGAAAGACGAGCAGATCAGGGAAAGACGACACTCGGGCACCTGGGCCTGGATGGATGGATGGATGGAGGGGGAGCGAAAGCAAACGATGGCGAGCGGGTGGAAAGCAGACGAGCGACCGGGCGGGTGCTCGGGCCGGGGGTGTGTTTGCGGTGGGAAAAAAGAACCAAGGCGTGCCAAGCACAAACAAAGCAGGGAATGTTGCGACAAAGCGATGCCCGCATGCGGGTGCTGTGTTGCGACGGGGCGTTGTGCAGTGGGACGGCGGTGGGACTGTGTCTGAGACTGTGTCTGAGACTGAAGGGAACATGTCGGGACATGTCGGTGCCGCGCTTTGGGTATCAGAGAGAATGGGATGGGATGTGATGTGATGGGATGGGATGGGATGTGATGGGATGGGTGTGGCCGGGCATGACCATCAGCAGTGAGTTTGGATGTAGTTATTTGGCATTGGATGTTGATACTTTAGCGGCAAGTAGCGACCCGACTCGACTGACCACTTCGGCTGAACCCGCCTCTACCCAACTCACCAAAGCTAAACGCAGCTCACCTCACCCCAACTCGAAGCAACCAGACGCTTTTCGGCACATCAACACATGGCCGGGCACCTGTCCGTCTGGGCTGGCCGCTGTCCAGCCGCATCATGTCCGGTACTCGCCATCACCCTGGCTGCTTTGTCGCCATTGTCCCTGCGGTGGCCCTGGAATGCAATGTGTCGGCTGGAATGCGATGCAATGACATGCCATCCTATGCCTCTCGTTGGTGCATGTCCAGAACAGCAGTACGGTGCTATCAACTTGAGCTGCTATTCTCTGGATCTCAAATACACACTCGTGTCGCTGGGAATGCATCATGGCGACAAGTCTGGCTTTCGCCTGAATGATGTGAAGTCACTTGCCAACACACATCATATCATCACTGCACATATCAAACACATCACACATCACATATCAAACACATCACACATCACACATCACACATCACACATCACACATCACACATCACACATCACACATCACACATCACACATCACACATCACACATCACACATCACACATCACACATCACCGTCCCTATCATCACCGCACCGTCTCAACATCACAACTCCGCCCGCATGTCTGCACCGACACAGTTGCACAGAATCCGCCCGGCACACACACACACGCTTCTCTCCTCTTCTTTTTTTCCCAGGCCAGCGACCGGTTCCTCCCGCACTTGCGCTTGATCCCTCTTTCGCCTCCATCGGCCGTCGCCGTGGCCCCCCTGCTGCTCGAGTCTGCCCCCAGATTATATGTCCTCTCCGCCCCATCAATGGCCGATTCCACTCAGAAGGGCGAGAATGACCAGCCACGCAAAAAGCGACTGCTCGATCCCACTGATCTGCCTTCCCAGGAGCCCTCCAAACGCCAGATTCTCAACCCCCCCGGCATGCACCCGAGCTCGTCGCCCTCGAGCGAGGGACCCGCTTCCGTGCTCGCTAATCACATCGATGTCGACGAGGTCTGTCTCTGTCCGGCGCCTCGCTCGTTTCCTTTGGCTCCCGCACCATCTCCAATCGCGCCGCCGTTTGGCTGTCATCTCGCCATCCAGCGGCCTGATCAGTGTGTCCACTCGTCCACCCGTCCACCGGCGTGATCCTACTCGCCGTATCCTCATCCAACCGATGATCATCTGTCGCTCCTGCCTCTGTTACTTTGCATCCTTCAATCTCCTCCTGTCAGCCACTCCTCGCTGGCGCTGCCTTTGTCCGTCGCCAATCGGCTGCATCCAGCCCCACATCAGCCGGCATCCTGCGACTCACACGAGATCTATATCTAACATGGGCCCAAAGCGGAACCGAAGGGATCCGTAAAAGCACTAGCATCTGTAGGAGCCTAATCGGTCCGTGATCTGTTCTTCCCTGTGCATTCGCACCGCCTCCATCTGCTCACAGGACCCGCTAGAAACCTTCCAGAAACAGGCCATCTATCTGCGCATGAAAGAATACAAAACCCTCTGGCTGGCCGGCAGCGAGCGTATTGATGAGCTGGAAAGCAATGTTAATAACCTTCGGAAGAGTGTCCAAATTATCAATCATTACTGGAACGAGGTAGGCTTGCCTCTCTGCCCAGGCGTTGTCGCGATCACTGGATTCAACGCTGGCATCTGGTCCTCTCCTCGTCCTCTCGTATCGTCGAGCTGGTCCGCCGGCATCCCACTCGCCCATTCTCCTACTCACCGCTCTGCCTCATCGATCTGGGAACCAGGTCACCGAGGACATCAATCTGCTAACAATACGGGCGCAAGATTTTGGCGGGCCGCTGGACGAAAGCATCCTCGAACGTGCGTTTTGGACAGCATGCAATGCACAGTCGGCGCGACGCCGCACCATCGGCAGACCAGGCACACCGCGTGGACTGTCCCGAGCACGGCATCACCACCGTCGCCATCGCCGCCGTCTTCCTAACATGTCTGCTGGATTCAGGAACGCCCGATTTCACAAGTCTCCTGGAGCATATCCTGAACGCATCGACTCAGAAGCAGCCTCCGGATCTGGTCGAGACCAAGTCGCGGGAACGGTGGAAAGCGACCAAAGTCAATCTCGGCCATTTGCTGCGGAAAGTCCAGGCGCTGGCGACCTCATTAAGTTCGCAGAATGGTGAGCTTCGATGACGCCACGATCACCACATTGCTGGAGGCGTCCATGGACGCATGCTGTACCGCTTTGGCGGTTTCTGTCGCTGTAGACACCAACGCGCTGCAGTGGTATCGACGCTCCGGATGCGACCTGGGCAATCATTCGAGTCATTCATGGAGACTACAGATGCGTGCCCCGTCTGATGCACTTGAGTGTCCCTTCGCCGCTTGCATCCCAGCCTCAAAAACGTCGACAGAAGGCTCCGATATCGCGGCTCTGAGAGAAGAAAACGATCGGCTAAGGAAGTTGGTGGACTCGCATCAACTGAACCTGTCCAAGTCTCAGAAAGAGGTACATCCGAGAACCTCCGGACGATTGCGTGGCCGTGTGCTTAGGCCAATGCATTGATTGCTGATGATGCACATATTTTCTGCAGGCAGCAACACTCACTACCAAGCTTGCAATCAACAAAAAACGGCGCAGCGAGCTCGAGGCGTCGGTTGAATCGCTGAGTGAGAAGCTTGTTGCGGCCGAGAGGTTAGTCGAGAAAGCCAAAATGGGATCCAAGGTGACCAATGGGCCGTCAAAGGACGCCTATAGTGCCGAAGTACAAAAGTTAGGCAAGGTACGTTGTCGGCGGGACGTCGTGCCTCTCATATGCCTCAGCGGCCACAACTTTGAGCCACCTGTAACACCGCGGACCCTCCTGGATTTCATCCGGCATCGTTACCGCACACAGACGGATCAAACTGGCGGGGAGCCTGCTGTGACCGAGTCCAAGGAGGTCATCACCAACACTGTTCTTGCTGAGTCGCGGCTAGCCGAGATCGAGGCTCTTCGCAACGAAAAGATGCAGCTTGCGACCGAACTGGATACTTGGAAGGCACAGGTGGGCAACCGATCCGGCTCCTTGTCGCTGTGGGCTATATCCGAGCGAAATGCTGTCCGTGGCACTACAGACGAAGACCGAACTGCAAATATCGCTGTGAATCCGCAGAGCTCGGCGACACTCGCATGACCCTCGATGATTCCGCACTGGCAATGCCATCAGTGCATCTTGGACCGAGTCTCCATCACACTCGTTTATCGCGGAATAGCCCGTGCACACGCTCTGTGCGGAGCAGCGAGTAGCGGCTGTCAGACAACTGACGCTCTGTGCCACATTCTATCATAGATCCAGGAAATCACCGAGGACTACATTCGCCGCACCCCGATTTTTGCAACGATCGAGTCGGAGCTTAACTATTATCGAGTCGACAATGTTCTGCTCAAGGAAAGGATCGAGAAAACGACGACCGAGCTTGAGAAGCTACACGGCGAACGGCGCCAGTTTATCGAGAAACTGGAGGTGCGAATCAGATTGGATTGACTTGAATCAGATTGGATTGGCTGCTTTCGCATTTATTGGTGCGCCAGTATCCCGTTCTGAGAAGGCTGCGTGCCTCGCGGTAGCTGATAACCTTGCCGGTGACCCAGAACGAGGGCCATCGTTCACCGTGCGCCTTTGTCTGTGCAGATGGATGTAACGGACGCCCCACGGCAGTTGCTGTCGAGGAAATGGTGATAGCCCTTATTGACGCTGGACTTGCGCGCTTGACGGATGGTCGTGGCACTGTACACAGGCCGAGGAAGGCGCCCGTCGAAAAATGCTCGAGAATGAGATCCGCAACATCCACAATGAAGTCACGCGCTTGCGCGGAAATCGCGATGCGATTCAGCGAGAGCTGGAGCAGTACAAAGTCAAGAGCGAGTTGGAAATCATCCAGCACAACGAAATCTCGCACATTGCAAATAATCGGCAGGTAACGGATCGATGCGGCACGCCACTGCATCAAAATGCTGGCCAAGACAGGGCAGCCCGTCCATCCAGAGACTTGATAAGAGCAGGCGCTGTTGACGGAGCAGGCAGCGACGAGAGGCTCCGATGCCGAACAACATCCATCGCTGCTTCGAAGCTCATGTTGCGTCTTGGATCGCATGTATCCGAGGCAGCATCTCCCTGCGTCCATGATTCGGTAGGCTAATAGACTGGAAATGCCGTTGCTCTTGCAGGATCGAATCAAAGCGCTGGAGCTGCACATACAGAGGCTGAAGATGGGGATAGCAGCAAACGCCGGCGACCGAACCCTGATGCTGTTTTTCGAAGAGAACCCGAGCGGCAACCCACTGGAGGATCTGCGACAAAAGATCAAGTGCGTCATCTGTGCAGCGCGATCCGATGTGACGGTGATGGGCGATGCATCAGCTGTACAGTCTAAGAGCAGTCACTGGGCTGACGAGGGCGTGGGAGAGATATAGCGCCAGGCTTGGCTTGTGTTGCTGATTCGTTTCGCTGATGTGCTCTGTGCCGGCCGATCGATCACCCAGGGATGCCGATGCCAAGGTCAAAGAGCTTGAAACCACGGTGCAGTCATTCCGCGATGCGGCCTCAGATGAGATATTTGATCGGCAAGCGGTACGATTTTGGCTGCCTGGCATTCAGTCATTGGGGGTTCCCGAGACACAGCGACCCTGTATAAGGTTGCCCCGCAACCAGCGCAATAGCCGCAACGCTAACGCTCGGTCGGACTTGCTTTCATATTGGCCCGCGACGACATGACCCATTCAGGTGCTATTTTCAGAGCGCACACTGAAGCAAGAACTAGCGCGTCTGCAGCAGCGCCTCCAAGAGTACGAGTCGATATGTGGCCCAGAGCTGCTAGAATCGTCCGGATCCGACCCTGCTGTGGACACAGCCTCGCCCGATCACCCGACGGCCAAGTACCTCGCGACCCAGTTATCGGAGCGGCACGCCAAGCTGAAGGAGCTCGAGCTCAAATGCGAGTACTTCCAGCGGGTATGTCCATCGCTGGCTGGTCTAGTTGTCCCGACCACACTGTACATCGTCGTCCATCCACTCTCCCGCCTGCTCCACTCATGCTCAAACACATTTGCATTTTGCGTTCTCAGACAGAGTCCCGCCTGCTGGAGGAAGTCAAGACGATTGGTGAGGCGTGGACGCAGTTGGAGGACCAAAAGTCGCAAAAGGTGCTCAATCTCGTCGAGAAGGAGGATCAAATCAGCCGACTTTCAGCCGAGGTATGGCACCGACCAAAGTGGGCCGGAGCAAGCATGGCCGTGTTTGATCTGCCAGCGATACTTGCCGATGCCAAATGGATGTTGTCCAGCTGTGTATCTATCTCGAACCTGACATCCGGCTCTTGCCATTGTGCCCCCAGAAACTGCGGATGGAGCAAAAGTACAATGCTCAGTACAAGCAGATGAACGTCATGTCTCACATGCGCAAGGCAATGCAACAGCAGTCGGACCGACAGCTGGAGCAGATCCGGAAGCTCGAGGAACGCGAAAAGAACCTGTCCCTACAATTGGTTGGTTGCGATGCGCACTGTGGGCTCGCTTTCAGCATGTTTCCCAGCCATTTATCTGTGGCACTGACCATGGCTGACGCGGATGTTCGTTATCCTTGGCGGCCGTCATATTCCTGCTGCGCGGCGGTGCTGTTGGGCAGCAACACTTTGAGCGAGAGCTGGCTGCTCGACAGACTACGATCGACACACTCAAGCGCAAGGCAGCCGAGAGCCTCCAGTCACTGCAAGACTTTAAGGAGAAGCATGAGCGACAAAAGACCCGCGCAGACGAGGTGGGTGTGGGCGGTGAAGCATGTGCCAGCATAACAATCGTGCTGGTGGAGGGGGGCCGCAGGGTGTGCTGGATTCTCCAAGGACAAGCCAATGTGACAGTCCATCATATCTGACTCGTGGTTTCGCGACTGCATCTCCGCAAAAGACTCTGCGGCTCTTGAAGGACAAAACCGTGTCGATGGAGAAGGACGCTGATCAGCGGAATCGACTGGCGGAGCAAGTCGAGGTTCTCAAGAAAAAGAGCGAGATGCTCATGGAAAAGCAGGAGAGCCAGACGGACGTGGCTCTGCGGAAGCAGCTTGAGGATTACAAGGTCAGTCCCGCCATAACCTTCCGTCTCGGCGGGCCCTCATTTCCTCGCGATTGCTCTTCTCGGCAGCGATATTATCACAATGCATGGGATCGATACCTTGCTTGGACTGACCCGCCGGTTTGCTTCGGCATGCTCGTCGCCCACAGCTTCTGCTCAAGTGCAGCTCCTGCAATACCAACTTCAAGAGCCACACACTGCTCAAGTGTATGCATACGTTTTGGTAAGTGGGGCCGTGTCTGGTCAAAAGGGCGTTTATCCACGAGCGGGCTGTTTCCTCGCTGGATGCGTGCTTCGTTGACAGGCCGGCAAGCTGTGCGGCCCGGTCGATAATTGAACCATATTTGCTCACTCTGTCACCTCTTTGTACCCCTGCGCTCGAACAGTAAAGGGTGTATCGATGATATGTGTGCCTCTCGGCAGCGCAAGTGTCCAACGTGCGGGCTGACTTTTGCCCATCAGGACATTCGGGAAGTTTACTTGTAATACAATCGTTTTATTCGGCATTGACACCAGCGGGATCTGCTCGCGAAACCCAGCCACCTTGGCCGAGAATGCATGGCACCACTGAAATCGACAGCGGGTGCTGGTCGCAATGTGTCGCTGGAATGCGCTGGACGGGCTGGGTGAAGACAGGATCCGACATGTTTCTGGCGATTTGAGGCTACTCGCGGGCTTTGTTCTCGACGGTAGCAATGCTTCCAAGGACAGCAACAATGTCCTTGTGGTTTGGGTTTCTGATGGCCTCAGTCCAGATGGCCAGCGCCTCTTGGTACAGTGCGAGCGCGTTGGCAACGTCGCCCTGGGCAAGCGCCACATCGCCCAGATTGCGGAGAGTTGTTGCAACATCGGGGTGCTTGCGTGTTTTGTACACCTGGGTGAAGATGTCAAGGGCCTCCTGGAGAAGACTCTGGGCCTCGGCCAACTCGCCTTGGAGGCACTTTAGCGTCCCCGAGGCATCAAGGACAAGTGCAACATGCTCGTGGATCCGAGACTTGAACGCTTCGAGTCCAATACTGAGAGCCTCCTGGTACAGTGCCTCGGCTTGATCATAGTCGCCTCGAGACTGCACGACTTTACCCAGGCGGTGGATGATTATGCCGACTTCAGGGTGTTTGCGTGTGCCGTACGCCTTGGTCTTGATGTCGAGGGCCTCTTGGTAGTATGCGAAGGCGGCCTCGATATTGTCCTGCGAAAACGCAACATTACCCATCTCAAAGAGCGTGGTGGCAACTGAAGGGTGCTCTCGTGTGCCGTACGCCTTCGTGTACGTGGCAAGGACCTCTTGGTAGTATGCCAGTGCGGCATCGTAGTTGCCCTGGGCATTGGCCACACTGCCCAACTGACGGATCGTGGTAGCCACCTCGGGATGGTCCCGGCCGCCATATACCTTGGATTCGATCTCCAGCGCCTCTTGATAGTAGGCCTGTGCGGCCTCGTAGTGGCCCTGTGAGTTGGCGACTTGGCCGAGAGAATAGTTCGTGGCGGCGACATTGGCATGTTCGCGAGTGCCGTACATCTCGATGAAGAACTCTTGGGCCTCTTTGAAATACGCAAGGGCCGTTTCGTAGTCACCCTGTTTGTACGCGACATTGCCCATATTTTGGATCGTAGTGGCAGCCGGCAGATAACGGTGCGGACCATAGATCTCGTTGAAGATGCCGAGTGCCTCCTCGTAGTGCTTGGAGGCAGACCCGTAGTCACCCTGGTAATACACGACATCGCCGAGATAGTGCATTGCAGTGGCAACTTCTGGGTGCTGGCGTCTGCCGTAAAACTCGGCGCATCGGTCAACGTACGGCTCGTAGACATCTCTTGCCTTGCCAAAGAAGCCACGGGTCTCTGCCATGGATGCAATGCGGTAGATAGTCGCTTGGTGGAGATACTTTGTGTATCGATCTGGAACCGCCAGCGATGCAAAGCGGTCAAGATGCCCGGCATAGGGATAGGCATCTGCAAGCAGCGATACGGTCAACTGAAGCAGTGCCCCGCCCGTGGCATCCTCAATGTCCTCGACCCTCAGCTCTCCGTGTTGACTGATGTAGCTTCGAGCTAACTGCTGGGTGAGCGAGTGGGTCGAGTACAGCCCTTCGGCTCCGCTTCGGAGAAGGCCGCTTTGGATCACCATCTTGATCAGATCAGTCACTGTGATGAGACAATGTCAGCAACACGCAGCCGCGGTGCTCAGTCGCATCCTGTGTGCATCTCCACGCAGCACAACTCACCATCGGTCTTGAGCTCCATCTTCTGCACGATCTCCTTGATCAACTCGAACTGGATGTTGGTCGGCGCCACCAGACTGAGGGCACCGAACAGCCTGGCTGCCTCGATGCCTTCATTCCCTCGCTTCATAATCGAGTCCAGCGACAGATCCACAATCACCTTGAGCGACGACCGAGTCTCGTCCTCGCCTTCCTGCTCCTCGAGGACCTTGGAGAACAGCCGCTCGATCTCGGACAGCGGCACCTCGTTGTTCTCGTAGAAGGTCATGAATGTCTGAATAACGAGCGGATATCCGTCGATCTTGGTCATGATTCGCTTCAGCGTCTCATTTGTTGCGTCCGCCCCTACCTTTTCAGAGAAGATTGGAGAGATCTTCTGGATGTAATCGAGCGTGGTTGCATCGTCCCAGTTACCCAGGCGGAGTGGGTCGTGTCTGTATCCAGGGTTCTTGGCTTTGAGAGCACTGGCGAATGCACCGGGAGGCAGCGAGGCCAGCCGGGTCGTCACCACCACATCGCCGCTGAACCCGACCGACTTGGAGTGCTCAAACACAGAGTCGACCACGCTGATGTCGTCGACATTGTCGAGCACCAGGAGATAGCCGTGAGTGTTGGCGAGGAACTTGGCGGCATGCTTCTTGACCTTCTCTGGCTCGACACCATCAAACAGTTCGCACAGCCCATCGAGGGCAGTCGACTCGGTCGAGCAGTTGATCCAAAAGACTTGGTTGTACTGCGGCTTGATGCCGATGGTCTCGTCTTTGACGGTTTTGAGGTCGTCCTTGTTGCTGACGTCGAGGGTGCCCATCATGAAATGGAGAATCTGGAGGGCCAGGACGGACTTGCCCATGCCGCCCATGCCCGAGATGACGGCGCGGCCAGTCAGGGTGAGCTGCTTGAGCAAGGTGTCGAGGTGGGCGGGATCGACTCGGAACTTGGAGTCGCAGAAGAGCGAGTCGTAGAGTGCGATTTTGGTGGCGGAATCGACTTGCACGGGGTGGAGCAGGTTGAGGATGCGATAGACTCGCTGGTGCATCTGGTCGGGACGAATGCCAAACATCTGGATCTGGTTCATTCTGCCGAGGGTTTCCTTGACCGAGGCAAAGGCCGGGTCGTCGGGGAGAGACACCTTGTGCGGTAGGAAGGGAGTGAAGACATCGACGCCGTCCTTGGTCTCCTTGGTGGCGATTCCAAGGGGAAGGACAGGCAGAGCGGGATTGGCATCCTTGAGGTCGAGGGCGGTCTTGATTTCGAGGACGACATTGTCCTCCTGGCTCGAGAGGACCTTGTCCTTCATCAGGTCCATCGAAGCCTGGCTGAGGAGGAGGATAACGACCTTGCTCTTGGGGAGGGCACCAAGAAAGCCGTCTCGCCAGTCGCGGGCGTCGACGAGGCAGTCGACATCGTGGAAGACAGCAAGCGGTTTGCCGTATCGACGGAGGGCAGCCAAGGAGAGCATCTGCTTGAGTTCCCTGGCGGTGTCTGCATCGGTGGCGACCCGGTACGAGAGGAACAGGTCGTGGTCGGGGCCGTGGTTGTTGCAGGCGTAGAGCCGGCTGCTGGTGGCGGTCAACATGGCCGGATGGGTATCGTTGGACTGGCGATGGCCGAGCAAGCGGGCAGAGAGGCTGGCCACGATGATGGAGACGAACTGGTGCGGGTGGCGGAGCACATCGATGTCCTTGACATCGCCTCTTGGTCATGGCCACCTTGCCTCGCCTGCCCCAATCCTGTCGCATCTCCTTGCCTCATCTGCGTTCTCCTTGCCTCATCTGCCTTGTCGGCATTCTCCGTCCGAACATGACAGCTGCTCTGGCTGAGGAGGACATGAGCAATGTGCTTGAACTCAGTCCTGTGTCGTTTCGATATTCCACGCCAGCCAATCCGTCGAATGATCCACCAACCGACCCACCAACTGCCCCGCAATATCCGCTCTCGTATCCATCATCGTATCTTCCGAAATATCTTGAACCCGACGACCTACCGCCATTTCCTCCTCAATATCGTCAGCCATATGATGCACTGCCGTATCTTCCGCCAAGCAACCAACCAGGAAGCTACCCACTGCTTCCAAGTGAGCGATCGTTAGCCGAGCCGGTCATACAATATGCTGCCCCTTTCTTCAACGATGCAAATGAAAGATCGATTACAAGCCATATGAGCTCAATCCCATCGTATGCACCCAGTGCCTTCGCGGCGTCTTCCTCGGTTTCTGGGCTGAGAATGCCTGGTCATTCGCGCAGCTCTGTTGTTCCTTCTCGTCTTTCCACCGGAATCCACGAAGCTTCCAATGCAATTGAGCGACGGGAGGACGCCGTGCACGTCGCCGCCCAGCCGAAGCAAGATCAGTACGAGCCACGAGTCCAGTTTTGTCTCCCTATCCCTCAAAGCTGCGAGAATCCAATAGAGTACTGCACCCAAGCATTCGCCAAGATCCACTCGCAGTCGAGCCACCCGGCCGAGCTGGTCACGGTGGTGTCGGCGATTGCCACGGCCCAGTCGATCCTGACCCCACAGATAATCGCCGATGTGTTTGGACTCGAGATCGGCGTCGTTCGCGAGTGTCTCACGAGCCTCAGTCTGGTCCTCGATCCTGGCGCTAATGGATTGGGTCCCCGAGACAGCCAGTCCACCAACACCGAGGTCAAGTTCAACCACAAGTCGGTGGCGGACTATCTCCTCGGCGACGCATCGACTGGCCATCCGTGGCATGTGTCGGACTCGTTCCACACGGTGTTTGCCAAGGGATGTCTCGGAGTGATCCTCTCGCACGAGCCAGTGATCAACATCTGCGATATCTACGACTTTCACGACAAGATCCCAGACCTCGAGGACAGGGTCGCAGTCAAGATCACACCGTCGCTGCGATACAGCGTCGCGCACTGGATCACACACTTTGTGTGGTGTGTGGAAGGAGAGGCCGAGTCGAGTCCGATTTGGCAGTCGGCCGAGATGGTCGATGTGGCAGCGGTGCTCACTCGGTTCGTCAAGACTCATGTGTTCTTCTGGCTCGAGTGTGGGTCGCTCACACATGTGGTCAAGCCGATCATCGAGCAACTGGCTGTGCTGCGAGGAGTGATCGCCAAGGCACCCAGCACCATCGTCGACGACACCACGAAGGAACTGGTCAAGGACACGTATCGATTCATCCGCGAGTTTGCCTATCCGATCATCAAGAGTGCGCCACAGGTGTACAACTCGGGGTATGCATTCACACCGAAGGAGACGGCGATCTACAAGACATATGCCACCCAGCTCGAGGACAAGATCCCGTTCCTGGTCACTTGCGGTCCAGCACCCACCTGGGATCCGTGTGAGATGACGCTTGCCGATCACAAGAACCGGGTGAATTCTGTGGCAATCTCACCCGATGGCAAGTGGATTGTCTCTGGCTCTTGGGACGAGACCATCAAGGTGTGGGATGCCACCACAGGTCAGTTGAAGCACACCCTCGAGGGACACACAGACAGGGTGACCTCCGTGGCGATCTCACCCGATGGCAAGTGGATTGTCTCTGGCTCTTGGGACGAGACCATCAAGGTGTGGGATGCCACCACAGGCCAGTTGAAGGACATCCTCTTTGGACACACAAGAGAAGTGCGCTCCGTGGCGATCTCACCCGATGGCAAGTGGATTGCCTCCGGTTCCGGCGACAATACAATCAAGGTGTGGGATGCCACCACTGGCCAGTTGAAGCACACTCTCGAGGGACACACGGACGGCGTCAATTCTGTCGTGATCTCACCTGATGGCAAGTGGATTGTCTCTGGCTCGGTGGACAAGACCATCAAGGTATGGGATGCCACCACGGGCCAAGTGAAGCACACCCTCGAGGGACACACAGGCTATGTGCGCTCAGTGGCAATCTCACCCGATGGCAGGTGGATCGTCTCTGGTTCTGGTGACAGCACCATCAAGATGTGGGATGCCACCACGGGCCAAGTGAAACACACTCTCGAGGGACATACAGGCTATGTGCGCTCAGTGGTAATCTCACCGGATGGCAGGTGGGTCGTCTCTGGTTCTGGTGACAGCACCATCAAGATGTGGGATGCCACCACTGGCCAGTTGAAGCACACTCTCGAGGGACATACAGCCAGTGTGTTCTCCGTGGCGATCTCACCTGATGGCAAGTGGATTGTCTCTGGCTCGGTGGACAAGACCATCAAGGTATGGGATGCCACCACGGGCCAAGTGAAACACACCCTCGAGGGACACACAGGCTATGTGCGCTCAGTGGTAATCTCACCGGATGGCAGGTGGGTCGTCTCTGGTTCTGGTGACAGCACCATCAAGATGTGGGATGCCGCCACTGGCCGGCTGAAGCACACCCTCAAGGGACACACCAGTTGGGTCAACTCGGTCGCAATCTCACCTGATGGCAAGTGGATTGTCTCTGGTTCTAAAGACAAGGCCATCAAAGTGTGGGATACTACCACGGGCCAGGTGAACCAGACTCTTGACGGACACTTAAACCAAGTCAACTTTGTAACGATCTCTCCCGATGGCAACTCGATCAAGTCCCGTGATTATTCCGACGCAGAAATCATCTGGGTCCGTGCAGGCGACACATTTGTTCGTTCCAACGAATCTCCCCGCAACTTTGTCGATGCGTTCGCTCCACCTGGTTCATCCGAGTGGGTTGGGAGTGATAGCGGACAGTCCCCGTGGATCCGTCATGGCAAGAACGCTGCCATGATCCCACTGGCCCTCTTTGGCGATTGGAGCTTCCACCTCTTCACTCCATCGGGTGCACTCGTCCTGTTCAGCAGCGCCATTCCACTCCGCCCTACTATTGTCACGGTAAGTTCACATCATCATTCTGCTTTCCGCGACTCATGCTAACATCTCCACCACATTAGCCCATCCATCTCGACACTCCCGAGATCCACGCGCACATCGCATCCTACAAACAAGCTCGAACTGCCGCAACAGCCCTCTATGAAGAGCAAGTCCGAGAGATTGAAGCAGCAAGACAGGCTGAAGCAGCAAGACAGGCTGAAGCAGCAAGACAGGCTGAAGCAGCAAGACAGGCTGAAGGAGAAGCCAGAAAAGCCAAAGGGGAACTGAAGATACTCGAGGCTTCCAAACTCCAGGGGCTCTTCAAGTGGTTCCGCAAGCGAGGCGCTTGAGCCTTACCACAACCAGGCCTGGTTGAATCCGCCGAGTGTCGCGATCTATTGCATTGGTTGTGAGAATACATCGTGGCTGTTTCTCGCATATTCAAGTATGGTTGCGTCTCGACCTCCGCCGGAGTGGACCAGAGCGCCAAATTGGACCTCGCTTCCTGAGCCTGGTTGAGTGGATGCCGGCCTCCTATACTCTCTGCTGTGCCCGCCAATACGACCCAGGATCTGCCGCCGCCGCCTCTCTGACTGCTCCCTCTTTGCGCCCTCTCGCTTCAATACACATCTCTTCGTCTGCGTCTGCCTCTACGTCTGCGTCTGTCGGCGATTCGATCTCCAGTCCCACTCGGCCGTTTTCGTCCGCATCGGCCTCTGCACCAGCACCATTCCCGCGTCTATATCTTGCGCCAGAGATGCGTACCGTCCCGACGTGGTCTGATAAGGTTCGCTTGAGACACTCTTGCTGTGCTGGCTGCCCTGTAGTTGGCAATCCTGCACGCCCACTTTTCCCTCCGTTCGTTGGGCTCACGGATTGTGACGCGAGATCCAGCCAGAACGAAATCGCCATGACCAAGATGGTCAACGCTGCCCCGTCTCGCTTGCCTTCTCACACTCTGGCTCGTCTTCTCCCCCTGCCCGTTATGCCCAACACCATCGCAGGTCCAAGACCGCACCGGATCATCGCAGCCCATCTACGATTTGACCTTTCGTCCTGATGGCACCCAGATCATCGCCGCAGCAGGGCACGAGGTGCTCGTCTACGATTCCATGTCTGGGGAGCTGATCCAGGCCCTCAAGGCTCACAAGGACACCGTCTACTGCGTCGACTATGCTCCAGATGGCAAGCGTTTCGTGTCTGGCGGCGCCGACAAGCAGGTCATCATCTGGAGCCCCAAACTCGAGGGCGTCCTCAAGTTTTCCCACAACGACCCGATTCAGGCCGTCGCGTGCAATCCGGCATCGAGCATGGTCGTGTCGTGCTCGACCTCGGACTTTGGGCTGTGGTCGCCTGAGCAAAAGTCAGTCTCGAAATATAAGGTGAGCTGCCGAGTGTGGGTATGAGAATGGTGGCGAGGAGAATGACCAAAATATGAGGATGCAGAGATCAGGCGCTCTTCCCTCGGATAGCGGGCGGCGGCAGCGTCAGATGCGCTCTTTGATGTCGACGCTGCCCAAATCAGCATCGCTTCCGCACAGAGGCCTGTCATCTAGCTTTCCGCGCCAATGACATTCGACTCGGGTCCATAATCGCACTTCCACGACAACAGCGCTTTACGGCATCGCTCGACACTTGCGCACTTGCACACCAGTACACTTGCACACTTGCACACTTGCACACTCACTCATGTCCTTCGTTGTTCACGCACAAGGTCTCTTCGCGCATCCTGGCGGTCTCTTGGACAAGCGACGGCCAGTGCTTTGCTCTGGGCATGTTCAACGGCAATGTCTCGATCCGAAACAAGAACGGCGACGAAAAGGTCCGGATCGAGCGCGGCACATCGCCCATTTGGTCGTTGGCATTTTGCCCCAGCGCCGATCGTGACTATGAGGTCCTGGCGGTCGCCGACTGGAGCCAAAAGCTGTCGTTCTTCCAGGCAAACGGCCGCCAAATCGGCAAGGACCGCAACCTCAACTACGATCCGTGCTGTGTCTCGTTCTTCCCAAGCGGCGAGTATGTCGTCATGGGCGGGTCTGACCGCAAGGCAACCTTGTGGACGAGCGAGGGCATCCGGCTCGGCGTCGTCTGTGAGCGTGAGAACTGGGTCTGGTGCTGCAAGGTCAAGCCGCAGCAGAACTATGTCGCTGTGGGCTGCCACGACGGAACGATAGCGGTCTTCCAGATCCTCTTCAATACCGTCCACGGGCTCTACCATGATCGATATGCCTACCGTGAAAACATGACCGACGTGGTCATCCAGCACCTGTCGACCGAGCAGCGCGCTCGCATCAAGTGCCGTGATTTTGTAAAGAAGATAGCTGTCTATAAAGACAGGCTTGCGGTGCAGCTCCCCGACCGGGTGATCATTTACGAGGTCTTCCACGACGACGCCACGGACATGCACTACCGCATCAAGGAGAAGCTGCAGAAGAAGCTCGACTGCAACCTCCTGGTCGTGACCTCCCAGCACATCATCCTGTGTCTCGAAAAGAAGCTGCAAATGTACAACTTTCTCGGCGAGAAAGAGCGTGAGTGGACCTTGGATGCACTCATCCGGTACATCAAGGTCATTGGCGGCCCGCCCGGTCGAGAGGGTCTGCAGATCGGACTTAAGAACGGACAGATCCTGCAGATCTTCATCGACAACCCCTTCCCGATCCCGTTCATCAAGCAATCGACCTCGATTCGGTGCCTCGATCTCAGCATGGGCCGCACCAAGCTGGCCATCGTCGACGAGCACAACACCTGCCTCGTCTACAGCACCAAAACAAAGGAGCTGCTCTACCAGGAGCCCAACGCCAACAGCGTGGCCTGGAACTCTGAGATGGAAGATATGCTGTGCTTCTCCGGCAATGGCGTGCTCAACATCAAGGCAAACAACTTTGCCCCACACCAACAGAAGATGCAGGGCTTTGTCGTGGGCTTCAAGGGCTCCAAAGTCTTTTGTCTGCACAGCTACTCCATGTCCACGATCGATGTGCCGCACTCGACCTCGTTGGAGCGGTACATCGAAAAGAAGGACTATGTGCAGGGCTACCGAGTTGCGTGCCTGGGCGTGAGCGAAAGCGACTGGAAACGTCTCGCCATGGAGGCCCTGGAGAACATGCAGCTTGAGGTGGCCCGAAAGTCTTTCACGCGCATCAGGGATCTGCAGTACATTGATCTGATTGGGCAAATCGAGCGAACCAAAAGCGACGGCACGGCGGTGCAGGATATCTGGATGGGAGAGATCATGGCCTACAGCGGCAGGTACCACGAGGTAGGTTGATGTCGACAGCAACTGCTGGTTTAATATGAGCATGGACAGGCCACAACGAAATCACGCGGCCATCCAAAGTATGGAGAAGCATGCGGCTTGTTGAAGGTAAACTTGAGTTCACCAGGCCATGTCGTTCCCCTCTCCTTCTCCCTCCCTTCCTCCCTCTCCCCTCACTCATATGCTCCGGTCCAGGCTGCAAGGCTCTTCAAGCGCGGTGGGAATCCACAAAAGGCCATCGAGATGTACACCGAGCTCAACATGTGGGAGTACGCCACCCAGATCGCCGAGGAAACCAACACCAACCGAGAGGAGATCCTCAAGCGAAAGGCGCAAATGCAGCAGGACCAAAACAATCTGCTCGCCGCGGCGACCACCTATATCGAAGTCGGCGACTACATCCAGGCCATCAACATCCTCGGACCCAATGGCTGGCTCGACAAGCTCATCGAGGTCGTCCGTCGTCTCAACAAGGCCGAAACCAAGAGCCTGAGCCGCTGCGTACACTTTTTCCGCAAGCACAACCACCACGCCTACGCGGCCGAGACTCTCGTCAAGATGGGGGACATTGGCCATCTGTTGAACCTCCACATCGAGCTTCAGCACTGGGACGAGGCCTTCCGTCTGGCCGAGACCCACCCCGAGTTCAACGAGCAAATCTATCTGCCCTACGCCAATTGGCTCGCCGCCAACGGCCGATACATCGAGGCACAGCTCAACTACCGCAAGGCTGGGCGCGCTGCCGAGGCCGTGCTGGTGCTCGAGAAGCTGACCCGCAACGCCATCGTCGAGAAGCAGTTTGACGATGTCGCATATTACTACTGGATGCTGGCGATGGAGACGCTCGAGCAGATCCCCGCCAATGTCGAGTACAACGAGCTGGGCTTCAAGCAGCGCCAGGATGTCGTGGCCTTCTATCGGTATCAGGAGCTGGCCGACGTCTACTACGCCTACTACTTTGTGCAGCGCTACATTGACGAGCCTTTCACCTCGCATCTGCCCGAGTCGATCCTGTGCATGGCCAAGTTTATCCTGCACTTCTTCAACAAGAACCCGGTGCTGCCCAGGGGCCTGTCGAGAGTGTACGTCCTCTATGCCATCACCAAGATCTCGCAAAGCCTAGGCACATTCAAGTTTGCGCGATATGCATACGAGAAGATGCAGGCACTCCGGGTGCCCGAGCCGTGGGCCGATGCCATCGACGTTGGCACACTCATTATCCGAGCCAAGCCCTTCGTCGACAACGAGGAGCACCTGCCGTCGTGCTTCCAGTGCTCGAGCGTCAATCCGTACTTTAATCTCAAGGGCGACTTTTGCATCAACTGCATGGAGCCTATGATTCACTCGCACTACTCGTACTGCAACTTGCCGCTGGTTCAGTTTCTCTTTGACCCCGACATCTCGGAGAAGGAAGCCCTGGAGTTGATCGAGTCCGAGAAGCCCTACGACAGCTATGCTCGCAGCGAGGACGGCAATACTCTCACCGAGATTCTGCTCAAAGAGTCTGGCGACGAGGACTATAGCTCTCGGCTGGCCGGTGGTGCAGGGCTCAATCCAGTGTACATGCCAACTCGGCTCAACCGCACGGCTCTCATGAAGCTGGACCGCCACTCGGTCTTTATCCGGAAGTGGGGCAAGGCCAGCATCAGAAACGAGTACTATCGCATGGCGCGGTCAGAGACCCGAGTGGTGATGTGTGCCGTGTGCCAGCGCTTCTTTCTCTCGGACGAATGGTGCTATCAGGTCCTCCAGAAGGGAACCTGTCCGTTTTGCCGCTCGCCGATGGAAATGGAATAGCGCATGGAGGTCTGACCCATCACCCGCCGGTATGGTCACGACGGTGCAGCGTCAGCGATAGGTGCTTTCTGCCTTGCTGCCTTGCTTTCTGCTTCTCTGTTTCTCTGCCTTGCTGCCTCTCTGTTTCGACCCCCACAAGCGCACAACGCTGTCGTGGCGGTGACGGTTGCATTCGGTTTTACTCAATATCTGAATCTCTCGATTGCCTGTGCACTGTGTTGTGCCGTCTTGCATGTGTCCAGCAAGAGCCACTCAAGTGATGGCATTCCCTCGACTGTTTCCCGTGTTCGGGCTGCGTTGCGCACTTGCACACTGGTCGCCGCACGGACTTTTGTCATGCTTGCACGGATGCTCGCTGTGGTTGGAAGGGCTGAGTCTGGGCAAGAGTGCCATGCGACATCGATTGACACGCTGGGCTCCAGACCCAGACACTGGGGCGACTCGTTCATCCCCGCTGCCCTGGTTTCGTTCTGGGCTCTCAATCTTGCAAACGCGCAAGACTGGACAGGCGCTTGGCCGAGCAATCTCACGCCAAGAGTGGATATGAAGGAATAAGTGGATCCATGTGTTGATTTAGCTTCTCGTATACACAATTGGCACAAGAGTGTGCAGACTGGCGCTGTCCGTCAGCGATACTGCTGATTCAGAATCGAGGCCTCCCAAATGCCAACAAAGAATTCGACAGCCAGGAACGCGAGCATGACGGAGTTGAGGGCCACATCGAATATAAGTCTGGCGGAGTGGTGAAGCGAGTGTCAGCTGCCATCTCGAGTTGCAGTCGTGGCAGCCGTGAGCAGCACCGATTCTGCCTCGTATTCACATTCATATTCACATTCACATTCATGCAAACGTCTGTCCCGCGTGTGGGAAATCGAGCTCGGCGCTGGGCTGGCTTGAGACACTTACACATAGGCTTGCCAGAGAAAGTAAAACAAAAAACCACACATGGCCACGGGCGTCATCCCGAGAAACACCATCAGGGGAATCGGCTCCTCGGTTTTGTTTCCCCTTGATCCTGGAGGCGACCGTAGTCAAGCAAGCATCAGCAAGAGGACATGGCAGTGCTCAGTCGCTGCACTTGCCAGTCTGCACCAAGAGAGCGGTGCGAAGAACCAGTGCAGTCAGCGGGGCCCATCCCCCCTTCACCGAGAAGCGACTTTGATCCATCTAGATGTAGCATACCGAACGAAAGCCGAGCCAGCTCCAGGCCCGTGAGTGCAAATAGCCCAAATATCTCCAGACCCAGAACCGACGATGGATACGGCAGACGATACCCTGACGCGAGAAACAGCAATGGGGCCCGTCGCTGTGTGAGAATCTGCCCTCAGGACCGAGCGAATGCAGCCCGGGACGAGGATCGTGCGTGAAGATACAATGTCCAGCTCGCAAAGCAACGCACACAGGTGATGGCAACGCAGTGCGACGAGCGTGCTTGTACCGATCCATCACATTGCCGACTACGATCTATGCAACTCGCGGTCGTGGGTCTGCAGCAGCCTCACCTTTGTAGATCTGGAATCCCAGCGCCACGACCAGATATACTATGGCGAATATCTGGTTGAAGTAAATCGCGATCTGCAGGGGCAGAGACGAGTGCTGCGGCATGGGGAACGGGATTGCTGGTTAGGATCCATGCGCCGTCAGAAAGCTGCTTGCAGGCGTGTCTGCATCCAATGCTGAAGCGAACAGCATCGGCGAGCAGCCACAAGTCATGGAAGCATGCGCAAATGCCGCGTACTATCTTTATCGACTGGTTCCCAGGCATCTTTCACGTATGCACTTCCCGATGCAAGACCGAAGGCGTGCTCGGCCGAGTGCCCTCGCTCTTCATGGGCCCAGACCAACAGCCCGCCATTTCAGCAATCACAGTCCCCGCTTTCTGTTCGTCTTCTCAGATGCACCACCCCGCCTCGCCGACCAAGCAGTCGCATGGTGAGCTCCAGATGAATGGCATTGTCCACAGACAGGTCCAGATGCCATCCCTCGCTAGCATCCCGAACCCTGGAGACTATCGGGCTGAGTGGGCTATACAGGTGACTGTGCGGTATATTCGATGATCCATCCGGTGGAGGGTGTTTATTACAGAGACGGATTTCGATCGCGCTGTCGATTGAGACCTCAAAGGGAGGGCACACGACGGGCAGGATCTTGATTTGAGCCGCCTAGCACTGCAGGAAGCGCATCGCTGGCGGAATGGGGCGGATATGAGTTAGTTTCAGCTTCAGTTGTGGGACAGTGAGAGTCGGCATCCACACGATGTGGCCCAACAAGATCACTTTGAGCAGGAGCGAACCATGCTGGCGAGATGAAGCACGACCACAACCTTTCCTACTTGCTCTCCTCGAGCTTGGAGACAATCTGGGCCTTGATGGCGGCAAGCTCCTCCTGGGTAGGGCTCTTCATGGGCCACTGGATACCGAGGCCTTCAGTCTCAGTCTTGGGACTGTTGGAAAGGTGGGTGGCAGATCAGCAAAACGTAAGACTCAAAAACACACCTTGGGAAGTCAAGCGGACCGCCAGAGAGCGACGGACAATCGATCGGCAATCTAACATGCAGCCCCGTTTCGCAAGTCTGCGCTGCTACTTTGCCAAGACAGTGGGATGCGCTTACATGATGTGGAAATGAACATGGTCCACTGCGGATAGATGAAGCAAGCAGGGGTCAGCCGAAGCCTGTGCAGCCCTGAGATCGACGCTCGTATGCAGAGCCCATATGCGCCTACTTACCAGCTTGGTCTGTGTATCGCCATGAAGAGTTGCCGAGGGCAGGAAACAGAACAGAGGCTTGTCAGAGACGACCGCAGGATCAAGCGCGGACCCGACATATGGAAATCAGTGCAACTTACGAGCGAGGCGGCCGTTGTTCTGGATACAGGGGGAGGGTATGTGCAGATTGCATTAGCGTCCACTGCCGCCAAGAAATCGGGTCTAGGTGCATTGGCTTGAACTGAACACCCAGAGCCAGAGCTCTGGCATGCCGTTCCTGAGAGCGCCACCGGCTGGTGGTGCATCGATCGACATACCTGGAGCAGGTTGTACTGGGCAGGGCCGAGGGCCTTGACGATCCTCTGGGCAGCAGGGAGCAGGTCAGCGAGGTGGGCCTCGGGCACCTGGTGGAAGAACTGGGCGTGGTCTGCAGAACCAAGCCGGTGGCAGGACCAGTCGGGGTCATCAGGGCCATCGGGGCCATCGGGGCCATCGGGGCCATCGGGGCCATCGGGGCCATCGGGGCCATCGGGGCCATCGGGGCCATCGGGGCCATCGGGGCCATCGGGGTGGGCCAGAGGCAAAAGGACCAGCCGGATCAGCGAGGGGTCTGATGCAGACGAGTGCCATGGCAGGAAAGCAACACGACAAGAGGATACGGACACTTGGGGATCACAAGGACATGGCCGGTGCTGATGGGGTTGATGTCCAGGAAGGCGTAGGTCAGCTCGGTCTCGAGGATCTTATGGGAGGGGATGGCACCTTGGATGATCTGGTGGCCAGGAGAGAGGAGGGAAAGGGTGAGAGGCAGCAACAGCAAGACGGGCCCCGCAGCGACGATGCGACGACAGTCCGACGACAGTCCGACGACGATGCGACGCAGCCGGGGAGTGGCCGACCTTGCAGAAGATGCAGTTGGCGGTGAGATGGCTCATGGCTGATGTTGCGCGGATTGGAAGGCAGATCGGGGACAAAGAGGAGAGGCTTGCTGGCGCCGCGACTGCCCCTTGAAGGACCGACGGGCGCATCGCCAGGTGCATCGGAGAGCACATTGCCGAGCGCATTGCAGAGCGCTGGAGTGTTCGGAGGAGCGCTGGAGTGTTCGGAGGAGCGCTGGAGTGCTCGGAGCACGGCGGCACATGGTCTCGTGGGGACGGGCGCTTGCCAGGTTGGTTATTGGATTGGTTATGGGGTTGGTGCTTGATGTTAATCCCAGATATGATATCAGTACCAAATACGATATCAGTACCAAATACAATATCAGTACCAAATATGATATCAGTACCAAATATGATATCAATCCTAAATCAACCCCCACACGATGCCTTCGTGTCCGTCGCCCGTCCGCTCTCCCCCCCCCGCAGCACTCGGAATTGGCGGGAAGGCCGCACAATCACCGCCGCTGCTCATCGTCGTCGGCAGTTATCGCTCGGGGCTGATTGGTCTGCTGCCAAGAGCACAGCGTCGCTGCTGTCGCCGTCGGCACCCATCCAAGCGCTTGCACTGCATCTGTCTCGGGAGCATCTCCGAGGCCATCTGCTGATCATCCAACTCGGTCTCTGCCGCCATGGCCTCCATAGAAGTAGGTACTCGTTCAGCAACTTTGTCCGCCAGACGAGGCTGTACTAACGCCAATACTCTGCTCCCAACACAGGTGCTGTTTGAAGGTAGTCCAGACGGCGAGCATAGCATTTCCGATGCCTTCCCTGCCCTCTCATCTTCCACATCGGTCTTCCTGCGATCTGTTGCGTTCTCGCGATCCGCTCCAGCCACGACGCAACCACTTGCTGTCCAGATAGACGCATTTTGCATGTTCCATCACACGGCCTGCATATCGCACTCGCTTCATGCTCGACGCACGACTGGGATCTAACGCCTCTCCCTATCTGCAGCGATAAAGCAGAACCGTGCCGACGACGTCCGGAACATCCTCCTCAACGACAAGTCTCTCACATCGGCCAAGCACCGAGATCCCACCATCAAGTTCGACGCCGAGCTGGAGCTGGACGCGTACAAGTTCCTGGGAGCTTATCTCGGCAGCATTACTGCTCTGCAGTGGGCGCTCATGTGCGGCCAGGATGCAATTGCAAAGGACATTGTCGAGCGAACGCTGAAGGACGATATTGACGTCGCGTTCGGGGTCGGTTGATGCTGGAGCGATATGCGCTGCCCGTTGCCGATTGCTGGTGGATCTGGTCTGCGGGGGCAGTCGTTTGCATCCGCTTCCTCGCCGCTGGCTTCTCACATGCATCGCTGTTCGATTTTGACGGACCCACAGGGCGGCAACACAGCGCTCCATCTGGGTGAGTACTCCATCGGCAAGCAAACACAGCAGGAGGAGAGCCGTCGGGCGGTGTGCAAAGCCGCATCGCACCCTGACACTCTCGTCGCCGGGCATTTGTATCTGCAGCCACATTCTTGGGTGCCCGCGAGCTGGTCAAGCTGCTTCTCGAGCGGGGCGCCGATCGGTCCATCAAGAACTCGAAAGGATTTGCCCCCGTCGACCTCGTTGACGACCCCGAGATCAAGCGCATCTACGAGTCCAATTGAGCGGCCGGAATACGAGAGTGTCTGGCTGATGGCCCTGCGTCCCAGCATCCGAAATAAAGGCCTGCATGCGACCGCACCAGACAGATCTTTTCGAGACCAAAGGGCAGCTGCATCGGCAGCGGTTGTGTTGGCTGTTGGCGCTGATTGCGCCAGCACGCACTTGGCTTTGGCTTTGGCCTTTGGCGATTGCACCTTTCTCCCCTCATCGCACCCAGCACCATCCCATCCCATCATCGCCATAACCGCAGCCGCAGCCACACCACACCGCAACCAAGCACCACCGCCAGCCAGCCATGTCCGACCTGAAGCAGAGAAAGCCGGCCCCCGCGGCCGATCCCGCCGTGTCGTCCAAGGGCAAGCATGCCAGCGACCCCTCCGCCAAAAGCAAGGGCATCCGCAAGACATCCTGCCTTGCGGCCGTCGGCTGGGCCCTGGTCTACCTCGTCGGCGCCGTGGGCTTTGCTCTGTCCGTCTCCAAGGTCACCACCGGCACCTACACCTTTGGCCAGAAGCTGCCCAACGTCCACCACTTCCTTCCGGTACGGCCTGCCGCATCCTGTCGTGGGTGCGTCGAGATGCATCTCCCAATGAAACTACGTCGATCATCGGTCGCCTCTGCCTAACACTGCTCGCTCGCTGCTGTAGCGACCCACACGCAAATTCACTCCCGAAGAGCTCGCCCAGTACGACGGCAGCGATCCCGACAAGCCCGTCTATATCGCCATCAGGTAAGGCAGCAATCGGGCTGGCTGGGAGGGGCTGTAGCTCGATGCCTGTGTTGTATTGATGATCGGCTGCTATTCTCCCCAGAGGCAAGGTCTTTGACGTCACGGCCGGCCAGCAGTATTACGGCAAGGTGAGTTTCTGTCGACTCTGGCGCTCTCGGCCCGGCTGTGCCTGGTTCAGGAAAGCCCGACTGAGTCTTCCCTCAACCAGGGCGGTGGCTATTCGTTCTTTGCCGGCGTCGACGCCTCAAGAGCATACGTCACCGGATGCTTCAAGACGCATCTTACGCATGACGTCCGTGGACTCACCGAGGGCGAGATTAAGGTGCGCCATCTGCTGTATGCATTGCTCTGGGCATTGCGTCGATATCTGCCTCGTCTGCGTCGCTCGACTAATGCTGCTGGCTCGCCGGGTTGCATCTGCTCGACGTGGCTTCAGTCGATCGACGGATGGGCCGATTTCTACGAAACGCATGAAAAGTACTTTTACGTCGGCGAAGTGATCCACGATCCGATTCCCGAGGACGCACCGCTTCCAGAACCCTGCTGAGGCACGCCGGCTTGTTCGAACGGGGGCTTTGGGCCTGTTGTCATCCACTGTAGTTGATGAGGAGCGAGTGGCAGCACGGACATGGCCCGGCAGCATCTCGACGCACCATCGTTGGCCAATACACGCCGCTCAAAGTGGCAGTATTCATCAGCATCCCCCGTGCTTTAGCGGCCAGCCGGGATTCGTCAGAACGGCACGTCGTGCTGGTAGATGTACTCCTTGGACTCGATGTGTGCCAAGAGCTCAGGCGGGCAGTCGAGCTGCACCAGAAGGCTCTTGATTCTGCCACGGCTTCCAACCGTCATGTTGTCCCAATCTTCGGCGGCTCTAGTCGCGACGACCTTGATCAGCGAGGCAGCTTCGCTCAGACCATTTGTATCCATCGATTCCACTGTCTTGAGGATGAGAATCACATCGCAAGCAGCCAGCCCATCGAGCCGCTCCGTCAGATGCACCAGCAGCTTCGAGAGATCACCACGGGGCGCTGGCCTGAGCACCGAGAGAGAAGCCAGCACGCGGCATAGATCCACCACCGCAAACCGGCCGGCTGTTCGGAGGATCTGTGCAGTGAGGGCCGCCTGGAGGGCGGGGGCCATGGCATCCATCTTGACGTATGCGGCTGCGATCTCGACGAGCTCTCGATCGAATCCTGCGATGCGTCTGACGATGGTGTCTGCGGCGCGAGTAAACAGCTCTTGCGAGGCGTGGCCACTTTCAGCCAAACGAAACAGTAGCTTGCCGAGATGGTAAGGCTCGATGCCATCCAGTCGATACAGCACAGAGCTTTCGATGCGGCAGACAAGCCCCGGTGTTTCGCAGAGGAGTGGGCCACATGCCCAGACGACGACCGAGAGGCTCCTCGTGCTCCAGGCGTCCAGCGGCGCTTGGTCGATGGCTGCGAGAACTCGCTTGAAGAACGCCGTCCTGGCAGAAACGTCGGCGGCAGGGTCTTGAGCATATTCGACCGCCCACACCAGGTCCATGACATCTTCGGCGTTGGAGGGTTGTAGCTTGGCTGCCGAGAGTTCCATGAATGCGCTCAGGAGCGGAGCGGAATGGACTCTGCCGTGCTTGACGAATGCCCGGGCTGCTCGGCTGGCATCGAGGACGGTAAAGTCATCGAGACGAAGGCGGAGACAGCCAACTTGCTCCAGCTGCTGTTGGTTGTTCGGATGAAACTGGACATCGCAGGGTAGTTGGATGGCCTGCTGGGTGGGGACCTTGCCGTGTGTCTGGATGTGCTGCTTCTCGAGAAGGATGCGAACGGACGAAAAGAGCCTGAGGTGCTGGTGTCGGTGCTTCGAGACCGTCCAGAGCAGTGTTGAAATCTGTTCCGGAGAGAATCCTGCGAGCCGCCGAGGCTCAGCGGCGAGCGTACACAGCGCATTCAAAAACATCCCATCATGCCACTGAGTCTTGTCGAAGGCGGTGGCGATGGCGAGCACGTCGTCCGGGGTAAGGCAGCTCCACTGACCCTGCAGCTGCCAGATATGCTTCAGCACGGCAATCGTCGTGCTCCGGACGCCAGCCTGTCGGATGAGCAGCGACCGAACCAGCGAGAGGGCCGAGTCCAGATCAAACTCTGCGATGCGCTTCTCGAGCAGCCCGCACAGCAGTCCAAACGAGAGCGAGTCCAGACGCCCAGAAAGCGCCGTGTACTGTGCCAGATCGACAAGATCGCCGGCCGATGCATCCACAAGTGCGGCGAGCCCGACCGCCGGTTCTTTCGATGCCGCCCGCAGCGAATCGGCAAGCATACGAACGTGGCGATTCTTGCGCTTCACATCGTGCTTTGGAGCTGCGTTGTCAGGTTGCTGTGCTTTGGCCACCGACGGACGGGCTGGATCGCATCGCTTGTCTGGCGAACTCTTTTCCTTGGTTCGGGACTCTTGGCTCGGTGGCTGCCCTCTTGAGCGGATCCTGGCAGAGATCGAGATTGATCGTGTGGTCTGAGAGAGATCTGATGGCGCTGGGCAGATGCTTTGGTGCGAAATGGCCGCCAAATGCAGCGGGTCGATGTGGCTCTTTCTTGAGACCAGCTGGCGGGTGCATCTCGCGCGCAATCCAGGGCCAATCCGGAGCATGCGGCGAGGGGGCGACGAGTGCAAGTTGGCGAAGGCGACGGTGGGAGCGATGGCGAGGCGATGGCGGGTGGAAATGGCAGGACCATGGCGAGCCGAGTCTCTGGGCCGGCTCGATCCACCCCGTTCGATCCGACTCCAGCCCACCCGCCCCGGTTTCTGGGCCCGATTCATCATCCACCAGATTCACCATCAGATTCACCATCAAATTCACCGTCAAATTCACCGCCAGGCATCCGCCATAGGGCAGCCGTACTCGCTCGATACAATGGGAAACCAGCCTTCGGCGTTTGCGAGATACAATGACCTCCCCGGACTCTCGGATGAGCTCTCCAAGCAGCTGGAGTCTGTCTACCGAACCCGCATCGGCGCGGCTGGCGGAGCCGTCACGACAGTCGGCCATTTCGCCAGCTACCTCGAGCAAACGCTGCCTGCCCTCTGCTGCGAGCCCCTCCGCGAGGCGTTCGTCGAGTTTGTCGGGCATCTGAGCTCAATCGGCCACGCCCAGGGCGCAAAAACAGCCAGCGCCAGGGACCGCACCATCTCGCTTGAGGTGCTCGCGGTCTCTCTGCGGGTGCTGGCGTTTGGCAGTCCGGACCATCGGCAGCCCTTTGTCGATGGATACATGCGTTGGCTCGGGCGCAAGCAGCTCCCCGAGTCTATCGAGCCCCTCTGTCAGGGGCTCTCGGCTTCGTTGGTGCATCTGGCTGACTCGGAGCAGTTTCGGACGAGGTAAGGCCACTCAAGGCCGCGGCGTCTACCTGCAGCAACCACGAAGCTCATGATGAATGGAAATGACACCCTTGTCGGTCTTGTCCACAGGTTCCTCACCGACGGCTCGTGCCAGCGCTTTGGCGAGTTCCTTGCACACTCTGCCAGGAGGCCTGTCAACGAATCGAATCTGTTCGACGACTTCGAGGCCGCCTCCGACAGCGGCCACAAGCCCAGACCGCCTGTGCCTCCTTCCGAGCTGTGGCTGACGATCGACTATAGCATATGGGCCAAGATGCTCTGGGAGATTTCCCTCTCGCGAGTGTTCTTGGGCAGCGCCCTGCATCCCATCTACTCGCACTCCTCTGGGCTGTCATCTGCAGCGACAACCACTCTCAAGACATGTCTCCCCAAGCGGCTTCCAGCGCAAGCCTCGCGCCTGTTGACCGAAGACGTTATGTTCGTGGTGAACAACCAGCTCACGCTCGATGCGCGGTCGGATGTCTGGAAGCTGGCCTTCTCGACGGCCATCCATGGCAACAGCTGGACGGTATTCGAGGACTCGATTCTGGACGCCGGATCAACAGTGGTGCTCATCCGATCGAAAACAAGTGAGCACTACTGGATGCGCAAGCGGCGCATGGATCGGCATGTGGAGTCCGGTGTGGATGTGGGCATCGAGGTGGCCCTGGAGGCATCCCAGTCAGCTGCTTCGAGTGGCTATGGGATATACCGTGCTAGATTGGCTCGCTGACTTTGTCGTTCTTGTGGTTCAGATGCGGTTTTCGGTGGATATGCCTCTCAAGAATGGAATCCCAAGCCCAAGGTACAATTGAATCGCTTGCGTCCCAGCCAGTCCCAGTGTTCGGCGGCAACATCAGCCTCGGAGCCCTGGCCCTTTACTCTGTGTGGAATGGCTTGATTGCTGACCAGCTGTGTGCTGCATCTGCGATACGCAGTTCTACGGCGATTCGTCCAGCTTCCTGTTCACGGTGTCGCCCAGCACGGCCATCTACCCGGCATCGGGTGTCAATGGCAACTACCAGTACTTCAACTCGGGGACCAAGACGCTTCCCAACGGACTGGGATTCGGCGGCCAGGTACGTGCCCCTCTGATCTCGTGCGTTGACTCGCCAGCACATCCGTCAGCCATCATCCATTGTGCCATCGAGAGGCTCGCTGACGTTGCCCGCGCATCCCGACGGCGGACTGGGTGGGCAGTTCGATTACTTTGCGCTGTGGATCGACTCCTCGTTTGGCAAAGGATACTCCAAAGGATATTCATCGACATACGTCAACGCACCCTTGAATGGCCCAGATGACTTTGAGATCGACTTTGGTGAGGGATGTCGCTGCTCCAGATGAATCTGCCTCTGTGTATCGGTGCTGGCGATTGGCGATATCGAGAAGGCGTATGACTGATGCGTGCACTTCTACACCCCACAAGTGGAGGTATGGATCGTGAAGGAGAAGGAGGTTGATGACCGGCTGGTGCCCAAGAGGGGCAAGAAATCGATCCTGGAGACCAACCCCGAGGTTTCGGCTATCCTGGAGATGTCGGGTCGTCGCATGTACTCGAAGGAGCTGTCGCCGGATCAGGATACTGCCGAAGCTGAGACGACACAAGAATAAGAATCCTGTGCGCTGTCGTGGTGAGGGCTGCAACAGTGCTATGCCGGAGAAAGTCGCAGCTCCACAGATGGTCTCTCGGCCCGCCCGGCGGAAGATAGTACATCGCAAGGGCTGTGACGGTTCGTTTCCGGCGCGAGAAGCCCGAGTAACAATATATTCGGCCTGGATCGCCAAGTGCGTCTTCATTCAAGAACTGGACTAGCAGACTCCCTGCAGAGTCACGACAATTCGACGGGAACCTCCGTGATCACGGTGCTCGTTGAGCCAGATGCCCTGCCAGGTCCTGCGGCCGAAGAGACAACCGGTGACAAGTGGCATATGAGTAACAGCAGTCGTCGCCTCGATCGTCTGCTTCGGATTGCATCGATGGCATGCCCGCGTCGGGCACCCTTGCCACAGGTATTCCACCATGCTCCAGTCTTACCCAAGGGCAAACTTGCCGTTGCTGATGGGGATGTTGAGCGACACGCCCATGAGCGAGCTCTTGACATGGCCCGGCATGTCGTCCGGCCCCTCGTCCGTGTGGATATAGGGTGCATCCTCTGGGGCGAGCTTGTTGAGGATCATTTCCATGTCGACCCTGGGCAAAGAACGGCGGGTGGCATGATCAGGGATGCATCCAGGAGCTGTAGCAATCATGCTGCGGGACGACTTACCTGACATCGGGATCTATTCAATTCACACAGGTCCAATCGCCGTTAAGCCGGGCACATCCATCGATCGACCGCCCTCGATATAGGATTTCACAGCACCTTACCGCAGTTCTGGTATGCATAAACATGTCAGTGATACGGAAGCATCCATCGATGGAGGGTTGCATCGATACACGATGGCACAGTACCTCGTTCAGAGTCAGGGACGCCGAGGTGTGCTGGACTAGAGGAGACAATCCGTCAATCGGGTTGGCAACGAGCGACACCAAACAGTCAAGCAATGCCGCCTCGGCCCAGATCGTGGCTGAGAGAGGCCGATGCCAGGCAAACTCACTGAAGACATTGGCCATTCCGATTCTGAAGGACGCCAGCTCGGGGATCTGTTGCAGTCAAGTCCGGTCGACGGACTTGCGTTAGTGGATGTGCGATTGGTCTTCGTCCTCCGGGCCGGGAGCCGAGCGCAGCGATTTTGAGCGATGCATCGAAGCCAGCGACTGGGGCCGCGGAGTATCCTGGCTATACCTGTCTGGAAGTGTACGATCGAGTCAGCCATTGGGTTCGACACCATCTCAGGTTGCATGTACGATGCATACGCGAGAGCGACCGCTCGACAACCACCTTTCAATCTCCTTTGTGACGAGGTGGCAGCCCCGGCTCTTGGCCGACAGCCTGACGGACTGTGTGCAGAGCGATGTGTCGAGCAATGTCAGCAATGCGCACCGCTCATGCCGAGGACATGGTGCGGCATCGGTTAGTCGATGGACTGCAGCGGGTCGGTCGGTAAGGATGCCGCACTTTCTGGACCCACTGTGTTGCGGGAGGGCTCTGCGACGGCGGGCTCGACATGGCACAGCGATGGAAGATGCAAGTTGCAATGCCAGGCTGATCGCTGGGCAGATCGGCTCCGATTCCTGTTGGCGAGGCCGTCTCGGTGCGGCGAGGCTGTGGGCGAGATTCGTCTCGGCCGGGCGAGGGCGTCGGTCGGCTTCTCTCGCCCTCGGCTCCAACAGCGCATCGCATCCATCGATCCCATCCATCGATCCCATCCGTCGGTCGCATCCGTATCGTCCCTGCCGCGTGCGCAGAGACACTCTCAGGCTCGATCCCGCATCTCGCTTTCCATCCGCTTCTTGGGACGATGGACTTTTTGAAGGTGGGCATTGCTTTCAGTCGAGGCGCTGGGCTGATCACTATCCATCGGGTCTCCATCACAAGGCTGCCCAGCGCTTTGCAGTCCACACCAACAATGATACGAAGGAGCCGGGCCACGACGGTTTGCCTGTGGGCCCACGTCCACTGAAATATATATCTCTCTGCGGTCTCATTGAATGTCTAGGCCGAGCTCGAGCGAAAGCGCAAGGCTATCGAGACCGTTCTCGACAAGAGCGCCGCCCCTACGACAGCCTCCGGAAGCAAGTACATCAAGCGATCCGAGCTCGAGCGGCTGCGAGAGCAAAAATATCTCGAGGACCAGCGAAAGCTCGAGGAAGAGCGCAACCGAAAGCGCTCCAGGGCCAACCCGGACGACGGAGAGTCACAGATCTCGGCACAGACGGCATCGACCGACAAGGCCAAGGGACCGGCCAACGACGACGAGGACACCCTGGATATCTCGGTAGAAGATGTGATCCGGCGTTTCCGATCGCGCGGCCAGCCGATTCGGCTATTTGGCGAGTCCGACAAGGATCGCATCAAGCGACTCAGGGCGCTCGAGTCTGTCGAGGAGCAGACCGAAGGCCAGCGCAACGACTTCAAGAAGGCGATCGAGCAGGCCAGCACCGGTCTCGAGCTCGAGCATCTCAAGCGCCAGGCCGGCATCACGGACGAGCCCGATCGGGAGCCCGATGAGTTTCTCGACTACGACACCACAATTGTCAGCCCCGAGCTGCTGCAGAGCGATCCCGATCTGACTTACCGCCTGCTCGGCATCTACTTCCGCATGCTGCTCAAGGAATGGGAAAAGTATCTGAAGGAGCGGCCGGACGAGGTGCGGCGCACAAACGAGGGCAAACTGCAGTCGGCAACACAGGCCCAGTCCGCCGAGTACATGAAGCCGTTCTTCAAGGGGCTGAAGAAGCGGACAGTGCCGCACGACGTCGTTGCCCATTTGGCCGAGATCTGCAAGCTTCTCCAGCAGCGAGAGTACCTGCAAGCCAACGACGCCTATCTCCGCATGTCCATCGGCAACTCGCCATGGCCGATCGGAGTTACGATGGTTGGTGAGTATCGAGACGAGGAGTCGGCTCGCCCCTCTCTGACCGCACGGTATCGTAAACTGTGCGGACGAACGGCCCTTTTATGATTCAAAAAGAGTGTGGACTCACGGAGGAGGACAATGCCGTTTAGAGGCGATGGGCCACGGCAATGACCAGCAGCTGGTGGTGGTGCTGGCGATGGCGGAGAGCGAGCCAGTTCGAATTGCATCCAGAACTACAGCATGAGTGGTACCTGATGCGTGATGTCGGACTCATCCATACCACTTTACAACTGTACACGCCCATGCAAACAGGCATCCACGAGCGCAGTGCTCGCGAAAAGATCTTTTCTTCCCAGGTCGCGCATGTTCTGAACGACGAAACGCAGCGGAAGTGGATCCAGGCGATCAAGCGGCTGATGACATTTGCCCAAACCAAGTGGCCGCCATCGGATCTCGCAAAGCTTGTCGGCTAGAGCAATACACATCCGCATTCAGACCATGCAACGACGCACTAATGTACTGTAGTCACGACTCAAGAAACGTACAAATGTGGCTGAATCATAGACTCGATCGTTTACTGATCGTCGAGCGGCCGGGTCAGCAATGCGAGGTCGAGGCCAAGGGCTTTGAGGAGCTCAACTCGACTCGAAAAGAACTGAAGGGTCTCCAGAATGGGTCCGATGCACTCGTCGAGCTTGGAGGGCGGCAGCGCTTTGCAAAGGATCATGGCTGCCTTGAGTCGGTAGTGATCAAACTCGAAATGGCGGAGGACTTGCGTCAGCTGAGCCAATGAACAGAGCAGAACGAGTTAGGCTCTCGGCAAGGGGCAAGGGTGAGATCCTTGAGTCGCAAGGAGGACAACTGATTGACAGGCCAGCGTTTGGCGAAACTCGCAACCCTGGCGGCGACCAGGGCAAAGTGGTAGATCCGCGCTCAAACTCACATTCTCGCTGAGGGCCGAGTTCAGCCCCGACTCTCGTGTCCACGACTCGAGGGTATTCAGCCGCTCAGAGTCGATGCGATTGTCGTCAAGCTGGAGCGCCATGTCGATCAAGGACCCAGTCGACCGCTGCACTTTGATGGCTGGGGACGGATCCCATCCCGAGCGGATGATTGAATGCGGTCGCTGGATGGGCAGATGGCGCTTGCGGATCCAGCGGCGCCTCCGGACGTAGTGGGAATAGCCGCACTGCCCCTTCCACCGAAGGCTCTTGAAGTGCGGGCCATAACTCCAGCCCTTGGCATCGACATCGCCGGTCTTGGGTATCGAGAATAGGTGGATGAGTGAGACACGATCGGTCCTTGGAGTGCGTGGCGAGAATCATGTACTGCATGCGACAAGAGCTGCGAAGTGAGCCAGACCCGCGAGGACAGAGTCGACGTACCGCATCGACCGTCCATTCCGAAACCCACTGCATTGTTGGTCATGTCGTCCGATGGCCCAGCGATTGTTGGTCATGTCGTGGGATGAGCAAAGGCACGTATGTAATAAAGGTCAGCACCGTCGATAACACGGGTCAATCCGCACCGCACTTCAATCCAGAGAGCTGCTCGCATGGCATCCTCACCTCCCAGCGGGGTGGACAGGCAAGCTTGTTCATTCCGGGTCGAAACTTGCCGGCAGCGTCGGACCAGGGTGGAAAGTCTGTGGGCAGCAGAGCCTGCACGGGGAGGGCGGTGTCTTGCAATCAGCAAACGGCGAGGGGCATGCGCGAAAGATAGGTGTACTGGGGAGTCGTCGAGTGCCTCGGAATGCTCTTTCGCCGATAGTGCCTCGGAATGCTCTTTCGCCGATTAATCCCCAAGTGCATTTGCGGGGTGCGGATTCCGACGATATGTTTGCTGCTGCCGAGGGCACATTGGCCAAAGCCACATCCAGTAACCGCACGGTCCAGCCGACTCGGAAGCCTCGACGGGACAACCACGATAACTGACCTTCTTGGTGAACTTGGGCTTGCCGGCCAGGTAAAATCTAGTGGGTGTGCGCATCGAATAGAGGAGCATGAATCGCATTGGCGAGAGTCTTCTCGATGCTGCCCAAGATGAATCGCACATGCCAGGCTCACCCTCGCTGATTCTCAAACAGTTCCTCCACAGCTACGGTCGGCGCAAGGACACTCGATAGCCCGGACGACGGCGCCGAGCGATTCTTGATTGATGGGCTGGCTGGATCCATGGCTGGGCTTGGGCGAAGGGTATGGGCGAGTTGGTTGCTCTTGGATGGGCTGCGCTGGATGGCTGTGCGTACTGGGATGCCGGGCGCAGTTGCTGGGGTTGAATGAATATGAAGCAGAGATGAGGCCCTCAGCGGATGCTGAACATGGCAGCGTCGGCGGCTCGGCAGCGAGTGGGAGTGCGGATGCAGGCAGCGAGCGGCGAGCGACGACGCTGGAAGAACGGCGAGCCAGGACGGGCGACACGCGGCCGCGCCACAGATCAATTCTGCACTGCCACGTGGTGGCGATCCAGGGCTGGGGCTCGCCGGGGGGCGCAGACACCCTTGCCCTCGGATCCGCCCCCGCAACAGCGAGATCTCGGGTTTCGCCGTTTTGGCCGATCGCCGCTGCTGCGACTGCCCTTGATCACCCCGACGACACAAGCGATGCCCAGAGTCAAGCGCGGAAGCAAGCCTCCTCCGGAGGACTGGGAGCTCATTGAGCCGACCCTCACCGAGATCAGCAAGAAGATGAGAGAGGGTGCGTCCGACTCGCTTTGTTCGGGGGGGGGTTGCGCTCAGCAGCCGCTTGGCACTCTTCGCCGCAAGATTCACCCAGCATCTTCGACTCGCTAACGCATCCCTGCTCCCGCACACACAACCGGATGCACCGGCTTGCTCTCCGTGGCATTTAACCATCGAATCGCCGAACGCAGCCGAGAACGAGTCCCACGAAGGCAAGCGCCGGGTGGAATCGGGATGGCCAATCTTCCGACTGCACCATCAGCGCTCGCGATATATCTTTGATATGTACTACAAGCGAAAGGCGATCTCAAAGGAGCTGTATGACTACTGCCTGAAGGAGGGTTATGCCGACGGCAGTCTGATTGCCAAGTGGCGCAAGGTAATCGTCGCCGCGGAAGTGCTTGCTCCAACAGAGACGATCCTGTTGGCCGGGATAGGGCCCCTCTGGAATGCGGCTGACGCCTTGGCTATTGCCTGTAATTATGCAGCAAGGATACGAGAAGCTGTGTTGCCTGAGATGTATACAGCCGCGAGACACCAATTTTGGAACCACATGCATCTGTCGGGTGCCCAAGGACAAGCTGGACGAGGGCAAGGTTGTCGAGTGCATGCACTGCGGGTATGCGTTATTGTGCATCGCAGTCTGAGCCGTTTCCAAGCCAACGACTGGAGTCGCATGTCTGAATGCCCGGCTGTGGCTGCGGTCCAGGTCCTTGGCTGTTGTGCTAATCCGATTTTGATCATGCAGATGCCGTGGCTGTGCATCTGGCGGTTAAGGGAGTTGGAGAATCACCGCGGTTGAGCAAGAAAGCAGACGAGCACCTTCCTTTCGTTGAGCATACGGCCTCTTGGCGCCATCTCGAAGCGAATGCCATGAACACAAGCACTTCTGGGTTCAGCGCGCGGCTTCAGCCCCCGCCGGGTGCCGGGAGTGCTCTGCGTACATTGCAACGCATCTGGGACGACATTCTATTTTTCGACGGGCAAAGAAGTTTGCAGGAAGCATGTGTCCCTGGCTTGCAAGCAAAGTGGAAATATACATAGGTCGCTTGTCCCACAGGCTCTCGCTGCAGCGAGGTGTGAATGAGGCTCCCCGATATGGCTGCTGCAAGATGAGTGACTGCTCACGCTGTATCGAGCCATAGTCTGGGCGTCGCCGATTCACCAGCGGGCCGACTCCCTAGCTGGCAAAGACATGTACCGAGTCGTCATGGAAGCCACTCTTTTGCTCGCACAGCTTGATGAATGACAGCGACACCTGGACGCTGCAGCTTGCCTTGAGCAGGACCAACTCGGCGCAGTCCAGGTAGAGCTTCGAAAGACCCCACTCGGACACCCGGCATTTGCGGACGTCGAGCCGCTGCAGCTGCGGGCATCGGCGAGCAAGGGTCACAAGCGAGCGATCGGACACCTTTGGTCCTGCCGAGTTGAGCGAAAGCGACTTCAAGGAGCAGGCATTCGGCGAGGACGTAAGATACTCCACGAGGCTGTCCTCAGAATCCAGCCCTGCATTGAGAACCAGGGACTCGAGCCGCAGGGTTTTGAGGACTTCCCAGGTGCACGGTCCGATCGGAATACGAGAGATGTCGACATGCCTGAGGCTGCGTTGATGTCTCTGCATGAATCGAGCATGGGCAAGAACGATGCTGTCGATCTCGGAACTGAACGGACAGTACGAGCACGAGAAAGCGGTCATGTGCGGGAACTCGAGTTGGTCCCAGTCCTGTACAGAGAAGCCCTGGACGTTTTCGAGATGGACAGCCTTGAGAAGCGATCGGGACTGCTGCGATAGCGCTCGTAGATTGAGGGCGCTAGAAAATGGCCGACTCACGCTCGCTCGGAAGTACTCTAGCTGAGCGGAAAGCGAGGCGTAAATGAGGTCGAGCAGAGGGTATCCGGATTGGCTTGGGTCCAGCGACGAAAGGTCCAGGAATATGAGGCCGCCAATCCACCGCTGGACTGCGACATAGTCTTCGGCAACAGGAGTGCTGTCGCTGCAGCCGAAGCCTCTGAAGAACAACCGCCGGACACCTGGTGTTGCGCGGGCGAGATCCGCAAGCCCGACGATCGACAGGCAGTTGATGTGCAGCGAGAGCGCACTCAGGGAGCTGCATTCTTTCAGAAGTCGGACAAGAGCCTGGTCGTGCGGCAGCATATGTGGAACATCCAGCAAGTCCAGGTTGTGGATCAAACGGAAATCGGGTCGGGGGCATTTGGCGAAGGAATCTCGACCGAGCTCGGCTTTGAAGCGCTTCATCATCGCTTTGTTCCACAGCGTATGACGCAGGACGAATGGGTTGACGAAGGAGTACCACGTTCGGCAGACAGTCGACAGCGAGCGCAGCCAGCGGAGAGCATCGACATACCCCTGGCGGTGAGTGCGAGAGTGGAAGGTGATGGAAATGGCGTGGGAACTCTGCTGCGAGCGAGACTCATCGCCAAGCACAGTCGCGCACATGCATCGGAGAATACGAGTCCAAATTTCGAACGGGAGGCGGTCAGGGTGGGAGGTGATGGCCGATGCATTCTGCGAAGCGACCGGGACCGATGTTGGGGAGCTGATTCTGATGCTCGAACGGAGTACTGTCGTTCTCGAGGCTGTGCTTTGGGCCATGGCTTGATCCGGACGGCGCTATGTGAGAGGGCCCGTGCCTGTGGAAAGTAAAAAGTAGTGGGTGGTGCGACCGAAGCGAGGCGGCGATGGAGGATGAGGGATCGAGGCTGGAGAGGCGGATGCCAAGCTATTAGTTCTGAGCTTGTCGGTTGCAATTCTCCGAGCCGATATAGCAATCTAAAAATAGACAAAGATCCGCGCGAATCCAGGGTCGTCTGGTTGCCAGGGACGCCGACTCGACCACGGATCGCACACGGATCCTATCGACCAAGGCAATGGCTTCGTGGGAGCCGGGTGCCTTCCTCGAACATGCACCACTTGGTATTACAATCCCGACCAAACAGCAGCCGTCCCTGCCCTCGCTGCACACCCACAGCCGCTGCGAACGGACCCAGCGCGATAGCCCCTCGTCGATGCCCCTGGGCGGACAGTTGTTCATGTTCATCTCAGGTTTGCTCTATTTCGGATTCTGCAAGGGGTCGTATTCAAACTGATGGCTCTCTTTTGGGCGGATGGCAGTGGCGATGGCAGTCTATTCTTGACAAGAGCGTCTGCCTAAAGACCTGAAACCCTCCATGAGCGACGGGAGCCAGGTGTTCCAGGACGGATTGATGAAGTCGGTGTGAGCTGTGCTCGCTGCTGGGCTGCTTGTGGGATCTAAAAACAGCAAAAGTCAGTCGGTGCATGCACAGCCCATGCCGATGCCATGCCGATGCCATGCCGATGCCATGCAGATGCATTCGCCAGCGTCCGGCCCGGCCGAGATCCGTGTCCTTGGGCATCCAATGCCGCGAGGCTGGAAACGTACCGCAAGACTGAGCTCGTCCATGTTGTACGAGGGCGGTGGTGTTTCGGCCACCAAGGCTTCTTGAGAGACATAGGCGGGCAGGTCCAGATATGAGGAGCGGTAGGATGGCAGGCTTGCCGATATGAATCCCTGGATGCGACTGTATCGGAGGAGGGCAAGAATCAGGCAGGACATGATGGCGAGACCCACAAAAGCCAGCCCACCCATGGTAGCGAGCGAGAGCACGCCGGCAGAAGGATCATTGGAGTCGCCTGGAGTCGGGGATGCCTCTGGCGATGCCATCTCTGGGCGAGGACCAGACAGGAGAAAGGAAGCGATGGAACGGCAGTCCGCCGAAATGGACTTCTCGCCTGCGACGCCACAGTTCCCGAGGGCAATCCGCCGCCGGCAGCGGACGCCCTGGCCCCGCACATGCAGGATGCCCGTGATGTCGCCGGGCATGCGGCCGATGCGTCGCTACTTCTGCCGCAGGGCGAGGGCGAGGCCTTCGCCTGTGACGACAGGACCCACTTCGGCATCATGTCTTTGTTGGCCAGGCATGTGGCGGTGCTTGTGGCGGTTCTGGATCGATCCGCGGTCCGTCCAGCCGATTTGATCTGACATCTGGCCTGGCTCGATCGGCCTTTGCTCTGCCCCGATCAACAACGTCCCCAGCCTGGCCATGAAGAGTCGGCTCCACACAGGCCTGTGGAGATACTCGGGCGCTCGGCTGTACTCGAGAGCGTCCCGGCAGAGTGCTCCCCTCGCCATTCAGGAAAGATGGACCCGCCATCTGAATCAAGCACCTCCCGCTGTCGTTGCCCAGCTCGCCTCCCTGATCGAGCAGCAAGCACCAACGACTCAACCGCCAAGACCTCCCACCGCTCATACGGGCAGATCGCATCTGGAGCCGCCGCGGGCCGTCTCCTTGACTTCGCTGTTTGCTTCTTCGTCAGCCACAGGTGCATCCGACTCGACAACGCAGTTGCTCTTTAGCCTCAAGAACATCGATGCGTCATTCACTCGCTCGCTTGCCCGCCTGTTCCCCTCCGACCAGGAGCGTGCGATGATTATGGAGCTCTACCATGCCCTGCTCATGCAAGGCGCAGCTTTCGATCCGCAGTCCCTGCTGGACTTGTGCGCCTTTGCACTCCCAAGTGGTCTCTCCATCGACCGGCATCAGCTGGTTCGGTCCTGGCGGTCGTTCTCCAGTCTCGAGTCGCCCGAGGAGCTCTACTGGATGCTCGAACTCATGAACCAGCACCCGACGCTGCGCCATCTTGCCGAAACCCACCCGGTCTTCCTGCTTCAAAAATGCCGTCTCTTCTTGCGTGCAGGCAACGCTGTCGCCGCACATGCCGTCATCTCGCCGCTTGTCGACTACCCAGACGACGGCTTGTCGGCCCAGACATTCAAATCGATTTTGCTTGGGTTCTGGAAGCTGCGCAGACACGACCTCGTCGACGACCTGTTTGAGCGGGCCTTGAGACAGCAGCAGATGCCCGGCCTCGTCGACCAGGGGCTGTGTGAAAAGTATGTCACCAAGAGTTTGGCGATATCCCGCCTGGACGAAGCCCTCCGCCGGGTTGCCATTATCCACAGCCACGACGCAACCCTCAGCAGCCGGTTCTGCCAAGAGTTGTGGACCCGTGTAATTGCTGCTGGGGATCTCGCAGGTGTCCAGCGCCTGCTCGACTCGGGCATCCACCGGAGCAGCCCCGTCAGCAGCACAATCCGCGATGCCATCGCTGCCCGATTTCACCAGGACCCGGGCTTTGATTCTGTTCAAGAAAAGCTAGCGCTGATTCAGTCCGCTCAAGTTGAACCTGTACTGTCACTCACACAAGCAGCGCCGCTTCTCAGCAGCCCCACAGGTCCTGTCGCTTCCATGCAGCAGCGTATCCCATCCATACAACTCTACATCGACGCCCTTGAATCTGGCAACCACGCAGCTGCGCTCGAGATTTTGCTGAAGCGACTTGCCAGTGGCCAGAGGCTTTCGGCCAAGGATAACTACTTCATCCTTCTCGATCGTGGCGACGGCCCCTCCTTTTTCGACTCGATTGTCCAAGCGGGCCAGATCCAGAGCATACTGCCGCAGATGGTTGCCGGCCAAAGCTTCCCAAGCCCGCGTTCCCGTACGGCGTTCCAGTTCTCGGTCAACGCCCATGTGAGCAAGCACAACGGATCGAGGGAAATCGTCCAGGGCCTTCTGTCGCTCCCGCACTTTGTGCCTTCGTCTGCGACCAAGATTCAGCTCATTCGACACCACTTGCTCTTTGGAGAATGCGATCGCGCCGAGAGCATCTTTGCCTCCCTCAAGGGCGACGCGGGAGTGCCATGGCCAGTGATCTACATCATGATGGTCGCCTACTATGCGAAATCGGGCAACCTCGAGCGCGTGGATCAGCTTGTGGAGCTTATAAAGCGCAACGACAGCGGCGCAAGTCGGGACCAGCTACTGAGAGCCTACACCTCGGCCTTGCGAGCCTACGTTGAGCACGGCAACCCAGCCTCAGCCTTGTCGTTCTTTGATCGCCACTGGAAGCCCACCAATGGACCCAAGCTTCCGGTCGATGCCGCCGTCTGTAAGGCCCTGGCCATCGCCCACAGCAAGGCCGGAAACAAAAAACTGGCGCTTGAGTGGCTCGATAGACTCGCCAAGGCCCTCAAGTCGGAGCACAGCCACTCTTCGTTCCGCGTTGATGGCTATGGCGAAGTCATCTCGGCTGTGCTCCACATGGGCGACTTCAAGACGGCGCGGTCGCTGCTGGATCGTATGGTCATGCGCTTCAGCCGTCTGGTTCAGCTGACGGATGCCAACAGTCCGATCCGGAAGGAACAAAAGTCGCTGATGGAGAAAGCATACAAGACCATGGTCTACTCCTATGCCGAGGAGGGCCGCCTCTCGAGCATGATGCTTGCTATCAACGATATGCGGCGTCTGGACATCCCCGTCGACGGCCAAGTTGTCGCAAGCCGGCTGCGATGCTTGGTCCGCATCCACGACCTCCCGGCCGCACAAAGGATCTTTGCTGAAGCCATGAGCCACGACAGCAACACCCGGGAGACATACGGCCCGGACATGATCGTGCTGCTCATGAAGGGGTATGCCGAGACCCGGAATATCGCTGGCATGGTCCAGTGCACCCAGTCGATTGGCGCCTTGGACATTCCGCTCACACCGCGCGTGCACTGGGTCTACCTCACCTCGCTCTTCGACAGCCGCGATCCCAGGCTGGTGAGCCTGGCGGCGGAGTGGATCCGTGCCCACAATCTGACGAGCCGTGTCGACCAGCCCGAGATCGGCGCAACGTTGATCTCCTTCTACGGCCAGCGCGGCGAGATGGACCGCGCCAAGACAACCTTTGACGCCTTCTACGCCGCTCAGAAGAAGCTGGCCAAAGTGCGGAGCACGTATGAAGCACGCCTGGAGCTGTATACGGCGTTGATATGCGCTCACGGAAACAACGGCGACACGGCGACGATGCAGGCGCTGTTCAGGGAGATGGTTCGACAGGAAGGGCTGCGGCCCAACGACGTCATGTTCCTCAGCATCATGAAGACCTACAGCCACACGCAAAACCATTCGCCTGCCGAAATCAGCATGTGGATCCAGCAATACCAGGAGCTCGGTATCCCCGTTACTGACCTCCACTGGGCCGGGCTGCTGGACGCACAGCAGCGCTCCGGGAACTGGTCAGATGCACTCGAGACTTGGGAGGACAAGCTTCGACCCGACCACACCCGCTCCTCCACAGCCCTGTCGTTTGCATGCGCTGCGGTGCTCGACGGCTGCGGCTTCCACTCTGATATGGCTTCGCTTCGGAGGATATGGACACAGATTGTCAGCGGCCGCCTCGGCAGCATCGAGCTCAATACCTTCCACTCGTACGTGGAGGCGCTGGGGAGGATGGGCCATCACGATGAAGCCATCTCGGCCCTCTTCCAGATCGAGTCGCTGACCGGGACTGTCCCGAACCACAAGACACTTCGGACCATCTTGGGCCCTTTGAGCGAGCCCCGGCGCTCCGAGTGCCAAAGTCGGACCCTGGCACAGTGGCCGCATCTGGACCAAAATAGAAAAGCAGGCAGCAGACCAAGTCGCTGATTGCTGGGGACGAGCAGGGTGGGATGGATTATGAAAAACAACAACACAGATCGTTTCCATGTTTCCGGTTCAAGTTCCATTTCCATGCTGCCGATCCAGCCACAGCATATGTCGTGCTGGTTCACACCCGAAGTTGCCCTTCCTCAAGCGCCAGCGAAGGCGGCGGCTTCAGCGGGCTGTTGTATCGCTGCTGGACAAACACATTAATGTTCTTCCACATCAACTGCACGATGTTGCCCCAGCCCTGGTCCCTCTGCAGCGACTCCAAAGCCCCAATGCCGCGTGTGGACCGAATGTGGCGAGCCATGTGGCCGAGAAGTCGTGGGATCAGATCCAAGTGCATCTCCTCGATCAGGTGCAGCAGGTAGTCAAAGAATTCCTGGATATCGGCTTCCCTTGGCGAGCCGTCGCTGTCGATCCAGTTGTCGAGATGGCAGTAGAGCTCGCGAGCTGACGATATACCCTTGAAGACTGGCACCGGGCCGAATCCCGAGAACTGCGTGATTTTGATTTGCTGGATGGAGGCGACCGGGCTTGGTGCCATCGGAGGAGACAGCGGACGTTTGGGCTCGCTTCGCCGTCGCTGCGATTGCTGCTGTTGTTGTGGAGGCTGTTGCTTCTTGGTGACCGTGAGCTCGCTGCGGATAGCCTCAGGGAGCAGCTGGAGCACACCCGGGTCGATCTGAGACTCGGACGGCACCAGCTGGCTCATCGAGAGTTCTTTGGTATGGGCCAGCCGGTGCTTTTGGGTATCTTGTGCAGGGCCATCCTCCAGCGCACCAGCAATTTCGTCGCGCAGGCTCTGGGGCAGACACTTCCACGTCTCGGGATCGACATCGATGCCCTTTGGGACACTCGGACCAACAGGAGCGTGCTCGGTACTGAGCAGAGTGTCCAAGCCCACTGGTTTCCTGGAGCTGGTGCCAACCGGCGGTTGTTGCAGCTTGGTTCGTTTGGCAGGGGGCAGTCCTTCGGGCTCGCGGCGAGGTCGAGGCTTGGGTCTCGCAAGTGGGGCACGATCGATCGCCGACCGAATCGCAAGCGAGACAGGGGCGTTTGGAATCGGGGCTGGGGGCACTGCTCCCGCTTGAGAAAGCTCTTCTGCCGGGTGCATATTCGGTGGCCCTGCCGCTGTTACTGCCGCTGCTACTGCTGGTGGAGGTGGGAGCGAGTGTTGTCTTGGTGGTCGGTCTGATGAACCCTTGCTGTCTTTGATTGAGCCAAGACGCTCCAAAAAGGCAGCCTTGCTCTGCTTCTCGGACGACAGGTGGCCCGAGACGATCTTGGATACATGGATGCCCACTCCGCGGATCTCGTCCACCTGGATGCAGATCTGTGTGAGGAGTTCCCACGCCACCTTGAAGATTTCGTCGCCGGTGCGGATCCAGCCAGGGCAGGTCGTGGACTTGCATATGTTTTCTGGTTGAGGAGACAGGAACGCACATCCGCTGGGTTACCACAATTGCTCGGCGGGCAAGCATGGGCCACCTCTCGCTTCATGCCCATGCCCGGTGCACTGCCGAGTGCGTCTCGAGTACTCTGTCGCAGTGCGCGATCGAGCGGCTGCAGGATCTACCCACCACATGGCCCGTGGCCGAGCAGCTTTGGCGGCTCCCCTTCGTACTGCCGCTTCTTGATGAGCAGCTGTATGTGCCGGCCCTTGTACTGGCCCGACTGCATGCGCTTTGCAACTTCCTCGGAGAGCTCCTTGAAGAACTGGCGGACCTGGCCAATGTCGGCGAAGCGCACGCCCCAGGTCACATCGGCGCCGACGCTCTGCCGGGGTTTGTTCTCGAGCGCACGAGGATCGATACCACGAGCATACTCGTTCAGCGTTTGCGCCAGCCGGGCATCCAGCACCGACGCAACATCGCGCGGCTTGGTCCGAACATCAATGCACTTGGCGATGCCGCGGGGTGCGAGGATGGCTGCTGTGGCACTGCCTATCCCAGGGAGATCGCCAATGTCGAGCTGGTCCAGGATCTCCTGGCAGTTGTCCTCGAATATGGCAAAGACGCCGTCGGGCTTGGCCTTCTTGGTTGCGATGCGGGCCAGGAGGATATTGGGGCCGATCCCGATGCTGGCGACGCATCCGGTCTCGAGTTTGACCCTGGCCCGGATGCGTTCGGCGATCTCGATCTCTTGGCCGAGTCTGCGCTGGGAAACAGCGTGCGAGACGTCGACCAGGGCCTCGTCGCAGCTGACGGCCTGCACGAAGCAACCAAACTCCATCAGGATGCCGTAGAGCTGCTGGGAGATGCGCTCGTACTTTGCAAACTCGTATGGCAGCACCTTGAGATCGGGACACCTCTCCCTGGCCTTGCCGACTCGCATGCCGTTCGAGACACCCGAGCGGCGCGCAACGTAGTTGCAGGAGGCAATCTCCGAGGTCGACACGGCTGCAGGGCTTTCGGTTTGGGTATGGGCAATGGCGACGGGGCAGTCCGCCAGTTCGGGCCGCGTCGTCAGGGCGACCGAGGCGAAGAAGCAGTCCATATCCACATGCATGATGGTGCGGACGGTTTCCTTCGACAGATGGCGGTTGGAGCTGGAGCCGCCGGAGCTGGAGCTGGAGCCGGACTGGGCAGTGACCTTGAGTAGCTTGTCGCGCAGGTCGGCCTTCCAGATGCTCAGAAAGTGCAGCCTGGAGCTGGTAAAGTAGCGCTCGAGGAAGCCTGGTGCCGTGCAGATGTTGGAGCGAACCCATTCCGAGTTCATGTCGAGCTCGCGGCGCACCGGAGCAGGCATGTTCGGGATGGGTCTGGCAGGCAAAGAGTGCATTGCCGGCCGTCCTGGGCCTACTGCTGCTTCTGGTGGCTGCGGGATGGATGGCCCTGCGTTTGTGGGCAACTGGAGTGCATGCTCTGCATGCGATCGGGCCATGGCGGCGATGGAAGTGGCCGATCTGAAGCGATGGGATGAGCCGGGCAAATGGATGAACAGAGCGGATGGACGATGGTTATCGTGCGCGGCCGATGCGATGCTGCGAAGTTGGCCGATGTGCCCACGACAGGGACGATCTGGATCTGCTCGGTGGGTGTTGTGGGTGCGACGGGCGAGACGCCTTCTGCCAGATCCAGGAAAGCCAGCGCCGATCTGCACTTGGTCCTGCATCGCACTCGCCGTCGACTTGGCTCTGCATCGCACTCGCCTCCGACTTTGATCGCTCTACGCAAGCATGCCCAAAATCATCAGGTGCCCCAGGAGATCGCATCGAGCATATCGTCTCGGAGAGAACAGCTCGCTCCCGCGCTGCAGACAAAACCATGCAACTCACGCTCGGCGTTTTTCTGCGATCCCGCACCGCCCACAGCTCAAGCATCATCTCGGCCTCAGACCACCAAAATGAAAAGCCGCTGCATGTCTACTACTGCATATGCGGCGAATACGTGCTCATCATTGGTACGGATCCTGTCGATCTGCTCTTGGGCTCGATTGGGTGGCTCGGAGGGCCGCATTCGTGGTTGCTGATGCAGGCTCGTCTCTCCACTCTGATCATCGTGCTCAGACAAGGAGATCGACTATCTCCCCAAGAGGCCGACGGATCGGTCGTACGTGCTGACGAACAAACGGGTCTTCCGATTCAATACCGTCGACGGGCCCACTGTGGTGATCAAGAGGTATGGCCCTGTCTCGCCGCGATCACATTCCGCAGCGGCTGTCTCTGGGTTTGTCCAGTCCGCCGGCATCTTGGACCACGACGGCGAAGTATCCACCGGCCAGCCAACCAACCCATGTGTATCCATCCATTCTCTATCTCTTAGGCCCTCGGGCTTCGAGAAGCAGTGCCGCCGTCACTGCCCACGATGCCAGCTTCCGATCGCGTATCACCAGAACGGAGAAAACCAATACCTGATCGACGGCTCGGTCACCCTGGAACAGGGCGGGATCCCCGAGGGGCTCGGCGAGCATCTTGGCAAGCAGCTCGAAGCCCAGCTTGAGAGCCAGCTCGAGAATCAGCCCGAGGTCGATCCCAGCCGAGCATGATCGTCCCGACCTTCTCCGCATTGCTCGGACGATATCAAGTTCAAGATCGAGCGCGATCTGATCACTTCGACGAGGCCGTATGGCTTCTGTAATGCCTGACGTACCGTCCTGGGACAGGCGGAAACAGAGCGGCTGCACCGACCAAATCGACCAATCGACCATATCGACCATATCGACCATATCGACCAAATCGACCGCAGGACGAAGCCGAGCCGCAATGCGGCACTGCTGCTCCGACGCCCCTCGCTTTTTGTTTCGGCCGGGATTGGCGACGTTGCGCCATATCTCGCCCAGGCCATCCTCTGGCATCTGCGCCCAGCGAGACCAATACATGGGCTCGTTTTGCATGTTATTCCGGCGTTGGGGTCTTGCCAGCAAACAGCGGATCTGTTGGATCGGCTGGTTCGAGCCTGCTTTTTTCTTTTTGGCTGCGTCGGTCGCGCACCTTTTTTTCGCGGCCGCGATGGTCGACCTGGATGCTGTCCCTCCGCGATCTCGCACCAGCCTCCACCGTCCGAGCCGAGCATCCCAAATCCAGATCCCAAATCCAGATCCCAAATCCAGATCCCAAATCTAGATCCCAAATCCAGATACCACCCCGGTCTCTCCGCATACGTATCCAGAGCAGCAGAGCATCATCAGAATGGAGGGCAAGCACAAGACCCCAGTCCCGCCCATCGAGCCGGCGACATTCGACGACTTTTCAAAGTCCTTTTTTGCATCGCTGGTGCAGTGCACCAAAGCCGCACAGTTCCTCAAGGCCGAGGAGCTGCCCTTCTACAAGGCCAACTCGAGCGAGTTTGCGACGTCGCTCGAGCACACCTCCGAGAGCGTTCTGTCGCTCTGCAACCGGCTGATGCGCCATGCCTCCAAGGGGTTCGGTGTCGACTCCTCCGGCAGCGACCTCGTTGGCGTTGGGTTCGAGGATGTGGACGACATGGTCGATCGCTTCGACGCCGTCGTGGATGTGGTCGACAATCTGCTGGAGAAAGCCGTGAGTACACCCGAGCGAGCGAATGGACGGGCAGGGACTTGTTGTTCCATTGGGATGAATGCACACGACCGATGATCCGCTCGCAGACCTCATGGTCGTCGATGCGTCTGCCCAATGCAAAAGGGCATGGTTGTCGATGAGACTGCTGGATCCAGTGGGATATGGCCGTCGTCGTCTTGCCAGCGACAGCATGTGGAAGCGTTCGACGGATGGATTCTGGCTGCCGAGGCACCGCACTGCCTTTCCATCTACTTTGCTTGTCCGACCCTGCTCCCGCTCGCCGACTCGCTCATCCACAAACTCGAACGTCTCGACTTCATTCCATCGCCGCGCTCCTTCTGCTGCGACTCGCGTGCTCAGGACGTCTGCTTTGATGAGGTCCTTGGCACAGCCGGGCAGCGAGGAGCCGCCAGCGTGCCCACACAGAGCTCGCCAATGGTGGTGCAGATGTCCGTGGGCGGATCCAGGAACCAGAAGAAGGATGTCACCGTCGTGCACGCCCAAAACATTATCCGGCCACAGCTCAAGTTCGAGGATAAGATCGACAACTCGAACCGGCCGTTTGTGCGCAAGCTCGCCGTCAAACACAATGCGCTTCGGCCGCTGGACTATGGGCTGTCGTCGTCGGGGCTCATCTCGGATGAGATGGCGGCGCATCTCAAGTCGATGGGCATCACGGATGCGACCTCGGCCAAGTAAGTGTGCAAGAGTGCGGCGGTGGTGTGGGGCTAATCGAGCGCGAGAAGTGAATAGGCGCCAAGCGGGGATGTTGATCCATGCTGAGGCGATGCCGACCCGCCCGCATCTGGAGAGAAAGCAGCGCACAGTCGGCCTGGCTTCGGTGTCGCGGACTCGGGCCTCGCACGGATGCCGCCTGCCTGTCTCCCACGCTGCTGAAACTCACTCGTGGCCCGACTTCAGCCTGCCCCATCCATACCAGTACGAGATCGAAAACATCAGCTACCCCGAGCGCATGTTCAAGCAGTCGCCCGAGATTCTGTACTCGTCGCTGGACGAGACGCCGCTCACCTACATCGACACCAAGGAGCAGCTGATGGCGGCGCTTCCGATCATCGAGAGCGCGAGCGAGCTTGCCATCGATCTGGAGCACCACGACTACCGATCCTTCCAGGGATTTGTTTGTCTCATGCAGATCTCGACGCGGTCGGAGGACTTTATCATCGACACTCTTGCAGTCCGAAGCTACATGCACCTTCTCAACCAGGCCCTCAGCGACCCTCAGATCATCAAGGTGATGTATTTCCTCCTCTCGTGCATAGCCGTGGCTGACCCGCCATCTCATGGCATTGTTCAGCTCAGTGGCGGCGTCTGGTTGTATGGTGTTGTGCCGGATCCCGATACCCAATGCGGCTTTGCGCAGTATGCAATTGGCCGGCATCTCGGTCGCTGTCCCACGCACACCGACATGCTCACCGACATGCTCACCGACCCTGTCCCCGCTTTCAGGTGTTCCACGGCGCCGAGTCTGATATCATCTGGCTGCAGCGAGACTTTGGCGTCTACGTCGTGAATATGTTTGACACGTACCATGCGTCGCATCTGCTCGAGTGCAGTGCCCACAGTCTGGCGCACCTGCTCAAGACATACTGTGACGTCGCAACGGACAAGAAATACCAGCTGGCAGACTGGCGCATCAGGTACAGACGACACGCTAAAGCCATCGAGATAGCCCTCACGGCAGTGTCGCAAAATCAGATCTGCCACAAAGTCGGATGCTGTGTCGCAGCGTTGGATGCAGTGCACTACGAGCCTGGCGCGACCGTCCGAGGACGATGTAGTGATGCTGATTCTCTGTTGTCTGTTCTCTGTTCTCTGTTCTCTGTTCTCTGTTCTCTGTTCTCTGTTCTCTGTTCTCTGCTCCGCTGTTTTGCCGTGGTGCCCAGGCCCATCCCAGCAGAGATGCTCAAGTACGCGCGCATCGACACACATTACTTGCTGTACATCTACGACCGGATGCGCAACGAACTGATCGAGCAAGGCAACCCATCGACACACAACCTGATGCACGCTGTCCTGCAGCGCTCCAAGGTGACCTCGCTCAACCTCTATCAGAAGGAAATTTACGACTTTGAATCGGGTGAAGGACCTGGTGGCTGGCGCAAGCCCCTCGAGAGCTACGGATTCAGCATGAACGCCGAGCAGCTCGCAGTCTTCAAGGCCGTCCACGCATGGCGAGACCACACCGCCCGCGAAGAGGACGAATCGACCCGATACGTGTGTCCGATGCACATGCTCTATGCGATCGCAGACCGCATGCCCACGGACTCGGCGGGGGTGCTGTCGTGCTGCAACCCCGTCCCGCCGCTGGTGCGCATGTACGCCAGCGACATTGCACTGCTGATCGAGCGCACACGCACCGAGGCGCGAATGACGATGGAGCTGCGGGAGAAGGAGCTGGCCCGACTCAAAAATGACCTGGCGCTGCGCGAGAAGGAGTACGAGGAGCGCAAGCGTCGCGGGCCCGTGCACACTCGGTTCTCGGATGGCAAGGAGGACGAGGATGCTGCGACTGACGAAGGCAAGGGTGCCGTGGGATCTGCCAAGAAGGGTGCGGCAATCAAGCCCAAGGGCACTCCCGCGCCCAAAGCCGGAGCCGGAGTTGCACCCATGCACAAAGACGATGCTTGCCAGTCGGACCGTCTGGGTGACTTTGGCAGTGGCCGGCCTCGTATCGCCATCGCGGAGATCAAGGTCAAGTCGCTTCGGGCCGACTTTGGCAGCCTGGAGGCCGGAGTTGCGATCGTCAAGAACAACAAGAAGGCCCAGGCAAAATCGGAGAGCATCCGGTCGAGCTTATATCTCATCTCGCCAGGCATCGAGCTGCTGAAACGGGAGCAAGAGGCGCTCCAAGGATCCGACGAGGCCACTGGCGATGCTGCAGAGGAGCCCGTCGAGGACAAGCCCGCCCCGAAACTGACCAAGAAGGATATCGAGAGCCAGGTCGCGGAGACCAAGTCGATCCTGTCGCAAAAGCACACGCCGATCATCATGTCGGAGATCAAGAAGGAGCGCAGCACATCCAATCCCAAGGGAGGCTCGGCGAGAAAGGATGGCGTCGTCAAGCTCGAGCAGGACGGTGTGGTCAAGTTCGATCAGGACGATAACGGCAACGACCTTCCCGACGATACCAAGACTGGCTCGTCGGCGGCAAAGGGCAAGAAGAAGGCAGCGACTAGCGATACACCACAGCCAGCAGCGTTCGACTACAGCCAGCAGAACAGCTCGATCCACGATCTCTTCCAGGCCAACAAACCGAATGTGCGCAAGCGGCGAGATACCGAGGACGGAGCCGATGTAGGACCGGCCAAGAAGTCAGCGACCGCCAAGAGCGAGGTGTTCGACCCGTATTCTGTCGTTGATGAGAAGCCTGAGGTGAGCCAGCGAGCATGTGGGTGGGCGGTGTTGTGTGTGTATGTGATGTGGATTGAATGTGGATGCGAGCGGTGTGATGTGGATTGAATGGTGCTGCGGTAAGATAGGGAACGATACGGCCGCGAGTGACCCCAGGGGCCAGGCCAGCAGAGTTCCGACGAGCTGTCCGGGCACGCTGGCCTGATAGGGAAGCACTCTGACTGGATGGAAAGCAAGCAGCTCGGCGATAGGAGCGCATTTTGGTTGGATATGGGGCTGAGGCCGGCGGCGAGTGCGGCTGCGGTTGCGTGGGAAACGGCTGGCGATTGTGGTGGCGATGGGCACTCACGGACATGCACATGCATATGCTTCTGGCTTTGGCGCACGACCACAGCTCCTGAAGAAAGACGTGCGGGGGTCGCTCAAGCCCAAGTCCGGAATCAAGTCGATGACATACAAGAAGTAAGCCGTGCAGCCAGTGCGTGCCGCGAGCGACCGATCGAAAGCACTCGTCTGCCCACAAGGCTCTGGGAAGACATGAGGGTGGGCTGCGTGTCCCCGTTCCCCAGCGGCGCTGGTGGTGGACGTGCAGGGACAGCAGCAGCCACGCAGGGGGCCACGAGCCCTGTGGCTAGACAAGAAGCGGCAGCAGCAGCAGTAGCAGCAGCAGTAGCAGCTGGAATAGACAAGCCGAATTGGGCTGAATGGGTTGAATGGCCTGCTCCACGACAACCCCGACTCGCGATCATGTGCAGAGTGCCGCCGGAGCAACCAAGCCAGATCCGAGGCCGGCAGGGAAGGCAAAGACCGAGGACGGGAAAGCCGCCGGGAGGAGATAGGCATGAGGGCATGAGGGGGCATGTGAAAGACAGCGGGCCGGTGTGCGGTGCGATTAACGGCCGGCCGGCCGACCAGCCGGGCCAGCGACGGAATCGGTGTTGATCGCGGTGGGCGCCGTGGCGGATCGGGATGGACAGGGACCGGCCGATTGTGGACGACAATGGGCTGGATGCGAGCAGGACAGCCGGAAGAAGGACGGGTGCACATGCGGTGCAGCCACAGTGGACAGCGATAGAGTGGCGACGGGATCGGCCAGCAGATACAGCGGCAACAGTCACAGCGGATCGAGCCGTTATCTCGCAGATAGAGCCACGTGCGGCGGGTCGCGCGGGCGATGCCACAGTTGTGCGCTGATACGCCAGAGATATCGCCTGTGGGCGAGCGGGTCGCTGGGGGTGGTGCGGACGACCAAGCAGGCGAGCGAGAGACGGATTAAGACTGGGGGCACTGCCGGGCTGGCAAACAAGTGCGCTCGATATTTGCACGGCGCTGCCGAGACCAGAGCAGCAGCAGTAGCAGCAGTAACAGCAGCAGCAGCAGCAGCAGCAGCAGCAACAGCATCAACGAGCCGACATCGATCTGCGGGGTTCAAACTCGGAGTTGATATCTCGTATCCAATTCAATCCCAATATCCGATTCAATAGCAATATCCAATTCAATACCAACATCCAATTCAATCGCAATATCCGATAACCGATATTCGATTGCCACAGCCAATTCACACTCAATACACAACAGCAACAACAGCAACAACAGCAACAGAAACAACAGCAACAGAAACAGCACCGACACACACACACGCCCGGCCGTCTTATACCTTCTTGCCCGCCCGCCGGTCTCCATAGTCCCACCGCCCACGGCCCGCTTGCATCGCCCGGCTCTCGCCGAAATCTGCCCTCTGCACCCGGTGTGCCCCTCGTCTGCCCGAGTGGTTATCCCCGCTCTCCCTCTCCTCCCATCCTCGCGCCGGCGACCCTCTGCTTCTTGAGGCTCTGCGGCTCGCCCAGTACCTGCAGCAACCACCGGCCCTGGGCACAGACTCCTGTGGGTAACGGAGTCGAGTGGGCCATCGCTTTGCCCTTCCGCTGTCACCGTCGCTGGACGGGGTCCGTTGGGCGTCTTGTTGCTGCCGAGCAGCAAATGGTGATAGTGCTGATAGCGCTGATAGTGCTGATAGGGCTGATGGTGGGAGTGAGAGCAGAGGCACTGTGCTGCGTCGCATTGGACTGCATTGCATTGCATTGCATTGCATTGGATTGTATCTTCTGCTGTTGCTCCTTTGTTAGTACTTTGTTTTGCGACCGGGCTTCTGCCTTGCCCACGCATCTACCTCTCATAGCGAGGATAGTCCTTGGTGTTGGGGGGGGGCCTGTGCATTCAGCCATCCCATGCCGGGGGTGGGCTGCGTCGACAGCACGCACTTTTCCATCCCGTTTGTCGTTTGCTGACTGTCGCTGATCGCTTTTGCGGACAGAGCCATCCGTTCTCTCGCTTTGTCTGTGCCTTGCCTCTATTTTCTTTGGATATCGCCTCTCGCCACCGCTCCAGGCAGGTTTGTGGCTGGCACCTCACTTACACACCGATTGGCTTGATCATTGTCGTTGGCACCGCAGGCTGTATCCAGTGCAAATACCGTTGCTCCCCTCAAGCCCTGTTTTCAAAGTATCTTATCTCCGGCTCGAGCTTGAACATCGTGGACGGTCGAATGGTAAGGGTTGCTATTGAGTGAGTGTCATTGAGTGCTATTGGGGCTGCCGGCTGGAGTATATCTTTGTTTTCCCCCGTCAAAGATATGCAACTTGCGCTGGTTTGTGGTCGGCGGTGCGGATATCTGCGGACGCCGTCGATGTTTCTGGGCTGCTTTTGCCATGGACAGCGGACTTTGCCATGATCAGACAGTCGCCACCGGGCATTGGCTGTCTGCCGATCGGCCGATCGCCGGGATCGCCTTTGCCGCCATCTGGACTCTCCATCGGCGATACCAGCCCTTCGTCGTCGGTATCGATCATTCGCCATCGATAATAACCCTTCCGTATCCACCCGACTCTTGACCTGCCCATCATCACCGTCCGCCCGGCCTTCCATCCATCTCCAACCCCGATCGCCCGTCGCCCATCGCACATCGCCCATCGCCCATCGCACATCGCCCATCGCCCATCGCACATCGCCGTTGCGGACCCATGTCCTCGCCTCGTCTGCTCTTGCCGCTGCCGTCCTCGTCTTCAGGATCCACAGGCACCCATCCTCTTCTAGCCTCCACTATCGTTTTTCTCTGCACTACCTCCACCCGCATCGCCCATCGATCCTGCCGAGCTGAGCTCTGAGCCCCCTCCAAGTAACCCGATCGCCTCTGCCTTTGCCTCTGCTTTTGCCTCTGCTTTTGCATCACGCATCGCTCTCGCCGCTCCACGCTCCTATCACCAACAGTCCTCTCACATTCCCGGCCATCCTCTGCTTGCTCGTTTCCTCGTGTTTTTCCTCGTGCCTCTAGACTTGCAACCGCAGCTCCCTTCCCTTGCCCTGAACCCGCTCATCATCCGACCCAACCCCGCCATAAACATCACCCAGCCCAGCAATCACCCAGCCACCCTCTCACCGACGATCAACTCCTCCACCTCGATTCCGAGTCCGACTCTGAATACCAGCTCGATCCCGATCTGTGTCCTCGGAACAAACCTTCCCACTCTGGTTGGCTCTGTTCTTTCTTGCGACCTGGACTCTGCGTGACCGTCCTCCTCCGACCTTGTCCCCTGCATCAGCAAGCACCCGCTCTGGCATCTGTTGCAACCCATCCACCGCCATCCTGCGGCACCAAACCCCTGGCCCTGCCGACATGACCCCTCCAGCCACCGCAACAGCCGACGCTACCGCAGTCGCGGGCTCGACAAAAGCATGTCTGGCGTGCCAAAAGGCACATGTCACCTGCAACGGATGTAAGTGCTGCGGGCCCTATGTGTCTCCTCCTTCTGGATGATCTCCATCGGCTTCATCGTCGCGGCCGTTATCGGTGTCTTCTTGGAACTCTCCGTATGCATGGCGTCGACCGCCATCGTCGCTGTCGCTCTCAGCACACTCGGTGCAGCCCACAGAGCTGTATGGCATCCTCTTCGACTCGCTCGAGTGATTTTGGCTTCATCACTCTGGCTCGTCACCCCGTTGCAACCGCAGACTCCGCCGCGACTTACACCATGGAGTCGTATTAATCCATTTGCACCAATCTGTCCTCAACAATGTCAACTTCACTCGTCTATGGCCGTGTCTTCAGTGCGCCCGTGCTCTCGCTGCATCAAGCGCGACCAGCAAGACACCTGTGTCGATGGCAGCCGCAAAAAGTCAAAGTATCTCGAGCCCGACCCGAGACCAAGAGTCCAAAGCAGGGCCGCCGCCAGTGAGTACTCGGATGCCGAGCCGACCTGTAGGATCCCAGGGGGCCGTTTTCAATCGAAAGCATGTCAGCAACGCCAACTTATCATCCATCTATGGCTCTCGCCATCGTTGTTTCCAGATACCGGCTCAACTTCGACCCATCCCACTCTTGTGCTGCCGCCTGCTCTCACCTATCCCGAGCCCAACACCCAGGTTCTGATCGGAGCCTCACCGGATCTGTCGATTCGAAGCTTTGAGCCATCGCATCACTTTGGCTCCGAGATCGTCAATCTGGAATACGCCATCCTCTCCAATATGCTGTTTTCCAGTGGCAGCACGGGGCTCCACGCACCCGAGGTGATCCTGCCCAACGCCAGTCTATACTCACCAAGCAGCGCTTCGCTCTCGGACATGTCTCAGCCGCCGCTGTCACATCCGCCATCGTCGTCGGTGGCCATCTTGGCCAGCCCAGCGCTTGCAGGGCCGTCGACAGGCATGGCCGCGCATGCGTCAATACCAAGTTTGTACCCAGTGTCGTCCTCCTCCATGGCCTCCACAACCATCCCAGCGCCGTCGGTATCTTCGGCTGCGTCGATCGTACCCGACGGCTACTTCAGCGATGGCGACCGGCTAAGACGAGTTTCGCCGCACTACCGGCTGCCCGAATCCTCGGCGCCGCAACGGCCGTCCCCGTCGATGAGGTCGTCCTCTGGCCAGAAGGATGACACCATCTCGCTGCCTTCGCCGCCATCTTCGTCCACAACGAGTCTTCAGCAACAACATCTTCAGCCGCAACCGCCGCCGCAACAGCATCAGCACCAGCATCAGCATCAGCCGCAGCATCACCAGCACCAGCACCACCAAGGAAAAGACGCCGCCCACCGACCTGGCGACAGCCGGATGACGATCGAAGACATCTACGGCGGCGTGTCGAAGCCATACGACTATCGCGAAGGGTTTCATTACCTGGTGAACTATGTGACAAACAGGTGAGCATGTGCGTGCGTGCGGTGCGGTGCGTCACCACCGATTCTCGTGGAATTATCCAGAAACGAATTGCCAACAATCTGATGCTAATCATACAACTGACACTACTCTTGGGCGTGGGATGGATGAGCAGAATGGAAAAGGACGACATCATCCGAATCTGCAAGTCTGTCGGTTTGTTTCGGCCGAGTTTCATGGCCCAGATCATGCATCTCTCCGAGAAGGACCTGATCTTTATGGAGCAATGCTTCCAGCGCGTAGTGATGGTGAGCCAGTCCGTCAAAGGCTTGATTGTCGTTGTAGTTGATGAAAGGGGGGGGGGAAACGAGGGTCGGGATGATGAGTGTGTCTTGCAAGTGCGCTGCTGTCTTGAGGTGTGCGTGTCCCCTATTCCGCCGATCCCCTCACTCACGCACTCACTCATTCGGTTTGGGCATTGTAGGAGTTTGAGCAGCTCATCGGGTTCTCAGGCACGCCCACGGTGGTCTGGCGACGGACGGGCGAGATTGCGCTCGTGGGCAAGGAGTTCTCGCTGCTGACGCAGTGGTCGCGAGAGCAGCTTCTGGCTTCCAAGACATACATCTACGAGCTCATGGACAACCCCTCGGCCGTCGAGTACTGGGAAAAGTTCAGCCTGATTGCCTTTGACAACTCGCAGCAATCTGTCATGACAACCTGCAACTTGGTCTCGCCCATGAACGTCGTCGTGCCGTGCGCTTTCTGCTTCACGATCAAGCGAGATATCTTTGATGTCCCGCTCGCGATCGTGGGCAACTTTTTGCCACTGTGAGTAACTTGGCTGCACGCCTCCCTCTCTTTGTCGCTGTGAGCGAGCAACTGCCATGTCAGCTGCTTTATCGCATGGTCACCCACATCTGCCCTCTGCCGACCCCCTCGCCATCTCCTTCGGATCCCGCTCGTTGTCTCCGACTTGACCTCTCATCCAACGCCTTTATTTGTTTCCATCCACAGCTTCAACCACTGAACCAAAGGACAGATGCGATTCGGGGTCTGCCCTGCTTTGGTGTCAGCCCCGGCTGCCTATCTGCTTGCTTTCCTGTTTGCCTGTTTGCCTGTCTGCCTGTCTGCCTGCGACTTGACGTATCTCAAAATCTGGGGCTCTGCCCGTCCACCCACCCGCCGGGCTGCTTTTTTGTATATCGTTATTTGCCTTTTGCTTTCATCTTGTTGCGTTTTTTTTTTTTTTGAAGCTGGAATTTCATCATTCACGTCCGAGGGGATGGAGACATTGCATGCTGGCTGGCCGCAACAGCATTCCTTCCGCCATCCCCTTTTCTTCTTCTCTTCCCTTGCTTTGCTTTGATATGCTTTGGTATGCTTTGCTTTGATATGCTTTGCTTTGATTTGATTTGATTTGTTTGATTTGCTCTCCCATCTGACTGTGTGCCGCTTGCATGTGCAACAGCCGATGTGGCGGACCATCCACCTGTCCATTTCTTCATCAACCCATTGTTTCATCTCCCCCCCACTTTCTCTCCCCAACCACATCCCCAATTTGTCCTCCCTTCTATCGAACACCTGTATGCGCCGCGCTCCTCGGCTCTCCTCTGCCTCGGTGACTTTGCCTGCACTTCTGGCAATACAACATGCTTGCATCATCACCGCAGATAAAATGAGCTTCATCCTTTCCATCTTACCTTTTGTTCGAGTTGACGTGTGGTCCGATGGTTGCTTGTGACGACAGTTCAAACCGACATGGTCTCCTCCCCATGTGAACAAGATCTTCCAAGCTACGACCACATCGCAATCCATGCGCTGGGTTGCAAGTCCTTGATGGCGGCCAAGCGAATACAGCCCGTTGATCCAGCACAGGACTGTTCGTTCGGTGGATAGAGTATATTAGGTCCAAAAAGGGAGGGGGATCAAAAACGGGCTCAGCGAGTGAGGGAAAGAAAGAATATGGGATGGATGTGGGAGACAGCATGTTCGCTCGGTGGCATTGGTGGCATTGGTGGCATTGGTGGCATGGAGTGGCTGATGATACGGGCTATAGCGAGACTGCCGTGTCGCGTTCATGCATGCATCCCATCGTATTTGTCCAAGAGAGGGCGAGGAGGTAGCAGCACTCAGACGTTGCTGCTTAGAAGCCGAAAATGCCTCGGAGGGAGAATCCGAGTTTGCCCTTGAAAGCGCAAGCAGAAAAGAACAGTGACGGCAATGAGCCAACCTGACGACAATCGGCCTGGCCAGCTCACACCCAAGGCCACTGCGCGACGAGCCTCTCTAGCATTCTCCTCCTCGAAGCTGCGACGGCTCGGTACCGAATGGCCGATCCAGCCGAATACTGCTGCCTCTGTTTCAGCGCACACGCACCCAGCCGTCCAGGATGGCCCACCTTTTGTCCAGCAGTACTGGACTGGCCAGGGATAGCGGTGGCGGACTCGAAGCGGCCAGAGTGCTCGATCGAGGACCGCAGCGAGCCCCCGTCGAGCGAGGCAGTGGGCAGCATGTCCACGGATTGTGCCGACATGGACGCAGGGGTCTGCAGCACCGAGTGGGTGGGCGAGCTCGCTGGGCTCGGTGACGAGGTTTCGCTGGCCCGATGGTGGGTGCAGTTCGGCGGGTGATGCGACTGGCGGGTCGAGGCGACTGAGACTCGGAGAACGTCCATGGCGAACAGCGGATGCAGATGGCGACGTGCAGATGGCGACGACGAAGATGGCAATGACGCCGATGGCGGCGATGGAGGGCAGGGACGATGGAGGGCAGGGATGACGGGGCTGGTGCACGATGAGTTTTTCTGCCGCCGCTTGTGGGCGGCGACGGCGACGATTGGCCCGCGACGGCGCCATCGGATTGGCTGGCACGGACCAATCACAGCGCTCCATCTGCACTCGATCCAGCTCCATCTGCACTCGATCCATTCGATCCACTCGATCCATTCGATCCATTCGATCCACTCGAGAATCATCGTGACTTGGCGTGACTTGGCTTGGCTGTTCTGTTTCGTTCTGGAATGGACTGCACTGGAATGGACAGGTCGCTGCTGCTTGGAGCATGCTGGCTCGGTGTGTATCGGCAGAGACACCGCTCGCTCGATATTCTCAGACCGCAGACCGCAGACTACAGCGGCAGCCCGTCGTGCCATGCTCGACAGCACCAGAGTCCATCGACGGCGTCGCAGAGGCAAGCGGGGCACTCCCTTGGTCTCATACTGCACGCGCCCAAACGGACGGGATTGGCATTCGTGGGCGGCAGACTTGGGCTCCGCGACCATGTTGCGGGCCGCACTGGCCTTTGCTGCAGCGATGTGTGTCGACCAGACCGGCCTATTGGTGCGACCGGGCTGTCAACGCACGAATGCGGTGCAGACCACTCCCCGAGCGATTTCCCAACTCTGTCGCCTTGCGTGCTCGGGCTTGCTTTTGCCACTTCCATTCCAGGACGAGCGTCGCCGCTATCGCGCATCACGCTGGCCGTCCGCAGCCAGCACGACCGATGCCGGCTGGTCTTCCATGGCTGCTCTCGCAAGCACCTCGTCTGCCTGTTCCAGAATGTCAGTGTGGGCGTTCCCCGCGTTCCGTCTCGGTGCAGTGCGACCTCGGTGGCTGCTGGCGCCGTTGCTGCAAGGCCCACTGGCGGCATCGTTTGACTTTTCCCGCACCTGGTGTTCCTCTGATACCCCCCGCGCCACCGCCTCGTCCCCCAGTCATATGTCGACCCGCCTTGACCGGCGCGTATCCTTCGCCCACTATTGGCCAGAAATCGTCGTCCGCGACGCGTCCTCCCAGAGTCTGTGTCGCCAAAACCTTTCATCGCCATGCACTCCTCATGCCCGGCTTGCCTCCATCGCCACCAGCGCCATCGCCATCGCCCTATTTATTCCCCCCCTGCGTCCCCGGCCATCTTCGCCTGCATCAATGCTCCCGCCCACCTCTGCCTCCTCAGCCCGGCCTGGCTCTCAGTCTCGCTCTGCCAAACCATCCGCGCCATGTCTCTCGTGTATCGCCCAACCGATCTCCCTCTCAGGGAAAACCGCTGCAATCTGAAGCTCAAAGAGGTTGGTGTCGACCCAGCGGTCCGCTGAGTGGCAACCTCGCGAGACATGTCTGCAGCGAGGAGCCCAGGAGTGGGTCGGACCCGGGGCTGCATCGGAGAGGTTCTCCATCCGCTCCGTCCCAGCTTTGCGTCTGCACCCAGACAGCTCCTGACTCTGGCTCCTTCTGCACCCGTCCTGCAGCAACACAAGGCCCTCTTCCACACACCATACAGCTGCTGCCTGAGTAGTCTGCTGGATGAATTCGACCTGTTTATGAAGCACCCGCCCGCGAGCCTCGCTGCCGTCCGGGAGACAGAAGCAACCTCCTCGGCCGTAAGCCGCAAGGACAAGGCCAAATCTGCCGACTGGACCATCTGGGTCTCCCGCCCGGTCCTGGACAGGTTCCATCGTCTCAAGAAGCTCTCGGGCGCCACCAGCCATGCCGATTTTGTCGACATGCTCCTGAATATGCATGCAAAGAGCCCGTCCCAGGTCAGCACACCCCCTCAGTCGCCTGCCCATCACCGCCCCCGATCGATTCGGTGCAAGACCGCCCACTCCAAGACTCTGAGCAAGACGGAGCCGACCATCGAACCACAAACGTATGTATCTGCTCTTCTTGACCTAGCTATCACCCTGGCTGTGCTTAATTCAGTTGTTCCTCGCTCCGCACTTGCCACAGCTAACAGTCGATCCTCATCTTTCCTCACAGTCCCAGCATGGATGGGTCCAAGGAGTTTCGCGAGCTGATTACCCAGTTGGCTGAAGACATCGACTCTGGACTGGCTGCTCCCGATGACATCCTCCAAGTGACCCCGCCGGAGCCAGTCCCCCTCTACGTATATCCTGCGAACAACGTGCCCACAGCTCCACCCACGATGCAAAACATCATTTGCCCCCATGTCCCTACTTTCGTGGTGGATCCCCCGACAATCTCCCCGGAACCCACAATGAATGTCTTTGACTGGGACAAGGCGCACAACAAAATGCTCCTGCAGCAGTTCGACAACAACTTTCTGTATCCATTCGACAATGACCGCTCGTGCCTGTCGCCGCAACAGCCCATGCAAGTGTTGCCAACCCCAAGCAGATCTCCCGTCGATGTTCTTCTGTTTCTCGAGTCGAATAGCAACGAGTACTACTTGACCTTGCCCAGCCATCAAGTCCTTATTAATACTCCCACTCTTCCTATGAATGAAGAGTTCCTCCAGTCCCTCGAAGTTAACAGGCCGAGCAATGGCTACATGGACGACAACCAACTCATCGAGCCATATGTCCTTGATCCGACCGAGCCGACTCCGGCGCTGCACTTCCCCGCTTTTGCTGCCGAGAATGATGCGATCCTGCCCGGTACTCCCTTCCCCTCCCTTCAAGCGCCTGAGGATATGGATTTCTTGGCGATCGACGAGTACCCCAAGACTCACAGCCAGCTCGACTGCAGCTTCACCGAAATACTCACCCTCCCCTCAAGTACCGTCCCAATGCCAAACAATCCGTTGAGCCACCCTCTCCAGGACCACTTCGATACCACCGAGTTTCCCGACTCTGCCCTCGTTGCCGACGATGCGTCGTTCCTTCCAGATCCCTTTGGTGCCAATTTCGAGCCTTTGTCACCGATAAACTATCAGGAATTGAGCGATTTCGAACAGAGCGACGCTGCCTTTTCGTCGCCGCTCTTCCATTCCCCATACTCAAATAGTCCCATCTAATTCCCTGACACCGCCTTCTCCCTCTGTATATATACACCCAACTAATTCTATCAACACGCTGTGATTCTACGATCGCCCAACAACCTAACTTGCGCACCGTTCGTTTCGTCTCGCCATCGGTCCGTCCGTGTGGGGTGTTGTCCTCTGTGTGTACATTGGGTTATTGCGCTGGCAGTGGCAAGGAGTATCAGATAGCTTGTTCCGCTGACCCGGCGGCTGTCTGCCACTTGGGGAGTTGAGTTACTCATCCAGATGCGCTTCCGTTGGAGATCTCGAGGCTCTGGCATCATGAGGAACCAGAAAGTCGCTGACAGTGTCGTCAATCAATCGGCCCTTCGGACAGGCAGTAAAGCCCCCGCCATTGCTTGCTTGGTGTGAGTGTTCCTGGCATAACCCATTCTTGCATCGGGCCGATCCTGCCCAGCGCTCGAGCTGGTTTGCTGTCCTGCCGGCTCAAACCCCCGCTCGGTCATGTCCAGGCCACAGCGCGCCGAACTCGCTTTCGTCATCCAAACGGACTTGCTTGGTCGAGCCAACCGCACCGATTCCGTCCTTGGGCCGATGAACAGCACCAGCCCGGACTCGGTCGCCGCACCCACAGACAAGGCTGGATACTGCAGCCTCTGCCGGGCAAACTTTCTCAACGGCAAGCGCCATTTCTTCACCCAGACCCATGCTGCGAATGTCCAGCGGCTCTTGTCTCGACAGAAGGAGGTGCAGTGTCATTCCCATCCAGCCCGCTGTCTTGCTGCAGAGTCCTCGCCTCGCACTCGAAATCCTTGGCTATTAAGTCGCTGTGCTGATAAAATCCCTCTCGCTGTGCCCATTGCCCTGTCCGTCGCTCGCCCACCCAGAAAAACGATGGCTTTCGCCAACACCTCCGCAATGTCCTGATCATCACCGATTCAACCAAGCAGCCCGACACTTGGGTACGGCTGTGCCCATCCCTCGATCGCTCTTATCCTCGCCTTGGGATCGATTCCTGTTCGGTCTCCCCCCCCCTCGGCGACGCAGTGCACGCAGACCCAGTCTTAAATCCGATATCTGCTCTGCTCCGATCGCTTGTATCCACATCCACAGTGCTTGTTCTGCGACTCCAAAATCAAGGCCAGCATCGACTTTGTGCCGGATTTTCACATATACTGGTGAGGTCCTCCGGTTATCAGATCTTGTGCGATGGCGATCATCTGCCCTTGCGTCGAGAGAGCATCTCGAGGATGTGTGGCCGCACCCTCGCCACTTTCCTCATCCCGAAACTATCCACCCTCAACCGCTCCAACGCCAGCATTCACATCTTTGAGCACTGGGCCAGCGCATCGCACCTCAAGGCCTTGAAGCGATGGCTCTATACCCATAAAATTGATATGTCGCGGCTCGGAGAGTTTTCTCTGACGGCCGAGCGGCTGGATGAGGTTCGTGTCTGGAGCAGATGTCGATCGCCCAGCACCAGATCCTTCGATCGACAGGATCTCGATGGTCCTTTGGTTGGTTGGTGGCCTCATCGAGCTCGTCTTTTAGTTTCACTGCATCGCTCGACTCAAGCTTGCTCAGCAGCCGCCTCTCAAGAAACCCAGGGTGTCATCGCCAACACACCCGCCAGACCCGCAGCTTGTTGGCCGGCTCGACCAAACATCGACTCTGAAGCCTGCGACTGCCGGCCCAAGCAGCGCCATCCATCTACACGGCACTGGTGCTGCAGATGCCTCTGTGTCGAATCGTCCGATATCCAGCCGCCTCGATCCTTCCATCGGTATGGCCATTTTCTTGATCGCGCGCCGACGATGTTGGCGGCTCATGCCCGCTCATGCCCACTCATGCCCGCTCTTGGGTGCTCTCACCATCATTCCCAGGGCTCGCTCGGATTGTTCTCCCTTCGGGCTCTCAGGGCCCGCAGAGGTCCCAGCCCAGCATCCCCCCATGGCTCCAAGACGAGCCAGTGTCCAGCGACGACGGACAAGCTCCGGCGTGCGGGCCATCGATCGTGGACTACTTGCTGCATAAGCAACATGAGGCAGCCCGGCGGCTCAATCCCAACCGAGTCGGTGCCAACCAGACCTTTGGTGAGCGACATCCGGGCCATGCAGCGAGTTATTATGTTTGGCGCATCTGCTGTGGCTAACCAGGCTGCTGCCTACAGGCGGGGATGTTGGCGACGACTGGCTACCAAACTTTGGTCGGGTATGGAACAGCGGCAAGCGGTCCGAAACCGCCCGCGAGTTCCGGGACGAGAAACGCAAGCGGAACAGAGGCCCAAACGAATGACACGAGCAAGTTGACGATGCGCATAGCCAAGACATTTTTGCTTCTGAGCTTGCGTCTCTGCTGCCCAAACGAAGCCCAGTGTCGTGGCATCGCGGTGCTGGCCGATGATGCTCGCCTCAGAGGCAATACAATCACTACGGTGCAATTCTTTGCTCCCCACCACACCGCTGGCGAGCCCCATAGTGATGTCGTGGCGCTCATTCCAAAACGGCCATGTCCCGGAAGGAGTGGTGGCATGCGTCATGTGTATTACGGCATCACAAAAGATCATGGCTAGCACATCCAACCAAGCTTTGTGCTGTCCATATTTCATAAATTAAGTAAAGTGCTGATCAGGTCAGGTCAGATCCAGCCCAGGGCAGTCCCCCAGTGGCGCCGTCGCAGTGGATGTGCCAACCCGAGCGGATTTGAGTCGTCCTAAACGATGTAGCTTTCCGAGGTTTCCTGGAGATTTTTGGCAGAGGTCTTGGCGTCATGGAACAGCTGGTGGACTTCTTCAATCTCAGGAGTCTCGATCGCCTCCTTGCCGTTGATTTTGGCGAGCACGTTCGCCGGGTTCAGGAGTTGGATCGCGTATCTGAGAATGGGATTTAGGATCAGCTGTCGAGTTCCAAATAAACCTGGCCTGCGGGTGAAAGCCATTCCAGAGAGTCTGATCTCCATCGTGCTTTAGCATCACAAACCTGAGCGACGTCTTGACGCCAATATCAGCAAGATAGTCCAGCGATTCCTCGATAACGTTGATGCTCTCCGTCTTGGCGCGGATCGAGAGGATGGTCCTGATCTCGCCCAGAGCGTAGGGCAGCGTGCGGACAATCAACAGGCGATCCAGCAGATCAACAGGGATGCCGTGAGGCGACACGATATCTTGGGTCCCGCTGGGATAAGCATTTTGGCAGGGAGGATGAAGCGTCAGCAACGCGCAGTCTATACGCTTTCAAACGCCACGCTGCCGTGCTGATCCAAGCAGATTGTATCATAGTTTCGTCGCCCTACCGAATGGTGCAGATACCGCGATTGGTCGCAAAGATGACGATCGGCGAGAGCGAAGACTCAAGTGCACGGTTAAGATACGTGAAGCACTCGATGTCGAGCATGTGGACCTGTATCGGGTGGCATTGTGCGGGGTCAGTGGACACGGAGGAGGGAAACACTCCGTTCAGTGCGCAATGCCGGACAACAGAAACATGCAGGAAGTACTTGCCTCGTCAACGAACAAAACGCCGGGGACGAGCTCGGCGACACCCTGTTCAATGTACTTGTTGACGACCTTGTTGATCTCCTTGCGGAGCTTATCCGTGATCTCTGTTTTCTTGGGCTTCATCAACTGGCCCATGACCGACATGATGTCTTGGCCGCCCTGCGATCCGACCGTGTGTTGGTGAGGGGCGTCCGCAGCGAGCAGTTAAGGGCCGGCGCTGACGACTCAGCAATGCAAACCTACCTGCGGTCGAGCGTTGGCAACATCGAGATCGTGCAGCGTCACGTCCTGAATGATTTCCTTCTTCTTGTGCACCTCGCCCTTGGGGATGGGCACATACTCTTCGGCCTCGAGATCGAATTCTGTTGCGTATGCATCGGAGCGGCCAACACGCTGTCGACGAGCGCCAAGGATTAGCAATCCCGCAGAACACATGCCATAGCCTAGCGGGCTGATCGGCTTGCTGGACGCACCTTGACGGCGCCGCTGTTGGCCTCGATGTAGATGACATCGCCAGGGGCCACCTTTTCCTTCTGCAGGCTCTCGTAGATGACCGGATCCAGCTTGAGCTGCTTGGTACCCTTGACGGTTTTGAGGCCGATGATGACATGGGAGACGGTCTTGCCATAGCCACCCAGAGGGTTCTCGCTCTCCTCTGGAGTGATTTCGGTGACCTCACCTTCGTAGACCTCCTTGACTTCCTTGATTCGCAAACCTGGATGAGATCGCCGCGATGCACGGTCATGGATCACATAGAGTCAGACTCGATCAGCACTTGTAGTAATCGTTGAGGCAAGGATCGTTCCGCATATGACAGCATCGATAGTGGCATGATCCGGCGGTGATCGCACTGCGGGCTGCGCTGCTGAGCCAGAGCGCCAATGTGGTTCGCATTGCGGACTCACCAATTGCCCGCCTAAAGTTCTCCATCAACACCTCGGTCTTCTTGATCTCGGAGGAGTACACCTCGCTGCCAACCATGGGGCAAAACGGGACCTTGGAGCCGAGCTCCTGAGACAGAGCAAGCGCGAGCGCTGTCTTTCCGGTTCCTGGAGCACCGGCCATCAGCACCGCCCGACCGGCCATCTTCTTCGACCGGATCAGATCCACAACAACACCAGCGGCCTGCAAGCGTGCGACAAGGCATTCGTTACGCCATGAGTCACAAAGCGCTCGATCATGATGGGAGATTGTCTCTTGTCCAAGAGATGTGATTCGGCATGCACGCAGCTTCCACCAGAGCATCGACAGTTGAGCATCGGGACTCGCTCTGGTGCCGATATCCAATTCTGCCCATCGATCCAGAGGAGCCGTGGAACTGATCCGCCAAAACCAGCGACACCCATGCGACTGCTGAGCGCGCTAAAGGCACAAATACCTCTCTGGCATTCTCCTGGCCGACAAAGCCGGCGGCGACAGGCTCGGCTGTTCCGTCATCGCGGAGGCCGAGTCCCTTGATGTGTGAATGGGTGGCGATTCTGTCGTCATCACGAAACGGCATTAGCTTCTGCGCCCGATACAATATCGGCCGATTATGCTGTGCGTATCCGTGTGCACATCGTCCTTTATGGACCTGGGCGATCAACATGCAGGCGCGATCGATCGGCTCGGGGCGAGCCTGGGTGGGACTCGGACACAACCGCGATGAGATCGGTACCTCTGCTCCTTCGAGGTGCTCTGGACTTCCTGAATCTTCATGCTGCTGGCAGGAGCGGGGTGGCGGCTTGCGTGTGAATGGGTGCAGATGGGCTCGGGGGCGGAAACAGTCGAGATCTTGACGCAGCAAGAGGGATTCCTGGTGCATGGGCGGAGGATTGACGCTTGGCGCCATCCGCCCCGGTGCGGCTCGAACCGGGTGGCTGGAGCCGCGCGGAGACGCGAGCCGCCCCGGCTTTGCTGCGCACCAACCAGCGTGCGACACCGTCCAGCGCCCCACAAGCCCTTTCCGTCCTCGTGCCCCATCCGGCGCTCTCGATATCTCCATCTGGCTCTTTGGATATCCCCGTCCATTCGCAAGCATGCCAAAGATCGAAGAAATCGACTCGGACGAGGAGCGCGAGTTCATCCGCAACATCCACAAGTACGGCTCCGCCCAGGCCGACCAGGGCTCAGACTCGACATTCAATGAAGAGGACATCAAGGAGTTCCACGAGTCCAACTCGACTCGTCGTCGCAAGGCCCCGCAAAAGTCTTGCTGCGGCGCCGCATCTCTCGAACCGGACGACCCACTCGAGCTTGAGTTCCAAAAAGAGGACGATGAAAGGGCCCGGAGCCCGTGGACGTTCATCGGCAAAGCCCTGACCACGGCCCTTATCGTCGTCATCTTGGTGGGCATGGTTGTCGAGGGCCTTGGTCCTGTCCTCAAGATGTTTGGGTCGTCAAAGTCGTCGGCCCCGCCAAAGTACCGGCCCTTCCCGTCCGCAACCAGCCAGCCCATTCCCAAGACGCTGGCCCTGCACACCGTCAAGGAGCTCCAGAAGATGTCTGGCAAGGAGCTCCGGATTCTGCTGTGGCAGCGCAGCGTCAGCACCCGCGGCGCCACCGAAAAGAAAGAGTTTGTCGATTTGATCATCAACAGGATCGTCACCGAGGACCTCAACAAGCTATCCCTTGCCCAGCTGCAGGATCTCCTCCGCAACGCCCGAGTCCGGTTTCAGCCTAAGGACAAGAAGGCCGACCTCATCAAAAAGTACCTCAGCTCATAATTCTGCGCCGGTTTGCCTTGTATCCTTCCACACAATGCGCCTTGCTTCTTGCTTCTCCGGTTCTGGAGGCACTTTCGATACCAATCAGATCGGATTCGAGAATGTGTCGATGTCCGGCTTGGAGCATACGCCCCGACTTGGCGCTGGCTCTGAGGTCAGCCTGTGTCGCCATTTCCAGGGCCCTACACTTTATTCAGAAAAAAACGGGACAATATAGCCGTTTCCATGAACATGTAGTATGTGCTGTGCTTGCGTCAAGCAAAGCCACAAGAAATAAAACAGATCACTTTGGCAGCCTCCGAGTGAAGACCACCGGTCGCTCTCCGATCTCCACAATCGACCTGCATACTGTGATCATGTTGCGCGCCGCATTGACGTCGCGATTCCACACTGTCCGGCGAATGGTCATGGCCAGCGCGCGATAACATTGGGTAACAAAATATTCGATGAATGGTCAAATACCCGGGTGTCCCGTTTTTTTTGGATTGCCCTAATACAGCTCTCTTGACTGAAGCGGGATCCTGTGTATATGTGGGTTGAGTGATGTCGATCAATTACCCAGCCGAATGATGTCGATCGGCGCCTGCACTGCCGCGATGGACTCGGTCGATGAGACATCGGCCGCAGAGCAGCTCCATGGGATGGATATCCAAGGGACACATCTCGGCCTCCGCATCCATAGTGCCTGGGCTCGCACCAGGGGTAGTGGCGGGCTGCTCCTTGTGGGCTCGTTCTGGGCCGATTCGGCGCCAGGACCTCGCCAACCGCTCGCTGCGAGTCGAGGCCGCTGCCTGCGTCGTCCAGCAAAGGGACCCGAAAAGCAACGGCATCTGCTCCGAGCCCATCGTGATCCCGGAAGCATGTCCGCACCGCTTCTGAACGAATACACTCTGGCTTTTGCGCTGCGAGAAGCCTTTGCGACTCTGACAGGGGGGCTGAGGCTCCCTCCTTCGGAGATATCCCGCGGGTTTGCGGTCCTCCTCGTCGTGCTTCAATTTGCGGCTGCACTCGCCCCCTATATCGTGTGGGCCATATTCAATGCGGCGCTATCCAACAAAACAACAGCTCTGTACGGCTTCATGGGTCAGTCTTGCATATGAGTCCCTGGCACGCTTGGCGAGAGCTGTTGCATTGCAGCTGCAGGCTAAAAAGTCGCCAATGCGTGCTCTGTCTCCACCAGGAACCATTGCGGCTCTGCTCGCTGCTGTCGCTCTCGCCGATCGATACTTCCTCCACGCCCGCCGGGCTCGATATGCAACCGTTGGGATCTTGGACGATGCCAGCATCGCTCCCTCTGAAATCGAGGATCGAGACTCGGGATCGCTCTCCTATCTGATCTTCCAGTTTATCTTTCAGACAAAGGCTCAACACTGGGTGTTTGCAATGCTGCGGATTGCTCTCTCTGCTCTCTTTCTCGGGCTGTGGGTCTGGTCCTCCACTTTGTCCTCCCGGTCGCAAGTTGTCGCCGGTCTTGAATGGATTCCAGTGTTGATGGCGCAGTGGTCGCTGACGAGGTGGGTTTTGTGCATGCTATATCCTGCACATCCATGGCACAGCTGAGGCTCACCGAGATCCGCCAAGAGTACGGGTGCTTGGTTCGGTTTAGATTCCGAGCCGAACCAAGCCAAGCCAAGCCGAGCAGAATCAGCACCACGACACATTCTCACGCCCGTTGACGACTTGATACATTCCTCGCCAGTGGGCCTCCGCCGGAACCCAACATGTATGTCTAGCCTGGTGGTTGCGCTCGCATTGATGAGCTTCCTCTGATCAGGTCGCTCGTGGCAGCTTCTTCCCCGAGGATCCGAATGGCATCGATCGGTTCACGCGTCCGTTTCATGTCTGCGTCGCGATCGTCTGGGGATATCTTGAAGTGAGTATCACAATACCGAGCCATCGGCGTTGTCGTAAAGCGGGCTCGGTTGTGGCCCGGCCGTTGCTGTCCATCGCACAGCGCCGCCCTTGCGTTGGCGACGGCTAATCTGTGCTGCTCTCTCACACCAGCAAGTGTATGCAGTTTACACCTACTCGGATGTCTTCTTCCTGGCGCTGCCGTTGTTCTGGAGTACCGGCGTCCTTCCGTCGCTGCGACTCTCTCTGTGTCTCCTCGCCGAAAAGGTGGATATAGCCTCTCCAAGCACCGCTGGGTTTGTCCCCATGTGGCTGCATCCTTCTCACCATCATCGCCGTGTCTGCGCGCCCGCTGGGCATTCCCAGGCCGGCATACTGATTCTTGGAGAGGAGCCTCTCATCGGGGGTGCTGCCAGATTACTGGCTCTACGATCGCTCGGCTACCTGCTATTGGGCGCTGTTCTGGCCCTGTACCTCTGCACATCCAGCCTCGGCGCCGTGGTGATCGTTGCTCAAGCATCGGCGTGTATCCTTTCATCGACGGTGATCAACCAGATGATGCCGTTTGGACTGTCGATTCCGCGTCCTGGCCGGACTCTGGCAAGAGGACTGGCTCATATGGCCTTTCGACTCGCCCTCTCTTGCAGCCTCGTCTATGTACAATCTCAGTCAGTCGTTTCAACCCATCAGTGGACAGCCTATGCTGTTTATGTCCTCTTCGGCTCCATGGTTGTCTGCTCCCGTCTTGTGCGGCCGTACTTATTCAGCGTCGTGCGGAATCCAGTTCCGCCCCAGACACACAGGATTCTATCGGCCGGCTTCATGCTGCTCCATCTGGTTGCTCCTTATTTCGTCGCTCTGGACCTGGCGCCGTCGAATCTGCCGAATGTGTTTTCGGCCATTTTCCTGGCACGAGCGTTTCGGAGATCCTGGCAAGAAGTTTTGCCGTTGCTCTGTGAGCTCTCTGTTGTTCGTATCGCCGAAGCTGCCGGGGGGAGTGTCCTTTCGACCTTCAACTCGCTGGATATTGGTTTGCGACTCCTGATATCGTATTTAGTTGTCGCTACCGTCCTGGGAATCAAAGATCGGCTTGGGTTTGCCACGATGACCGTCTTCTACTTTCTGGTATGCGCATGACATTGATTGATGAAGCGTTGTCATATCTGGTGTTCCAATCGATGGCGATAATCACCGCAGCCCATGTAATGCGAGGTCGCTCATGGGCTCAGTATTGCTGCGGCTTGATGCTGATCTAACTCACCTATGGTCTGCCATAACAAGACGGACAAGAAGCAGCGACGCCGTGGGTGGCCATTCTATTTGGCGTACCTAGTTGTGTTGGCGCCGTTGATACTGGCGCTGGTCGCACTATCGGCAGCGCTTGAGATGCCGCTTCTCTCGTTCCTGGGGCTGCCCGTGTTTTGGGTTGGCTATCCTCGTACACAGTCGCAGTGGCCGTGGGAAGGTACGTCTGTTTGCGCAACTGGCTCGTATCCACAGCATGTTCATTATATCGAGGGTCTATGTTTTCTTCGACACATTTCTCATGCAGTGCTTCGTCGGCGCGCTGCGTGTAAGAGCTGTTTGTTATCCGGTGTGAATTTGTGCCATGGCCATTGTTGCTCACCACGTCCTTGATTTTCGCTTTGTTGCGTATACCTGTAGGAACGGAGGCAATGGACGGACACTCGCGGGATGCGCCGCTCTATGTCGATCTCGCACCATCGCTTCTAGCACACCCCGTGATCCGAATGTCTCTGCTTTCGATGCGCCCCGGAAGCACTCTTGTCGCCAAGCTGGACTCGCGGATCGTTTTTATCAGGATTTGCGAGCTGTGGTTTGATGGCGTCGTGGTGCTCGTCCGAGGTCTTGAATTGGTTCCCACCAGCTGCCATACCGTCGAGGCTGCCGGAATGGAGTCTGTTTTCGAGTCTGCATCCTCCGGCTCAGCAATCAACCGCAACTTTCTTCATACCATGCAGGTTGGGTTTGGATGAACTTCACGGGAGATAGCTTGATTGTGGAAGTAGATGCGGGGTTTGATTAACCAGCACTCCCAATATTGCGCACATGGCATTGATTACTCTGGTTCCCTCAGCCGCTCTCGTCGGTGAAGATACCCACATATTCAGACTCCAGGACCGTCGCCACCGGAATATTGGACAATCCGGAGAACCTTCGCCTGCTCCCAGCAACCATATACAAGACGCTTGTCTGGATCATCCACCGAAACTTTTGCCAAGAGGATCTTGCGGCGTGGGTGGTCCGGGCTTGCTGCGTGGGTGGTCCGGGCTTGCTGCGTGGGTGGTCCAGACTTGAAAGCACACAGGTCGCTTTCTCTGACGCTGTATCTTGGCTGACAGCTCGCACTCTTCCGCACCATCGCCGGCATCAGGTGGCAGGACTTTCCGTTGAGCAAAGAGACTGTGCAGTCCGCTTGGCGCAGGTTTCCCGTCAAGTGGTACGATTTTCTTCGCTCCGAGAGCTCCGCCTCCAGTCTCCAGGAGCTGAGGCACATGGACGAGTCGATGATGGTTGTGGCAGCAGCATGCTACTCCTTTATAGTCCATCCAGGTGATTCCCACGTTTTGCATACAGCCGTGCATCGGCTTGCGGTGTCGTCCTGCCGAGGGTTGTCGATCGGAGGGCATTTTCAGGCAGCCTCGATGTCACTGTCTTCCAAAAGCCCCAAGATGTGCAGCTGATCTGGAGGAACCCATCTTGGGTTTTCATGTCACTGCCGCTTATCGATGAATCGCACTTGGTCATCGGGCAGACACGCAGCGGTTATCTGAGCACCGTTGAATCATTGCTGACGCCCACGACTGGTCGACTGCTTCTGTTCACCGGCGAGCAGGCAGCCCCGACTATCTCACTCAGTTCGCCCTCTATGAATCGTTTCTGGGCCAGTTTCAGGAGCTCCACTTCAACCCGTGGCTCTTGGAAGATGACCAGAGGCCGCTGCTGCAAACCTGCATACGTGCCTACCGATGTGCCGTTATGCTCATATACGAACAGTCCGTCCTTGGCGTGATCGACGATTTCAGGGAGCTCTCTGCGCGTTTGGCAGTGTACGAGCTGGACTACCACATCGGAGTAGAGCCTCCGAGTGAATACCAAGTGGACGCCGAGCCTCTCTTTGCCGAGTGGCAGCACCAGATCCAGTCCAAGCAGAGGGCCATTTTTGCGTTCTCTGGTATCAAGGACGAGCAGATACTCATCAGAATTATGAATTACGGAGTGCAATCTGTAGACCTCGGGCACTTGAATCCTGAGGCCATCAAGGTGCGTGTATTTCTGCTGCAGCTGGATGTCAACCCGGGTTGAGCTGTGAAGCCACCAGAGCCGCGCCGGTGTGAGCGCTCGGTATCTGGATGGATATGAGCTTTGCTGAAGCGTAGGGCAGCCCGTGATCCCGATTTAATCGTCGAACGGTAATCACAGGGCATCTGGGCTAATCTGATTCTCGAGCTCCTCTACCTTACCAATGACGATGAAGGTGAGTGCGTCCGGCCGGCGAAGCAATTCTATGCGCAGGGCTCTTGATTGATGTGGGTGCAGCGTGCTGATACTCACGCCAAACTCATTTGTCTCCAAATCCTTGGTTACGGAACTGTCATCAGAGCGGTACAGCATCCAAGCGCACAAGGTGAGATCGGAGATTTGAAAGCGACGGGCGTGCTGGTGATGTAGGCTTGAGCGTCAAGTACGCGCAGGTTGCTCGCGATGCGACGGCCAACCGCTTGCTGCCCTCTCTTGACGCATCCGTATTAACGGCGTATCCCATCCTCTGCGTACTGGTCTGACTCCAGCAACTCTTGCGGAATCTGACAATACAGGCGGCCAATCCTCCGCTGGGCTATCCAATATGGTCGGCGATTTGCATCGAGTCAATATATTGAGCGGCCATCCAGCCGAGAGCATGTGCATGATTTTGAGATGCGCTCGGGCAGATTCTTCCCACGGGTGGCCCCAGAGGATGTATTCAAAAGAGCACTGCGGTTTTCATTGCTACGGATGGCCCGCAGATCTATCCGAGGGATGCCAAGGACGCCGTGCCGCGCTTGACGTAAAAGTCCGATTCGTGTGCGCCGGTTTTGAGCTCGAGGGCAATGATGAAGGACGGTCGCTCCCTATTGCAGACAACACTCGCGGTTAATCATCGGGTTTCAGTTGTATAAACGTGCCCACACCGATGAATTCGATGGGTACCAGCGGCTGTCCGTGGTTGCACCCAGCCGACGTGAGCTTACCTCGATCCAGAGCGAATTGGATAGTAGTAGAGGGGACAGACGTACACGCCCTTGCTGACCTTCTTCTTGGCCTCGACAGGCCGGAAGTGGATGGGCGGCAGGGGCGTGATGAGCTCCATCGGGCGCGGCTCCTTGAGGCAGTTTGCCTTCTTGTCCCAGCTAGTGATCCGCAGGAGGGGTGTTAGTCGCACTGTGGCACTCGTTGTTACGCACAGCAACGATGGCAGTGCACTGAGTCAAGCAGCCCGCTGCATACCTCGCGCCCTCCAAATACAAATTCCGGACATATATTCCGTCCTTGGGCCCCGCCTGGATGTGGTTTTCGTCTTCCAGCTGAAGTACAGTAAACTCCCAGGAGAGAATGTCGACCGGTACGTTGTTCTTGCGTGCGGCACGCTGCAGCACCGCCGTCAATAGGCCAGTTGGGAAAGTGAATGCTCCAAGCCAAAAGACTTTGGGCTCGGCCCTGGAGGCAAGATGCAAATTGTAAGGCCAATGGACGAGTCCGCCTGGAGAGGGTTCTCTGCGCTGCATCACTGAATGCGCCTGTGTCTGTGCGCTTACCCTTTTGACCATTCGTTGAAGTGCTCCACTCGTTGTGCCAGATCGCGCGTCCAGGCGGCAAGCGTTTTCAGCGACGGATATGATTTGCTCCACAGAGGTGGCACCCGGCCCTCGTAAATATACAGGAATGTCTCTTCGAGCTCGGGAGACATGACGACCACGCCTTTGATACCCTTTTGCAGCTCCTCGAGCGATTTTCTGACCTTTCTGAGCAGATAGTTGAACCGCGCAATCTCTTGCAAGAGAACGACGTTAAGGGGCGACATGTCGAGCTTGACCAACTTGTATGTGTAGTCGTAGTCAATGTCCTCAGGCAGCCGCTTGGAAATATCGGCAGAGATCCCCATCACCTTGTCTTCGCGGCTGGCTCCTCCACCAACCGAGACCTGGGGCTGAAGCGACAGCAACGACGCAAGCATGCTGCCAGACTCTTTGATCTGGCTGGCAATATCGGCGTTCGGATGCTGCCCAAAGACCTCGGGCTTGTCGAATCCAGGGAATGTGGCGATATACTCGCGGAAGGACTCCAGCTCCAGGTTGTCTGGGATGAAGTACTGCGGCATCGACGTGAGCTTGTACTGCGGGGCGCTGACGGCCTCTTCACAGAAGAGATGGTTGATGTAGCTTCGCAAGACGCGACGGTCCCAGTCGTCGGTGATGCGTCCACCATAGTTGGCTTCGGCGATGAGGTACTTGAGGGCATCCCAGGGCGTCTCGGCGTACTCGTCGAGCAGTACGACCAGCAGGTTCTCGCAGACATCAAAGTCAGAGTCGTTGAAGTCGCAAGTCACATTCCAGCCAAGAGTCAGGAACTTCTTGCGCTCGAGCAGAATGCAGTGGAAGAATGACAGTGAGAACACAAGCTTGCGGTAGATATCCAAGCTTTTGCAGCGGTCGTAGTTTTCACTGGTGAAGGTGGCATAGAGGCGGCTCATGTTGGCCTTGATGCCCTTGGGCGGTTCCGTCACCATCTTGATGCCGACCTGCAGAATCGAAATCGGGAACTGCGGATGCGGGCTGCTCGACAGCCACAATCGAAAGTTGGGGTGGGGATTCTCGGCCGGGATGACTTCGATGATTTTGTCTAGTGACGGCATCCAGCTGATGGACAGATGGCAGTTGGCCAAAAACACCCAATTGCCGTCCTTGATGCCGTCCTGGATCAGGCGCGTGGCTTTGGGGGCCTGCCCCTGTCCGAGAGACAGATAGTGGAACTTGTCTCCCATGCCCTTCTTCTGCGCCAGCGCAGCGAGGGTTGCGGTGGGATCCACTCCAGGCGAGAGCACAAAGATGAGTGGGGTGCGGGGTGACGAGTCGCCCAGGATATCGGCCACGTCCAGGATCGGAGGCTCGATGAACTTTTGGCCAAGGATGTTGACCACGTAGTTCTGTGCGCAGAATATGACTCGATCGGTTCTGAGCGACCGAATAACAAGCATACGCTGCAGATCGTTGAGTTTGTTTTCCCATTCGCCAGGCAGGGTCTGCGTCTCGGGCTCGCTGCTCATGAACCACGCGCGCCACTCGCGCTCGTTCTGTTCAATCGAGCTGACCAGGCCGCCAAATGCAGCGAGATTGTCGAGCTCGGTGAGATTATCCCACGTGCTCTCGGTGATCCTGCATGGCGACGACAAAAGGCAGTTCGTACATGCTGTGAGCATAGGAAGGGTTTGCACAGCATGGATGCGCTCGGATGATATAGGTGGGCTTGTATAGAGTGGAGGGGTTTGTCCCTCCCCAACAGTGCTGTCCTTACCATTCTGTGCAAGGGTTTGGTAGCTGTGAATCCTTGTCCAGCACCTGTCCGCCGCGCAGGAAAAAGTCGTACTCGTCTTTGCTGAGCTTGCCCGATGTCTCGAGGATCTTGACTGTCATTTGCAGCGAGAACAGCAGCTTGTGCTGCTCAAACAGGCCGCGACAGGTGTTCTTGTAGACGGCGTATGTGTGGTACTCGTTCAAACTGGTCAGTCGCTCCTGCAGATCGTCGAACTTTTTGCTCTTGGCGATGGACTTGTCAAAGAGATCGACGTACGAGTCGAGCGAGAACTGGTACATCGGGTCGACCGTGGCCAAATCATTGAGCACAAAGTACAGAACCGAAGCCCGCTGCGCGCACGGACGGTAGCCTTCGCGGGCAGCATCGATGCGCTTCTCTGTCTGCTCGCTGACAATCAGCTGCTGTGTCACTTCCTCGGCCGTGGCTTTCGACGACTGCAGCGCATTGACAAGCTTGGTGTCGTCCAGCAGCGAGCCCTGTGCGTTGCTGAGCATCCCCAGGATTTCATCCTCGAGCTCCACCAGCTTCTTCTTTGCCGCTGCGACATTGATGACCAACTTGTTCTTCTGCTCTTCCAGCTCGGGCTTTTCTCGCCGCACAACGATGCCCAGCAGCTGGTCCTCCAGACCCTTCTCTTTGACCGCAAAGTTGACGATGGTTGCTTTGGCAAAGACCTCGGGGGCGTACTTGGGGTTGGCCAGCTTGGTGGTGATGTAGAAGCGGAACTCGGGGTTGTATTCGACCTCCTTTTCACCCAGCTTGATCACATAGCGACCAGCTTTCTTGACCACCGCCTTGCTCAGGATTGGATCGAGGGCCGGATCTATGACATCCAGGATTCCCTGCAGCAGAACAGGAATGCCGTACTGAATTGCGTTTTCGAGCGTGCGCAGAAAGTCGGGCTGTTTGAGATCGATGATCTTGAGGTCGCGCTTGGCCTCCATGTTCTTGATCCATGTGTTGGCTTGGCCCTGTGGGTCAACCATCAGTGGCCAGCGACGACCGCGGGTGACAATCAGACCGTTTTCGGACGAGAACGGATCGCTCGGTAAGCCCTGCAGATTCCAATCGCGGATATCGGTTGGCTTGCCCAGGAAGACCTCGAATCGGAAATCGGGGGTGAAGGGGATCTCCTGGGTCTTCATCTGCGCCAGCCACACGTTGTTGACAAGCATCACGCGGTATGTGCTGTTGAACGGGCCGGCATAGGACAGGAATCCGGCCGCCATCAGACAGTCTCCAGGCAGATAGCGCATGGCCTCATCGTAGTTCTTGATGCTTTGCTCCCACCGATCGCGCTCGCCGGAGAGTCCAGAGACGAGCTGCTCGGCTCGGTTCAGCTTGATCTCGGTCTCCTCCGAGTCCTTGCGCAGCTTCTCTTTCAGAGCGACCTTCTCGTCGTACTGGTTCTTGAGCTCGATGAGCTTGTCTTGAATCTCTTGTAGCTTCCCCTTGGCTTCCCGGAGCGAGGCTTGCTTCTTCTCGAGAGTCTCTTGCGCAACTCTCAGCTTTTCCCGCTTCGGGGCAACTTGTCTCACAATGACACCGTATGTTTCCATCGCCCGCACCCACATGCACAGAGACTTGGATGCTCCGGAGACGCGGCCGACGACCTCGGGCTGGAAGGTTTCTTCGGCGCAATACTGCGAGATTTTCTTGAGGATCTTGTCCGAGATGTTGTCCTTGTCAAAGTTGACGAGCTGCTTGATAAAATAGGGATTGGCAAGCTGGCGCTTCGCTTCGTCCCATGTTGGCTCGCACTTTTTCAGGACCATGACGGCCTCCATGACTTTTTCGACAAGCGGAGGGGGCTTGCCGTACGACCGGATCTCGTTCAAATCCTTCTTGTTGAGGCCTTCCAGGGCCTTGACGGCAGCGTTGAGGGCCGGCATGGCCTGGTCGAGATCGGCCTGGGCTGCCTCGGCAACCGCACGCACCTCCTCTTCCTCACCGCCAAGCTTCTCGGCCTTGGCTGCGACACTCTTGGCTTGCTCATCGGCCTCACGCTTCTGCTGCACAATGATGACGAGATAGTCCTCGCACTGCTTCTGGTACTGCGCCACCTGCTTCTTGGACACCTCGAGTTCGACGGATATCTTTTCGACGTTGACGCGGGTGTCGTCAAGCTTGCTGAGACCGTTGCGCAGCTTCGAGGCTGCCGTGCCAATGTCGCGCCGCTTCTCCTTGAGAAGCTCGCGGTAGCCTGTGACGAGCTCCAGGTAATTGATCGGGGTTACATAGTTGTAGCGCTTGAGTTCCGAGATCATCTTGGCGGATGCCTCCACGACCGAGATGTGGACCGAGACAAAGACGTGCGAGACGGCCTTGCGCATCGCATCCGAGCCCAGATCAACGTCGCCGAGGTACTTCATGGCCACCTCCAGCAGGGCATCCTCGGGCCACTCGGAGAACCAGTCGATGGTGGTGCAGTTGACGATCGACGGGAACATTCTCAGTCGGTTGCGGAAGGCGTCGCCGACGGGGCTCATGCAGAGAACGACATGCAGATTGTTGCGAACGCGCTCGATGAAGTAGGCATACATCGAGTCGTTATTTTCGGCAATCCGGTCTGCTTTGGCAAACGGAAGCAGCGCCTGCTTGATCTCGCTCAGTTCGTCGGCAAGGAACAAGTTGGGAACCTCTCCGCTGCTGAGGATGTTGCTGAGATCTTCGAGGAAGAGATTGTTGATGATCTGAGTGTCGGTGAAGAGGAAGGCTGTGGGCTTGTTGTCGATGCCGGCCATGCGGTAGAGCTTCTTCAGATCCTCACGGAACTCAATGTACCGATAGTGTTTCGAGATCTTGATCTGGAACACGGCGGTTTCGACCACATATGCCGCCAGACGGGTCAAGCTTTGACGTCCGCTACCGCCCACGCCAACCAGCAGCACGTTGCCGCAGGGCTGCCGGAGCACGCGGGTAATGCGGCATATGTGTTCGATGGCATCGACAAAGAGCACGAGGTCAACCTGGATGAACCCGGGCTCGGAGTTGTACTCCTCCAGCTTTTGCTCGATGAACTTTTTGAGCTTGTCGATCTCGGGAATCTCCTCGTAAACGGCGTTTTCCATACCGTTATCCTTGGTAAAGTCACAGAAGATGGGAAGCCGCTTATCGGGACAGAGCTGCTTGAGCGAGCTGCTGAAATGAGCAATCAGCTTGTCGTCGATGAGCTTTCGGAAGTACTCGCGATCATCCTTGTCGACCAGGCGGTCGTGGAAGACCCGGTATGTCTCGTGGACCCACAGCTTGGTGATGGACTCGCGCGAGTCGTAGTATTCCTTATTTGCCCGCAGAAGCCCCTGGAAGACCTTGGAGATGTCTCGGAGGTTGAAGAGGTAGTGGATCTTGGCCGGTGTCGGGAGGAGCTGGGCGACAATCGTGTGGTAGATCTCGATCGTGGCACGGGCCATAATGTCTCCCAGCGGCTTGATGTCCTCCTCAAAGTCCTGAAGCTTTTGATTGATGATGGTTTCAAAGATCTTGTGGAGCGAAGGCTCGCTCGGGAAGGTCATGTTGATGACGTTGAATCGAGACTGGATGCGCGCGCTGATGGGATTGCGTCCGCCGCCCGGAGGGCCCATGGATGCCACGAGGAGGATATCGTTGATGAACTTGACGGTCTGCTTTTGGCGGTCGTAGCAGAATCCGTAATCCAGCCAATGGCGGATGAACTCAAGTGGCGGCTGAGAACCAAAAGTGTCCTTCATGGGCATGTTGAGGTCATCGATGAAGGCAATCAGCTGCTTGCCGCCGATGGGGACAAAGATGTTTTTGGTGCGCTTCTCGACCCTGCTTTCCATGATGGTCTGGACGCTGTTTGAGGATGTTTGTGCGGACATGTTGATCACGAGCACTTGCCGGGACTCATCCAGATTGTACAGAACGTTCTGCAGCAGCGAGGTTTTGCCCGTGCCAACTTCGCCAACCATCAGGATGGGGCTCTTCTTGTACGTGAGCGACCGAACGATGAACTCGTTGCGGAGAGTGTCGATCGTTGGAACGTAGATTTTGTAGAAGGGGATGTTGGCGGCGTATCGCCATCCGCTCGGCAGCTTCTCCTCCCACGAGACCCACGTTCGGCTCTGCTTGTCGACGAGATACTCATAGACGGTGTCCTTGCTTGGGAATTGCCCCTCAAGCTCTCGTAGAAACATGTCGAAACGCTTCCGGCTCTCGGCAGTCAGGTAGCCGCCGAGAGACCAAATGATCGAGAACAGAAACCACAACTCGATCATCCGTGGGTACGTGTCCTGGTCGTCTGGATCAACACCGTTCTCGGCGATTGCCACCGCATCAAAGAGGTTGCAGAACGACTTGATTGCGCCGTATTCCGGAACGGGCACCAAGGCCTGGCAGGTTTTGCAAAACTCCATGGCCTGGTTCATGAACTTGTCGATGAGGCGTCGCAGAGTTTCGACAGACTGCTGCTCGGACCGTCCGCGCAGCCATGATTCAATGTATGGCTGCCAGCCCAAGTCTTGGTAGTCGAGGTAGATCATGCCTGCGCGGCTGACGGTCGCAGGCGAGGCGGTCGACAAATCCTCGACCTCGAACACCAGCGCCACCTGCTCCGGCAGTGCGATGCGCTCGCCGTTGATGAGCGTGAGAACCTTGTTGTCGTCGAGCACGGTGTTCATGGACTCGATCCAGAGTGTGTCCACGGGTCCGTCAAGGATGATCCACTTTTGATCTTTTTTCTCGTCAGAGCAAGCCGTGCGCATAACATTCGACAGCACTCCATCGGTCCATTCGTTCGAGGCAATGTTGAACTCGCCATAGAGCTCACCGAGCGACAGCGCCTTGGGGTTGATCGCATAGGTCTTGACAGCCACGTACTTGTCGGGGAACTGTTTGGAGAGCTTGGTCATGGTGGATTGCAGCAACTTCCAGACGCAGGTCTTTCCAGAGCCCGTCTGCCCGACAACCATGACTCCGTGGCGGGTTTGCTTGGTCTCGAACAGCTGGATGACTTTGATGATCATCGACTCTTTCGGCTGAAGGTTTCGCGCCGCCATTTCTTCGAGCAGGGCCGTTCTAAAGTCTGTGTAGTCGACCGTTACGGCTTCGACGCCCGGGAAGAGATCCGAGAGCATGCCGAGGAAGAGCGGGACGTCTTCGGCTGTGAGCTTGGGGATGTTGTTGTCTCGCATGGACATGTACAGAACGACTTCGTCGGGGACGTTCATGTCCTGCCGCTTTCTACCACCGGCACTTCGGAGGGCCGACGTGAGGGCTCTGAGACCAAAGTCGTAGTGGTCCTGTTTGGAGAGCTGCTGGATGGCCAGTTTGTAGAGCGTGTCGACCTTCTTGGACAGATTGCGGGTGTTGGAGAAACCTTCGGCAAAGAGCATGATTTCTGCAATGAGAGCCGAGTCCGGCACCATCATCGAGACGGGGCGGAACAGACTCTTGAGGTTGTCTGGCAGCTCGGTACGTCCGGCATAGCCCGGGTTCATGGTGATAAAGATGCCGCAGGTGGGGTTGAGTTTGATTTCCTGCCCCTCAAACACAAAGACCTTTGCATTGCGGGTAATGGCCGCCAGGATACATGATATCTGCAGGGCCACTACACTGAGCACCTCAATATCGATGCGATTGAACTCGTCAAAGCATCCCCAGGCGCCGGTCTGCGAGAGTCCCGAGAAGGTCCGGCCAATTGACTTGTAGTCCATGGCCTCGGAGCAGTTGAGGACAATGACATATTTTCCCAGGGCCTTGCCTAAATCCTTGACGGTCTCTGTCTTGCCTGTCCCTGCAGGCCCTTGCGGACTGCCACCGCGGCGCAGGTGCAAGGCCGTGGTCAGGGTCATGTAGCAGCGATCGGTAAGCGGCGTGATGACGAGACGACCGCTGTTGCCGAGATACTCGTAGCCGTAGCGAAAGTGTGTGTTGATCTGGCGGATGAAGCAGTCTTCGTCGTCCTTGCCTTCCTTTTCCCAGTAGAACCGAAGCTGGCTGAGCCACTCGAAGGCATTGACGTTGGAGCAGTTGCTCTTTGCCATCCTGTCGATGACGTCGCGCGAATGGACCTCGACGGTAATGAGAGCAATGAGCTTCTTGCGCTCGACCTTGCTGAGGGGTGAGCGGACGAGATCGGCGAGTTTCTTGAGATTCGAGATTTGCTTCTTCTTGAGGGTTTTGAGGGGGTGCTTTCCACCCTTCTCGACCTCCTGGAGGGCCTTGGTGCAGTCCTGCGTCCACGAGATGAGACCCGAGGTGATGAGGAGCATACCGGGCCAGTCTTTGAGCCATTTATCCTTTTTGACCTTCTTGAGGGCCAAGAGGGTGCCCAGCAGCAGCTTTCTGAGAGTGATTCTCATCATGGACTCGATCTCGGTAAGCCAGCCCTCGACAGGGCCTTTGTGGAGATGGCCATGCGGTGCCAGGCAGAGAGAGAGAGAGAGTGCGTGTGTGTGTGAGCAACAAACGACAGCACAAAGTAGTGCCCAGTCAGTATCCAGGATGTGTTCTGTAGAATCAATATGGTGCGCGGTGTGATGTGCATGATGTGTGCAGTGTGCGTAGTCTCTATGATCTAGCTGCGTTGATATTCATGCGTGCTGCCAATGCCCCGTGGACCGCTTCAGGAATCCAACAGCCAACAGCCTCGCTGGAATGCTCTACATACCGTCGATCACGACCGGCGAGCTGAAAGGCACAAACTCGCCGTCGCCAGAGTGCATGCCGGTGGCTTCAAAGTGCTTGCGGTTGTCTGAGCCGACGAGGGCAAGTTCAACCTTGTTGATGCCGTCAAAGCACTTCTTCAGGTGCGGCTGGATAGCATTTGGATCCTTGGACTGGCCCAAGATTTCAAGCAGATCGTCGTTGGAGAGAAAGTAGAACCGCGGAAAGGCCTGGCGCTTGGTTTCGAGATACATATCGAGTGACTTTTGGATTTTCTCGAGCTTGGTGTTCATGTCGGTCAGGGTCTCGAGCAGGCCTTCCTTGTGGGTGGCGGCCAAGACGTTTTTGGTGGCCATCATCTCGCCGATGATGATCTTGAAGGCGGCGTTCATGGCGTCAAAGACAGCCGATTCCTTGGGCAGCTGCTTGCGGATGTCTTCGGTGCCGACAAAGATGTTTTCGAGATACATCCACTGGCGCTGCACTTGCAGGAGTTGCTCGATGACCTCGACGATGCGCGAGAGGGCACGCTCCCAGTGGTCGACCTGGGCCTCAAAGGCCAGGAAGAACTTTGAGGCCTTCATGGACGACAGCGTCACTTGGTTGTCCTCAAGCAGCTCAAAGATTGAGTCGGTGCTGCGGATCTTGTAGTACCCCTTGTCCTCCTTGTAAGGGACAATGTCGAGCTCGAGGACCCGCCAGGCCTCCCGGATGGTGGCCAGACCCTCCTCGATCGACAGTTCCTTGGTGGCAGCTCCAGAGAGGTTTGAAATGGACTCGACGTACTGGTCCAGGCCGATCTCCATGATTTTCTCGAGGGTAAAGTCGGCCCCGTGGGGGTCAAAGGTCTTGCCGATCTCTTCCATCAACTGCGACCAGTGGCGATCGCGAAGTGCCGGGTTCTTGAGATCGGTGAGAACGGGCAGCGTGCGCTTGATCTGGGTGATGCGATCGCGCAGCGTCAGGAAGGCATCCCAGTCCTTGACATCCTTGGACATCTTGGTGAGGCGCTTGAGGTACTTTTGCACCGTCTCTTCGATCTCGGTGTTTTCGAGGGACAGGAAGGGCTTGCTCTTCCAGTTCTCCCAAGTCTGGGACCACTCCTGCGAGAGCGTCCAGACTTGACTGAGATTGTCGAGATCCGAGTTCATGGCGTCGATCTCCTTCGAGGGTGCTTGCTCCATCCTGAAGACGGCCAGACCCTTGGCAAGGTTCTTTTCCTGTGAGGTGGCAGTCTGGATCAGAGCACGATACTCGGCGATGGCCTTGAGGGCGCGGTCGACGCCGTAGCTGGCGTTGAAGGGACCCTTGGAGACAAACTCGTCTCGCATGGCCGTGATGCCCTTCTGGAACTCATCGACAGAGTAGAGCAGATCGGCCTTGAACCTCAGCTTGGATTCTTGTAGGAGCTTTTCGGACTCGACGATCATCTGCTGGAACTTGACCCAAGCTGGCTGCAGAGTCTCGAGCAGCATCTTCTCTTCCTCCTTGATGGGCACTTCGTACTTTTCCAGGACCTTGTATTGGTCGTGGATGGGCTGAAACTGCGCTTCGATGGAGGTCATATCGCCCTGGATCTGAGAAAGGGTCGAGAGGCTCTCGGAGAGCTTGTCGAGGTCGGTCGGGGGTGTGAGCAACTGCTGCGTCTTTTGTAGAAACATGTCGTGCAGGCCCTTGAGCTCGCCGCTGGCATTGGAGTTGAGGAGCGTTGTGAGCTTGTTCTGCCAGGAATTGCAGTGGCTCACGAGGGCGTGCTTGAGCGGCGAGCAGTCCAGCCGCACAAAGTTGATGTTGGTGAGGGTTTCTTCCTTCTGGGTGTTGTTGGCGATCTCGTTGTACCGGTTGATGTCGGCGTCGAAGGTCGACAGGGTCGGCTTGAGCTTGGCGTAGCGGCGGATGAAGGCATCCTTGTTGATCTCCCAGATCTCGCGATACGAGTCCCAGTTGTGGAGATAGGTCTGGCATTTTGCGGCGTTGTTGCCCATGCCGTTTTGGATGCTGACAAAGATCTTGAGGATATCCTCCTCGCCCGAGATGATGTCGTAAATGCGCGGACCGGGTTTGACGGTGTCCGAGGCCAAGATCTCGGGGATGCGTGCAATGACGTCGATAGTCGAGATCATCTCGCGGGCGACTTTGTTGACGGTCTCCTCGAGCTTCTGCAGCGTCGGGTTGAAGTCGACCTTGTGCATGTCCAGGACGACGTTGACCTTGAAGAGCGCATGGACTTCTGCGGTGGCGCCGTCGCGGTTCTTGCCCTCGCCGTTGATGGCCTTGGCAATCTCTTGGAGCGAGCGCTTGACGGTCAGGCGCAGCGACTCCTCAACGGACGTGTCAATCTTTTGGATGTAGCGCACCCAGTGATTATAGACATCCCTGCCGTCGTTGCGAAAGACCTCGTAGGTAGTCTGCAGAGTAGCCAGAATGTCGTCGTGTGCGGCCTTGAGCTTCTTGCGCACAACGTCGCGATGGCGCTCTTGGGCCTTCTCGAACTCAGCGAGCTCGTAGATCTTTTTGTTTTCGATACTCCAGAGCAGACACTCGGACACAAACTTGCAGTTGTTCTGGATGCGCGTGTTGGACTCGATGAACTCGGAGACGGTCTTTTGGACGTCGTGAGAGTGCCGGCGGCACTCTTTGATAAAGTACTCGGTGATGCCCTTGGAGGCCCAAGTCAGGTTGGTCAAGCCCGGATTGATCTTGCGGTCGAGGAAGCGGATGCGCTCGCGGAAGAGCCAGTGCTCCTCCTGGGAAAGCGTCTCGATGATGCTGTTGTAGTCGCGCACGACCAGCAGCACACTCTCGCGCAAGACCCGGATCTCCTCCTTCTTGCTGTAGGCTTCCTGGACGTGGAAGGGGACCTCGCTCTTGAGTTTTTGCCAGTAGGGCACCTCCTGGAAGACACGCATCAAGTCGTTGTCAAACTTGGCCTCGAGCGCCTCACCGCGGCGTGAAAGCAGCGTCAGTTCCAACGCATCGGAAATGTCCGCACGCAGCGATGCGCACCAGTCCGAGTGCGTCTTGATGATGTAATCCTCGAGGGCGGCGACGAGCGGCTCGTATTGTGCCTTGGCCTCCTCGGCCAAGAGTGTCGCAGGGAGGTAGTATGCATTCTGCAGGATGCTCATGGAGTAGTTGATCCGGCGCAGCAGCGACCGCGCCCAGTACGCCGAGCCGGCATAGTCCGGGTGCGTCCGCCAAAGATCGGGCGTTTTTTTGCGCGACTCGAACTCGACCTTGACGGTGTTGAGCTCGGTCATGAACAGCGCGTAAACGTCGGCGGTCTTTTTCTCGACGGTGCGCTTGATGGCCTCGCGCTTGGCCAGGTGGTGGAAGATCTCGAGGAGCTCGACACTGGCCTCGACGGTCGAGACGCCCTCAAAGGCAGAAATGATGACGTTCTGGGTCATGACCTCGAGGTCCTTGACACACTGTTTGAAGTTGTTGTAGTCGTCGTGCCATCGCGTGGCTTTGACGTCCAAGATGTATTTGCGGATGTTCCAGAGGGTGGTGATTTGCTTTTCAAAAGCGAGTTCAATGTCTTCGAGGCTGCGTCGTGGCACGGCGATGTGTGGTGAGCGTGGGGGGGGGGAAGAACCGATGACATCCGTGGCATCAGCATTCAATCACCGCGACAGCCACATCGATCGCAGCTATCTCAGCAATGGGTGCCGTGGCATGACGACCGAGGCGCCAGAAGAAGAGTCACAGATGTCCGCGAGCATACCGACTCTCCACATATGATCACCGACATAAGGTCGCCAGCATACGGCTTCCCACACATGGCATTTCCACGTGACGATTTGTTCATGGCTATCCAGCACAGCTGCCTCTCGATTCTGGTAACTCACCTCTTGGTGATTTCAAGTCCGCGAGATCCGCTAAATATCGGAATGGGCGACTTTTCGCCTCCCTCGATCTTGCGGGCAAACTGGATCTGGCCCTCGCAAACTTCAAGCAAGTCGCGGCATCGCTGGACAAAGGCGTCGATCTGGGCAAAGATGCTGCTGGGATCAAAGTCCCAGGCCGACTGAGTATGCTTGGAGATGTGGGCGCAGGTCTTTTTGTAGATGACTTTCCAGGACTCGCCGCAGTTGATGCTCTCCTGCAAGCTGGTCATGCTGGACTGGACATCGCCCCGGAAAATGTCCTCGAGCGAGATTTTGGCGCAGCAGCGCAGAATGATCTCGTTGCTGACCTTGCGCAAAAGGCTGGTCATGCGCTCTTTTGTGTTGTAGAAGCGCGAGTTGGCCCAGATCATGCGCACGCAGCTGAGGAGCTTGGGCAGGATCGCAGGTATGTTCTTGGGCTCGGCGCTGGCCAGGTTTCCACACGAGGTGTACAGCGTAGACAGGAATTTGAGATTGTCCTGGGCCTGAACGGTGCCCTCGAGGATCGAGTTGGACAGGCGCACAAACTGCTCGACATAGGACGACTTTGCGATCTCGAGAACCGTGATGATCTGACGGACGTCCGGGCGATTGAGCTGCTGGCTGATGCTGGAGAGGTCTTCGCAGCGGCTCTTCCAGAACTGGATCTCCTCGAGAGGGCCCAAATTCTCGGTGGTCTCGGAGGTGTGTTGGTTGTTGACGACCTCTTTGATCTGGCGGTTCCAGTGCACTAGGATGCACTCCAGACGCTGAACCATGTCCTTGGCCTTTGCGGCGCTCTCGGGGTTGGCCAGGTTCTCGAGCGGCACGTACAGCACGGTGTGGCCCTTCATCTGGTAGGTCGTGTCGGTGAGAAAGGCCATGAACTTGTGCAGCTGGCTGGTGAATTCCTTGCGGACGCTGTCGGGCCAGCTCTTGTTTTCCAGTATGAGTGGAACATAGATGCCCTGCATGGTTCTGAGCAGACTCCCCATGCGGCTGCCGGAGACGGTACCGAACTGGATGCGCTTCTCAAAGTCACTCTCGCGCAGAAAGTCGTCGGAGATGGAGTGGTAGTCGCGCAGGAAGTACATGAACTCGTCCACTCGATGAACAGGAACAGAGCTCTGGAGGCACAAGACAGGCGGCTTTTGCTCCTCGTTGACGTAGGCGATCAGGCGCTTGGTGTGCGCATCATTCTTGCCAAGAAAATCCGAGGCGATCTGCTCGTGATGCGATTCCCACATGTCCAGAGAAAAGCCAGGAAGCATGATGAGTTCTGCGATGGAATCGATACGTGAGAATCAGAAATGGAGTGGAAAAGAGTAGTGGAATGTTAAAGATCGATTGTAGATAGCACCCACAATGGATGCATCCAGAAGCCAAACGTGGAGCGCGTTTGTAAACCAGACCAACCCCCGCTCTCAAAAACAGACGCTGTGACCAAAGTCGAGCGCGATTGCCTCAGTCTTCCTACTTTTGAGCTTTTGAATCAGCTTTCCGACGTCTATGATCTCTATCGACTCGACGGAGGTTGCTTCCGGGAGCGGCTCGATAATGGTTGGTTCTGCAGGCAAGGCAGGGCCTGCTTCGTTTGCCGCGAAATCGGACGCGTTGTCCAAAGCCAGAGAAGCGTCGCCCTGGCGGGAGGTGGAGTCGTCTTTGGGCTGCGAGTCACCCGTTCTGCCTCGCGAGAAGTCGTCCCCGAAATCGCCATCATCAGTGGCCGAGTCTGCGGTTTTCTTTGGACTGCTGGCGGAGGCGATGCCACCGCCTTCGGCCGGAGCAGTGCTGGCGGTATCGGTCTGGGGAGCATCGTCTGATGCCGAGGATGGGGCTTCAATTGCAGGAGTTGGATCTGGAGGAGCCGGTGAGAATTCCTCCTGCGGCTGCTCTTGATCAGCAGGTGGGTCCATCTCGTGATGAGGACCGAAGTGTTGCTAAGAGGCGATGCGCGTGGGAATGCAGCGGGATCAGACCAGATCAGGGTGGATCGTGACAAGTGCGTACTGTTGGCAAGATACTTCTGAAGCAGCGGTGGAAGCCTTGGCGATGATGGTGGCGAGGGCAGCGAATGGCGGTGCTGATGCCTGCCGCGATGCTAATGTGAGAAAGGAAAGGACGAAGGGGCGTCGAGCGAACGACTTGGCGGATGCAAGCGGTGGTGTTGGCGGGTGGCGCGAGCAGGAAGAGGCGGGGAGGGAGACTGGCGGCCAGGCGGGAGCATGGGAGTCGCATGCTGCTGCTGACTGATGGCGACAGGCCCGGATGGTGCCCAGGGCGGGAGGCGAAACTGAACAGTAGTTGGACAGGAGCTGCCGGGCCCAGTTGGGCGGGCGGGCGAGGTCTGAGAACGAAAGGAGCGAGGGGGACAATCAGGGGTGAGGTAGTCCTGGCGAGTACAATTTACAGATGAACAAACGGGGCACCCTCACAATCCCATAAGTCGGCGTGGTATGCGATGGCATGCATCCAACTATGCCACAAGCAATTCAACCGATTACCTCCGAGCGAGTGCATTGGGATGCTCTCCGGTCTCCACAATCGACCTGCACTGGTCTCGGAGTGCCAGCGGTGAATGGTGCTCTTGGACACACTGAATATGGATGAGGGCTGCACCGCATCACAGAATGGCCATGGCCAGCGCGCATGTGTTCTTTCCCAACCGAGTGCTGCCTTGGGTGCCTCTGGAGAAGATCAAAGGTTGCACTCCGGACCCAGAAATGACCGACTGCTCTCGGAAACGGCGTGGGAATGTTGCTGGCTCCAGCTTGCAAGCGGCACAGAGACTGCGGCCCGGGAGCGTGGTGCAGAACAGGCGAGCCATGTTGCACAAGACGTGATTGTGGATGGACGAGGCGCGTTTGCGGATGCGGCACAGAGAGAGCCACTGGGACAGTTGAGATGTGCCACAGTCCGTGGGCTGGTGCTGAGTCGACTGTTAGGTGTGCAACAGAGAGCACAGCAGACAGTGCAACCGACAGTGCAACAGACACAGTGCAACAGACAGTGCAACAGACACAGTGCTCTCGCCGAGAACGCCTCTGCGCGTCCTCGCCGCGTCCTCGGCCTCGCTGGTGCTCTTCCGAGTCTTCGCTGCGGTCTTTGCCTTTGGCCATCGTCTGTTCGCCCTTGGCTCTCCTCCATTGATGGACCCGCCTCTTGATGTCTGCATTGGCCTCCCCCCGCAAAAAGACCCTGCAAAAGTCCCCGCCGTCCTCGCCGCTCTCGGTAAGCGCTGTTCACGTCGCTGCGATTCCGCTCGGCGTTCTCCACTGCTGCTGCCTCGGGTGCTTGGCAGCCGTCGTATCCCTGCTTCAACACGCTCTACGGCTCGGTACTGGCCGGCATGTGCTTGCGACATCTGCATCAACAGCAAGAGGTTCCTGAGGGGGGGGGAAGGTGGAATGGCGACACATTTGCGCCCAGACGATACGTGGAACTCGATGCCGTCGTCGGCGACTGCACGATCGCAGGCTCGCTGCCACGCTCGCATCGCTGCTATGCACGACCCAGTTGTCACATCGTATCGCATCGCATCGCATCGCATCGCACATCCCGTTGCGACAAATTAAACCACGACTCATTGAATCGCATCGCATTGTGCGCTGTCTGTGCATCGAGTCCAGAAATCCATACCATAGCACCGCTCGCTTTGCCCTAACTCTGTCCTCGCTCTCCGTCCTGTTTCGTGACTCTCGGTGTTTGTAATCGAAATCCGTATCGTTCCCCAACGACCCGGCTTCATCGCCACTGCTCGCACGTATCAACCCCGCTGCCGCTTCAACGTTTGTCGGCACCTTTTCTTGCTCCGCGGCTGGAACTGCTGCTTCCGGACTTTCATTCGCGCAGCATGAACAAGACTCGGCCCCGTCCTTTCAGTGGCCAAAAGTTCGTCTGATGGGCTCGGGCTCGCTTGCACAAGAGCCGGGAGACCCGTCGCTCCCGGCATCGCCCTTACCGCCTTCCCCGGACCACCCCGTGGGGCATCGCAGGCCTGCCCGGCATTCCAGCAGAGCCGCTTCGCACTCGGATTCGGCTGATTCCCGACAAAAGGAGGCATCCAAATCGGCGTACCTGCGTCCGCCAGAAGCCTCGCCATCGGGTCGCCTGTCCGGCAATTTGTCGTCTGGCAATCTGTCGTCTGGCAATCTGTCTTCTTCCGAGTCGCTGCTTCCACCCGTTTCTATCCAAGCCTCACCATCGGCACTGGCATCGGCATCGGCACTGACATCGACACCAGCGTCCCAGCCGGCGCTCGCTTCAAAGAGTCCGCTGACCGTCAGCTACGTTCAGCCGCTGTCTGGCGCCGGCCCGTCCGAGATTTTTGCGTCGCCTCAAGTCCATCTACAGACCTCCCATCTGCCCCCGAACGCCAGCTGGTTTGCCCGACTCCTCGACAACATCGTCGAAATCGACCGCTTTCTTGAAGGGCTGTCGACCGACTACAAGGTCCACGAGTTTATCGGCTATTGGCTCATCATCATGATCCTCGATGCGCTCACGATCGTGCCCGTGCGTATCGAGTGGGTCCTGTTCTCGGCCTACTCGGTGCGCTCGTTCTACCGGACTTCGGAGCTATCGCTTCGCTCCTTTGTCTCGGCCATTCTCTTCATTCTCGGCCTCGACATTTTTGTCTATTCGTTGCTGCTCTATGGGATCCACCCGCAATTCCTCGCCATCGTCGCCACGTCGTCGGTCTATTTTTTCCTCGTCAACCGCTTCCGCGGCGGTATGTCCGAGCCGCTCTCGTGGCTGCTGTGGGCCCTCTTTGTCGTTGCCGAGTTTCTGCTCAAGGAGCCGCCGCGTTACGGCTACTACATTCTCGTTGCCGTCCACTGCATCTCCTTTGGCATCTTTACGTTCTTCTCCGAAGTCGTCGTCACCATTGTCGAGTACCAGCAGGAGATTATCGCCCGCAACAACGCCATCTTTGGCGAGCTGCGACCCTACCACTCGTATCTGTCACAAACCACCTCCATCCCGACCCACATCAGCAACCGAATCTACTACCCCCGCATCCAGCGCAATTTTTTCAATGCCACCCGTCAGCGCAATGCCTCGCGCACTACGCCCTCGGCCGTCACCCAGGACCGGCAACTGCCTCCGCCCGTCAACATCCTTGGGCACGCCGAGCCCCTCAGCTCCCCGACCTCGCCGACGATCCAGTACTTTTATTCGAACCACTTTGACGAGGACAACCGGTTCGAGCTGTGTCTCCAGTCCATTACCCACGACTCGATGATCCTGTCCTGGAGCCTGCCGCAGTCGCTCGTCGTAACTCTGAGTACCCTCGTAGGCTCAACTTTTGTCCCTCCGATTCCGCTGTCGCTTCCAAGTTTCGGTAACGCTGCTTCGCCTCCAACCGCACCCCAGCCCTCGGCATCGACCGCGGCCCCACCGACCTCGGCCTCGCTGCTGGATCCATCTGTTGCGCCGTCTGCCCAGCTGGTCCCGTCCAAAGACGCCGATCCAACCGCGAATGATCCCTCGAGCCTGGCTGTACCTCCCAGCGCAGCTCCCGGCTCCTCTTCCGTGCCAACAGCTATGGCACGTTCGTCACCGCCTTCGGGCTCGGCCGACACAGAGTACTCTCGAGTACCAAGCCCGTCGATTTTCTTTTCCGCAGCTCCACATCAACGCAGCATCGCGGTGCATCTGCTGCCAGCCGATCTCGTCGCCACCATCATGAAGGAGACCACCATCACGCTCAATGCGTGCGCTTGGTCAAGCTTTAGCGTGACATCAACACCGACATCGGAGGAATTCACGATGCACGTCAAGGGCCTCGAGCCCACCACGCCGTATGAGGTTGTTGTCTCCATCAAGGGCTATCGCTCACTGCCACTCAGGATGACCACGCTCGAGAAGCTCGGTATGTGTCCTAATCGCTGCTGTCGGTCATGACGCCAGTAGCCGTGGTGAGTGTTGGTCGAGTAAGGCTGTGGCTGAGATTTGCGCTGACACGATTTTTACTCCACTCGACCCTGCCTGCGGGCTCTGTAATTGCCTCCCTGATGCATGCTTATCGATGGGCTCCCGACAACCTGTCCCTTGGATCGCGGCTGCTATCAATGTACAGGCAAGCCTTCTCAGTTCCTTGCAACGCGACTCCACCGCAGTCAGCCTAGTGTCTCTGAGCCAAAAGGCGCATCTAGAGACACCGATGGTAGGTTGCGCGCTCTTGCCTTTGGTGCACCTTGCAACTTGGCTTTGAAAGCCGCGGAGATAGCGCTTCTGTGGGCTGCTGGCATTTCTCCGAGCAGTCGGCGTTTTCTGTCGGCAACTGGCACTTTTCTGGATAGCACTCATCTGGCGACATCCCCCCCCTATCTTTGTGCTGCGAGACCGATCTTCCACACCGACCATCGGCATCGAGTGTCTCTGCTCACGAGTTCCTGACACACTATCGCTACCTGTCCCATACTGACGTCGCTTGTTCACTGCCGGCATGCAATCCACCAGTTGCGAGAAGTTTCAGCAGCGATGTCGAAGACACGGCTACCAAGCCTGTCTCTCCGGATTCAGATAGCACCCTCTTTTCCAAGAACGTGCTCGAGTCCGCAAGCCCCGTCGGTGGCGATCTCCCCTCCACCGACAGCGCTGCCAAAAACCTTGCTCAGCAGCACGCCAAGAAGGCCGAGACCCATCGTAACCTGGAGTTGCTGTGCGCCACGGGCCGCGAGAACAAGAAAGCCATCCAAGCCTTCCTCAAGAAGCTCAAGCGCGACTGCCAGCGATCGCTCCAAGGGCTCAAGTCGGAACTCGAGACATGTCGCAAGCAGATCATCAAGGACCAGCAGTATGATATCCGGACCAAGCAGCGGCTGCAGTTCCTCAAGGACAACACGGCCCAGACGCAAGAACGCTGTCGCGAAATGGAGAGCCAGCTGGAACTGCTCCAGAGCCAACGAGGGCCCCAAGAGGAGGAAATCCAGGTGCTCAGCAAGAGCGTCGCCGATGCCAAGGAGGCCATCAAGCGCGCGGAGAAACAGAACGCCAAAGCCATTGCCGGCCTCAAAAAGGCCTGCATCGACACCAAGCAGGAGCTCGCTCAGATCCTAAGCGATCTTGCGCATCTCCAGAGCAAAGCCGCGGCCCTGGCCAAGAAACGTGAGAAGCTCGAGGGGCCTGGCGCAGCGATGATTGAGGCCCGCATCGAGGCAGCCCGGTCACGAAAGGAAAGCATGAAGGAGCAGATCCAGAGCGTCGAGCAGGCCCGCGACAGCAAGCTGGACGAGAAGGAACTGGAGCTCAAGGTCTTCAAAAATGCATGCGAGAGCGGGCGCGCCCGCAACCTTGGCCTTCGAGAGACGATCGAGGAGGAGCGTCGGTTCAAGGAAAAGCTGCTGGAGGAACTGCGTGTGCTCGAAGCCAAGGCTAAGGACTCGACCTCGCCCAAAGAAGAAGACGCCGCCGCAAGCCTATTGAGCCCCCTGCCGGTCAACCAAGACCTCGGCCTGCCTCTGGCGATGAGCCGAACTCAGTCCGGTCAAACCTTGATTCCCAGCAGTCCCGACACGCCAAAGCCACACCGTTCGGCTGATTTTGTCCCCAAACCATCCCAGCCCGAAGAACAGCTGGACTTGGCAGACACACTACAGCCCGATCAGGCAGCCCAGGATCGTCACATGCCGGCATCGGTCTTATCAACAGAGACCCACCTGGGCAGTCCTATTTCAGTGGGCTCTGTTCGAGACACGACGTGCTCGTCCGTGCTTGAGCCCGCTGTGGATCACATTCGAGATTCTATGAACGGTCCCACAGACAGCGCCATCCTCGTTGACACGACCTCGTCTACCCACGAAAACCCAGATCAGCCCGACGCAGCCGCTGAAGTGACCGGCCAGCCACCAGCCGCTGAGCCCGCCGACTCTTCTGCGCTTTTTGTTGCGAGCAAGTCTCTTGACACGCCGGGTGCTTCCGGGCCTGTTGTTGTGGCTGAGTGCAACAAGCAGATCGAGGACCTGATGGATGTCTCACAGCTCGCTCGGCTCCACGCTGAATTGCACAGTGATGCCATCTGATGGAACTCGGTCTCCTCTCTCCCTCTCCCTCTCCCTCTCCCTCTTCCTCTCCCTCGCTCTCTCTCTCTCTCTCTCTCTCTTCTTGATCTTGCTTTTGTCGAGTGGGTGTCGTTGATTGGAAAGTAGCTATCATCGATGATATTTTCGAATTTACGGGCAATCCAATATAAAACGGGACACCCCGGATTTTGGCCGTTGAGCAAATAGTTTGTTGCCTCAAAACATCACGCGCTGGGAATGACCATTCTGTGATTTGAATCAAGGTTGCCATTGTGGGCAGTGTTGCCAGCCCAAAATGCGCTGGATGAGTGCCACACCATGTCCCAAGATCACCAGGGTGGCTTCCCACTGGAGCCTACGAATCAGCAGGCTTCCTGGCAAGGATCCTTCAAGTTGAACTCGATCGTGTGCCCGATCGGGAGTGGTGGGCGACATGCCAACGCATATTCTTCCTGCTCGAGCAAGCCGCCCACGCCGGTCATTTTATGGCCCCGTTCCAACTGGCCGAGTGTTATCGCAGCGGAGTTGGAACCAACCAGGATCACACCAAGGCCGCCGGGCTCTATCGCAGTCTTGCTGAGCGTGGAATCCTTCAGGCCCAAATCGCTCTCGGCCGATGCTATGAGAATGGTGAAGGTGTCGATCAAGGTTACACGACAGCCATCGAGTGGTATTCCAAGGCTGCAAACCAAGGCAGCGAAGATGGTCGACTCCACATGGTGTTCCTCCGTGGCTGGTTCTCGTTCATCGGTCGTGATGTTGACCAGAGCGATGTCGACGCCTTCAACCAATCGAATGGGTTCAGGCTCGAGGAGGGTGTCCTGATTGGTTACGTGGCCTCATCCAACTCACCCGCATCCCGCAAGTTCTTCAATCTATGCCTGCTGGGATCAGACCGTGAATGGCTTTGCAGACATCTCATGGCTCTGTGGCTGGATTGTGGATTCGGCACTTTGAAGGACCAGGAGAAGGCAGCGGGTATCTTTGAGCAGCTCGCCAACGAAGGCCACAGCGACAGCCAGTACTGGATCGGAAGTTTCTACTATGACCAGGGTGTATCAAAGAGCTGCGAGAAGGGATTCGAGTGGTACAGCAAGTCGGCTGACCAAGGTCATTCGTATGGGCAGTATATGGTTGGTTACTGCTACTTCTATGGAAACGGAGTCACCCAGGACTACGCCAAGGCAGCCGAGTGGTATCGCGAGTCTGCCGAACAGGGAAATCGATACGGACAATATTATCTCGGTGGCTGCTACAAGAATGGGCATGGTGTCCCCGAAGACGTTGAGACCGCCGCCTTTTGGTATCGCAGGTCCGCCGACCAGGGTCACCAATACTCCATCAACCAACTCAAGAGCCTTGGCAAGTGACCCTGATCCCGAGTTCCTCACAAACTCCACACCCAACATAGTCATACATCCATCCCTCATGCTGATCGACCGATTGAAACGTCGAATCACCCGACACCGACAAGCTCAGTACTCAAACTCGATACTTGTCCCGATGCCATTGATGGCGGGGTGAAATGAACACTCTCCCGACCACCCGTCACATGGTGCCCGAGAAAGCAACTCTCAACCAACCAACAAGCAACCGGCCTTCCGTGGCACCAAGATTGCGGTCTTCTCCATGCGCAATTGATTCCCTCTGGAAGCTTTCAATGGATGTGTTCGCCCACCGGGTGGTCGATCTCGTGGATATCCAATTGGTCCTGGCGCATTAGCGAACAATCAACATGTACACCTCCACTGCCTGGTATCGCAAAGTCCTGAGTTCCGACTGTTTACGAGTACATCCAGCTATATTCGGAATGAACTTGAGCCACATGCTTTGAACCAAACCATAACTTGGTACTTTCGGTTGTGCTACTCTCCCTATCAGTTCCTGCCAATAGCCCACCAGTTTTTTTTTTTTTATATTTCACTTAAAAGCTATCAAGACCTGGTCGGCCCTAGCAGTACATGGGGGAAAGAAAAAGAAAAAGAAAAAGAGAGATTGAAAAATCGAGTCCAAATTGGCCTAATGGGCAGTTTGCGTTCGATGAAAGCTATATGCCCTCATCTCTCGCTCTGCTTCGACCATGCCGCCTATCGCCTGGGGGGTTTCCACCCCGCCTTGGCGATGATCAGCGTCTTGAACACCCTTCGGAGTGTTCGCCACAGGAGGTGTACATCCGGGTCTTGCCAGTTGAGCCTTCTCATGCCATCCAGCTCGTAGTAACCCACTACGTTCGTCAGGTCCAGGAGCTTATCGATCGGACCGACCTTTTCGTGGCCGCTTTCTTGCCACTCGGGGTGCCGCAGCTTGAGCTCGTCCACTATCCGTTGCCACGAGCCGCCTCTTCCGACGCAGCTCTGGGTGTGGGTCCGGCACATCGCGACGAACTCTCCTCGGCTCTTCGTGCAGGAGATGCACAGCCGATAGTGGCCATACGGGTGTCCGGGGAAGGCACCGAGGGTCCATCTTACCATCATGTTGTGATAGTATCGATCTCTCTTGGGCCCTCGCTCGGCCCACAGTCCCGACATGGTCGTCGTCACGGTGCGGGCCGAGGTCAGTTCCTTTGACCTGTCGAAGCCTTGCGCGTCCTCGATGTGAATCTGCAGCTTGACTGGTGGCCCTGGGAGCTGGTAGTAGCCATTCCTGAACAGCTCCTTCATCGGGTAGTCCGGCTGGCACTGCTCTTTCAGCACGATCAGCTGCCGCCAGTACTCGTCGAGGTAGAACTGGGAGCCGAGGGATGCATCCATCAGGCTGGGCTGGGTACGGGAATATCTCAGCACCATCGAGACCATCTTGTCGTTGTGGTCCAGACGGTCTTCCCAGACGGCTCGGTTCTGGAGGGCCAGCTGCTTGAGGCGGTTGGGCAGGGTGATGAGTCCGCATCCGAGGTGCATCGCTCCGTAGGACGTGTTCCGCACCACTCTGAAGAGTCGGGTCAGACAGTGCATCTGTGCTCGTCTGAGTATCACGGCTTGCTGCTTCGTGAGCACTTTGAGGGTCAGTCCATACTCGAGCATGGGCCGAACGAAGGTCTTGAACACCCTCGTCACTGTCTTGGCCGAGTATCGACCCAGGACGCTATCTGCCACCGTGTTGATTGCATTCTTGATGACTTCCCATGCTTGGTCCATGGCCAGTTGTGTTTCCGCCTGGCTGATGGGTATCTCGGTGCCGTCGTGGATGGGCTGGAGAAGCCTCTCTATCTCGTTTAAGACTAGGCCGCTTATTCGCTCAATGGAGCACTTGTACGTTTCCCAGACCTCCGGGTTCTCGAGGAGTCTGAGGTTCCACTGCCAGTTGTCGGCTTTTGGGTACACACTCCTCGTGAGTTTCACAGTGGTCCAGATCAGGCGGTGGTCGGATATGAGGTATTGTCCCTCCATGTCCACCTTGAGGAGCGGGTCGTTGTTGGCTTCCGCTTCCGACACAAAGATATAGTCGATGGTCGATCTTCGGTTACCCCGGATCCGAGTTGGGGTCGGGATCGCTGCCGGTGGGATGATTTTCATCCTGGCTCTCCGCAGGGTGGTCGTGAGGGCGGTCTCCTTGGCTCTGTTTATCACCCTTCCGCCGTTGAGGTCGCTCAGCGACAGGTTGAAGTCTCCCATCCCGATGACTTGGGCATTGGGCATCCGCGCATACTTTTCAATCGACTGTACCGCTTGCGCAAACTCTTCGGTCTTCACCGGGTGGGGGATATAAAAGTTTCCGATGTATGTTCTGGTGCCGTACCTGATCCACATGTACAGCTTTCCCTCGTCGGTCTCTTCGATGTTCAGGTCGTCGGGATCGATTGTCTCGGGGTTGAACACCAGCGCCAGTCCACCGCCCAGGCTGTCTGTTCGACGGGCCTCATGGGCTGTGACCTTGGCCAAGGGGTTCCGCGCTTCCGGTGCCAGTTTCGTTTCCTGAATTGCGATGAAGTCTACTCCTTCGTTCTTCAGGATCTCTCGGATGGTGTGCTCCGTGGAGACACCATCCTCGGTGCTTTGACCATTTACGTTAAAGGATGCGACGGTGAGGTTGGTCTTGACCTCAGCGTCTCCTTCGTCGTGGGGCTGATTCATAATCGCTCTGCGGCCCCCGCCGCTTCGGCCTCAGTATGAATCTGGTATGACCTTTCGATCACCCCCTCGACCAGGTCTGACGAGCTCCGAAGCGCTTCGGGTACCGTCTCGGCCGGTAGGTCTGTCTGTTGCTGCGTCTCAGGCTCCGCTTCCACTTCTATAGCTCGTTGGCTTGGGGTGGTCTGTGCTTCTTCGCGCTGGCGGGGGCTGTTGCGGATGTTCTCCGCCACGGGGTATTCCCGTGGGTCGACCCTGACGCTGTCCTTGTCGATCGTCAGTCCTCGTCGGACCAGCGCCAGAAGCCGATCGAACTCGGGCCGATGTTCTCTGGGCACTCGCATCTGGATGTCTCGGACGACCGTCATTCCGCGTGCACGGGCTGCTTGGGTCACCGAGGCATACAGGAACCTGCGCATATGGTTGCGCTTGTCTTGGGGCGATGTCATTTTGACCGGTGGAGCTGCAGGGTTGAAGTTCGGGAGGTGGGTCACCACCGGCCGTCGTCCTGGGGGTTTGCAGAGGGACTTGATGATTGCGTCTGCGTCTCGGCTGTCCCAGAGGAGGAGATCGATAATGTCTCGCCCGTGGAATGAGATGTCGGCGATCTTTCTGTCGTCAATGCCGCATCCCTTGAGGGCCGTTCGGATGAGCTTCAGGCTCATGGCCTGGATTCCCTTGAAGTACAACCGTTTGGTTCTTGAGAACTTATCTCTCAGCATTGGGCTTTCGAGGTCAGCATTCTCGATGCTACCACTGATGGCCGCGGGTCTCGTTTTCTGGCGCGCACCTTGGAGCATGCCTATCCACAGCTTTGGCTGCTTGATCTGGGGCTGCAGGGCGATGCGTGTGGCAATTTCTTGCGGCTTTGGTTTCGCCGCGGGTACATGTCCCATCGGCTTAGGCTTGGTGTCCTGTGATGTGCGGGAAGGGGGAGTGGGGGCTTTCTCTCTGGTTTTCTCAGCCTCCCGTTGTTGCTCTCGGGCCGCCTTGAAGATGACTTTGCTCGAGTTCGAGAGCTCCAGTCCTTCTTTGATGAGGGCGTTGAGCGCACCCTCCGTGTGTCTGGTTTCTTCTGCCGTGGGAGGGTTGTGCTTCTCGGCCAGGGCCACATTCAGGGCGTTTTGGAGCTGGGCCACGAACTTGCCCATGAGGTTCTCCAGGAGGGCGATGTGGTTTTGCTTGGCTAGCTTTTCTGGGGTCTGGGCGTGCATCCTCGTCTCGCCGAGCGGCTGGCTCAGCGTTGTTTGCCTTGCCCGCCACCGCCTGGGCATAGGAGATCTTCCCTATCCCGTTGATAGCTGCTGGTCTGTGCTGGGCTTCGATCCTCGCCTGTGTATGCTCTTGGATCTTGAGGCCACAGCGTTGGTAGAAGGTGGCTTTTTTCGATCCTAGGACCGACTCGGCTGCTACGAGGTATCTCGCTCTATCTTGGTTGGATGAGCGGGTCATTCTGCCCCAGAACACCAGGGCTGGCATCTGTCCGCGGCAGGGAGTGCCGTCGAGGACGTTGGGGCACCGGAGCTGGACCTCTTGGCCATTCTTGATGGGCGTCCAGGTCGAGGTGGCGTTGGACTTGCACACTTGGCATTCCACAGTGTGCTGGAGCTCGGGGAACACTGTCCTCCAGAGCTCGGGGGACATCTTCTCAACCGGGATGTGTTGAGCGGCATATCTAAGTTCGCCAACGGTGCTGGCCAGTCGCCATGCTGCGTTGAAGAGCTCCCTCGCGGTCTTGGCCTGATCGCGGGGGGATTCTCGAGATTCCGCCAAGATCTCGGCAGCAAGGTAGTTGAGGCTGTTTCGCATGGACAGCCCACTTCGGTCCCCAGCCGCTTCACGCCTTCTCTCTACGAGGGTTGGAGTGGTCAGGGCGGATGGACGGGCGACGGTCTGTTCAAGGCCGGGAGGCTCGGCCATGTCTTCGAAGTCGGCGGTTTCGTCTTCGGCTGGAGGCTGGTCAGCCACTTCAGGAGCGGTGTGATCTTGGGCCGGATCGGCCCCTTGGCTCAACCTCCATTGGTTGAGGCGGTTCTCTCGGTCTTTCTTGGATCCAGTGACAGCGAGACCTCGTTCCTTGCAGGCCTGTTTGAGGGCCTTGTCGGTGAGGGTTTCGAGGTCAGGGGGCAGAAAGATGGCGAGCTGGCCCTCTATAGGGACCGCGCCTCTGGGGGGTTGGGGCACCGCAGGAGTCGCCGCTGGCATGGCTCTTCGGCGAGCTGGTTGAATGGGGGGGAGTCTAGGACCAGTCCCTCTCGGGGAGGGGGCGGTCGTTGGGGGTAGTGTGAGGTTTACTATCACGTCTCGCTCTCTCAAGATTCCCGAAAAATCGAGATCAGGTGAAAGCCGGGGTCGGGGGGTGATGATGAAGCGATGTGGGCAATCAGCAGAAAATGCCCGAGACCAATCCGCAGCATGATCGTGCCGAACCGGCTCCAGCCAATGCACCAGTGTCCCCCCACAATGGAAACCCGGCGGGAGGTCGATATCCGTTGGTATGTGTATTCTCTCTCGGTCGGAATCCCGCGAAATCGAGTTCAGGCGAGAGCGGCTGACCCCAGATCCAGCGCGACCAGATCCGGCTCGACCAGATCATCCCTCAACAATCCATTCCCGTCCGCCATCTACCGCCCATGGCAGACAGATACGCTCACAGTGACGATGAAGGTGATCAGGATCCACCGCACGATCCTGGCTTTATCGACGACATTTCCACCGATACATCCGACTCGGACAGCGACGGCGATGACAACCTCGACGCCTCGATGGCCGACCTGGCTCCCAAGCAACCCGGTTCAGCGGAAGTCTCGGAAAACAATCGCCAGTCGGTGGCTGGGCCTGATGAAGCCTCGCCAATGCCGCTCGATGTCGCTTTTGGCGCTTCGGTCCCTGCGCCGACCGGTATGGGCGAGGAGAACCCCGAGCTCAAGCAGCTCGATGAGAGCGTAAGTGTCATCGCGAGCAAGATTCGTCCACCTGAATGTATTTGTCGATTGTCTCGGATGGGACTGTTTCAGGTCTCTGACGACGACCGCCTTCCTTGTCCCATGCTCGATCCGAACGGCAATCTCTTCAGCTCCTTGCCAACCCATATCAATACGAGCTTCACATTAAGCGCATCCGACTCTTGCAAAGCACCGCCGAACCCAATCGACTCCAGGGAGCCAGAGAGGCCATGAGCACGTACTACCCCCTTACAGAAGGTGAGCAAGATCGGTCCTCGCCAGCTGCCGAGGCTACCGCTGTGGCCCGCGCACGCTGTCGGCTGTCGGATGAGGGTTGCATCGCCTTGGCAACCGGGACTGACGCCTATTATTGCAGACCTGTGGCTCGAGTGGATCGACGACCTCTGTCGCCTGGACTCAAGCATATCTGGAAAGCAGGCCGCGGCGGCGCTCTTCGATCGGGCGATTCAAGACTATTTTTGTACGCATCTAGCGAGGTCTCATCGAGACATGAGGATGGGGGGGGCATAGCTGCATATACGCTAACGGCGCTTGTTTCGGATCACAAACCGATGGACTTTGATAGCTGTACGAGTGTGGGCGGCCTACTTGCGATTTGTCTGCAACGAGTATCTCGTCAGCCACGGGCTCAAGCTCGTACACGAGGATATCGACGACAGCGATGACGAGGACGGCGACGAAGGCGACGAAGATCATCTCAGCCACGACGGGGAATTGGGCATTCGAAAGCATCCGTATCTCGTATCGGATCGCTGGATCGCATTGGATCAAGTCCGAGAAGTTTGCGGACGGGCCGTTAACGCTGTAGAGCTGCATCCGACCGAGGTGAGAGGGACGGGTGGTTGCTGCATCCCGCCATATCAAACAGGAAGCTTTGCGGGTGAGGTGCCCATATCGCCGTGGACTGCGTTTGCCTAACCCACCATCCGCCATCAGGGCCAGCAAGTGTGGACCATTCACTTTCGCTTCGAAGTCCGGCTTCTGGAGGTAGGTCACCACAGGCATGGCGCTGCGATCTGTGCTCTTCCATGGGCCTCTGGGCGGCAATATGGCCCAACAGTCCATTGGAAGCTAATGCCCCGTATCCCTTGTCGCTCGCCTGGGCTCCAGAATGGCCAATCGTAAGAAGGACCGCTCTGTATCTCTATCGCAGCAGCCCCGTTGTCAGTGTCGTGTTGCTGAACACAAGCAATCATCACTTGGTCGACTACCCGATGTACTTACCGTTGTGCTCGCCATCGCGAACCCATCCATCTATGAAGGTCAGTCGAGACAGTTCGACATGTGCTGCTCAAACGACTGCAGGTCCCTCACCAGGGTAAGCCGCTTGCCGAGGTTCCTTCGAATGCTTGCCCAATATCCCCTTCAAGGGCGGGCTCGATCGTATCTCTCGGGGTTCTCGTATGGCCCATCCCATCCAAATGTCGTGCTCACCCTTCTCCGATTCGATCCAGAAATCGATGAAACGTTCTCAAAGTACTCCTCCTTCGAGACAAAGTACGACGGCGCAAACTACGAAAAACGCTTGCGATCGGCCCAGCCGAGCTACAGCAAGGCAAAAGCCGAGTTTGAGGCTCGGGAGCCCTATGAACGCCGCCTGGTAACATCGCCTCTCTTGAGCACGGCCTCGAGACCTGTCGCCAATGTTCGGTCGCAAACAGATTCGCTGACTCGCGCTCCCCTATCTCCTTCTGCTGTCTTGATGGTCGTCCTTCAGTCTGAGTCCAAGTTGGGGCTTGCCGAATTCGTCGACTACATTGACTACGAGAAAACCGTCAAGCCCGTCAACAAAATGCGTGTGCGCCTTTTGTTCGAGAGGGCTGTGACGGTCCACTGTCTGCATCCCATGCCCTGGGATCTTTTTATCTCCTTTCTGGTGAGTGTTGCGGTCTGTCAGCCATTCCAAAGCATCGAGTAGCCAGAGTGTACTTACCGCTGTGTCTATTTGCCCCTGTCGCGATCATGCAACTAGATGGCAAACATGAGAATCGCCAATGTGATTCTCTCTGTCGCCAACAGGGCCGTTCGCAATTGCTCGTGGTCTGTAGACTTATGGGGCCACCTCTTGAGGGCGCAGGTATGAGGCCATTCCACTGCACTCTGTGTCTGTCAGTCTTGCGTTGGCCGTGGAGGTGCATTGAACTTGCTTGCTCACGGACTTCTCACATCCACGCCGAATTGCAGGAAGAGTTTGCCACGACAGAGGAAGTCGAAGGTCGGCCACGGTCCTTTGCAGCGTTCGGCCACTCTGGTTTCAGGTGGCATGCAGGTCGCTAGCCAGAGCGAGCCGCCTCTCCGCAGCGGCATGTCGCTGATGATTGTTGGTTTGCGTTGCTGCAGATACCTTCCGGCGCGCCATCGGCTTTCTCTCGGCCAATTCAAACATTGACGATCTGGTGAAGATCTGCGAGGCGCGAATTGCGTTTCATCGCCGTCGGCTGACCGCCGGGCCAGGTGAGGCATCGGCTGCGGATATCAACTGCAGCTCCAGCCAGTCCCAGCTTGTGCTTATCCTTGTGGCTCCTCTGATTTAAAGCATCACTCAGGGTCTGTTTCGGAGCTATTGTGGTGTTCTCCTATTGACTTTGCCATATGCATGAAACTCCAATGTTGCCCTTTGGCGATTCTAGGACATTTGAACCAGGAAGCCATGGACACCATTCGACAGATATATCAGGACTCGATTTCGTCGATTGCCCAGCGTGCGTATCGTACGGACTGCACACGTTCTCTTGCTGGTGTCTATATTTTGGATGTGATCACAAGCACACTCGCTTGTCCATTGCTTTGTTCAAGTTGCGCATGCGACTGGCATCTGACACCTTCCACGCCTCATCGGGATTGCAGATTTGCCTCCCGGCGACCCCTACTATCGTCTCCAGCGCAGCTGGATCCGTCTCGAGGTATCGGTCGCAGTTGAGCCACGCTGTCCTCACGGACAGTACTCTGCTTGGCACGCTGGCTTGCTGCACGCCTACGTATCCACCATATCAACACTTCTCTAGCACCGTGTATTTGGCGAGACCGACAGGGCTCGCTCTCTTTACAAGGAGCTCGTCGAACAAAACAGCAAGTCGAGCACGCTGTGGCTGGACTACATTGAGTTCATGAGGTGGGCAGCATGGCAGGTCATCGCTCTACTGCGTTCTAGGCGAGCTCTTTGGCTTACAGTCGAATTGCTGCGCTGTGGATCGCCAATTTGCCGGCCAGAAACCTCGGTGCAGCCGCAAGCGAAATCGTCGGCCTCTTCAAGGTCGCTGTCAACCACAAAACCGATTGGCCAGAGACCATCTTCACGGCCTGGCTGTCCTTTGAACAGGAAAGTGGATCAATCGAATCCTACTACGAGGCGTATAACCGCATCAAGAAGGAGACGCGGGCGGTGGAGCTTCAGCGCCAAAAGGTGGGAATTTCTTCATCATTGGCGGACCGCATGTTTGCAAAGATACCATGGACACGAAATGACCGCCATCGGCAGTCGGGCGGACTGGATCAAGACAGAGCAGGCGTTGATTTCTTGCCCCTGCTGGTGTCGTCTTCGTCGCCAACAGGAAGCCAAGGCTCTCGAAGTCCAAGCGCAGATGGAAGCCGAGCTTGCGGAACGCGAGGCCAAAAAGACCCAGAGGCAGAAAGATCGCGAACGAACGTATCGTCTCCGACGGCGCGAGCAGGACAAGCTCAAGGAAAGGCAAAATAAGCGAGCTCATGCCGGCGATGACGATTTCGCAGTCGAAAAGCGACAGAAAGGTGGGTTGATTCACACTTGCGAGCCGATGATTCCCCATTCATACCGATGTGTTCGTGGTCGCCGGCTCGGGACTGGCTTTATTTTGGGCATTCTATTATTCGTTGTCGGGTGTCTTTCGCCGAGTGCCTAATGAGCTTCTGACTGACCGTTTGAAGTAGTTGAACGAGAGACTGAGGAGGAAGACCAATTCAAGCCCGTTGATCAGTGAGTAGCTCTCAATCATTTCATGCAACGCAATTCAGACAGATTGTTTGGAAGATGCGGATGCTCGGCTGGGAGAGACGGGCATGTTTATCGGCTCTGCGACTTTGTAACTGTCTGTCGTGAATTCGGCCAACACCAGGTCCATGGCTGGCAATATGGTTTGTTGCTCAGGCTACCAGGGCGAGTGGACTGAGGCCCAACTGGAGGAGCATTTCTCAGAGGTGAGCGCTAGCGCTGCTGCGACTGCATCCACAGCACGGATTCACAGCACGGATCCAACAACCGCTTACCGCCGTACCTCTGCTCTGCTGCAGCACGGGCACATCAAAGACATCATCCCTATCGTGGATCCCGACACCAACGAACCAGAGACCCTAATTGAATTCTACGATGTGGTGAGTTCGAAAGGCTCGCTGGGTCAAGGACCGCCAGAGAGCTTCAGTCGCGCAAGCCACGCTTGACGCTTGTTGTCGACCAACCGGCGCTCATCCTGTCTATCGCAGGCATCGTGTCGCTCGGCAAGCGCCGAGCACGAGGTTCTGATTGCCCCTGGCAAGGTCATGAAGGTGCTCCGTTGCATTCCGCTGCAGCGAACATGGAACTTTGTCGATGTTGACATCAAAAACAAGATCTTTATCAAGAACCTGTCGCAGAGCATGCGGCAGCGCACACTCCGCGAAATCTTTTCGCAGGTAGGAGCATGTCGCCGAGTTCACCCGCACGCACCAATAACGAAGCACCGCATCTGGACGATTGGAATGGGCTAATTTGCCCTCCGTTTTTGGCCTGTGTAGTTTGGCGCTGTCAAGGAAGTCCGCCTTATGCAGAGCAGAAATGGCTTGAACAACTTTGCCTACTTGGAGTTCCAAAGCGAGGTATCGTGTCGATTGCCAGGGCTTTGCTGCGATTGCATAGCTCTTGCACCGGCCCACTCTCTCGCCCCGTACGATCGAGTCCCGCCACAGCAGCGCTCGACGGTCTGCTTGACAATTGTTTTATGCACTTCATGTCCCAGGAGGCAGCATCCAAGAGCCTGAGTCTGGACAAGACCGAGATCGAGCCAGGCAGATTCGTTGGCGTCGCTCTCTCGGCCCCTCCTGGAGCCAAGGCGAGGTAAGTGTTGCCTTCCCAAGCGATCGCTTGTTTTTGGCGCTCGATCCAGCATTCCTTAATTGTGTGCGCCTCATCTCACTGCTGCTTGCTGTGTCCTTGCCTGCAATGGATGCGATGACATGTCAGCCACAATCAAGCCGATCCCAAGCAGCTCTTTGTGGCCAACTTGCCCAAGAAAGACTTCACCGAGGCCGATCTGCGCGAGTTATTCAAAGAGGTAAACAATCCCAGACTGCTCCCGATCTGCGAGAATTGTCCTGGCAGCATAAGCCCAATGCTATTGTGTCATCCAAGATCCTGCTGACGAGTTTGATAACCAAGGCCGGCCAGATCAAGAGCGTGCGCCTGCTGCGTACCCAAGACCAAGCTCTACGGGGACTCGCCTTTGTGGCATTCCACACCGAGGAAGCTGCGCAAATAGCCCTTCAGGTGGACGGCAGCCTGGTCCAGGGCCGCAAGATTGCCGTTAGTGTCTCCGACCCCAACAGCAAGGGAAAGAAAGGCGGCGCAAGGTATGTGTTCTCCCGGGCCATGTGCTTTGCTTATTACGCCTGCTCCGTCAAGATATCGTGCACCACACTCGGATGCTGTGTGTGTCGGTCGTCGGTCGATTCCTGACGGTTCGCTTGTTCCAGAAATGTCAACGCCCCCGATAACAACGCCGGTGGTTTTCGGGGCTCGACGCAAAAGCCTCGCCCCGGTCTTGGCTTCCAAGGAACGGCTCAAACGCGAGCTCCGGCTCCGGCTGCCGCTGCAAGCTCTGCGCAAGCCGGCTTCTTGTATGTATCGCAAAGGAGTAGCGGCTCGGCCGCTTGGGCGAACGCCATTCGGATACCTGTCTTTTGAATCCAACATCGGTGGGAGCTCGAACTGATATCAGCTTTGTCTTGATTTCAGTCTTCCAACTGTGCTGCAGCGCAAACCGAGACTCGATGTGCCGCGCAAACCTAAAGCTGCACCAGCGGCATCGCCAATGGCCGTCGATGAGCCGCTGGCACCCACCCCTGCCGAAAAGGGAGCCCCAAAGGAAGGAAAGTCCCAGGATGACTTTCGTAAAATGTTCCTCAAGAAGTAGCTGTATGTGATGATGTGTGGAATGGCCGCTCCTCAGCGGGCTCCCATGACTCGGCGCAGGTCTGGACCAATACAGAGTAGCTCGCCTGGGCAGATGACGAGTCGGTTATGGAAAATGCGGCTATGGGCGACGGGCTCATGCTCCCGGCTTCGCTAGTGGGCACAGGCCCGGCTCGGGCCTGCAATTTTGGGCGCCAAGCTGCCTGGCGGTCTCGTTAGACTGGGCGAGGGGCCTTCAAGATCCGTGGGAAACTGCGGCTCAAGCCTGTTTCTTCTTCGTGTGCGGACATTGCATCCTCGACTCCGTACCAGCCGCCCTCATGTTGTCGTCTGAGTTTGACCCGATCCCGCTCGACCCTGTCCAGCCTGCCCCAGCACCAGCCCACTCGCCTCAGCCTACATCCGGCCCTGCCCAAGATATTTCCACAGGCAGCAGCGGCGAAGGCACACCCATGCCCAAGGATGCTCGTTTCGTGATCGAAAGCGAAGAGCCAGCAGCAAATGGCCGAAGTAACCCGGAGAGTACCACCAAGAGGCGACTCGTTCCATCCGCGGTTGTGGATGCGGCCGTCCGAGCCAATTCGGCGCCTGCTGCTGGCTGCGAGACCTTGGCACCGTCGTCGCTGGCGTCTATGTCTCCACCACGATCGCTGCCGTCGACGCCCGCTCTATTTCTGTTCCAGGGCGACGACTGGGCAACGCTCGATACTTCACGACGCGGCTTGGTGAACTCGGGCCGACGGGGCATCTGGCAACGGCCCCTCCGAGCCATCCGGGACCTGAGCGAATCGCTCTTTGGGCAAGCCAAGACGGGACCCATCCAGCTCGACGACGTGACCCGCGAGGCCTTTGCCGGCCCCACTGCCGCCAGCCCGTCAGGTCACCTTCGCGATTTTGAAGATGAGTGGGCGGATTTGGCCCTGCTGTTCCGCAAGTCGCTGCTCGCGTTGCTGGTGAGAAAATCCCTTGCCATCAAACCCAGATGCTGGCGCGCTGACGATGAGGGAGAGTGAGAGAGAGGGTGCAAATGCGCTCGTACGCGAAGATGTGCTCTATGGCTGCATCTAGTGTTCGTTATTCAGCAGCCAGCCCCGGTAATCAGTCGGGGCGACTCGTCGCGCCAACTCTCTTGGCGAGCGATGGTCTTTGGCATCGAGCACACCGCATTCGACCCTCACCGTCGATATCGGTCTCCAGGCCGTCAACATAGTGTACTACACTTTCGAAACCATCACGACGATCGATTTGTTCCCTTCCAGCCACGATACAATCATTCTGGTAAGCACAGCCATGGCGGTCAAATGTCATTTGCGGAGCTGCTGCAACGGGTGTTCAGAAGCAGCGTCACAACCGATTGTTCGCACTCGCAGGGGCCTCTTGCAGTGTTCTCGGCAACTCACTCTTATCATTCATGCATATTCGCACAGCTGCTCGGGTTCATGAGCCAAGACCAAAAATCACTTGCCGGGCTCAAGCTGGTGAGGACTGCACTTTATCTGCGCAAAGTGGTCGCCTCGAAAATCGGTGACTGGTCGAGTTGTCCGACCTTTCTATATATTCTGCTGGAATACCGGTGGTCATGCTCATGCTGACTGGGCTCTATTGCCCGTTTTCGAACTCTCCGCATTCCACTTTTGACGTGAACGCCGCATTTATTGTATGCCGGGCTCCTACCATCGGCCGCTCTTGCACTTGACGACGGTGCTGCAGTACAACCGTCTCTCGCTCATGTCGGTGGCGTTTGATCTGGTCGGCAGAATCTCTGCATACAGTTATGATGACTGGTGGATCGCTCTCAACCTGGTCATCGTCTTTGTGGTCGAGACGACACTCAAGGTAGACTTGGCTGTGGGAGCGAAGCTTGTTCTTCCATATCGATAAGGTAGTGTGATGGAGCCGCCACCGCGAGAGTCGCTAACAACCAATCGTGGATGGGCTGGATATTTTGCGTCTCCGTCTCGAACATGGCGAAACAGGTCTTCTCGATGAGGGTCAGTCGACTGCTCATGAAATCGATTGTTGCCCAGCGTCAAGTCGACGGAGTGCTCATCAGATAGAAAGCACGCCATTGGCATCGGCTGAATGCAAGTGCAGGGCACAAATTCGAGGGCAAGTGCAGTAACAGTGCCGGCCACGTAACTTTGAATACAGCATCCCGAACGGAAGGGGAGCACATTCATCTTGCGAGGGGAGGGAGTTTGTAGCGTGGTGACCTGACGGTGGGTAGCGTCGTCTCGTTCGGACCAAAATACACCTGGGCTAAATCACATCATACACCCGATCTGGAGCGACCACGAGAGTATACCATCGGCAGAGTCCATCGCAACAGCGCAGGCGGTGATCAGCACCATCCAGATCATGCCATCCACAAGCCACCCACGTGTTGAGGTGCGCATTGTTCAGTCCAACGCCCCAAGGCAGTTTGCCCCTTCCCTTCGCTCCTCCGATCCCCCGCCCCCGAGAATGATCGAAATCATCGCCAACGACCGCCTCGGCAAGAAGGTGCGTGTCAAGTGCGACCCCACCGACACCATCGGCGATCTCAAAAAGATCATTGCGTTGCAGACCGGCACCCAGTGGGAGAAGATTGTCTTGAAGAAGTGGTATACAATCTACAAGGACCACATCACTCTGGAAGACTGTACGTTGCCGCAGTGTCTCGCTCCGGAGGGCTGGGTGGGATAGCGGCAGGGAGCGAGAGGCGACCGCAGACAGCTCGGCTCAAGAGAGTCGTCGTCGCTGGAATCGTCGCTGGAGTCGTCGCTGGAGTCGCTGGAGTCTGGATCGCGAATGGCGCTTGCTGGCGATTGAGAAGCTAAACTTCCATGGAGAAGCTAAACCTCCATGGAGGATTGAACTGTCCGCCTCCCTCTGTGTCGAACAGTCGGGGCTTCGGCGTGATCTTATCAGAGCAGCCGAGGGCCATCTTGAAGTCAACACTCACGCCTGTGTCCTCTGCCTGTTGCATCCTCCCACCTGCCCGGCCTCACAGACGAGATCCACGACGGCATGAGCTTGGAGATGTACTATGCGTAACGGCATCGATTTACCCGAGTCGCTTCGACAGCAACGCTTCGGATCGGTCAGCGGTTTCCCGGGTGCGCCCTGTCATACTCCGTTGAACTCCCATTCTATCACCATCACCACCCCCCAGACTCTCATCACCGTCCCGCACCGATTCAATGCCCTTGCCATGGGCTCCTGTGCGGTGGCGGATGGTCTGGCTGCAGAGCGACTGGCACCTCTTCCTCGTGTACACATATCATGATCCAGTGTCATAGGTTTCCAAGCCTGCTTGATCTGTCCATTTCTTGGAAGCGATGGATTCTCGTCTTTGTGAAACTTGGATGTTTGGTCTCTCAAAAGTTTCTTACTCTTCGGGCAGAGCCGATGGATTGTGTCGTCACATCGATCCAGCCTTCAATCGCCCATATTGCCGGAGGGGGGGGGCTTGTGTCCGCATCAATCGATCGGAGACGTGGACGGGAGGGCGCGGAGCGAATTGGATTCTTGCTGGATGCATCGGCATCGGGCGAACGTGGCTGGGGCTTGCTCTGGGCGAGCGGACGTGCACAGCGAGAGGATCAACGATGTTTATTGAATTCTACTGAGAGGACAGCGGCAAAGGCGGGGCGTCAAAAATCAGGCTGCACGAGCATGCCCGGAAGCGGAAGAGAGATTAGAGTGGATGCGCTTGAGGGTCTGGACAGTCGACGGGTGCAGGGAGCGGTAGCGATGCGCCCGAAGTCGTCGTCAGGAGCGGAGGCGGATTGCAGATGCAGCCGAGTTGGTTTGGGTTATATGCAGCGAGTAGCGGATCTGGAAGGCAATGGCGCTGTCTCTGCGGTCGTCGCCCAGGCCGCATGCATTGGCCGCTCAGTCGTCGACGTCTTCGAGGATGACGGTCAGGGCTCCGGCGGGACCGGCGTCCCATGAGCCGGGCATGTGCAGCGCAGGCTCTTCCAGCGCCTTCTTGTCGCTGGGACGGCCCCACCACGGCCAGGTCTTGGTGTCGGCGTAGATACCATGGACAAAGGACAGGTAGATCGATGCCCAGCAGCCCGTGACCAAGATCATTAGCAGGCTGATGTGGATCTCCCACAAAAGCATGATGGAATCCCTTGCCGAGTACCGGTCGAGCACCAGGCGGCCAAAGTCGCCTCGGCCCAGCTCGATTTCGTAGCCGTTTTCGTGCTCGAGCAGCTCGTCGCCCTCGCAGCGCAGGGTCGGCTCCTGATCGTCCAGGACCGGGTCGGGGTCAGCAGCAAAGGCAATACCACCGGCGAGACCGACACCGAGACCGACACCGGCGCCGACTTGCTCGGTGCACGGGAAGTACGGTGTGTCCGGCGAAGGGCCGGAAGCCGTTGATGTTGCTGGCGACCTCGGAGAGAACGCCGGTCGAGAGGCTTGACTCGGGGACAAATCCGACAGTGCCACGCCCGAGTCTGAGCTGGACAGACCAAAGGACCTGAGGGCAGAGCTCGACAAGCCTGAATCGTCGAGCTGGGGGGCAGGCAGCGAATCGCTCTGGTCGTGGGGATCGCTGTGCTCTGTTGGCGATGCAGGTCGGTCGAATAGGTTCTGGATTAAGGTTTTCCGCCGGGGCGAGTTTCGGGGAGATGCGGCCAGGTTTCGGAAGGGATAGCGCTTCTGGGAGGAGGCCGGAGAGCTGCCGACTGAAGGCGAGCGGGACGGCGACAGTCGGGCATCGGCTGCGTCTGCGGGCCACACCAGTATCGTGCTCGACCGAGACCTTCTGACCTTGGGCGTATCCGGCACGGAGTCAGGACGACTCGGCGCGACGGGGTGATGCTCCAGATAGGTTTGATGGACCGTGGATATGGACTCCAGAACCTCGTCGACAAGCGAATCGATGCGCTCGCTCGAGTTCTCGGGGGCATCGGCGGCGCCGGGCAGGTACTCCTCGCTGACATCCCAGAAGATATCCTCGGGCTTGTCCTCGTCGTGCGAGTCGTGCGAGTCGTCGTGCGAGTCGTCGTGAATGTCGGGCACGGGGGCTTCGACAGCAGTCTTGGCGGAGCTGAGGAGACTTTCGAGCATCAGGCATATCGAGTCAAAGTTGTCCTGGTCGTGGTCGGCAGAGAGCGAAGCGTCCTTGGGTGCGGACTCGGGAGTCAGAGTCTGGGTCGTGCCGCTGGGCTCGAGCACGACTATCGGCGGAGTCCGGAGGTTGGTGCTGCTCGAGTCGATGTGTATGCTTGAGAGCAGAGCGGAGGTGGTGGTCAGTGGATGTGGGCGGGCGAGAGCAACAACAGTGAGGTGCAATGGGCGATAGAAATGGGCGTTGGAGCTGATGAGTTGCTGTTGTAGCTCGGAGCCTGAGGCGAACATGATACCTGGGCAATGGTTCAGCAGTCGCTTCGCACACTTCCGACAGCATGGGCTCCATCTTTTGGATGTGCGTCTGGAGGTCGGCCATGACGCCCATCAGCTGCTGCTGGGTGGTGTGGATGGAGGTCATTGCACTTCGGAGACGCTCGAGCTGTGAGAATGGGGGGTGGGAGCAAGAGGCAGCGCAGAGCGGAGACGGACAAGCAACGACGGGAAGAATGAGTGGGCGGGTGGAGAGCTGCGACGGTCGGTGGGCCAAGAGGCACTGCAGGAAGCCTTGGCTGCACACAGAGGGAAGGACAGAGCGTACGTTCTGTCGATTTATCGAGGCCCGAGAGGGTTGCGGAGACTCATTCTTGACGGTGAGGGTGATTTGGATGGACGGCGCCGGGTCGGCCGGATACGGAGGCGGCGGGGCATCGAGCATGGCGATGGACGGGTGGTGGACGGGGTGGACGGGGGTGGACGGGGCAGAAGGGCAGAAGGGAACGGATCAGGCGGACTGGGCCAAGCGTGCTCCAGGCCGGGCCAAGCGAGGACAGCGAGGACAGCGAGGGCAGCAGATCGATGCGAACGAAAGGATGCGGGCGAAAGGATGCGGGCCAATAAGGGCGGTAGACAATGGGGGCGGCGAGTCGCGCTGACCAGTGTTGCATATGATTGTGGCGCTGCGGTGGGAATGGCGGTGATATTACTGATATACTGATATTGATACTGATACTGATACTGATACTGATATTGATATTGATATTGATATTGATATTGATCACGATGACGGTGACGATGACGGTTCTAACGTTGCACGTGACGATGGTCTAATCATTGGCGAGCCCAAGTTCACCATTGGCGAGCCCAGGTTCACCGTCAGCAACTGGAGCCAATCAAGCCAATGGCATGTGCCAAATCCATCCGCACATGGCCCGTCTCCTGTCGGGTGTCTCCCTCCCCCGCCTGCATGTGCATGTGCATCTGGCTCGTCCGTTGGGTGGCGAGCTCCCGATGTATTCAAATTTGCACTGGACAGTGCGTCTCCTATTCTTCCTGGGCATCGCTCTCCCCGCCGTTCTTGTCCTCGTCGTCCTCGGCTCCATCGTCGCCGTCTTCCTCCCCGTTGTCCCCGGCCTCGTCGTCGGCGGCACCGGCACCGGCTGCCCTCTCGACTCGCTTGGCCCTCTTTTCCGCACCCGTGATCTTGGACTCGATCCACTCCTCGCCCGTCAGGCGGGCCATGAGGGCTCGGCGCTCGTGGCGGTTGAGCAGCAGCGATGCGCTGACATTGGCACGCCAGACAGGCAGCGTGATGGGCAGTTGGAGGCTGGCAGAACAGCGTCAGAGTCAGCCCTTTGATCTCGATCGGTCCACAGGGGCCAAAGTGTATCCACCCACAGGGTCAAGTCATGCCTCAGACACGATGCGAAACCCACCTGCCCGTGTAGCCTGGCTCTTCGGAAGGGTTGAACCGCAGGACAAAACTGCCTTGCTCTGGGCATTCGGGCAAAGTTCGTCAGTCAAAAGCCAAAAGCCAAAAGCCAAAAGCCAAAAGCCAAAAGCCAAAACCGTCCCAGCGGCATGACCAACACAATGCCATCGATGTTTCCAGCGTCCGCTCCTTGCTTTGCCAGCAGCTTCCTGGGCTGCGTCGCATGCTTACCCATGGTCTCAAGAACCTTCATGGTTTCTGGGGTAAACTCCTTGAATTTGGGGTAGTCGACTGTGAGCAACACCAGGATGTCGGCCAGGCAAGCCTTGGCCGTTCTGTTGTTCAGATACGGGTCGAGGATGTACAAGCCCTCGTTGTTCAGACGATAGGGACAGGCAATGCTACGAGTGGAGCAGGAACGGCACAAATGTCAGGCGTCGGCCACTTCCTCAATCTCCAAGTTCAAGCCACACGATCCACCTGGTCGCTGTGCAACGAAAGCCATGACATGGCCCTGCTCTTCTGACTTACCCCCCGTCACCGACATTGCGGGAGAACATGCGGACACCCGAGTTGACAATCTGTCGTAACAGATGGCTGATTGTTAATATGCCGCACATTGCTGCTCTGTGTGTCCGCCACCTCATCGAACTCGCCGCGCTCTGGTCTGTCACAAGTCCATGGCCACAGACGGATCACACCCACCTCGAGACGGCTCGAATTGTATGCCTTCAGAATGTTCTTGACCGACTGGGAGACAAAGTAGATTGTGCGGTGCTGGGCCGTCTCGGATCGGACCACGAATCGATCGCGCGGGAAGTTGGCGTCCAGACCATAAAAGTTGCTGGAGGAAGCGAAGGCGGGCAGATGGACACATCAGACAACACACCAATGGACACATCAGACAACATATCAATGGACACACCAGACAACACATCAATGGACACACCAGACAACACTTCAGCAAGGCGTTCTCTAGCGGGCTTGCTGCTCCTCCATCCCCCCTCACTTCCAAGCTCGATACACTCGGCATCGTCCTTCTGGCGAAGCTGCATATCTAGAGACAGGTACAGGTCGTTTGCGACCGTTTGGCTCACCCGCACGAAACAATGTCAGTGTGGTCAGGAGTCAGGAACACAAAGGGATCCTCCTTGCCAGACCAAGCCTTGTCCAGGTGCTTGGGATTGTCCAATTCGACAGGCTTCTGGGCAGCATCGGCCGCCTGCTTCTCGCTGTCGTCGTCGGTCTTGGTCTTCTTGCTCGAGCCATGGCTGTTGTGACAGAGGGCAATACAAGAATGCATGCACGTCTGTTAGTTAGGAGGACTGACTGTGCCTTCGAGCATGGGTCCCTGTCGCAGACACGCGCGGAGCAGATGGCCGTTCAAAGCCAAACGGCTCGCACCTGTTCTTTTCGGACTTTCTCTTTGAGCCAGCAGAGCTGGAATCCAGAGAGAGGTGTTAGTTGTCGGGCCCTCGTCCATTCCAGCAGCGCCGCGCGCGCTAACGAGCGTCGCACCCCGTAGAGTCCTCTGCGCGGTCGAGCAGTGGGATCGCCCGTGCCCGTGCCCTTACCCTCCGGCCTCTTCGCTTTCCTTCTTGATGAGAGCCTCCTTCTCGTCCAACTCGGCCAGCACTTGATCGGCTGTGACATCCGTTCGGTCCAAGGAGCCAATAGGTCCCGTCTTCTTCAGCAAGGCGACAAAGAACCCGCCAGTGTTCTGGAGGTAGGGATACAGGCGGATGCTGGGCAGTCCAGACAAGCAAAGTCAGCTTTGGCAAGATCGAGCACCAATCCATCTCGCAAGTGGGCATGCAGACAGGCAGCCGTGTCGGCCAATCCACCGTACCAGCGATCCAGATGCAGCGTGGTGTTGTCGGGGTGTGGGAAGACCGACTCGGGGCAGTTTCGGCGATTCTCCTTGGGCACGTCCTCGAACTTGTCATAGAACTGGTCGTCCTTGCACAGGATCTTCCAAGTCGAGATGCCCGGCTTGCGCTTGAGCTCAGGAAGCGTCTCCGAGATGTCGACCAGCTCGAGAGAGCCTGTACGCGCAAGCAGTGATGGGCCGCAAAGCTGCAATGAGAACATGCAATCCCACGAGCGGGCCTGCTTTGGCGCTGACTGAACCAACCAAAGCATCGACGGACAGGGCCGTAACTTTGTCGCTGTTCTGCTCATGATGCAGGGCTGAGAAGCGTACCTTTGTGTCGGCGCAGCAGCTCCGCGACAACGGCCTCGTTCTCGACTGAGGGTGTGGGCGTGCACGGATGGATACGGTTTGGGTGAATAAGTCTCGCGCCGTTGCCCCGCCCCAGCTGCGTTGGGTATGATGTGCGGGATGCGCGAGTGTCTCACCAGGGTTGAAAGAGCAAGTTGAATAGACAATGTTGCCGCCAATCTTGAGCAGCTCGCACGCGCGCTGTAGGATGTTGACCTGGATTCTGCGAGCAGCAAATGAAAATGTCAGTGAGAGACCGCCTTTCGTGGGGGTGGGCGTTTGCTGAGGAAGCGACGCCAAGTCGATGGCACAGTTATCTCTCTGTGAACACGAGATGGACGCAGCTATACATACTTGTGCAGGGCCATGCCTTGGTTCTGATGCCAGGAGCTCCAGATGGTCTTGTTCTTGCGGATTGTGCCGTCGCCACTGTCGATGCCAAAATATATCAGTGGGGAGGCCCGCAGCAACTGAGGAGGCCATCAGCCATCAGAAGCCATCAGCAGCCATCAGCAGCCATCAGCAGCCATCAGCAGCCATCAGCAGCCATCAGCAGCCATCAGCAGCCATCAGCAGCCATCAGCAGCCATCATCCATCGGTCATCGTTCATTGGTCGTCGATGGATGTACTGACCTGCAAGGCACATCGCACAGGATGCGATCAAACTGGAGAGACTTGCAGTTGGTGCCCTGTCCGAACCAAGGTCAGTATGAGCTCGCACAACTCTCCCCCCCCGTAGCGTAGTGGCACGGCTGCGCTCTCTCACCTTTGCGCCAAAGTAAATGTAAGGGAAGCACTGGGCATCGTGGTTGGTGACCATCAGACAGGGGCTCTGCAGGCGCTTGACCTGACGGATCAGCATGTGGCTGCGGTCGTAATCGGCGTCGTTGGCGAGGACAAGCCCAGCTGGAGAAAGACAGAGTGGTCGGTTCCGGCAAGGGCAGATAGCATATTTCAGTCACAGCGCCCAGAGACAGGCTCAGACGTTCCCGAACCACGCTTCAACAGAGAAATGTGCTTACGGGGAATGACTTCTTCAGTGGCGTGGATGGCCTCGATCAGTTGGGCCGTCTTGCTACCGGGAGCAGCACACCTGGAAGCCGACAGGGAGATCATCCGGTTGTCACCGCAAACATCGTGCGGATTAGCACCGCGACATCCGATCAAGAAAGGGTGCCCAAGGCCCAGGCTCGGGACTCAGCGATGCAATCGGCTATCTGTGAATGCCACGCAGACTCGTACATGTCCAAGACGATATGCTCGGGCTTGACGTCAAGCAGCAGCACGGGAATCATGCTGACGGCCTCTTGGCGGTTGATGTTGCCCTGGAGCCATGCAGAGCGGATCAATACGGGCTGCCATCACCAACAGGGCGCCCAAGCTCCTTAAAGTCCCCGCCGTCGAATCGATTGTTGCCACAGTCGTCAGTGCGAGCAATCGCTGCAGAGCCGCTCGATGCCAAGACGCTGTTCATCCACCTGCCCCCAAGCGTGTCCACCCTCATCAGCCGCAAAAGGAGCAGGCTGAGGCCAATACCCTGCTGCATCTGCAGCTGGCCAACTCACCACTTCCGTCTCCGAAACCAAGAATCGATGGAACTTTCCAATCTCAGGCGATCGGCGGAGGACATTGCGGGGACAGTCGAACTGCCAGGCGAGGTTGTTGGGGTACCACGGCAATGGTGTGGGCAGAGGCACCTTGATCAGCTCGCCATCGACCTCAAAGTCCTTGATGTCGGGGAAGTACTCCTTGACCATCAGATCTCGGAGCTCGACGGCATGACTGGAACAAAATGGATCGGCGGATGGGTGAGTGAGTGGTGTGCCGTAGGGGATCGGCATCGAGCGATCTGCTCGAGCGACCACACCCAGCAACCGCACTGGAGCGACCGCATCGAACAATCATCCATCCTGCAGCCATAGCGAGGCCGCTCCAGAACGACGATCCAGCCGAGACGACGGCGCCTAGACCAGTTCACGACGGCTCAGCGGTTTTTACCTGCGGCTGCCGGTGAATCGGAAGTTGGTGGGCAGCAGCGTCTTCATGCACGCCATGTTCTCCTCCCACTCCTCCTCGGTCAAGATGCCCTGGGCTTTGTAATAGGTGTTGAACTTTTCATTGTTCTGGTTAAAGTCGGAGATGTAATGGCTCGAGCCTTCGCCGCGGGTGATGGCATTGCGCTCACGGCCGCCCTGTGAGAGACCGATGTACGCAACAGGTCAGTTCAAGCAGCAGCAGAGACCAACCGGGGTGCATCCGCAAAGCCATCAGCATGCAGTAAACAGGAAGGGAGCCTCGTAGCGATATATGGCCGGGACTTGCGAATGCCGTTCTAGATCTTGGCCTCGCTGTGATGTGCCAGACCGGCCTGGATGGGGGGCCGGATGGGCTGCGGCTCAGAGTGCGCAGTGTTCGCACCTTTCTCCTGCCTCTGCTGCTCTTTGGATGTCGCTTTCCCATGGCGTATCGGTGTCTCTTGACTGGTCTGCGGCGGTCGCTGGCGTGGCTGGATGCAGGTGATGCAGATGATGCAGGCGATGCAGGCGACGATGCAGGCGATGCGAGTGTTGTGGGTGCGCGATTCGTGCAACACAATGAAAAAATTTCGGCAGACCGAGAAGGGCGGTTCTCGGTTGGCGATCTCGCCAAACACGTGCAGCCGCGCCTCCGACACATCACGTGCGATCATCGTGACCAAACACTGCCCCCCCCACACACACACACACGGTGCCGGCGTCGCACAGACGCGACTTGGCGCCACCAGGCCAGGGGCGGAAGCACAATCGGCCAGGCTTCCGGGTCTGCCCACCATCTCGCAACCGGCATGGCACTGGCTTCCAGATTCTCTGCTCGCATCGCCCGGACCATGTCGCCAGCTCTCTGCGCTGTCGCCCAGATCACCTCCACTGCAGCGGTCGCGGACAATCTGTCGGCCTGTCTGTCGCTGACGGCACAGGCAGCTGCTCGCGGCGCCCAGGTCTGTTCATATCCTCGAGCTTTTGTTCGGCATTCTCTGACCCAGCGCCGCTCATCCCGTCTTTCCTGCCCTTGTCGATCCAGATGATATTCTTCCCGGAGGCGACGTAAGTCTCATACCCACGGCTCGCCCTTGGCCGCTCGCCCTTGGCCCGCTCCTGACCTTGCAGCGATCCTCAACCACAGCGACTTTATCGGCCAATCCAAAGAGCAGACGCGTAAGCCGAAATGCATTCGGGGCTCGTTCTGGGCTGCTGGCGCAAAGCGAATCTTATCCGTCTGGAGCACTGAATCTCTGTGGCTTCTCTTTGTGCCCTTTCGGACTGTGCGCCAGTGGAGCTCACCGAGTCTCTGGAGGGAAACTTTGTCAGCACCCTGAAGAAAGCTGCCCAGGAACACAACATCTTCATCTCGGTCGGGGTGCATGAGAAGAGCAAGGACGATGCGAAGCGCATCTTCAATTCGCACCTCGTCATCGATCGTGGCGGCACTTTGGTTGGGTTGTACCGCAAAATCCACCTGTTCGATGTGGTAAGCTGCACTTGGCCTCGGGCCGAGGCGGCCCTCATGGCGACCCGGACCCTTGATGTGAGAGCGGCCTCATCATACTGTCTTCCGGCCACCCAGGACATTGCAGACGGACCCAAGTTGCTTGAGTCGGCCAGCACGATCCCTGGAAGCGAAGGTGGGTGTCGCCTCTGGGCTATGGCTGGCCTTTTGATCTCGCCGCTCGGCCCTGCAGCTCTGACAGGCAAGCCATATTCCAGTTGTTGCTCCTGTGACAACCCCCATTGGCCGAGTGGGACTATCTGTATGCTACGATCTTCGGTTTCCGGGTAGGTGTCGGTGTCCTCCCCAGCTGCACTTTCTCCTCCCCCCCTGGGATGGCTGGCTTGCACCGGCTTGCGATTTCTCGTGAAGCTCACGAGTCGACCGGATGCTGCTTTGTGATGGCCCACGAGCGGATGGCCTCGTTCGAGAATGCCGGGCCGGCACTGACCCAATGGTTGTCGATTCAGAACAATCGCTTTTGCTCCGCAGGATGGGCGCCCAGATCCTGACGTATCCATCAGGTATGTTGTCGCCAGGATTCATCTTGCCGCACCGATGGAGTCCGGCCGTCGTGTTGGCTCACCGGACCCTGCGTTCGATGACACTCTAGCATTTACAGTGAAGACTGGGCTTGCACACTGGGAGGTAACGTTGCCATGGGGGAGGCCGCCAAGCGGAGCTGATTAAGAGCATCGTGCTTGCGGTGCAGACGATGACTGCTCGTCGATGACGCTCGAGCTCTGGAATCCAGATCCTCCTCCGGGCACGAGCAATCGAAACCCAGTCCTTCGTCGTTGCCGCAGCACAGACCGGCTGGCACAACGCCAAGCGAGAGTCGTTCGGCCATGCAATGGTAAGAGTGGCTCGTTGGAGCAAACGATGTGTCTATCGGGCACGCCGGCTGTGGGGATACGAATGCAGCGACAGACCGGGTTTGACCGATATATCCGATATATCCGATCCATCCGATATATCCATTGCCTAGATCGTCGATCCATGGGGTGAGTCGAGGCATCTGAATGGTGTGCATAGAGCCGATCGATTGAAGCGGGTCGCTGAGACCGGATTCCGTGCATAGGAACGATCGTTGCCCAGTGCGGCGAACAGTCGCAGCAACTGGGCTTTGCCGAGATCGATCTGGGCAGCCTCGACAAGATCCGCACCGAGATGCCGGTGGAGAACCATCGCCGCAGCGACGTCTACCGGCTCGACCTGGTGTGAACAGCATTGCTAGTGGTGCTGGTGGTGGTGCTGGTGGTGGTGGTGATGGTGGTGGATTCAAGGACATCGATGCGCCATGGGCCCCACGACGGCCGCCATGGTGTCGAACAACAGAATGTCCACCCGCATTCCATGATATCGTGCATCTCTTGGCAACCTCCAGCGATCGTCGCCCGGATTCCGGTGCTCGGATGCAACCAGACAGAGTTGGTCGCCCCTTGGGCACATGGCCGCATTGTTTGTGCCTGCTCAGGGCATCGGCACAGCCCGGCCGATTGTTTGTCGTCGCCAGCGCAGATTCGTTTGCTCTGTGCTTCGGCCGACCGGCTTGTTTCCGTTGCCCTTCGTCTGCCCCGGGGTGGTGCTCTTGGCGATCATCTGCCCTGCGCTCTCGCCGATCGTCTGCCCTGGTGCCGAGCCCACCTCCCTCTTCGATCCGCCTGGGTGGTCTGTCCATCTGCCCAATCCGCTGCAGACTCTGCAGACTCTGCATCCCCCCTCCCCTTTACTCCTTTACTCACATCCGCATTCATCCGCCTTCCTCCGGACAGCCCGTCCCTTGGCTGCGTCCCTTGGCTGCCTCTTGCTGCCTCTTACTGCCTCTTGCTGCCTCTTGCGGCTTCTCGATCCCTCCCTGTCCTTCGCTGTCCCTCTCCGTCCCGAGTCCGTCTGTTTTCTGTCGCACCCTCTCGCCGCTGGACCCTCCGGCTCAGCTGTCCTCTGGTCTCCGTCTCCAAGTTGCCTTTGCCCCCCCCCAGCGACCCTCCCCTTCCTTTCGCCGCCTCCCAGCTCGATCCGCTGCCTCCGTTACCGCAGCTCTTCCTCGCTCGCTCGCTGGCTCGCTTGCAGGCTGCTCCTCTGAACCATCGTCTTTGCCATGGGCAACGCCGTTTCTCTCACCAAGGAGCAGGCTTCGCTCGTACTTGCGTATGCATACAGCCCCCAGAGCGACCTGCCGCCGCCGCTGCCAGCCGTCGTCGATGACGGTATCGACAACGACAACGGCCGGCATTCTCTGCGCATCTCGGCCAACAACCATGCCGCTGGTCCTGCCGGCTTTGAGATCGAGCATAGCCGGTTCAACGAACTGCTCAGCCGGGCTCGAGACCTGCATGTATCCTCGTCGGTCGCCCCGTCTCGCCCCGAGCCCCTCGACCTTTCGCTCAAGCCCGTTCGATTTGGGCAGCTCACTTCGCTATTTGTCATCGGTCTGTGCTCGCAGTCCATCGTCAAGATCACCGAGAACATTGGATTGCTCGAGTTTACGACGACGCTGCAGCTGTAAGTCACTGCCGCCCTCGGCAGCGAAGGTTCTGCGTAGAGGATATGTCCAGCCCCTGGGATGGAGAGCGTCCGCTTGATTTGGACGCAAATACCCTGCTGTGGTTCGCATGAGTTTGCTGGACCGGATGAGCCATGTCAGCGTCCTCTGGCTTTGCCTCGAGGCTCGCTCGATGCAGTCCTGCCTCCTCCTCCAGCGCCCGAGACCCTGCCCTCGCAGATTCTGTCTTGTCCGCCCAGCCAATTCTAACAACTCGATCTGCTCCACCCCTCCCGCCTGTTCCGCCGGCTCTGTAGCTGTTGCAACTCGATCAAATCCATCCCTCCCGAGATCGGCTACCTGCGCTCGCTCAAGATCCTATACCTCTCCCGGAACGAGCTGACCGAGCTGCCGGACACGATTGGCTTCCTGACTTCGCTCGAGGAGCTCAAGGTCGGCAGCAACAAGCTCACCGCCCTGCCGGCCTCCATCTCGTCCTTGACCAAGCTCAACAAGCTGTATCTCGACCACAATCTGCTGACTCGGCTGCCGCCTCAAGTCGCGGCGCTCAAGGCCCTCGCCAAGCTGGATGTCTCCCACAATCCGATTCCCTTCCTCCCGGCCGAGCTCACCCGGCTAAAGTACTTGCGCGTGCTGCAAGTCGACGGATGTCCCTTGGCTGAAACACCCGAAGCCGCTGCTGCGATTGACGAGGGCGACCGCAGGGCTCGTCGGCGGTTTGTCCAGGGCCATTCCCTCGAGTGCTCGCCGTCCGAGTCGGTCCTGCAACGCATCGATGACGACAGCGAGCATACCTTCCCAACGCTGCGGGAGCTGGCGGCACGGGTTCTGGTCCGCCAGCAGATTCCCATCCTGCGCATTACCCAGGACGAGATCAAGGAGTACCTCGGATCGTCGTCAAAGTGCTCCTTCTGCTCGGGGCCGTATTTTGAACACTACACCACCCGTTGGCGCATGTGGGAGCGGCCGGGTCCCACTGTGATTCCCATCCAGTACCGACTCTGCATCCCACACTGGAACACGGATGCCGAGCGCCTGACGGTGCTCTTCCGTGCGCCTCCCTCGACGGCCCCGTCGCCGTTCCAGTCTCTGTCGACGACGCCGGTCGGCACACCTCCCCCAGAGCGGCGAAGCCTGGCCACCCGCCTGGATACCCTCTCGGGCCGCTCTCGGTCCTCGTCGGCCTCGTCGTCGCTCGCTCTCGAAGGAACCCTGCCCATCAGTGCCCTATCCAAGAGTCCGAGTCTGCCTTCTCTTCCCGAGGCTGCCGATCCCAAGGGGCTCCGGAACAAGATCGTGAGAACCAGCATGCGCATGAGCAAGTCCTTCAGCTTTGGATCTCTGTCTGCGTCGCTACCGGAGTGAGAATCGCCGCGACTCGGCAAGTCCTCTCGGGTAGTTGTGAATGATGCTCACCCGAGCAGCCCACAGATGTCTGCTGAGCCGTGAGTCGAGCTGGACCGCGAGTCCAGACCACAAGCACGACCCATGGCCTCGACATGATCTCGGCAGGATCTGGATGCCCGTCCGTTCACACGGATATCGCCATGTGACTGCTCCTGGCTCTTTTTGTTTCCTGGCTGATGATGCCCTTCCCCCTGTGCGAGTGATCCCTTTCTTGCACCTCCATTTCCATGTTGATATTTCCTCCCCTTCCATTTTTGGGCTCTAAGCCGCCTGTATTTGCGATGCGCAAGGGTAGTTCCCCCTCCTCCCCTCTTCCCTCAACCTGAGCGAGTGGGGTTGTGTGGTGGCTGACCTCGCGAACGAAGCGAGAACGTCGTCTCTCAGACAACCCAATACATCGTTCCTCTGATCCACATTCCTGCACATGTCAATTGTCGATGGTAATCGCCGGGCAAGGTGGACGGCATGAAGCCCCGTGTGGTTGCAGCGGTGCATGATTCCACTGCTGTTCAGTTTTATCTCATCGAGTGTCATCCAGTCCAGCTCGGTCCGGCTCGGTCCAAGGCACAAGCGATACCGTGATCGTGTGGGGGGGGGTCTGGGAGGCTACAGCTTCTTGACGCTGGCTCGCTGTGTCTTTCGTGCTTCGCGGGCCTCTGCCATTTTCTGTTGGTACATGTGGGTTTGCAGGTTAGTTTGCAGGCTTGCAGTGTCAGCTTGCGCAAGCTCGGGATGGATATGCCACCGGACAGATGTCCAGTGCATATGGGCTTGCGAGGCCAAGATGACCGAGCGCCGTTTCGAGCCGATCAAGGGGAAAGTGACCATAGGCCCACGGGCGAACGAGTACAGCGTGCAAACGCAAACTCACCTGCCGACGTTTTTCTTTCTCGAGCTCTCGGTCGGCCACGCTCTTGGACGAGGATGGTACCGGACTGGTCGATCCAAACGACCCGTGTGCTCCAAACGACGACACGGCCGAGGACGCTGACGACGACGACGTTGCGCCAAAGCCAGAGGCACCGAGGCCGCCGGTCGTCTTGGGGAACGAGCTGGCGGCGCCCCAGTCATCGAAGCTGTCGCGTCCGGTGTTGGGGGCTCTGCTGCCGGTGTCATCATCATCGTTGTTGTTGTTGTTGTTGTCATCGTCGCCCCAATCGTCCCAGCCGCTCGTGCTGGGTTTGGCCTGCGACGATACCGACGAGGGAGTCTGGGTCCGGCCGGGAGCAGAGGACGGCGCCGTGTGGCCACCAAAGCTTCGCACTGCCGAGTGGTCCATCGAGCTTTTGTTTCGGGTGGCGCTGGCGGCGCTAGATGATGGGGCGGCTTTGGCAGGAGCGGCGGGACCGGTGCTCCAGCCAGAGGCTTTCTCTGTCAGGGTTGAAGTTGGCACACAGGTCAGCGCACTGGCGTCATCAGGCGGCCCCAGCCGCCACCGACGTCGAAAGCACCATCAGATACCAACGAGTCCACTCGCAAGACGATTGGCACCCACCCCATCCATCGTCATAGTCCGCTTCCTCATCGACATCCCATCCACCGGTGTCGTCGTCGTTCCAGCCATCGCCGGCCGTCGGTTTGCTGCTGGAGCTTTGACCGTTGCTTGCAGCGGGCCTGCTGGCCGAGGCGTTATTTGCGCCGTACTGGGTCGGGGGGTTTGTGCGGATCTGCGGCGAGGCACTGGCAGCTCGATCGAGAGCGACGGGGCGAGCCTGGCCTGCTGGTCCAGCGCTTGGAGGAGCGCCGATGCCTGATCCCGGTGTGGGTGTCGCTGGGGCGCCAGCAGAGCCGATGATGGTGTTGGTGAGCTTGCTCGATAGGACTGACACTGCCGACCACGACGACCACGAGTCTGCGGGGCTCGATGCAGGGCCAGCTTGGGCTGGGTTGCTTGTGGCGGCAGGGGCTGTGGCAGAAGGGACTTGGGCAGCAGGGGAGACCGCGGGGGCCTGTGGCTCTGGCATGGACTTGGAGTGGGCCTCTAGTTTCTTGATGAAGACGTCAAAGGCCTTGAATGCCTGCTCGCGGATATTTCTGTGGGATGGATGGGTAATTCAAACCGGATGCGGGTTCAGTTATGTCGACACCAATACGGAGAGGGATGGGAGGAAGGCCGGACAGCCACACCAAGGGCCAACAAAGAAGCAGCAGCAGCAGCAGCAACAGCCCACCCCAGTCGGAGGTTGGCAAAAGTGCCTGTTGGATCCTCACCGTTCATTGTCGACAAGCAGCGGGGACATATGAGGCAAGACCTTCAGTGCAATATCGGTGGCGTCGTAATAGTCTTGGGTGGCGGCCAGGGCAAGGAGGCCCGCGTTTCGGGATGGCGGGAAGGGATCGTGCAGCGATCGTGTGAATGCCGGAATCAGAATTTTCTTGCGAGTCTGCAGGGTAGAAGAGAGCGGGCCCAGATCGGCGTCAGCAGGTCGGCGCCCTGGACGAGCGATATCACAGCACCGCAGAGCTGCAGTATTGCAGCCAGGATCGACGTATCGACAGCAGCGCTCCGCAACGCTCTGCAGCCCGCAGGCGACAAAGCCATTCCCGACCCTCCAACGGCCAGGGTCTCTGGCGGCTGCTTACAGAGTCGCTCAGATGCTTGCTGATCTTGCCAAGACAAATGGTGGTGTTCTGTCGATTCAGGTGGCATCAAGCTGCGTTAGAACCTGGCTGTATCAGTGCGAAGGCGTACGGGCGGCTGCAAGACACCGTGCACAGGCCTACCGTTCGAATGCCGGGTTCTTCGTCCGTCTGGAGTTTGGCCAGATAGCGTAGGAGGTCGTTGTTGATGACACGTTCGCTCAGCTAAACGGAGACGCCAGTGACGAGCGTTAGATTGGCAGCATGGACACACCTGGGAACTGAATCGGCCTCATAGGCAAGCAACTTACTTTGCCAATGATCAGCAGAATGGACTTGAGTGTCAGCTCTCGTATAAGCGCCTGGGTCAGAGGCGGATAAGACGGTCAGATCCGCCACGTCGCTGCGAGCAATGTCATTATCGATCTCCCGCATGATCGCAGCAACGGTCGTTGCTCCGGTGGCTGCCTTGTGGCCGGTGGACTATCTTCGTGCCGGTACTTACGCTAGTGTCGCCAAATCCAGTCGCCTGGTGGTGCAAGCGAAGGAGATGTCGGCATGGAAACGGTAAACAGTCAGCCGCTGGTCCGCCGACGTCACGCAGAGGACGACGTACACAAGATGCCGACAGCAACAGGACGCGCGAGGTATCATGTAGAAAGCGGCAGATCAAGACAGCATGCAAGTGCGCACCAGGTTTGGAAAAATCTTGTCGTTGACAACTTTAGTGCTCAGGTGCTCGACAAAGTGGCCGAGGTTCTCGCACAGGCTCGAGCGGATCGACCGGTCGTTGGAGGAAAAGAGCCGCACGATAATCGGCGTGATCAGCGAGTCGAACTCTTCGTGCGTCATCTTAGACCCAATCTTCAGGATGGGCGTCAGGGCCTTGGCACCTGCCCCGCCGAATTCCAGGGCATTGATCAACTCTGGCAGTATCTTGTACTTGCAAAAGTCTGTGGGGAAAGTGTCGATGGAGGCGTCGATTTTCCTGGGCGGAGCAAGAGTGTGAGCGATCCAAAGGAAACGACGAGGATGAGCAGATGTGTTACGAGTCAGCAGCGAGAGAGTGTGGCCGCTCTAAAGCCGCCAAGTTCGTGCCATTCTTCGTTCCGCCTCGCTGCTTGCATGTCGAGGGCGCAAGGTGTGTGCCTATCAGCCAGGTCGACGAAGGCCGCAGTTGAAGCGCATCAAATGCAATTTCGACCCCACCTCAGAAACTGATCCTTTTCATGAGCGTCCTTCATGGCGATTTGCTCGAGGAAGATACTGACTTTGACAAAGTCATTGTCAAAGTATCCACCCTGGCGGTCGCCACGCTCCAGCACAGTTTCGATATCCATGCGCGATCTGGGGTCGCTGTTGAGCAGTCCTTTGTATGCCAAGGCAAGCGACTGCGTTCATTGGATCAGCATTAGATGCACGAATCAGAACTGCCCCCCCCCATACACATGGGGGATGCGAGGCAGAGTGGACGAGAGCGATACGCATGCATGCACAATGTCCGGCCGACGACCATTACGGATGCTCGGACCAACCTGGGGAATCGCGCCCTTCTTTGCGAGCTCCTCTGGGCGCGAGAACGGCTGGTTGAAGATTTCGTAGAGCAAACAGCCGTACTGCCAGGAATCAATCGCCCACACAGGAATGCTGCCCACCGAACCAAGTCAGTCTGAGAGGCCTTTGCTTTGACAGGCGATTTGGCTGGTCCTTGACGTTGGCATGGTATTCTCGGGCCCACCAGCAGTGCGCTGGACTCTGCATCATGTAGTTGCATCCTTTGGGACGCACCGATGGACAGACTCACCTCTTGACCATCGACCAACTTCCGTTGCGGAACTCGGGGGGAATGTACTTTGAAGAGTCCGGCAGGCTGTTGCCATAGTCTACCACAAATGGCCGCTCTTCTTTCAACGAGCACAGTAACTCCAGCCCACCGAGTCTGTTGAATCATCCGGTTTGATTCGCGGCGCAACACGAAGTGTGAGACGAACGCACACCAGTCATCGGAGCTGGTCCATATGCTGGGGTCGGTGCTGAACCTACTTCCATTCGCCGGCCTTGGTCACAAAGATCGAATCGATACGGACATTGGCATGGATTATTGAGCAATCGGTGTTCAGGAACTTGATGGCGCGCTGCGTTGACAAGGTCGTTGATCATGGCGCATCAGCATCCACACGCAAATGGCCACGAGAAGGCTGCCGTTGAAGGAAATGCACAGCCGGATGACTCCCTGTGCTCTTGATAGCGCCGCCTTGGGTCGGACCACTTACTCCAATCTTGAACAGTCCCCACGCGGTCATGTTCTCGTTGGAGGATTCGGCAAGCTGCGAGCTCAGAGGCTCGACGGCTTCGGTGCCGATTATAATCTGGCTGTCGGTCTGCAGATATGAACAGACACATTCGAGTCAGTCAGTGTCAATGTGGGGCGAGTGAACATCGAGCACTTTGAGGAGGCTTGCCAGGCAGCTCAATCCCCTTACTTCAACGCCATCGATAAACTTGAGAATGTCGGGATGGCGAATGGTCTTGAATCGCTTGAGACAGTTGCGGGCGATGGCAACCTTGTCTTTGAATCGCGCACAGTCAAAGACAAAGACAGATACGGGGGTATTGTCGTCCTGCCCAGGCGATTGCATGCCGTGCAAAGTGCTATTAATTCCGAGTGAAATGCCGTGTCGTGGCATGATGATGTGGCGCGGAGTGCCTCTCGAGTGATCAGGCGGACTGATAAGAACGCGACCGGTCAAGGGAGCCGGATCGCAGCGAACGACGCTGCTGAAGGGGCCGGCGCTCCTCCCAGCGAGTCGCCGGCGGGTCGCCAGCGATGCAGGCAGCAACATGAGCAGCCAACCTTTTTCGTGCCACGGTGGATGGCCCAGAGACTCGAGGGGCTCGACGAGATCGGCTCTCCGATGGAAAAGGGCAGGGCGGGGCCGGCGGCAGAGCCGATGGCTCTGGATATGGTGGATTTGGCAAACTCGAAGACGCTCATGGGAAGGTCGGCAGGGGAATCTCCAAGACGATCAGGCGGCAAGGCTGGAACGGCAGGGCCAGGGCGGCAGAGATGCGTGGACACGAAGCAGTTGGGACGGTGAGATGCAGGGCGTGCGCGGGGCTGCTGTCCGGGGACTGGAGACGGCTGCCGATGCCGATGCTGATGCGGATGCCGATGGGGTTGAGCGATGAGGTCGAACATCGACGTGCGACGACGAACGTTTTGAGACGCGACCGAGGGCCGAGGACGCTCTCGCCGCGCTCTCGCCCCCACCGGCTTCTCGGCGGCCCTCGCTCGTCAGCCCGGCTGCGAATCGGCACAACCGGCTCGAGCAACCATCGCATCGAGCGGCATCGAGCGGCATCGACATCGGCATCGACATCGCCATCAACATCGCCATCGATACCGGCATTGGCATCGACATAGGATCATCCCACATCGGCATCGACACACTTGCATCAGCGTCCCCCCGGCACATAGCCCTGCATTCGTCCGGATCGGCCTGATCCAGCGTCATCGCCCAACACTGCTCCGTTGCAGATCCAATCCGCAAAGCTGCATCCCAACCGCCATGGAAGCTTCCCCACACCGCCGACATTCGGTTGTCTCGGACACCCCCTCGGACGGGGCTGTTTCCCGGAAGAGGCGAATCAGACCCCTGAAGGAGCCCTCGCTCTCGGCCGAGCCGCCATCTCCAATCAAGCTCAGACAGTCGTCGGAACCCCTGCGGGGCCAGCAAGACGACCTCATACAGCATAGCTGCGGCCATGGCCGGCGCTCCTCGCATGAATCGCCTCTCGATCATGGCTCCGGGCGATCGGCTCGCGCCGCCCAGGACGACAAACCTCGGGAAGAGATCGCCCTCGAGGAGCTCTATCCGGATCTCGACATCCAGCTGCCGATTCGTGTGCGCAGGTATGTCGCAAAGAACCAACCTCATTTAGGAGAGTCAGACGATCGCTCGGTACCCGTCGATCCGGCCGTCGATCCGGCCGTGGATCCGGCCATCGACGAGCCGCAGCCGGTGCTATCCGCCGAAATCAAAGGCGAGCCCATGGAAGATGTCGACGGCCCACCCTTGGAGAACGGCCAGGGCGAGAAAGATGTCGGCGCAACCGCTGGTCCGTGGGCCCGATTGAACGACGAAAACCGCCAGCACCGATTCTGGCAGCCACCGTCTTCGCCGCTATCTGGCGATGAAGACGGATCACACCTGCCCACCATCATTCCCTCGCTGCGCGAGCTGATGCCAAACGTCCGTCCTCCCGAGCCGAGTTTCCGCCGAATCGACTGCGTCCATGCCATACCGGAGCCTGAGTCAGAGCCGCAGACGCCCAGTAATGTGCTCAAAATCGCCGATCGGCCCTTTATTCGATATCTGGGTAGGCTGCCGTCTTGCGCAGATTGTCCATGACGCGCAGAATCCTCAAACTTGCCCATAGAGATGTGCCTGCTGCTCTCATAGCAGCTGCGGATCTGCCATGCAGACCAAAGTTGTCCGCGTCGAGGCATTTCGCCTCGCCTCACTCTGTCTGTTCTGAATGCAGATCCCTCCGAGGATGAACTGGCAAGCCGCATCGAATACGATATGGACGAGCAAGGTATGTTGTGTTTGAATCGACAGTCGTCTTGCCCCCATGTGATGCACCTGGAATGGCTGGAGCCAGAGACAGCGCAGCTGATCTGTCGGTGCGCTTTTGCAGATCAAGTGTGGCTTGCCTCGCTCAACGAGGAGCGCAAGATGCACAGCCTTCCGCTCCTGACCGAAGAGAATTTCGAACTCATCATGGATCTGCTCGAAAAGGAATGGTTCGAGTTGGTATGTTGAATGACAAGTCGCGTTGCCTGGCATGGTACTGCACAATGCTCTTGACTCAAGGAGAGTGTGGATAGATTGCGCTGTGCGAATGCCGCACTATGCATGCAGCTGTGTGGGCAACCGACTGCCCGCCTGCTTCGTTTCACGACAGCTCTTTATCTCACGTCTCGCCTCATTTGCGGCTTTGCTTCGGATCACGGCCTCGCAATCATCGCAGACCAAGGATCTTCCGAAAGGAAGCAAGGGGCAGGTCCCCGTGCCCGAGGACTGTCCCTGTGCGATTTGCGACGACGCTGAGTGCGAAAACAGCAACGCCATTGTGTTCTGCGATGGCTGCAATCTCGCAGTTCATCAGGGTACGCCCATCACCCCGCTGCACAGTTGGTGCTTAGGCACCATCCCGGCTGCTGCAAATCATGAACTAACGTCAAGATTCCCACCCGTCGCCAAAGACTGCTATGGCATCCCATATATCCCCGAAGGCCAGTGGCTCTGTCGCAAATGCATGATCAATCCTGAAGCCAAAGTGGTAGGCGTCTGAAGCATACTCGATTTCTTGAAACGCACGCTGGATGCATCGCTGACAACCCGCAACCAACCGATGGCTCCCAGGCGTGTATCTTCTGCCCAGTGGAGGGCGGGGCCTTCAAGCAGACGACGACCAACCAGTGGGCACATCTTTTGTGTGCACTGTTTATACCCGAAGTCATCATATCGAACACCATATATATGGAGCCCATCGACAACATTGATAAAGTGCCGCGCGATCGCTGGAAGCTGGTGCGTACGCTAACCGGAGGCAGCCTGCCCCGTTGCTATATCGGTCTCTCGGCGAACAGTCGCAATGCGCGGCCCGCGACTCTAACGCTGTGCCCAACTTTTTCGCTGACGACACCCAGGTGTGCTGCATTTGCAAGAAGAAGATGGGTGCGTGCATCCAGTGCAGCAATAAGAGTTGCTTTCTTGCTTTCCACGTCATGTGTGCTCGCGAGGCGGGACTATACATGAAGATGAAGGCCGGTTCGCCACAGGACAGCAACGGCCTCCGTGTTTTGTGTGATCGCCATGCGCCGGTAAGCTGCATGGGCTACCAATTCAATTGGTGCTGTACGACAGATCGCCGATGGCGCTCCATCATTGACAGCACACTCACTGGTCCTGCTTTCGCTATATGTTTAGAAGGAGCACCGCGAAAAGACTCACCACGATCTGTCTGGCCGGCACTCTGTTGGCGCAGGCAGGGATGGCTCGGCCAAGAGCAACGGCCATACCGACGATGAGTTCGCCGACATATCAGGCAGCACCGCTTCTACATCCGGTGCCCACCAGTCCGTCATGGGACCTTCTGCAAGCTCCACTCCCGGAGCAGCCCCGATCAAGGGAAACAGGAGCTTTTTCGATGCGCCGCGGATTCCGATCTACATCCTGAACAAAATCCGCGAACACAGCGGCAAGCGCTTCGCCTCGATCAAGAAATCCAACTTCCTCGAGGTCCTTGCCAAGTACTGGGCACTGAAGCGGGAGTCTCGGCGGGGGGCACCGCTGCTCAAGCGACTGCATCTGGAAGTAAGTCGAGGATGGTACCGATGCATTACTGTCCCGAACGCGATGTCTGACGCATTCGCACTCTGGCATTTCGTGTGGCATCTATTGCCCTCAGCCATGGACAGCAACGACATCGGCAAACCAGGAGGACGAGATGATCAGTGCCAAGCGCTACGAGTTCCTCGTGCGCTTCCGAACCGACCTCGAAAAAGTGCGGACACTGTGTGAGCTCGTCCGAAAGCGTGAACGCGAAAAGCTCAAGCTGTACGGTGTGTACAAGGAGTACATTGAGCAGGTTCTGCTGCCCCAGACCCGAATCTTCCGGGCTGTGCTTGAAGAGTTCAAAAAGTATGTTTCACGCGGTGCCGCTGGAGGCATCTTGCCGCTGTGTCAACAAAACTTGACAGTCGTGCTGCGATGTGCCGGAAGGGGCTGTTGATCCGCCATGCTGCTAGCCATGCTGTTCTGCACCGACTGCTCATGGTCTGCTGAGTGAGTCACAGGAACGCATGCCACTGACTCCCTTGGCATGTCGCCCGGATTATCCGTCAGGCTGGACAGTCGCAAGTTCTTCCTCCACCCAGTATCGCTGTTTGATGTTCCAGATTATCTGGATGTTGTAAAGTCGCCGATGGACATGTCCCTGATATCCAAGCGCATCGAAAAGTACGAGTACGAAGACCTGAATCAACTCTGGGTACGTCAGTGTCTGCCGCGCGGCAATGTTGGCTGTTGTCGCGCCGACAAGTGGGGTATTGTGGTCTCACCTGAGCTCAAGGACGCCCCCAATGCACGGCATCGCGGCCAATGTTCGGCCACAGATCTCGTCACATGCATACTCAGACGACTGTTTCCGTTCCTCCCTCCCATCTCCGGCTCCAGACCGACCTGACTTTGATCTGGGAGAACGCCATGCTCTATAATAGGTCCGATACCCTGTACTGGAAGGCTGCTGACCGACTAAGGAAGGCAGCGAAAGTCCTGTATCCCGAGTACAAGTTTCGGTGTGAGGTGCTCGCGCAACACGATGCCGCTCGGCGGCTCATGAGCTACCGGCCACTGCTGGAGCTGTTTGGGTACGGAGACCCAACCGGCGACCGGCTTGCAAAGGAGGCTCTTGCTGAGCAGCACACAGACAACCAGGCTCTGGTTGCCGCAACTTCAACGTCGCCGCGAAAGTCGCCTCGCCGTCATAAGGCAACCCACGGAGGCTCGGTATCCTCTACTCGAAGACGAGCAGCGCCGCAGGAATACAGCGGTGGTAAAGTCCTCTTTGAGGACTTTGTCGCGAGCGATGCTGGTCCGGAAGAGACGAGGGATGGACAACTGCCCGATCAGACTCTGCCAGATGGCAGCGAAGCCACAGCGGACAAGAACCGGCGAGTCAAGCGACCAAAGACCACTGACGTTCCCCAAGCTACCCCGCGAAGCAGCAAGAGATTGCTGGAACTGCGATCAGCCACTCCGGGTGGCCACAGACAGACGACGCTTGTAGCAGACTCATCTCCGGTGGCGGTCCATTCCCACGATGGCGAGCACCAAATGGATATCGATGCGTTGCCAGAGACAGTAGAGGCTCCGAAAGCTCCAGATATGCTGTCTGGCCGACTCGCCACGCCACGGAAGCGCTCGCAGCGGATTCAGGACCGAGCAGGAGAATCGGCGAGATCACGAGAGTCAGAGCCTGCTCTCGTTACTCCTACCGCGGCTCCCGTCAGCGAAGGCAGGTCGCGGGCGCCCAACAACAGCACAGAGAAGTCAGGCTCTTCGCCCGCAGAGACAGAGGGAGCCACGCCCCCCTCGCGGTCAAAACGACGCATCGACGAACCTGCAACTCCGATGCCCGCGGATGGATTGTCGACAGACCAAAGGCTGCCCCTAGCGACACCAACACCATCCTCGAGGCGAAAGAGAGATCGACCATCGACATCCAGTACGGCACAGACCGTAGAGACTCCGGAACCAAGCAAAGGACGCACCAGAGGCTCGTCGTCGCTCCGTGAATCAGGCCGGCCTTCAGCAAGTGTCCTTGCAGAAGCAAAAGCACTGGCCGACGAAACTACCGAGTCCGACTCTGGCCGAGCAACCGAGCCCCCTTCCAATGACGCCGCGGAGAGCGGCTCTACTGATGCGACAGAAGTATTGGTGCCCGCTGCTCCTGCCGACGGCGCAGCAGGCACAACACCGGCATCTGCTCCAAGCGAGGATCCGGCCCCTCGGTCAACGGCCGCAACACGACCCCGAACCCGATCCAGGAGGCCCTCGACGTCGCCCTCCAAGCAAGCTTCGTCTCAGACATTGCAACTTTCCACCGAGCCCGAGTCGACTCTATCAGCGCCATCGGCTTCCAAGCCAGCCTCGAGGGCCGTTTCACCGGAAACCAACGAGATGGCATCGCTATTGCTTGCACTGCCGCAGTCTCAGACCGTCTTGATGCCCGATGAGGTGCACCCGAGGAGGACTCTGCGCAAAGGATCCGGCGCACACCACCTGCGCTTTGCGGAGGGACCACTGCCGCGCATCCCCAGAGCCAATCTGGATGACTCGACCGAGATCCTCGATGTCATCCGCAAAACACGACCAATGTCGCTGGAGCCAGAGGATCTGCCTGAAGGATCGGACAGCACAGGATCCTCCCGTGCATCGTCACCATAACAGAATACAGCACGCAGTATGATTCATCCTGTGCAGGCCGAGAGCGGGGATGGGAGCACAACTTGAGGTCCTTTCGGCAAGAGCTCAGACGGCGATCGCATGCGGTCGCTGTCGATGCGACCCAAGGCTTTCGCAAGCCAAACAGCAAATGGCGGCGCGGTGAGTGGCTTCGGCCTGAACGAAATGCAGCCAAGAGTATCTCGGCGCACTGGCCTGGCTTTGTCCAACGCCGTTACTGGCATGACGGCCGATATATATTCAGAAAAATCGAGCACCGCACCCCTCCTCTTCGATCGAGCGGCGGTGTGAAAGTCAAGTGTGTGGTACATGGTCGTGGTGATGTTACGAGTCCACAAATCGTCTCCTGGATGCCCATCCCGTAGAGTCCGTCCAGGGCTCCATATCTCTGCGGTATATCTCCCCTCCCTCGGTCGAGTCCATCAAAACAGTGCGAGCCCCGATCGACAGCGCTCCATCCCCACAAGCCATCCACATGTTGAAAAGTTCCGTTTCGGTATGTGGGAGCCCCGCTCACGTGGTAGCCCCTGATTCAGGGGGTGTGGTTGCGTCGGCGACATTGTCCTGCCTGCCTGCCGATGCGACCTTTGCAGCCGACCCTTGCCCTCGCCCTACCTCGGCCTTCTCCAAACAACCCATCTGCGACTCTCCCCATCTCAAACCGAAAAACTGACCAGCCCTTCTGATCCCTCCGCGCGGCCTTTGCTCCTGAGTAAGACCGCGAGTGGAAGTCCGGTGCGGGTGAATGCTCGGTTCAGCGATGGCCTCCAGATGCGATTACTGGTTGCCGTTTGATTGCACGGGCTTTGGATTGCATTCGCTCTGCATTACATGCGAGCCCGCATGCCGATCTGCTCACCCCATCCCTTGCATGCTCTCTCGACCTCTGGCCATCGCGGTGCTTGATGGCTGCCGCGCTTGCTTTCACCCCCCCCCGTCATTCCCACGTTCAGCGCAGCCCCACCATGAGTCTGGAATACGGAACAATTCCTCGTTTAGATAGCAGTATCTTCAGCGGCCTCGAGAGCGAGAATCCAAGCGTGCGCCTTAATTCCGTCGAAGCACTCCGGGCTGAGCTGAAGCAAAACCACCTCCCGATCGTGTCGACAAGCAACTTTACGGATCTGTCCACGTTGTTCTCGCGCCTCAAGTCCCGCATCTCGGACTCAAATCCAAAAGTATCGATCGAGACCCTCAACTTTTTGATCGAGCTGATCCCTCTCCTGGTTGGTCGATCGAGAAACGGCAGCAAGACCCACAGCCGTAGCAGCAGCGTCAGTGACGACCGTACTGATGGGAGCGGCGACAGCAACGACGAAGCCGATAGCTATACCATCTCTCCCGCTGAAGCCGCATTTGCAATCCTGCTTCCAACGATCGTGGTCTCGCTTGGCCACCCAAAGTTCTTGGTGCGCAAGGCCGCCTTCGAGACTTTCCAGGCGTACCTGCGGCACGCCAGCAGCGCCGAAATGGCCGTTTCCTGCCTCGTAAAATACGGAATCGAGAACGAGGATTGGCGGGTCCGTAAGGAAGCCATCGACGCTGCCCTTGTGGTGATGGATCAGGATAGCGGCAGCTGGGACTTTGACCAGCTTGTCGGCGGCTTGGTCGGTCGCCTTCGGGATGTGTCGGATGCTGTCGTCAACAGCGCCGGCAAGGCCCTCGCTCATCTCGTGGAGCTCTTTGGCGACGCCTCCATTCAGGAGTCTGTCCAGATGCTTGGGCCAACTCAAAAACAGCTCTACAAAGTGTTCCGCTCCAATCCGCAAGGCATGGGTGGCAAGCTCGTGGCCTCTGCAAGCCCTCACTCGGCGGCAGAGCCCTCTGGGAGAACAAAGCAGCCGGCGTTGCCCCGGAGAGTTGGAGTCTCCTTGGAAGCCCATGCCCTCGACGAGGCATCTGGATATCGCGCGCAAGCAGACCAGAGCATCAAGATCCTGGGCAAGGGCCAGCACGGCGGCTCGGGTGGGGCCCTGAACCTGGAGTTTGGCTTCGTGCCGCTCTCGATTATCGCCCGGCTACAAGTCGACGGGGACTGGAAGACTCGGGCGGCCGCCATCGAAGAGCTGCAGGACCTGTGCTTCCGCGACGACAACCAAACCACGCTCCGGCCCCACCTCAGGTCGTTTCTCAGCTTTTTGAGCGTACTCATGGGTGACCACAATTTCAAGATCTCTCTAACGGCTCTGCATATCCTCGGGAGGATGGCCAAGGACATGGGCGAGGACATGCGGCCGCACCTCAGCGCCGTGATTGCATCGCTCATCGAAAAGTTTGCAGACAACAAAATGGTCATGCGCCAGACAGCCATGAAGATCACTACGCTGCTGATGACCATCCACTCTCCCAAGAGCGTCCTGGCATGTCTCCTGCGGAGTCTCGGCCACCCTCATCCAAGAGTACGAGAAGAAATTGTCAATTGCATCACCACGGCGCTTCTGAACTTTGAGGTTCGCAACTTTGATGTGCCGTCGCTGGTCGTCGATTTGCTGACAGCTCTGCGCGACCCAAAGGCCAAGGTCAAGTACGTCACCGTCGAAGCATACTCGGTCATCTCGTCCTTCATCACCCCAGAGCGCCTGCTTCGAATGCTGAGGGAGTATGGCGTCGACGACGAAACGCTGCAGCTACTGCTCCTCCGATTCTCTGATCCGACAATCCCACAGCTAAACGCCGACGGGCTGGTCGAGCACATCATCTCCCGTTCCAACACAACGACGCCTCGGCCGCTGTCTCAACTCTCACTGGCCAACGACGCCGCTCCCTTCCCTACAATTCAGCGCTCACCAGCCAAGCCTTCGACTGATGTACGACAGCAAATCGTCCTGACTTCGCCCACGACCCAATGCTCGATTTCGTCTCGGCGCTCTAGTGTTCCCACCGAGAGGGACGACGCCAGCACCGCATACCACCCAAGTCGTTCATCGTCAACAGCTGCTGATATGCGCCGGGTCGCACCACCAGCAGTCTTCGCAAAGCCGCCGCGGGAAACCCCCAGCCGCGCTGGCCGTGGTCTCAGTCGCCAAGCTCTGTTTTCGCCTGACGCCTCAACCGCAATCGCCTCAGAGATCGGTGACGATGACAAGCCGTCTCCGCCCCGACGGTACTCGAGCATGTCTTCTACACCCCCCGGTCACTCTGACGAGGTCAGCGATGCCAGTCCGTCGGCAAGGACGACTACCACGGTCAGCTATGGCTCTGGCTACTCACAGACTACTTCGACCGGGTCCTCGGACTATATTGAGCTCAAGAGCGACTCGAGTTTGCCCAGCTCAGCCCAAGGGTCCGATCGCCGCCAGACGCTGAGTCCCGGCTGTGTACTGGCGCCGGGAGCAGGATCCAGACGCTTTTCCGAATCGAATCCAGCACCTCGCCCTGGATTTGACCCCGCGATGGGCAGCAGGGTAGTTACGGCAACGGCGCGTGCGGGCTTTGAGCGTCCCAAGCTCCCGCGTATCCGCAGCGTGAGTGCTGCTGTCTCGGATGAACTTGACCCCATTGCAGAGAACAGTCACGACCATATGCAGCTGGATGCAGCACGCTCAACATCATCCATGTCCGAGCCGATTTTGGTGGCTCCTTCGAGTACCATCATCGAAATCGACCGTCCTTGGAAAAATCAGGGTCCACAGACACACCGTGCTGCCCCACACCGGCGCGAAGCCTCATCTGACAGCGCGAACTTGCTGCATGGACAAACTCCTGCGATGCCACGCCTGGGAAGCCAAAAGGACCACCCACATTCCAAATCCTCAGAGCCGCATTGGCGGAGCCCTTCCGACGAGACAGATCCATCAGCAAGTCACAGAGATCCCGCATATATGCCGTTCGTGCGAAGCAGCCCAAAGCCAAGGGCAGCAGCTTCCTGTGCACCATCGAAAGAAAGCAAATCTCCTCTGCCGAGTACTCGCAGAAATGTTGACAAAGCAACTCATCTCATCACTACCGATGCTACGCATTCCATCGCATATCATACACTGACTGATACCCATGAAAGCTGCTCGATATCGGTTGCGGCAGAGCCGTCGACTCTATCACGGAGTGTCTTGACTCACAACGATGACGATCTTCCAACCTATGGATCGCATAAACTAAGTGGGGTCCTGGAGTCCCTTGATGATTCGAAGCGCGAACGAAACGCTCCGTCTGGAAGGCAGCACATTCTTGACAATGCCGGGGAAGGGTATGTACCGACACTGGCGTCAAGAAAAGCATTGCCAACCACCAAGACCAGGGACCCAAGCCGATCGCACGAGCGACGGGCAACGGTGAGCGAAGGGCAGCTAGCCTTGAGTCAAGATGAGAGGAGCAGCGATCTCGCGCCGTCGTCGGAGACCGTTATGGTACCTGGCAGTAGGCAAGCCACTGCTGAGAGACCGGCGATATACACAATGCAGGAGAGAGATACAGATCGTTCGGCTCAAGCCTTCTCCCATGCACGAGATGCCCAGGACTCGGCAAACATTCCAACGGCATTCCTCAGAAAGGAGACCAACACTGCAATCAATGCCGACAAGCCTGGGGATCAAGAACTCCCAGCCAAACCGGTGCGTTCCGTGAAGCGAGCTGCGACGACCAAGATCGATCAACCGGAAAAAAGCAGCCACGTCGACCATCAAATCCAAGGCCATCAGCCTGCCGCTGCTTCAAACTCGATGCGAACGCAAAAGTCGCAGCAACCCGGCCAGAACGAAAGAGGTGAATCACACGAAGCAACCGAGAGCCACAACAAGCCATCCAACAAAGCAGCCGATTATGCGCTGCAAAAGCATGTCGCCGCCCTCGAGTCCCCTCCAAGTGTCACCCGAGAAAAGCCCAAGACCAAGTCTGGCCTTCAGCCCGGACGGAAACCCGACCACACCAAGCCTGCCACGATGCCAGCCGACCAGCAGTTCCGCGATGCCCTAGCGATTCTCAAATCGGAGCAAGAGTGGGATGTCAAATCGCGAGCGCTGGAGAGCCTGCGAGGAATCCTGGACGATCGTCCAGACATGTTCCAGACACAGCTCCATGAACTAGTGCTATCGGTGGTAGGCCAGGTGCAGAATCTGCGATCGTCGGTCTCAAAAGTGGCGATTGGATTGCTCGGAGACATGTTTGTCAAGCTTGGCAAAGCCATGGAAGCAGACTTGGACATCACCACGGCCACTCTACTCAAGAAGCTCGGAGAGGGCGGGTTCATCATTGAAGAGGCCGACAAGGCGCTTTCCCTTATGAGCGGGGCCGTTGGACCGGCTCGTCTCGTCACGGCCGTTCTGCCCAATGCCGACCACAAAAACACAGTCGTTCGCACCAAGGTTGCCACGCTGCTCTCTCGGGCGATTGTCGGGATGGGCGAGGGTCAGGCAGTCAAGTATCTGCAGCCTATGGAAGCCGACAGGCTATTTACGGTGCTGGTTCAGTTTCTTCGGGATGGATCGAGTGAAACCCGACAGGCAGCACGCCAGATTGTGCAGTCGTTGTCCAAGCTCCCTGAATTTGACAAAGCGGTCGAGAAGAGTCTTCCACCTTCAAGCGTCCGTGAAATCCGGGATGCACAGCGACAAGCGAGCAAGAGCGCCCGTGACTCGACGCAGCAGCTAGTCAAGTCAGACTCAAACATCGGACCATGTGGGTTTGCAATCACACAGCTTATCATTATTAGCGCAATGAGGGGTTGCTGTGTGCTGATTTTGACATTCGAATGGATCGCATCTGCACAGCTGAACAAGGGCGGGCTTCACGATCGCTCTCACGCCAAAAGAGCACAAAGTCTAGAATCAAACTCAAGGAGGTCGCCGACGACGAGATGGAAAGGCTGCAAGGGCTATACGCTGAGATGACATCCAGCGGTATGGCCGCGCGTTGTCGATAGCACTGTCTGCCCAGCCAATGACCGTCTCGATTCTTGTGCCCCATCTCCGATGCGACTGGAGAGGAAACCAGCGCTCATATCAAATTTTGTCCTTCAGATTGGAAACAGCGCCACGATGGACTGGTAAAAACGGCGGAGCTGATTCAGAGCAGCGGCGAGATTATCGAATCGACCCATATGGTCAAAGTGGTGGACCACATCAACGAGCGCATCAAGGACGGCAACAGCAAGGTGGCTCTGTGTGCTCTCCAGTGCTTCGATGCACTCTTACCGATGCTCAAGGTATAGTCGAACAAATCCCCACCATTGTTACTGCACGAATGGTACCAAGAGCGGAATGCGATGTTCCTTGAGGGGGGGGTCGTTTGGTTCACAATGGACGTCACTGATGCGACCATTTTACTCGGACGCTGCCAATCAGGATCGCGCGGATATATATGTTGCCAACATAGTTCCAACAGTCACCAATCTCGTTGGGTCGTCAAATCTTCCACTTCGAACAGCGGCAGGCCAGACGCTGGACCGGCTGGTTGACCATACCGACAATGCGTTGCTCCTGCAGAGCCTGACGAGCATTGCCCAATACGGAACAAACGCCAAGGTCAAGGCCGCCGTAGTCGAAAAAATGATAGGTGAGACAAAATAGGCGCCGCCACCGCTAAGTTGATGTGGTCAAGCGGACGGTGGCATCTTGGCAGGATCGAGGGTGATCGATCGGCCATGAGCCGCTGCTCTGTGGCTGTTGCAGATGATCCGTATGGTCTCGAGACGATGCGGCGGTCTTGGGTGCATCGAGACTGAAAGCTATTCACCATGTGCCCGATGCAGTTCTATGCCAAAATCTCTACTCTTCCAAGCCCCAGCTGGTCACCAAAGTGGTTCTGCCCGTTTCGCTGAAACTGCTCCCTGATAACCGCTCCGAGATCAAGAGTGCCAACGCCAGGCTCGTGCGGGCTCTATATTCGATGATCGGGCCCGAGTTCTTTCAGTACACACAGAACGTTGGGCCTGACGGACAGACTCGCATTATGGCGATACTGGAATGAGTTGTGGTCAGCAGCAGTCAGGAACAGTGTTCTATTGAGCTCAAATGTTGCAGGATCAGGTACTGTCATGATCTGACAAACTAGTCGGAGCTTGCTCCGAAATGTACAGTATAATAAGATTCGTGCTGACGAAGCGCCGAGAGAGTAAACTTCATTGAGTATCCGGTTGGCCAATGGAGGTGTCGGAGAGAGTAGCATCCAATTTTTTCGTGAGCTTCACAACTGCAGGATGAGCTGCAGACCCATAGACCTTCTGATAGATGTCGCGTGCCCTGGAAAACAGCTCGCGAGCCTGGATCCGGTTTCCTCGCCTTTGTTCCAGCCGGCCAATGTTATCCAGGGCGACAGCAACGTCGTGGTGATCGTCGGTGCCGTACACCTTCGTAGCCACCTTATATGCCTGCCAGTAGCACCTTAGCGCCTCGTCATCGTTCTTCAGTTCCACATTCACGTTTCCCAGCTGTAGCAGACCAGTGGATATCTCGGGGTGCTCGTGGGTGCCATAGATTCGGTATCGTATGTCGAGTGACTCTTGCAAGTACACCAGTGCATCGTTGAATCTCAGCTGCAGCCTGGCGACTGTGCCCAGCCCATTCAGCGCCCGAGATACAATGGGGTGATTGCGTGAGTCGTAGATTTTGACTGCAATATCAAGCGACTCTTGGTAGTGCTCGATAGCGTCTCCCAACCGGCCCTGAGCACGGGCAACGTCCCCCATTTCACTGAGCGTACGGGCGAACTGAGGATGATTGCGGGACTTGAACACGGTATTGGCGATGGAAAGAGACTCCTGATAGTATTGCATGGCATCGTCAAAGCGATCTTGAAAGAGGGCCACCGAGCCCATGCCGCTCAGAATATGGATGAATATCGGGTGCTCTCGGGTCTTGTACACCTTGGATGCAATGTCGAGCGATCGCTGATAAAACTGAAGGGCGTCGTTCATTCGGCCTTGCTGGTACGAAATCATACCCATGTTTCCCAGGATTGCGACAATCGACCGGTGATTTTCTGACCGGTGAATTTTGGAGTACACGTCAAGCGACAGCTGGTAGTACCGCTGGGCTGCTTTCACATCGCCCTGGCTAAAATACGCGTTTCCAAGGTATGTATAAGCCTGGGCCACGTTCGGATGGCTTTCGGTGCAACAAAATGCCTTGATTCGGTCGAGGTTGCTGAGCAACACGTGAATAGCTTTGCCATATTGTGCTTGACCGTGGGCCAACATTGAGATTCGGAAAACAAGCAGCGGATGCAGTTTGCTCGAGTACTCTTCCGGAATCGCGATGGCAGAATAAGTATCAAGGTGGCTCGAGAACTTGAGTGCTTTGGCGTCAAGCGAGTCCGTCATCGAAATCAACACGTTGCCAATCAGACGCCGGGCCTCCTCTGCGTTGAGCTCCTCACGCTTTTGGATATACTCTCTGGCAACGAATTGAGTCAGCGAGTGGGTCGAGTACAGCCCTTCGGCTCCGCTTCGGAGAAGGCCGCTTTGGATCACCATCTTGATCAGATCAGTCACTGTGATGAGACAATGTCAGCAACACGCAGCCGCGGTGCTCGGTCGCATCCTGTGTGCATCTCCACGCAGCACAACTCACCATCGGTCTTGAGCTCCATCTTCTGCACGATCTCCTTGATCAGCTCGAACTGGATGTTGGTCGGCGCCACCAGACTGAGGGCACCGAACAGCCTGGCCGCCTCGATGCCTTCATTCCCTCGCTTCATAATCGAGTCCAGCGACAGATCCACAATCACCTTGAGCGACGACCGAGTCTCGTCCTCGCCATCCTGCTCCTCGAGGACCTTGGAGAACAGCCGCTCGATCTCGGACAGCGGCACCTCGTTGTTCTCGTAGAAGGTCATGAATGTCTGAATAACGAGCGGATATCCGTCGATCTTGGTCATGATTCGCTTGAGAGCCTCTCGAGCCTCTTCGGTAACAATCCTCTCGGCAAAGACAGATGACGTTGACAGAATGTAGTTCAGGGTGGTTGTATCGTCCCAGTTACCCAGGCGGAGTGGGTCATGTCTATATCCAGGGTTCTTGGCTTTGACAGCACTGGCGAATGCACCGGGAGGCAGCGAGGCCAGTCGGGTCGTCACCACCACATCGCCGCTGAACCCGACCGACTTGGAGTGCTCAAACACAGAGTCGACCACGCCGATGTCATCGACATTGTCGAGCACCAGGAGATAGCCGCGTGTCTTGGCGAGGAACTTGGCGGCATGCTTCTTGACCTTCTCTGGCTCGACACCATCAAACAGTTCGCACAGCCCATCGAGGGCAGTCGACTCGGTCGAGCAGTTGATCCAGAAGACTTGGTTGTACTGCGGCTTGATGCCGATGGTCTCGTCTTTGACGGTTTTGAGGTCGTCCTTGTTGCTGACGTCGAGGGTGCCCATCATGAAGTGGAGAATCTGGAGGGCCAGGACGGACTTGCCCATGCCGCCCATGCCCGAGATGACGGCGCGGCCAGTCAGGGTGAGCTGCTTGAGCAAGGTGTCGAGGTGGGCGGGATCGACTCGGAACTTGGAGTCGCAGAAGAGCGAGTCGTAGAGTGCGATTTTGGTGGCGGAATCGACTTGCACGGGGTGGAGCAGGTTGAGGATGCGGTAGACTCGCTGGTGCATCTGGTCGGGACGAATGCCAAACATCTGGATCTGGTTCATTCTGCCGAGGGTTTCCTTGACCGAGGCAAAGGCCGGGTCGTCGGGGAGAGACACCTTGTGCGGTAGGAAGGGAGTGAAGACATCGACGCCGTCCTTGGTCTCCTTGGTGGCGATTCCGAGGGGAAGGACAGGCAGAGCGGGATTGGCATCCTTGAGGTCGAGGGCGGTCTTGATTTCGAGGACGACATTGTCCTCCTGGCTCGAGAGGACCTTGTCCTTCATCAGGTCCATCGAAGCCTGGCTGAGGAGGAGGATAACGGCCTTGCTCTTGGGGAGGGCACCAAGAAAGCCGTCTCGCCAGTCGCGGGCGTCGACGAGGCAGTCGACATCGTGGAAGACAGCAAGCGGTTTGCCGTATCGACGGAGGGCAGCCAAGGAGAGCATCTGCTTGAGTTCCCTGGCGGTGTCTGCATCGGTGGCGACCCGGTACGAGAGGAACAGGTCGTGGTCGGGGCCGTGGTTGTTGCAGGCGTAGAGCCGGCTGCCGGTGGCGGTCAACATGGCTGGATGGGTATCGTTGGACTGGCGATGGCCGAGCAAGCGGGCAGAGAGGCTGGCCACGATGATGGAGACGAACTGGTGCGGGTGGCGGAGCACCTGATTCCGCCTGAGTGACGGTCGCGGTCGCTGTGAAAGCTATTCGTCTCACAGAATGGGCGAGAACGAAGAACGCGCTCTCGGGTCACCTCGGTCGGCGAGAGGCCTCTCGCCGTCACACACACTTTACACACACACACGACCATGATCGGCCGATGGAAATGTGGCAGAGCGGAGTTCGGACATGGCCCATCGCTGTTCCCACCACCAAGCCCGTTGCCCCTTCGGCCTCTCTTCTCACATCCCAAGCCCACATCGCACTCTCGCCCTTCCCAATATCAGTATGGCGCACCAGAGGCTGTCCACTCCATATATCAACGGCGTATTCATATCGCCCGATATCGCCCATCGTCTAAACGAGGATGGGTTCGTCGCCAAGATATGCATGTGCCCCGCATACTGCCTGAAGCGATCCCGTCAAGGTGTTCTTGTCTCCGAGCTCACCTGGAACGAGCACCAGAAATTAGACCGATATCATGCGCGAAGACGAATCCCGAAGGAGAAGCAGATCACTCCCATAGTAAGGGCGGAGCAGAGACGCACTGCTGCCTTCTCAGAGACCCCAAGAGCATCTTGTGGAGTCAACTCGTCGCCAGTGAGTGCTCCGGATCAGCCTGTGGCGAGTCGGCAACTCGTGCTCGAGAACCTTTTCAGCCGAGCCAACAAGTACATGAGACTGAACAACGGAGGGGCAGAGCCGACCTCAACGACAGGTCAGTGCTTGTCTAGTTGTGCTCATTATGATTTGGCGGCATCAAACCCGAGGGCTCGGGCTGTCACTCGGCCTCTCAGTGGATCCGGCGAGCTGTCCTGTTGGTCAAAGGGCTCTATATGATAATACCCATCTGACTCACGACCTCGGTTTCCTGCCCTCAACTCTTCAAGTTCATCCAAGCGACTCACGACGGGCTGTTGCTTCAGCCGAGGTTCACCTTCAGCCACTCAGCGACTGTTCGAATACTCACAGCAGTGATACATCCACTCCGACGGGCACTCTCCCCTCGACGTCTCGTATCGGTATCCAAACCGAGAATGCAGCAATGGGAGCACCAAACATGGAGCATGAGTCTATCTCGATCCAGGACGCGTCGGTATCGGATTCATCCAACGGTATAGCAATCGCCGAGTCTGACTCAAGGCCGCAATCCGCTGCTGGGCCAGTTGATGCTGCCCTTGGCTCTCTTTCATCAGCAAGCACCAAAATAGACTGTACAAACGATGTCCTCAATGATATAGACATTCAAGATGCAGCTCAAGATACAGCTCAAGATACAGCTCAAGATGAAGTTCAAGAATATTACCATGACACACTCACGCGACGTATTGCCGAGCGAACGAGTCAATCTCTAGCCTTGGATGTTCTCACCAGGCTGGCCGAAGATCATCATCAATTTTTATACGACGACCAAAATGTGGTCGAGGAACTTGAGTCATTGGCATCAGGTGAGCTCCATACTATCCCGGTGTCGGAGTGAATCGCTCGAAGCGTCTCTGCGCGACTTGATACACACAACGTCGGCTCCATGACGCTCATCACTCACGGACCGGATCCAGAATCCGCAACCGAGTCGACTCCCTCGGATCATTAGACGGACCAGCAGAGTCAGCGCCCCAAGGTCCGCCGAACCAAGGGTACGTGGAACTGGTTGAGATCTTCTGTCTCCATCGGATGGGACACGTCACTGATACTCGGTACATCACCAGAACTGTCACACTTTGCAGTTGAGCTCTTTAAAATGTTTGCCACCCTCAACGTCAGCAAGGAGGTTGCAAAATCCTTCATCGACCTCTTCAATACTTGCTTTGGCGAAAGCATGGAGAAGTTGCCAAGTCTCTGCTCGATGAAATCACATCTTATGGAGAAGTATGGACAACAACAAAAATCACTCCACAGCTGTGCATGTGCCACCTTTGTGGACAAGCATGAGTTCCAGTGCGACTGCCACTGTGTTCATTGCGGCCATGCCCGCTACGTTGGTGGACAGGATCTTGATACGACACATCGCCAGGGATGTGCCAAAGTGTCCAGACCCGGTGGCAGTTCTGCGAACCCTCCAATGCAAATACCTTCGAGTATTCAAGTTCGAAGGAACACGACAGTCAACCTGGAGGCATCACAAGGGGAAAATGCCAATGTAAAGCAAGAGGTGACAGTCGTTCACGACGAAGGGCAACGAGTCGCTGTTCTTGTCTTACCTGTACATCAGCATCCGGCTCGGCTCACTGATTCGCAACTTGATTTTTGCCTTCAACGACACAGACTCCGTGACTTGAGTCCGGGCCCGAGCCAAGAAAGCTCTACCAGCACCACTCCCTTATCAACCAGCCGCAGGATCAATTCCGATATCCAGATGCAGTCGAAAAGTAGAGACATCGAGCAAATTGAGTGGTCGAAGGTGGTGGACCGATTCCAACCGACACACAAATGCAGGTCGCCTGAAACGAAACGAGATATCCTGTTATGAGTAAGGTGTGTCATTGTTTTGGTCCTGAATACACTTTCACCGCCCAACATGGCCTCCAGACACTGTGAGCACACCGTTTGGCCGAGAAACTCACTTGGTGTTGAAAAGCTTCACTTTATCCGGAGCTTTGTGGGCTGCCACACACTGGGATTCAATGGCATTGATCGATCTGACTGAACAACAGTGATCGTCCGGCACTGTTGTGGTGGCTCCGGTTTGGCTATCGACAGATTCAAGGAACTCGACCAATGACCCTGATTCCTCCCGAGTCCACTCCCAATGGGAAAACACCCAACCCATCACGAGTGATGCTGTATTTGACACTCTATCAAATATGCAAACCTGTGTTGTTCCACGATCATCGATTGATTCACATGGTGTGTCGGTGATCACTGCAATGGCGAATGCATTGCCGGCGGTTCCTGGTATCTCTCCACGACCACCAACATTGCCTACTCTCACCCATCTCTCACTTCCCTCGCAACGGCGATGCAAAACGGATTCCGAGTCCAGCGCTCCTTGTGTCCACAGCTCCAGCCCTGACACTGCCCAAGCCACACCGGCCCTGGCTCGTTCGGTTTTTCTTCCTGTCCAAGCGCGTCCATCCAGCAATCGGGCCTCCCTCGGTCAATTCTCTTGCGGCAATGCCCCCCAAACGATCTTTGTCTGACCGTCCACCGCCCCGCAGCTCTCGAGCCGGCGGCGGGGACAGGAATCCCCTGCCCAATCGTCCTTCCGCCAAGAAGATCCGTCGATCGGGCGCTGACTCACAACCAGCGTCCCAGCCTGCCGTCCCCGCCCGCCCGCCCGGCTCCAGTAGAATCGAAAGTAGCCTCAACCACCACGATCTCATCACCATCCTGGTCTGCAACAGCGCTTTCATCGCCAGTATTGATCCAGCAGTCCTGGTCACATTCCCTGATCTCGCTCCCCAGTACGAAAACATCCTGTCGCTGATCTCTGAGGCCGGATGGGCGCATCTGACTCAGTCGCATATGCGATCTCTCAAGCCTGGCAAAAACTACTCTGGAGCAAACGGCTATTTCAATATCGCCAAGACCATCGCTACGCTCACCAGAGGCGTGAACGCTTCCGTTTGTCGGAAGGATCTCCTCGAAGGGATCTTCCACTTCCTCATGCGCATAGACGGATACCCTCGCAGCTTTCAAGCTTACCAAAAGGAGCTTCCTCTCTGGTGGGCGGCCTCCGAATCCAAAGCCCTGGCCAAGAAGTTGAGGCGATATCTGTGCCTCGAGTTCCCCTTTTGTTTGGAGAGCTACGACAGCGGTATTGCCGACATCAAATTACTCGGTCGGACCGTGCAATTTAAACTGTTTGACAGCGCTCGTATTCTCGAGTACATCGGGCCGGACCAGTTCCCTGATGATATCGGCTACGACGAATATTACAGTGGTGAAGAAAGCGAAGAAGATATCGAATATACCGACGACAACGACGACGATTCTCCCTTCGATATGAGCGAAGCTTTTCGAGAAACGGGCAAAGATGATTGTGTCCTCTGGATTGCTCGGTTTGAAACCCATCCATTCCTCACCACCGAGCAAAGATCCAAGCTTCTCCCGCACGAAGCCTTTGTCCTCAAGCACAGGCAATGCAGTGATCTCCACTTTGTCAACTGTTCATTTGCGTCGGTCTCGGGATTTCCAAAGTCGCTCGATGACCTCCAAACGCTGACGTTTCATGAATCGCTCTCGACAGTGAAGATCACCAGCACAGGGCAGTTTCCGAGAATGCCTCGATTGAGTTCCCTCTCTATGCCCAGTGGTATTCTCAGTTTCGATGGTGTACCGTCTTGTCGAGACTGGTTGAGCAGATTTTGGATATCGGATTGCAACGACCTTGCCAGCCTGGAAGGATTTCCGAGTTCGTCGCAACTGACGGAACTCGTGATGCCAAGCGGCATCGTCAGCCTCAAAGGCATGCCCCACACCCTGCCGGATCTGACCAAGTTTGACCTGTCTCGCTGTGACCAAGTCGTCGACATGGAGGGATTTCCACACGTTCCAAAAGTCGAAGAGCTGCTTCTTCCCCCACAGCTTCGCAGTATCGACAATCTCGGCCAATACTTTGGAAATCTGAGGGTGCTGGACATTGGCCGCTGTCAGATCAACTCTCTTCGTGGCCTCCCCGACATGCCAAAATTGAATATCCTCAAGCTTCCGCCGCCCATCCAGACCCTGGAGGGGCTTCCTCTGTCGCTCGACGCCCTCGAGTCGCTCGATATGTGGAGGTGTCACCGCTTGGTGTCCCTGAAAGGGCTGCATCCGATGCCAAGTTTGAGCTCATTGAGACTTCCAGAGTCCAACATCTCCCTCAAGAGCATTTCTGACTGGGTTGCCTGGCTCAAGAATTCCCGGAAATGGAAACGTCACGTTGACGCTGAGGATAGGCTTGTCTCCGTCTTCCCCAGACTAAGGACTCTATGAATGTCGCTGTCGCTTGGAGGTATCGAGGCGCTGTCGGAAGCTTTCCAGTCAGTTACTTGTTTTCACATCGTCTTGGATGGGCCCGAGAGCCTCTTTTCTCAGCTACCGCCGATCCCCCAAGCGTGCTCGGTATACCTCCATGCTACAGTGGACCAGATGATCCAAATCGCGGGACCCCCCGTCTCCCTCGATATTTACCATTCATTCGAGAGATGGCACAGCTATATGAAAGGCGATATCGATGAGAGCAAGCCACTCATGCCGATGCTGGTGCTCGCTGAAAACCACATAAAGCAAGGCCGACTACCAGTGAAGGCAATTGCAGGCCCGTCCCCTGCTAAGGTTCCGGCCGGCGCGAGGCTTCCCGTTGCTGATAATCAGGTCCTGGATCTTTCGGGTATGTCTCACACACATGTGGCCATACCCAACATCGTCGAATCCCTTGAATGGGCATCAGCTCTACTTGGATCGGTCAAGATTCTCAATCTGATAAGTGGAGAAATCAAGTCACTGAAGGGAATGCCGTCCATGAACTCGCTTGAGGAACTCACGATATCAGCCAACATTGCCGATCTCCGAGGTCTCCCGGCTGCTCTCCCATCGCTCAGACGACTATATTTGGATGGCTGCAAGATGCTCGAGTCTCTCAAGGGCATGTCCGAGCTGCCAAAGTTAAAAGAGCTGATAATCCGCGCACCCGTGACCAGTCTGGAAGGGATGCCGGCGACTCTCGTCTCACTCAAGGACCTCACCCTCGGCGACATCTGTTTGCTCACAACCTTGAAGGGCCTTCCCTATCTCCCAAATATCCAAAAGCTGGTGCTCTCGCCGGAAATCCGAGAGCCGGGGATCTCTGGCGCTCGTATGGCATCGCTTCTGGAGCTGGATATGCGCCAGTGCTCTTTTTTTGATGCGCGAGACCTGCTCCATCAACTGCCAAAGCTGCGATCGCTGTTGCCGCCTCAATCCATCGACAACTTCAGCTGGCTACCGAGGACGATCCCGTCCCTCCGGGTTCTGGATTTGAACACCTGTCGTGTGCTTACATCCGTGGAGGGCCTTCCCGACATGCCGAACCTGGAGACCCTCTCTCTCCCCAACGAGCTCAAGTCCATGCACGGCCTCCCCTCAGTCTTGCCGAGGCTGAAGTCGCTTTGTTTCAATAAGGGCAGTCGGACCAGCGGAAACCTCTTCCAGGGCTTCCCGCATATGCCGGCGCTTCAGCACCTAAACCTTCTTTCCGAGCCTCACTCTTTCCGAGGGCTTCCGTCGACCCTGGAAGCGCTCACTGTCCTGGAAGTGAGTGGCTTGAAATCGATCGATGGACTTCCATACATGCCCAACCTGCGCGAGCTCATTCTAAATGGCCACTATCCACAAGCGTATGCGCGTCGGCAGCTCATGAACAGCATCCAGGCCTACCGCCCAAGTTTGCATGTGAGGCAGTAAATGCTCGACATACTTTGTCCGAATACTGTCGCCACTCACTATTTCTGGCGATACCAAGCCTCATTCGGAAAAATAAAGATTGTGTCGAAATACTTTATGCTGTTTCCCTCACAGCATCGTCCCTGGTGTTGCCATCTCCGGCTTTGCCTCTCTCAGAAGATGGCTGCGGTGACAGGGGGATGAAATCCTGACTATCGAGGACTACTCAGAGGTGCACGATGTATTCTGGATCGAAATGTCTCGTGAAGAAGGGGCCTCGTTGGATGATCTATTCCACCAGCGCAGTTCTGGTCGTATCGCTGTTTGACTTGGATCGCTGCACTTGTTGAGCCCTCAGTGGCGGCACAGCTCGGCACAGCTTGGCACAGCATGCCATATCGTATGACAAAGCTTGTATGTATTCAAGATCCAGCGAAGAGGGAGGGGAGAGGGTGAATGGGGCGCCCGGTGGTTCTCTATCAAAGACAAGATGCACGCGGCTCGTTCATACGAGTGCGCAGGGTGTAGGATGGGCGGAGCGGGATGGATGGATGGGGAGGAGAGGAGAGGAGGCTCGGGAATACACAGCGACGGTGTGACATCAGAGCGTGGGTGCGTGAAATTAGCGAGTGGAAAGAATATAGGGGAAGAGAGTTGAGGGGAGGAGATGGGGGCAAAAACAGCCGGCATCGTCCCGGCGAGTTTACTCATAGTCCTCCAGGGGCGGGCAGGAGCAGATCTAGAGGAGCAATCAAAGGAGAGCACGAGGTCTGGGTCAGCATACATTCCAATCCGGAGTAGCAGCAGTAGCAGCCCCCAGCTAGCACTTTCACATCGGTCGCCGTCTCATCGACAATCTCAAGTCCGCGAGAGATTGCAAAGCTTACCAGGTTGCGGTCGCCATAGGTATCATCAACGCGGCTGACGGTCGGCCAGAACTTCTTCTTCTTGAGACCCGGCAGAGGGAAGGCGGCCTGCTCGCGCGAGTAAGGGCGGTCCCATTCGGGCTTGAGCAGATCCTCGACGGTGTGTGGGGCGTTGGTGAGGACGTTGTTGGTCTGGGGCTGTCGGCCCTCCTCGATCTCGCGGATCTCGTTGCGGATCGATATCATGGCGTTGATGAAGCGGTCAATCTCGGCCTTGGGCTCGGACTCGGTAGGCTCGATCATGAGGGTGTTGGCAACGGGGAAGGACATGGTGGGGGAGTGGAAGCCATAGTCCTGAGGGAAGCGCAAGGTTGGACAGACGGGGTGGGATGGGATGGGATGGGATGGGATGGGATATGATGAGAGACGATCAACAAAATCGAGACCGAAACCGAAACCGAAAACGAAACCGAGACAAGACCACGAACCATCGCGCATCCCTTGCGAGGAAGGGGAGGGCGAGAAGGGAAGCATAAGGGGCAGTGCAAGACAAACTCACCAGCAGACGCTTGGCAATGTCGATGCCCTGGATGTGCGAGGTGTTGGCAAACGGCCGGCAGTCGACGATGAACTCGTGGGCGCACATGCCGTTCTTGTTGACGAACAGGATCTTGTAGTGGGGCTCGAGGCGTTTGAGCATGTAGTTGGCGTTCAGGAGAGCAACCTGGGTGGCATTCTTGAGACCCTGGTCGCCCATCATCTTGAGGTACGACCAGGTGATGGGCAGGATGCTGGCGGATCCCCAAGGAGCAGCCGAGACCGGACCGATGCCATTCTCACCGCCGGTGGGGACGATGGGGTGCGAGGGCAGGAAGGGAGCCAAGTGGGATTTGCTGCAAGATCAAGGTATGCAAAGTGAGCGTTAGCCAGGAGCGACTTGCCAGCGGCCATGTGGCCATGCGGGGAGAGTCGGAGGGACAAAGGGGCAACGGGACACGCGGAAACTGGACAGACGGACAGCTCGCAAGGTCGAAGAGAACGCATGATGTGGTGGACCGACAGCCCGGCAAATGAACAACAGCACACCGATGCAGCGAGACATTGCTGCAGCAAATGGGAAGATGGACTCACACTCCGATAGGGCCCATGCCGGGGCCACCGCCGCCGTGGGGAATGCAGAAGGTCTTGTGGAGGTTCAGGTGGCAGACGTCGGCGCCGATCTCGGCGGGGTTGCAGAGACCCATCTGGGCGTTGAGGTTGGCGCCGTCCATGTAGACCTGGCCGCCGTGGCTGTGGATGATCTCGCAGGCGCGCTTGATGCCCTCCTCAAAGACACCGTAGGTCGAAGGATAGGTGATCATGGTGGCAGCAAGGTTGTTCTTGTGCTTCTCGGCCTTGGCGGCCAGATCGTCAAGGTCGAGGTAGCCCTTCTCATCGCACTTGACGGTGACGACCTTGAGGGAGCACATCGCGGCCGAGGCCGGGTTGGTGCCATGGGCCGAGACGGGGATGAGTACAACGTCGCGGTGGCCCTGGCCGATGGAGGCGAGGTACTTTTTGATGACTCGCAGGCCGGCGTACTCGCCCTGGGCACCACTGTTGGGCTGGAGCGAGATGGTGTCAAAGCCCGTGGCCTGGGCAAGGGCATCTTGGAGCTGCTCGTGCATGATCTTGTAGCCTTCGGCCTGGTCGGCGGGGACGAAGGGATGGAGGGCGCCAAACTCGGGCCAGGTGACGGGAATCATCTCGGTGGTGGCGTTGAGCTTCATGGTGCACGAGCCCAGGGGGATCATGGCGTCGCCGAGCGAGAGGTCCTTCTTTTGAAGGTGAGTGATGTAGCGGAGCATGTCGGTCTCGGAGTGGTAGATGTTGAAGATGGGATGCTTCAGGTAGGCCGACTGACGGGTGAGCTGGGTGGCAAAGAAGGCGCCCGAGCTGGGGGTCAGCTTGAGATCGGCAGCGACGGCCTCGATGTCGATGGTCTTGTCGCCAAAGACAGAGACCAGGGCCTCGAGGTCACCCTTGGTGACGGTTTCGTCGAGCGAGACACCGACGCGGTGCTCGTCGACGGGACGCAAGTTGATGCCAGCAGCGGCGGCACGACGCACGATGGCATCGGAGCCGCCCTGGACGCGGACAGTGACGGTGTCAAAGAAGCTCTCGGTCTCGACGGTGTGACCGAGACGGCGAACGGACTCGGCAAAGACGCCAGTGAGGTTGTGGATGCGCTGAGCAATCTCGCGAATGCCCTGGGAGGCAGTGGGTATACAGAAGCAACGGTGAGCGATATTGCCGGTTGCGATAGTTGCTGTAGCGATTGCCGCGGCATCCGCCAGTATAGCAGCAGCGAGACACAACAACGAAGCACAGCGACCAGCTACCAGACACGTACCGTCGGGCCGTGGTAGACGGCGTACATGGCGGCCATGTTGGCCAGAAGGGCCTGGGCGGTGCAGATGTTGCTGGTGGCCTTCTCGCGACGAATGTGCTGCTCGCGGGTCTGGAGCGAGAGACGGTAGGCCTGGCGATCCTCCGTGTCCTTGGAGAGACCAATGAGACGGCCGGGCATGCGGCGCTTGTACTCATCTCGAACGGCCAGGAAGGCGGCGTGAGGGCCACCGTAGCCCAGCGGGACACCAAAGCGCTGCGAGTTACCAAAGGCAATGTCGACGCCAAACTCTCCCGGGGGCTTGAGCAGGGCGAGGGACATGAGATCGGTGGCGCAAGTGACGAGGGCCTTGTGCTCGTGGGCCTTCTTCGTGAAGGTTTCGTAGTCGAGAACACGGCCGTCGGTGGTGGGGTACTGCGATTGGGGACGAGCACAGAGAGTGGAAGGTTAGAGGTGCAGCCAAACGCACGGACACGGCTGATGCTGGACACGGGCGCAGGAATATTCCGCGATTGGTGGTAGTGGTGATTGAGGGCGACTGAAGGCGGACGCGGGAGGCAGGCAGGCAGTGCAGAGAGACGGTGGTATAGCAGAGACAGGGGTTCCAGCATATGGACCATGCAGCGACTCATCCAGCAAAGCGGTGGGGAATACGGAAGGAGGGCCGATTGCCAGTGGAAGAGAGATGTGGCAGACACGATGGATCGACGGCATGAGCCGTTTGCCAGAGCAGATCCTCACCTGGATCAAGACGCCCATGAGGTTGCCCTTGTACTCGTCAAAGTTGAGGGTCTCGTAGTCGCCGACGACGACCTGGATGCCAAAGCCCTCAGCGCGGGTCTTGACGCAGCTGATGGTCTGGGGGTGGCAGGCACGGTCGACAAAGAAGATGTTCTTCTTGTGGTTGGCCTGGCCAAAGCACATCAGCATGGCCTCGGCGGCGGCGGTGCCTTCGTCGAGGAGCGAGGCGTTGGCGATGGGCAGGCCGGTCATGTCCTGGACCATAGTCTGCCAGTTCATCAGCGACTCGAGGCGGCCCTGAGAAATTTCAGGTTGGTAGGGAGTGTACTGATGGCACGAGGAATGGCATGGCGGGAGGAAGGAGCCGGAAGGAGCCGGGACATGTGAAATGCGTGAGCAGAATGAGCAAGCAACCGTCCAGAACCGCGCGCCAGACCCAGCCGGACAGCGACGAGGGTGATTCCGATGGCACAAAGTGCGATTCAGGGGCAGAAGATGCAATTCGAAAGTGATAGTGCGGATGAAGCTCCCGCTTGCGATCGAGGGCAGGCAGAGGATGCGAGCGGCAGGCACACAAATGCATACCTGGGTGTACCAGCCGGGGTTCTCCATGATGTTGCGGAGAATGACAGGAGGGGTGATGGAGCTGTAGTAGCCCATACCGATGTAGGACTTGAAGATCTTGTTCTTGGAGGCAATCTCACGCAGGATAGCGAGGGTCTCGGTCTCGGGCACGGCCGGACCGAGCTTGGTACCCTTGACGACGTGGATGGCCTCGGGCACGGTCTTGTTGACGAGATCGGCGAGATCTTTGACACCGACGACCTTGCACATCTCCGCGACATCCGAGTCGTTGGGGCCAATGTGGCGTCTGGGGAAAGAGTCGCGGGGAGCAAAGACATCTGCCGAGTGCAGACGGGCGGCAGAGGAGAAGGAGGCCGACAGGACGGGGGAGGATCGAGCGGTGACCGAGCGAACAAGATGGCGAGAGGCTGAGCGAGCGGCAATCAGCGGAGCCGCCGAGGCATAGCGGGCAGCACGGATGGTGGCAGCGGCAAACATGGCGGGATCTCTTCTGGATGACTGGCGAGGATGCGTATGTGGATGCGAAAGGGAAGCCAAGGCAGAGAAGCAGTTTGGGGTGGTGGTGAACGGGAGTAATCAGCTACGAGATGCGGGTTAGTTTGAGATCAGACGATGATCGGTGCAATTCAGGCCAGACGGAGGCAAAGACGGAGGCAAACGCAGCGACAATCCACGACCCGGCATGTACGCTAGGAGCGATCCCCACCTTCTACCGAGGGACGATCGGGATGGAGCGAGCCGGGAAGGAGGGTCGCTTGCGGGATGGGCAGTCTCTGGAGGTGTAGCAGCAGCAGGGGCAGTCCAGCGACGGCAGCGACGACAGAGACGGCAGCGCCGGATCGGCAAAAGAGACCCAGAGAAGACGAGAGGTAGCGACGGTCGAGACCCGGCGGGGAGGGCGACGGGCTTTATAGCACGCCGGGCAGCAACGGAGCTCGAAAAAAAAGTTGCCGACGACGACCGAGTGGGACCAAGAAGGCTTCCGTAACCCGGCGGTCACGCTGGCGCGCAAGGCGGTTGGGGGGGCACAGCCACAGTCGGGCGCCAGTTGTCGGCACTGCGTGGCTGTGGAAGCGCCGTCGCACAGAGTGTCACGATGGAAGCATTCCGGCCGCTGCGCACACAGTCCACAGTCGACAGCGACAGTGCCGCGCCGTACAGCAGCGCGCAAGGCAGCCGAACAAGGCGCCCCACACACACACATGGCCGCTGCGATGCACTGGGGGGCGCCGGGCTCGTGCAGGTGCCAGAGAGCAGGCCAGACGGCAGGCCAGAGAGCAGGCAAGGCCGTGGGCACATTGCTGCCGCGACGGCGATCGTGGCGATTCAACTCGACGACTGCGTTAACAACTGCGTTAACAACTGCGTTAATGACTGCATTAGCAGCTACACATCTGCTTCAACAGCGGCCAAACACCGTGCGACCCCCGCGACAATCACCACCCGCCGCTGAGGTCCCCCCCCCATCATCTGCATTTGCTTCCGACACCCAGCGGGATCGCTCTGCCTCTTATGGGAATCGCAGGCTTGTCGATGCTGTCCACAAAGGCCACCCTTTCTCTCCCCCCTGTTGTCGTCGCTCTCCATGGCGCCTTTCACATGGCCGCCGGTCCCGTCGCCCTCCCCCAAACCTACCATTAGAGGACGGCGCCCTCCCATAAGAGGCAGCCCGATTCCCATAAGCGGCCCGCTGCTCTCGCCTCCAACGGGGATCCCGCCTGACGAAGACGCTGCACCAGGACGCTATCGCTGCGATAGGAGCCCGGCGATACCGCAGCAGCACACCCCCAGAGCCGCGACAACCCATGCACCGCCTGAACGATCATGATGCCAACTCGGAGCTGTCCTGATGCTGGCTGCGTCGCCTCCCCCCCAGCGAAACAGCAGCGACCCGGCCCCAACGGCGACGAGACCGCACCAGCAACGATCGCCATGCAAACCGCCCCGCGGACAAATGCTCTCAACGATGCTGCGTTCTGCCGCAACTCGCCGCACCAAGGCGGACTGACAGACGGTTGAGCGGACAGTCGATTTTCTTGCACTTGGAGATGACTCATGCGACGCCCTGCTCCAGCCCCGCCCAGCTCAAATCCTCCTCCGGCACGAACGGCCCCCGTCACTCGGAAAGTCAGCCGTCCGCCTCGCTGTCGCTGCCGAACTCGGTGCCGCGGGCTTTGGTCCTTGGATGTGACGGTCCACCGCCAAAGAATGCAACGTCAGTGCACCATCATCGTCGGCAGCACCCAGCACTCAGCTCCATTACACTCGGCCACAGCACAGCATGCGGACGCTCACATCTTGGTCCTGGGATTGACCAGGCTCGCAGCCGGTGGACGAACCGGGCGTCGCTTGGATGTCGCCTGGCTTCGCAGCGATGTCATCGATGCTGAGATCCACCCGAGAGATCAGCGTGGTGATCTGGATCCAGAGGCTCTGTCACAGCGAGCCCTGGGCGATCGGCAGCAAGACTATACCACTGCGAGGCATCACCACGAGGCAACACCACCGCATGGCCATCCCTGTAAGCCGGTTCTGCGGTGCTGGGTATACGCACCGGCACTGTAGGAGCCGTTCATCGTTCGTTCCCTGGCCAGCTCCCGCTCAAGCCGCTCGTTTTCTCGTCTCAGTGCATCAATTTCGCTCGATCCTTGCCTTGAGCAGCCCTGGTGTGCTGCTGCTGAGTCAGTTTGTGGGTCAGTTTGTGGGTCAGTTGTCCGTATGCCATCCAGCCATCCAGCCATCCATCCAGTCGGCCATCTGGCCACCCATCCAGCTATTCATCGGGTCGTTCATCAGTCGATCTGGCACACTTACCTCGTCGCTCGTTGTTGTCCGTGTCGCCGCACTCGCTCGCAGCCACTCTGCCCAGAACCTATCGTCGATCGACAGGCGGTCAGCCCACATTGCTTGCGGCAGCCTCTTGCCTCGCTATCGAGCGAGATACTGTACCTGCACCAGAAGCCTCCTTGAGAGTTCCCCAGACTGGGCTGCAGGCACGGCATGCATCGCAATCTCCGTTGGTTGCCTGCTCATCCGTCCCACCACAAGCTGCACATTCCACCAGCGAGGGGATGTTGGTCTGGTCAGTCGAGAAACAATGCAATCGGATCGACAGCTTCCCTCCCCTCGCTTCCCTCCCATCGAATCCACTGAGACCACCCGATACCAAGCCCACTCACCTACCTTGCTCTCGGACGATCGGAACACGACATCGCCATTTCGGAGACCTTCACGGATTTGGGCCGTCGTCTGGTCGATCACAGGCCGATCTCCTCGACCTGTATCTGCCATGCGATCGCCTTCGAGCTGGAAGATTGCCTGGTTGCCACATGCAATCAGAAAGAGATTCCAGCTCGAGAACGGCCCCAGGCATTCGGACCAGGCCATGTATGGCTCGCCGGTGTCTTCGTCATCAACAACACATGCGATCTGGCCAAGACCAGGGAGCAGCGACGACGGCGGCGGCGGCGTTACTGATGCCTGCATATGATGCCCGATCGAAGCGATGTCGGAGGCAGTGCGGGAGCAGCGAATGTACCGGGTCGCTCGCTGGTCCTGTCCGCCCAAGTTCAGACCAGGGCAGGACCGATGCAGACCAGGAGCAGAGAGCGGCCCGCCTCTGCAGTCCGTGTCGCAGTGCCATCCAGCTCGGAATCACATAGCGCCGACGATTGTACAGCATGCTGAACGAACGCTGACGTTGGACCATGCCATTCACTCGGCCAACAACGAACCAGTAAGCCAATGATGTCCGTCCCGTGGAGCAGACTCATGACTCCAATATCTCTGCGCTCAATATCACATCGGCCGAGTCCATCACAGCAGCGCGAGCGCCGACCGACTTTACTCCACCAGGCGACCGATCAATACCATTCAACCCGCACAAGCCATCCGCGACGCCAAGTATCCCATTTTCAATCTGGAAGGGCTATATTTTGCTATTGCATCGAGGCTGTCCAGCAAGAGCAGCCTCTTGTTCACACACGACGAAACTGAAAAACTGAGAAACTGAGAAACTCCCACTCCAAAGCCCAGATTGCCTCCCCCCCCACCTTCTCACAGATCCGTTCAAGAGTTGGATGTGGCCGCCTCTCGGTTCCAGAGACTGATCAGTCTGTTTGGAATCTGCGTCGGAGAAATGAACCGGACGCTGTTGCCGACCGAGCGTCGGAACTGGTAGTGGAACTGTCCAAAGATGTTCTTCCAGTACGGGCTGTTGTGTCCCGCATCATAGTCGTCATCATCGTTAAAGTCGACGGAGACCTCGACCTCTGGCGCCGAATTGATGAGCTTGGTAAAGACCGAGTTCCAGTGCGGCAGATGGCTCATCCGGAGGCCCTTGAACTCCTCCCTCGAGATCAGTCGGACAATCTCCGTCGAGTTCTCGCGCTGGGCATCGCCGGCCGGTCGCAAGTAGTCGTCGATCGTGAACCGATGCGACTTGTAGATCACTTTGTCGCCCGATTCGAGTTTCAGGGCTGGAAACTCTTTCTCGATGCTCTCCCTGAACTGCGCATCGGAAAGGACAGTCGAGTCAGCACTGGCTGGGACGGACGGACTGGCGGCCTGGCCCTTGTAGTCGCCGATAGCGCCGTAGAGCTGGAACTGCTCGACAGTCTCGCGGGCACCCAGGGCCAGGTTCCAGACTCGGGTGGCATCGAGCTTGATCAAACTGGCGAGCTCCACATCGCGGCGGTCGGCGTTGTGTTTGGACTTGAAGAATGTGCCAAAGCTGGTCTTCCACTTGTCGAGCAGGTACTCCTCCAACTCCTTGTTCTCGGCAGCAGCGCCCAGGACCTTGTCGACGATGAGCTTCTTGCGGGCATACAGCTTCTCGAGCACCGTATACAGGTTCTCGTCCCCCTCCAAAAGCTCGACAAAGCCTTCTTGGCGATGGAGCTGGCGCAGCATCGCCAGTACGTCGATGTACGGATCAAAGAGCTCCAGTCCGCCCGAGGACGATGGCCAGTACAGCCACCAGTCCGGGATCTCCATGGTCGCGCACGCAGCAATGCGCTTGTAAATCAGGTCCTTGACGGTGTCGGCGGCATTGCCATGATGCTCAGGGAAGAGCTGCGCGTGGATAAAGTCCAGAGCCTTCACAATCTCCCGGCAGTGGTGCTCGCCCGAGGCCCTGGACACCTTGCCAAAGCCACGCAGGAAAAACTTCATGAAGCGGTTGTACGTGGTGATCCATTCGATCACAGAGTTGGCTCGAGCAAGGCGCCCCTGGAGATCAGCAATGTATGGCTTGATGGCCTCGAGATCGACGTAGAACTGGCCGTCGCTCTTCAGGATCAAAAACTCCCAGACAATCGGGGAGCGCGGGAGCGGGCTGGGTCCGTAGAGATATACATCGGTCTTTTGGACATCCGAGAGGTGGGCGGGCGAGAATACGGAGACGGAGCCCGTTTTCTTGAGGTTCAGGCTCAGGCCCACGACTCCGAGGTACTCGTTCATGCTCTTCCACGCCGTTGTCGCAGCCGACGCACTTGGAGTGCAGATCCAAATGTCGTCGTAGAAACGTGCTGGCGTCACGCCGTCGGTCGTTCGGTTGATGTAAAAGTCCATAAAGAACAGGATGAGCTCGCCAAAGAGCTTGGACAGCGTGCAGTTGGCGTTGATGCCTCGGGTCCGCTGTCGAGGCGTCTGCGACGGGCCCCACAAGATGGGCATCTCCAAAAACGCCATGAAGAACTGGATCCATCTGTCAGAGACCTTGAGGGCCTTCAGCAGCTCGAGGATAACTCGGTGCGAGACGGTCGGGCCAAAGTTGAGAATGTCGGTCTGGATCGCCGTGAATGCCTCGGTGGGCTGGATCGCCTGGTAGAGCCGGCAGTCGGCCGTGAGCACCCGGAAGTACCGGTCGATCGGCGGCTCTTCGGAGTTGTCTTCATCGTGGCGGTCATAAGAGTTGTGCGATCGCTTGAACCGTCCAGCTCGGCCTCTGCCTCTGCCTGAGCTGGCGGTGTTGCCCAAGAATGGCTTGAGATTAGCGTTGCAGAAAGTCGAGCGGTGGAGCGTGCTTCGAACCGAGGTGATCGATTTGGAAGCAGAATCGCCTCCCCACTTCCAGGCACTGGAAGCAGTAAACTGAAGCAGCTTCTCCGCAAAGCACTCGCTCCAGATGATGCCGACATACTCGACAAACACCTGACTGATCGTGTCCATCGAAATCTGGGGACGATACTTGTCCTTGAGGGACATGCGGTTGAAGGCGACCGAGTTGCCGCCGTTTCTCCATATCCACCGGCCCGCCTGGACATCGTCGAGCATCAGGTGGAGCACCTCAATCATCTCCGCGAGCGTGGTTTCGTCGCCGAGGATGCTCTGGATCTCTTCGGAGCAGTAGGCAAAGTACTTGCTCTTGGACATGGACCCCAGCAGCTCCTTGAGGCCATCCTTGTCGATCTTGTCGTTCAGCGCCCTGTACGAAAAGTTTTGAATCGCTTCGGTGAGGATCCCCCAGGGCCCGTCAAAGTTCTTGTGCGGCACAAGCAGCTTCTCCTGGATGAATTGGGTCAGCTTGTCGCCGTCCACGGTGTCCCGGCCGAAACAAGTACGCTCGAACATCTGAATGGCTTGTTTCTTCATCAGCGACGGCTCGGGAAGATCCGCATTCATGGAGCTGTTGGACTCGGAAAGCACCGACCACTCGCTGGCAGTGTCTGGCCAGGTGTCACCCTGGACGTCTGGCTCGGGGACAGAGACATCGCTGCTAGAGTTTTGAATTCTCTCCAAAATGATGGCCGAGAAGGCTTGGGCAAAATGGTGCTTGGTCTGGGGCACAAACGAGAGTCGGAGTGAGTGAGTGAGTGAGTGGGTGAGTGAGTGAGTGAGTGAGTGGGTGAGTGGGTGAGTGAGTGCGGTAGCGGCGATCATACACCTTGTCAACATCCGACACCTACCTTGATCAGCTTGACCTTTTCATACACATTGTCGGCCCAGGTCTGGGCCACTCGTTCGTACTTGTCCTGAAACTCCGAGTCAATACACACCAAGAGGTCATCGACCTTGTCGCGTTCGTCGTCAATGTCGTCCCAGTTGCTACCAAACAGGTCGTTGATCAGATGGAGGCGATCGATGCCCGAGTTGGCAGACTGATAGGCTTTCTCGAACTCGGTCAGCTCGCGCTCAAAGCTCTGGAACTGCTGCTCGAGCGTCTTGAGCTTGATCTGTGAGATCTGGGCGATCGCCTTGGCGTTGGCGGTGGGAGGGGCTGTGGCTTTCGTGGCCATTGTTGCCTGGGATGTGTCGCTGGCGATGAGTGTGCTGACGAAACTTGCAGCGGCCCGAGCGGCTCCATTTATGCTGACGGCCCCTCGGCTATGTCGGGGCCGGCGATGGGGCTGGCGATCTGCAATTGGCTGGCCCCGGGGGCGAATGGCCGTGCTCTCCTGGGAGGCGAAGTCGTATCACCTGAAGGCGGAGCCACCGACGCTGGTGACCGAAACGAAGCCATTGGAAGGGCATGGCAACATTCGGCCGAAAGGGCGGGGCAACAATCCGGCAGGAAGGAAGGCCGGCGAAGCACGGCGTAGCTGGGGACGGCAGCACCGAATCGATTCTGGGGGAATGGCATCGAAGATCCGTTCGCGCTGGTGAATCCTCGCATGTCCATGAAACATCCCCACAATCCATGTGCGCAGCGCGTTCAGCATGTTGATAACAGCGTTTCCCCATGTTCAGCATGTCCAGTCCTCAGCGACCCCCTTGCATCCTGGTCTGCATCCTCCCTGACTCTTCATTCGCTCCATGGCTCATCATCGCGGCCGTATTTCTCTGCAGGAGTCTTGAGCGGAGACGGCAGGGCCACCAGGTCGTCCCTCGCTCTGCTCTGCCCCGACACCAGCGGGAATACAATGCCCAGCTCCCAATTACGGATCGTCAGTCGGAGGCTGGGGTCAGATCTCGACGGCCGAGTCAAAGTTCCCCAGGCGGCCGAGGTAAAGCTGTGGCTCCTGCTTGGAGTCGATCGGGAAACAGGGGGCAAGGGTCGGCGTCGGTGAAATATGAGCAAGTCGATCAGCTATCTGATGTCTTTGGGAGTCCTTTCAGCCAACCAGGGGGTTGCTCGCATAACGTCCTCATGTGCCGGTGAGCAAAGAACGTACCCTAAATAGTACAGACCGATGGGCTGGTCCTCTGGATCGAGATCGGGCATGTTGGGAAGCATTGCCGAGCCGCTGGTGAACTTGGGACTGCTCTCGTCCTGGCTCTTGCATACAAGCATGATCTGGTCGTCATAGCAACACCCCGATCACGATCGAAAGGTGTGCACGGAGGAAGCACAGCCACTCTTAGCGACTCGGGCTTCGGGACAACCAAAGGTCTCTGTGAACAGGAAAACCTCGAGACCGAAACAGATAAAGCAGCATGGCCAGAGGCCGTACCTTGGAATGCATTACTCGATCCGAAGCAGCCGACTCGGCGTTGTGCATGTAGTGCTTGGGAAACACCGGTGTCCAGTACTTTGGTGCAAAGAAGAGCACTCCAGCATGCTGCGGGATATGGCCGAGGCGATCAGCAACGAGTCACGTAGCTCTCGAGGCAGGGCTCGCACTATGAGCATCTAAGATGTGGCGGATGCACTGTTGGCAGCGCTACGTCGGCGGTCGGCTTGGTGCTTACGTTCTGCTTGCCGCTGGCAACAATGCTCTTCTTGGTGGGAAAGTGTACGCTGATGGGAAGTCGGCCAGGCGGAGAATCAAGATTCTCAGACCCAAGCGCCGATTCAGCCATCTCTCGGACCCAGCTTTCGCGAAGAGCTCCCAGCGAGGATGTCTGATGATGCGGCGCCTTTTGTTAGCAGCTCGGTCCGATATCTCGTTGGCGTTCGGCGGTGGGTTGGTGTGCATCTCGCTCGACGACTGTTTCTACAACCGACCTGGCATCGTATGACCCAGTCCGACAAGTTGTCGCCCAGGGCCAGACCGAGTTTCTTCGCAACTGCCCGCAGCTTCATGTGCCCAGTCTTGTGGATGTGTTCGTTCTTGAATGTACCTGGCCTGGAGGCAACCAGGTGTCCCTGGTTGACGAGCATATCAGCCCGTCTTCCCGTCGCGAGCCTCCCATCCCAGGCATCATCGACGGCAACTGACCTTGGCTGTCCCAAAGTTGAAGTCGTCCAGCTCTCGGCGGAGTGGCTCGGGAACATTCATGTCGCCCAGCAGAGCACGCAAGTCTTGCAGAAACTCTGGATCATCTGTCTTGGTAGCCTCGGCGTCCCAGCGAACAAAATCTTGCACAAAGACGATCTGCCAAGATCCGAGGATTAGGGCGTGATTCCTTCCAGAGCCCTATCCAAACTGTGCGGGAATGACCTACATTCTCGATGATGCTCCAGTCGTGAGCTACGAGGTTGGCCGAGCCCACGACGACCCGCAGGAACCCTCGATACCACAGGATCTTGAGACGGCCATAGCATATGGTCAGCGGGTGAGAGTCAGCCATGCTGCTGACCATACGAGCGCACGGTGTCTGTGAATAGTCAGGGTTTTATGGATCTCGGGGCGATCGCGAATGCTAACAAACCTACAAACAGCTTGATGTGCATGCATCCGTAGCCTTGAAACCCAAGCGCAGGAAATACAAAAGTGACGTTTCGGGATATCTGGACGACATGTTGCTGGCGAGGATCAAGAGGCAATCCGGATTGTGAGTTAGAGCTCCAGCGGCCTGGATGCTCGGCTGGCGATGCGGATATCCCCGAAGGAGAACCGCCTTCGTGCTCACATTTGCTGGGTGATCCGCAGGTCTCTGCCGAGCTATGAACACCATGAGGTTTCGGGGGAGCTTGCGCATGAGCCACTCATCGTCGATATCAAAGGCGGCCAAGAACACCTTTGTCAGGCCCTGGGCAGCAAAACAAAGATAGGCATCAGTGCCCGATCGGGTATTCCGCATCCCAGATTCGTAGCAACGTCCGCAGTGCTCGTCTGGCGGACCTGCGGCGCAAAGATGTCTTCGAACCGAATACGGCCGTCAGCGGGATCGTCGTCGCTGGAGCTGGTGAGGCTCACGACACCGTCCAGATATCGAGCTTGCGGCAGATGCGTGCAGGCTGACGGGGCATCAAAAAAAAGAGAAGATCCAGGAAGTCAGCAGCAGTCGCTCGCATGGGTCGGCCCCAGCGATGCAGCAGCCAGCAGGCATTGCTTGCCTTGCTCTCGTTCGCTGGTATCCAAGCGGGGCCTCTTGCAAACTGACGACGGCCGGTCGCCGACTCCCAGAGGCATATGCTGGACGACGGTTGCTTCAACAGCATCGCATTTACGCTTCTGCTTCAGCCGTTCCAGTCGCTCGGCCTCCATCCGCTTCCGATCGAGCGACTGGAGGGTTGTGGGGGCTGCCAGATGATGCAGGCCCGAGGAGCCGTTGTCCGAATCGACGTCGGTGGAGTCGGCATCGGTCGAATCATCGACCACATAAATCGGCACATCGCCGGGTGTCATCTCGAGAGCGATCTGCACCCGAGCTCAAAGGCAAAGCAAGTCCGATGAAAATGGTTGGTCGCCCAGGCTTTTGATCAGCGACGAAATGCCTTGCTGCCTCAAAAACATCACGCGCGCTGGCCATGGCCGTCTGCTCGATGGTGGTGGAGACTGGAGAGCAGCCCGCAGTCTTTCGCTGCAAGGTTGCCAAGACTTTGATCAAGAGGAATGGCCGTCGCTGAGGATGATGGATGTGCGTGTATTCAACTTCCACATGCAGCCATCGCAGTTCACATCGTGGCCAGCACTGCTCCTAAATCATCTCGATGTCATTCTGCGCCGCTGCAGCCGAGCTCTCCAGCGCATCCCGTCGGCCCCTGAACAGCTCGATGGTCTTGCTGATGACGCTCATCTGCGCTGGCGAGATCAAGCCTTGCGCCTGTCGCTCTCTGGCAACCTGCTCCATCCGACGGGGGTCTTTCTTGGCTGCGACGCACTCGATCACTCGATGTCCGTTCTCGCCACAAAGCTCGCACACATTGCCTTGAGGTGCCCGCAAAGGCTGTGCGGTCGTCGGCAGACCCGGTGACAGCTGCTCGAATCTCCCAGAGCCATTCTCAGTCATCGCCTTTTGGACTTGTGCCTCATTTGTGGTGCCGATCGGGGCCGACTCAGCAGGTCGCGCAGTTGGAGAGATTGTGGTTACAGGGATTCCCACGAGCCCGGCCGCAATCGCACCCTGGTGTGAAGAGGCTTGGGCTACGACGGGAGCAGCTGGGCCTTGGGGCGGGATGTTTGGCTCATTCCGTTCTTCAGAAGCCGCACTGCCCTTGAAGAGCTCGTCCAGGATGGCCTTTGCATTTTGCGCCGGCTGCACAGGTTTTGCAACAGACGACGGAGACTCACGCTTCTTGAGAGAGCCAATGAGACTGATCAGGGAAGCAGGCAGCGCGGACGTTGGAGTTGTCGCCGCAGACTTTCTCGTGGGCGGTTGATTGGCCGCCGCTGGGCGGTTGGCGACAGCAGCGGGAGTTGATGGGGTGTTGTTGTTGTTGCTGCTAAGAGGAAGAGGTGCAGCAGTTGTTGGATTGCTGGCTGCTGCGAGAGGTTCTCTATCAGCAAGGAGCGTCGGTTTCTGTGCACGATTAGGTGTGGAGGATTGCTGAGCCGGCACCGGTTTCGGCGGCTGGGAAGGGGTGGAGGCCGGGCCGGCGCTTGAATGCGATTGATTGACAGAAGAGGCATTTCCCCCCTTGTTAGGCGGGGCTGCAGAAGGGCCCGGTTCTGGGATCGCGGCAGCAACAGCGGCGGTTCCAGGAAGCGCTGCCACCGTAGGTGTGCTTGGAGGCGCCATGCTGACATGGGGTTGGGGTCGAAGTCGCTTCATCCAACAGTCGACCAGATAGATCTTGGCATTGAGCTCCATGATCGACCCAAGGTTGAGCTGTAGCTGCTGTGTCAAGATTCCGCGGCAGAGCTGCAGGTGATGGTAATCCAGGGCTTTGGGGCAGCTTTCGACAGGATGATAGGTGGGCTCTCCGCACAGCCAGCAGCAGAAATAAACCAACGGCGACGGCGATATCATCACAGTGAATCCGGTCTGTGTTATCGGTGCCCGCACGGGCGCAGCTGAGGCGGCCGCGGCAGGCTGGGCAGTACGGAGAGGCAGGCCGGGACGGGTAGTCTTGGTGGCGCGCGGGTCTGGCTTTGCTTGAACTTTGTCGACGCCGATCATGTCGTCGTCCTGATCTTCAGGCAGAGTGTCGTCGGAGCTCGACGACGAGTCGACGGGAACAAACTCGGGATCGAGACGTGCGACGTCCTCGACTCTGTGGCGCTGCTGTGATTCGCGGTAGTTGATATCCATACGCGAAGCTCGTTTTGCGCGGCCGCCACTCTCGTCGATGGCATACTGCTCGAGTCGCTGCTGTTTGTTGTGCTCGATTTCGATCTGGATCTGCTTCCAAATCTCTTGGTCAAGCTCCTCCTCCGACTTTTTCGCCTGTTCGTCCCCGTTCTCGGTCCAGACCTTGGCGACCTCAAACGACATGAGCTCCTCGGCTTCGGCAGCGGCTTTTTGCTCCTCAGTAACGGTGCGATCAAGGAGCTTGTCCACCGACTCGTCGTCATAGACGATCGCCTTGGGCGAGTTCTCCGAAAAGATGCTTTGGGCACCGAACTTGAGGATATCCTGGACCTCGTTTTTGTCAAGGCTCTCGTCCATTTTCTGGACAATCAAGTGCTCCAAGATGATCTTGGATTTGCCGATTTCCATAATTTTCTCTGTGTAGCCCCCGAGCACATGCGGAAGATGGGTCGATGTGTCAATGAGTGCACTCGAGTTTCTACGACAATGCAACGACAGGCTCTCAACATACCTTCGACGCTGTGCTGGGTGAACAACCTGTAGATGCAGACCGGCCGCGTCTGTCCGATGCGGTGCGCTCTCGCAACCGCTTGCTTGTCCAACTGGGGATTCCAGTCGGGGTCGAAGATGATGACCGTGTCTGCCGCGACTAGATTCAGGCCAAGACCGCCTGTTCGCGTGGTCAACAGAAACACAAACACATCCGAGTTTGCATCCTCAAACTTGCCGATGACATCGACTCGGTCCGACTGGGTCGTTTCGCCGTCCTACGCATCGCACAAGCAGAGGCAGTCAGGAACGGCGGGCAGAAGCCGCAGGCAGCGCTTTGTCGTGGATACTGAAACAGCGAACCGCAAAAACATACCATGCGAACAAACTTGTAGCGTTCAAAGTCGAGAAAGTCCTCGAGAATGTTCAGAGCCAGCTTGAACTGCGAGAAGATCAGGACTTTGTTGCCATTTTGCTTCAGCTTCCGCAGCATCTTGGACAATAGCTCGAGCTTGCCGCTGACTTCTATCATCTTTGCGATTCGCCTGGAGTCCATGGGATCCAGCTTCACCAACTCGGGATAGTTTTCCTTGAAGTAAGCAATCTCGTTATCCTCCTCGATGAACGGATGGATGCAGAGGAGTCGGAGATCCGCAAGTGTGCTGCAGAGACACAGGCATCAGCGGCGGCTGGCCCGAGCGAAGGACACACGCTCCTCGATACAACCGGTTGCGACGATGCAGCGATGAGACACAGCCACCCATTTTGCACCGATAGAGCTCAGTGCTAGACCCGACTGCCCGCAGGCGCGACGCTGGCAGATATAGGCCGCTTGGCGCCACTACAGTTGCCATTTACCCACCGCCTGAGTGCCTGTTCAGGTTGGCCCTTCTTGGTGTCTGGATTGAAGAGCCACACATTCTTCATCAGCGCTAGCTTGTATATCTTACGTTGCAGCGGCGTCAAGCTGACCGGAACGAACCGCTCGATCTAGGTGTGTATGGGCAATGGCAGCGAAAAGAGGCGATGTCATTGAGTGTACGGGATTACGGAAGCTCGCTCGCGCTGTATATTGTCTCGTTTGGACTCCTGGCACAAATCTCGTCGCAATGAGCACATCCCGGCGTCCCTTGATTTGACCGGCGTTGCGCTATTGGCAAGAATGTGATGCTGTAGCTTCGTGGAGCCTTGCGCACGAGTTCGGTGGTGCCGACAGCGCGATGCTTGGGTGGGTGCTTGGTCGGCATAACCGAGAAGCATAAGAGACCATCGCATGGCGCCAAACACTATACCTTGGGGGGAAGGTCGCTCATATACTTGGCTTTGGTGCGCCTCAGGATATATGGCACGAGCTCGTCGTGGAGTGTCTTGACGCTCTCTTCGGAGAGATCTTCAATCTTGTTATCGCGCCACGAGGAGTTGGCGAACTTTGCAGGATCCTGAGAACCAAGGAGATGAGCATTCCAGCAAGCCATGCTGTTCGTCGTGCAACACATCGAGTGCGGCGCGGCACATACCAGGAAGCACATCAGATTGTGCAGCTCCTTCAAGTTATTCTGCAGCGGCGTACCTATCCGAAGGCAAGTGGTTGGGTCAGTGGGGCCAGACAAGCACGCAGATGGGCACCAACGGACGCACGACTCACCGGTCATGACGACTTTGTGTGCTGCCTTGATATTGGCCTGGATCGCGGCATAGGTTTTGGTGCTATCGTTCTTGATTCGGTGGCCTTCATCACAAATGAGGGTCTCAAACGGCACGAATCGAAACAACTGGCTCTCGTTCTGCATAATCTCGTAGGTCGATATGATAACGTGGCATCGCATCCTGGACCGTCGCTTGTCCAGGAACATGAGGTGGTCGTACACCATTTTCTTTGACGCTTTTTCGCCGCAATAGGACACCACTTCGATCCAGGGAGTCCATCGCTTGAATTCGCGGATCCAGTGGTCGATCAACGAGAGCGGCGCAACGATCAGATGCGGAAAGCGGTTGTAGGTTTTGATCAGGTGCCCGATAAAGGTGGCAATCTGGAGCGTTTTGCCTATATGCAGAGTCGAGCAGACAGGATGGGATCAGGATGGAGTCGAGCTGCGGAGAAGGTGATCACCAAGTACATAGATCATCAAGTCCAGTGATCGCCGTGTCGACTGTCTCCGAGGTCTCGATTGGATGTGCGCGACCCCAATGCTTCCGAATCCGGCGCACCACACGCGAGTCACAGGCCAAATGCCCTGATCTGAGCAGCCAATATCGGTCGTACGTCGATGCTTACCCAACCCCATCTCGTCGGCGAGAATCGATGAAACCGTATGAAAGTGGTTGTAGAGCAGCCAGCCCACGCCCTCGATCTGAGGCATAGGAGGAGCGATACCCAGAGTTAATCAACGGGAACAGCCAAAGTGCATACAAACGTGCGGCGGACTATCGCGATTACCTGATAATGCTTCAGCGTACAGTTGTTCAAAAATTCAGGAGTTTTCTCGTCCGGGGGACGGAAGGCTTTGGGGAGAGGGAGGCTCTTGACCGACAACCGATTCTCCAGCTCGAGCTCTCGCTTCCAGCTATCGACAAACTCTTGGTATTCGGCATCCTCTGGTGTGGGCCAGGACTCCCAGGTCGAGGTCTCGATATCCAAGCCCTTCCAAGACACAAGGACCTCATCGATCGAGGCGATATTTCGTGGCGCAGAATGGGTGTACTTTTGGGTCCTGGATTTGAACTGCAAGATTCGGCTGACGTGCGTCCACTCTTCCATGATCACGGCACTCTTGGGCCGCGGATGCAGGCCGGGCGATTGGAGGGCAGCTTTGAGAAAGGCCAAGAGCTTGGGCTCACACACGCGGCTGATCCACCAGTCGGGAACCCACAGCGCCCACCGGTAGGCGGTGTTCTCAAGCTTGACCAAGTACAGACGAAAGGGATGGTCGCTGTAGACCTTGGCGACACGCTTGTAAATGTCGCCAAGCGCCTCGCTGGTATTGCTCCAGTCTTCGGTATATGTCAGAATTGTTTTGACGTTCGCAGGTATGGACTGACAAAAGCAGCAGCTCCACTTGTGGTTGTGGCGATAGCGGCCGATCGGAGGCAGCTCGAGGGTATTCATGCATTCCAGATGCCAAGGCAGGTAGCAGCGATGACAACGGAATGCCGGCGGCTTGGTACCGGGCTCGATAACGGTAGTTTTGCCACACAGCCCACAGTCAGACAGCTTTCCTGTGCGACAAAAGTCACACATATGGACATGGTTGTGGTTGCAGTTCTGGTGGAAGCTGATAGTGCAACCTTGACACTGGTGGAGTTTCGAGTCAACGTGTAACGTCCACTACTGGGACGTTGGGGCAAGACGGGGAGGGAGGGTGTAACGTCCACTACTGGGACGTTGGGGCAAGACGGGGAGGGAGGGGGTACAAGACAAGACAGGACGGGGCAGAACAGGGCGGTGCTAGGCTACTCTAGCGGACGGGTGAGCTCGGGGAGCACTTACGTTTATTCACGATAAAACCGAACTCCAGACAAACGGGGGGAACGGGGGCAACCCGCAGGTATACCCTGCGGTGGCCTGCCTGCGGTGCGTGAAAACGCAAAGCGCAGCACAGGTCACGACCCACTGCGCCGCGCAGTACGCGCAGTACGCGCAGCACAGCGTCGGAGATACCATCTCCTACACTCCCACACTTAAGAAGGCTTCCTGCGAGGAGCCCTGCGTGTGCTCTTTATTTGGGGCTCCTCGAGGTGTTTACCGTATTTACTCAGCTCCTCGGGTGCATGGGACAAGTCCTCCAGTGTTTGCCATGTGTTGCCCGAGTGTGGGTAACCAACCCACTTGACATAAAACCGAAGTGACCCATCAGCCACTTTCTTGTGCCTCACGATCCTTTCGACTTCATATTCTTGAGTATAGTATTGTCCGAGGTCGTCTTCCAGTGGTGCGTCGTCCGGGACACCTTCGTCGGCGTCGGGGAACTGTGCTGGACTGCGGGTCGTGTGGCGACGCAGCTTGGACACATGGAAGACAGGATGGAGCTTGCTTCCAGGTGGCAAGTCCAACAGGTAGTTGAGGGGACTGGGTCGGGCCGCTATCTTGAACGGTCCTCGGTACTTGGGCAACAACTTCTTTGACTGGGCTTCGGGGACCTTGATGTTGTCGGCGTCCAGGTAGACAAGGTCTCCAACTTCAAAGGAGACATCCTGGTGTCGGCGGTCGTAGTACTTCGCCATCACTTGTTGCGCATCCGTGAGCGCGTCGGCGATCATCTTGTGTCGGACTTGATGATCTTTGACAAAGGCACTTGGTTTGGGAGGCAATCCAGCCGTGGACTCGGTCAGTGTCAAGGAGGTGGGAACATCAGGCTGGAATCCGTAGAGCGCCTCAAAGGGGCTCAAGCCAGTTGTGCTCGACTTGGCGGTGTTGTATGCAAACTCTGCATGACTCAGCTGTATGTCCCAGTCGTCTTGGCTGGTCGAGGCGTATGTCCTCAGGTATTGCTCGAGGGTGCGGATCGTCCGCTCGGACTGTCCATCCGTTTGTTGGTGGTGCGAGGTTGACATGTTCAGCTTGGTGCCGAGATGGTCGAACAGACTTGTCCAAAACAAGGAGGTGAATCGGGGGTCTCGATCACTGACGATGGACTTTGGGAGGCCGTGGTGCTTGAACACATGCTTGAAGAACAGCAGTGCAAGGTCAGGCGCGGAGCATGTCGTCTGGCACGGCACAAAGTGTGCCATCTTGCTGAACCTGTCGACAAAGACAGCGATTGCATCGTGGTCCAACTTGGTCGTCGGTAGATGCGTGATGAGATCCATGGACATGCTGGTCCAGGGGCGGTCGGGAACAGGCAGGGGTTGCAGCAATCCTTGCTCTCGGGTCGTGCGTGACTTGACCATCTTGCAGGTATGGCAGGACTCGATGTACTTCTCGACGGTGCGCTTCATTCCAGGCCAGTATGCGACTTTGGCCAGTCGGTCGTATGTCTTCTCGACTCCAAAGTGTCCAGCGAGGGGCGAGTCGTGGACCTCTTGGAGCAACTTGGTCTTCAACGACGGAATGTCCGGCACACAGACACGGCTGTCCTTCTTCAGGAGGAGCAGGCCATCACGCACTGTGTACTCGGATGATTCGTCGTCCTTGGGGAGCTTAGACACCTTTCGGAACAGTTCTCCGAACTGTTTGTCGTTGGCGATGTTGTCTCGGACAACATCCAGCATCGTGTTGTCGACACTGACAGTCGACTCGTACAGTGACGCCAATTGGTAGTCGGGGCGTCGGGACAGTGCGTCAGGCACCACATTGAGTTTGCCTTTCTGGTATACAACCTCGTAGTTGTACTCGGCGAGGAACTCCATCCATCGCGCTTGGCGTCGGCTCAGGTTCTTCTTGGTGTCGAGGTAACGCAGTGACTGGTGGTCCGTCACAATCTTGAAGGGCTTGGCGGTACCGTGGAGGTACACTCGGAACTTCTGCAGCGCGTAGATGATCGCAAGCTGCTCCTTCTCGTGCACGGGATAGTTGATCTCGTGTTGGGACAGTTTGCGCGACTCGAAGGCAACGGGCCTTCCCTCCTGCATCAAAACAGCTCCCACCGCAAAGTCGGAGGCGTCGGTGTGCACGGAGACATCCGTGTTCGGGTCGAACACAGCGAGGACAGGAGCGTTCGTCAAGGCGTGCTTGAGGGTCTCGAACGCTTGGCGTTGTGGGTGGTCCCACACGAAGGGGCACTCTTTGCGGAGTAGGTCTGTGAGTGGACCGGCAGTGCGCGCCAGATCGGGGATGAATCGGCGGTAGTAGTTGACGAGACCGAGAAACGACTGCACGTCAGAGACGCATGCGAGCGGCGGCCACTCGACCACAGACTTGACCTTGGCGGGGTCGACTTCGATTCCTCTTCCTGAGACAACGTGTCCCAGGAACGGGACTTGATTCTTGAAGAACTCACACTTGGACAGTTTGGCATACAACTTGTGCTCGCGTAGCTTGGCCAGCACGCGGGCGACATGACCTTCATGGGTCGCTTCATCCTTGCTGTACACAAGGATATCATCCAGGTACACGATGACAGAGTTGTCGAGCTCTTGGCGGAACACATCGTTCATCAGCTGCATGAACGTGGCAGGTGCGTTCGTCAATCCGAACGGCAGCACTAGGAACTCGTACAGTCCGTAGCGAGTCCTGAAGGCGGTCTTGTGGACATCATCCTCGTGGATGCGGATCTGATGGTAGCCTGAGCGGAGGTCTATCTTGCTAAAGACCTTTGCTCCACTCAGACGATCCATCAACTCGTCGATCCTGGGCAACGGGTAGGTGTTCTTGATGGTCTGTTTGTTTAGTGCGCGATAGTCGACGCACATCCTGAGATCACCTTCTTTCTTCTTGACAAAGAGCACTGGTGCACCATACGGTGACTGGCTGTTAGGGATAGCTCCTGCTTGTTCTCCACTTTGACTGCACACTTGGCTATTCTTTTGCCTTTCTGTTTGTTTGTGTGTAGCCTTGCAGTTCCCCTCCGATTTTCCGCCTTTTGCCTGTCTTTTCCGCTCCTTCCGCACTTCCGTTTTCCCGCGCTGCTCCGCTTCCTTTGTCTTCTTCGCACGCGCCGGTTTGTTTGTGCACGCGCCTTGCTGCGATTGGTTGCAATTCGGCTGCCGGTCATGTGTCCCCCCACCGGTGACTCATGACCTGCCTGACCGCCCCGATCTCTTGTTCATCTCGCATGCATTTGCCCCAACCTTATACTTGACCAATCCGCTTCTTGGACGTTGAGTCACATTGCTTCGCCTTTGCACGTTTCTCCTGCCAGGTGCTTCGCTTTTGCTTGCGCCTCTCTCGCTTTGGTTCTCTGCCTGTCTCGGTGGTCCTTCTCGGCCCTCGTTCGTGCATCGCCCCCTTCGCCCTGCTCGATCGCCCACTTTTCCCTCCCTTGGCCGCCCTTCGCTGCCAAGTCCGGACTTGTCTATAAATAGCCTGACCCCCGCGATGTGTAGTCGAACCTTAGCGTTCAAAATAGGACTAAATAAAGTGCCTTCTACTTTATTCTCTGAGTGTTCCTCACGTCTCATTTCGAGACAAGTCTTATCTTGAACGGATCTTTGCTTCCCTCGCTCCCTCTCCGAGTCCACTTCGGACTCTACCCTTGCTTTCCCTGAGCTCACTTCGAGCTCACTTCTTCTTTTGCCGTTGAGTCCCCTTTGGACTCTAACATCATTTTGAACGCTCCCTCTTGGCTTCCCGGCCTTTCTTCTTCTTTCGCCTCTCTTTCCCTCGTCGATCCGATGGCTGAGCCTGCTGCACCCCCGGCAGATCTCAATGCGTACCTGGCGCGCATGGAGGAGCGTATGAACGCCCTCATGACCCAGAACGCTGCTCTCCATCGTCAGATCCAAGATCTGCAAGCTCCCGCCGCCGCTCCCCGCCAGGTCTACCAGGTGAACAAGCCCAAGGAGTTCCTAGGTTCCCGCGACGAGACGACGGCCTTCCTCGCCCAGTGCCACCTCGTCTTCCTCGCCGATCCTGCCTTCTTTGCGCCCGAGCGCCAGAAGGTCCTTTATGCCACCTCCTTCCTCCGCGGCGAAGCTTTCAAATGGTACGAGGCCGCCTTTTATATGGCCAACCGCTTCCCGGCTTCCTTCGCGGATTTTGAAGTTGCCCTCAAGTCGACCTTCGGTGAGGACACGGCCTCCTCGCAAGATAAGGCCTTGAACGACCTCAAACGCTTGGTCCAGCTCAAGTCCTGCCAAGCCTTCGCCACCCGCTTCGTCCAGCTCGCCGCCCGCGTCCAGACTGACGAACCCACCAAGATGCACTTCTTCAAGGAGGGTTTGAAGTCTGAGGTCAAGTTCCACCTCATCGGTCTCCGCCCCGCTCCCGCTTCCTTGCCCGAGTTGATCAAGGCAGCGGTCGAGTACGACGATGCCCTCCATCGTCTCAAGGTCTCCTCCCGTTCCCAACCTCCTCCTCCTTCTTCTCGCTCTGCTCCCCATCACCACCATTCTCCCGCGCATGTTTCTTCTTCCTCCTCTTCTGCACCCACTCCCATGGACCTTGACTCTGTCTCGGTCCGCCCTGCTAAGCTCTCCGACGTCGAGAAAAAGCGACGTCGTGAGCAGGGTCTCTGCTTGTACTGCGGGGAAAAGTCTTGTCCCGGCAGTCGCGATGTTCAGCAGTGCCCGGTTCTGGTCAAACGGAACTCGGGAAATGCTCACAGCCGAGCAGCACCTCGCAAGTAAGCGAGGTGGTCTGTTCGGCGATACGAACATCTTCCCCCTCTGACTCGTCACTATCGGACGATAAGCTTCTTCTTCCGGCCACTCTTATCGTCATGAGTCTTTCTGGCCCGGTCTCCATCTCCCTTTCTGTTTTTATTGATGATGGATGTTCCGCTCTTGCCCTCATTGATCCTGCCTTTGCCGATCTCCATAAACTCTCTCTTATCCCTCTTTCTACTCCTTACTCCGTTTCCCTTGCTGATGGTTCTTCGGCCGGTTTCATTCGTTTCCAAACCGCG